TTACAAAATAAATACTAATAAATACAAAAGGATTTAATTGTCGAAAAGAACTATTATTTAATTTTAGAGCTAAATATCTGAGGTTATGTTAGATATGATAGCTATTATTTACATACTTTATAACTAAGAAGGAAAAGCTTCTAATAAAACCTAGTACTAGCTTTATTTACCTTTCAAAAAATCTCTATTATATTTTAAAATCAAGAATAAATCTATTAAGTACTAACCAATTAGATAAAAATACTACTATAATAATATAAAAAAAACTTTTACAATGATAAATAAGAGAGATAATTTATATATTATTAAATTCTTATCTTTGTAAAAAGATAAAAACATAAACATAATCCTCCTAACTAATAAGATAGAGAACTTATATATAAAATGATAGTATAGGTACTTAGTATATATTTCTTATAAATAAACCTTTAAAAGCTATTTTAAAAGATACTTTGATATATTGATAAATTATAGATGTTGAACTAGATCTTTTATCTGAAGATAATAGATATTTTAATAAAGAAGACTCTAATATACAAGAGTTCGAGAAAATAGAAAGAATCTATAATAATTTAAGGGATCCTTTACTAAGTATGTATAATTATAAACAATGTTATATTACTATTTTAGATCAAGAGAATTAATTTATTCAAGTCTTTTTATTAAATCAGAAAGGCGAAGTATATAATTCATCTAAACAATAAAAGTTTTATGTAAAAATTATATAAATAGATAAATACATGAATTCTTATAATAATAGTAAAGAATACATTAACAAGAATTTTGAAATAGTATTAACAGAATATTACATAATTAACCACTAAGCCGCTATAACCTAACCTTTTAAATTTAAATATATTTAGATTTAGTAAGCCTTTAGAATATAGTTTACTATATCATTAAATAGGCTTAGAGGAATCTAGGATCTTATATAAAGTAATATTTTAGTTAATATAGCTTAGTTAAGAGATTATATATAGTTCGAAGGTATTCTTTAGCTCTTATTCGCTTTCTTAACTCAAGAAAGGGTTGGGGTTTAAAGACGAGTACTGAGCTTTAGTTACTTAATCAAGTAAACAAGATATTAGATTAGTTGCTTCAAAGTTATTAATAATAGTATTAGATTTAAGGTCTTAGAGCGGGCGGAAGAATAGGCTTTAAGGAAATTAAGTTTATCAAGATATTTACTTTTATCTTATATATTAATTTTAATAAGCCGACTATATAAATGTTTTATATTTATAAATAACTGATATTAAGCGGCTATAAAAGGTAAGATAAAATAAAAATATATATATTAAGATAATATCATTTTTTTATAGATCTTATTAAAGTTTAGGATTAAATATTTAACTTCCGTAGCTATTAAGTATTAAAAGTTAATATTAACTCTTTACTCTCGACGAGAGTAATAAAATAAAAGGCTATTAAGTTATTAAAGTCTAATTTTATTAAAGGTCTATCTTTTTAGCCTAATCTTAGATCGTTAATTATTAAGAAGATTATTAAATTACAACTTAATATAGACTCTACCTTTAAAAATTATAGTCGGACGAAGTACTTATCCTGAAGTATTTATATACTTAATTATAATTACTAACTCGCTTTTCTAAGCTATATAAGCGATCGCTAATTATAATATTTACTTTTTATAGTAATCCTTATAGTTAATATTAATCTTATCGCGAACTTGATTTTATTAAAGTTATAAATATCGTCAAGGTTAATCTTAAACTAGATAATAGTTTATTAAATAAGAGTAAACTACTCTACTAATTTCAAAGTCTTTATATTTTATATATTTATAATTATGACACCTTAAGAATCTACTTAATAATTCGGGGTATACTCTTATATACTTTATAACCTAATAGTTACTAACCGAAGGGGCTAAGGTTATTCCGCGTGATTTAAGTAAAAGATTCGCTAATTTTCATACTATAGAAGGCCGAGGGGCTAATTTGTGAGTATCTATAAAGAGCATCTATTTCTAAAGCAAATCTTCTTTAAGATTTATAAGTTTATATAGATTTATATATATATCTTCCCTTAATATAGCTAGAGATATAATTACGTGAAATAGAACGTAGTATATTAAAAGTATAAGTAGCGAGAGAAATAGTAGCTATATCTTATATCTTAAGAGCTTATATTACTAATAAGATGTCATACTCTTTCTCTACTATGATATATTAAGAGGTTTAGGGGCGAATTAGCGGTATAGTAGATAGTTAAATTAATTAAGTACTAATTCATAGAAATATTTTAGGTTATATAGCAACTCGAGGGTTAAATACGTTAGTATTTTATATAATATAAGCTCTACTTATATTAAGGCCCTAAATATTCTTATTCAAAGAATTAAACTAACCCTAATAAATAAAGCAAAGGCTATTTCAGCTAAATCTGAAACTCCGGTCTTTTATTAGGCAAAGCTTTAAAAGCTCCTAGATATGTATATAATAAAACTTAACTCTATTCAAATTATATAATATTAGGGAACCGTTCCTAAATAATATTAAAATATAGGGATTAGTTACGTCTTATTATATAAATACCTAAGAAACTAAATTAAAACCTAGAAAAAACAAAGTTATCCTAATAGGATATAATAGCGCTAGATACTTTAAAGTATAAGACTTTAATAAAAAGAATGTTCTATATATAGTCTAGAGATTAATCTATAAGAATAAATTCTATAAATCAGAAATCTAAAATAATTATAACTATAAAGAATTTAATATTAATAAAAGTATAGATAATAATAAGAAAGCCACCATTCTAAAATAAGAATAGAGCTTTGAATTCTATATAAAGCAAATAAATTCTTATATAATAATCAAGACCTATAATATGAAGTATATCTTAAAGATGTCAAGGAATTAGAAAATGAAAAAACCTATATTGTATAAGATATTCTAACTAATTTACCTTTGTAAAAGAAAGATTAATTAGTGTTTTTAAAAAATTACCTATTCTAAGTAAAATTATAAATAAAAAATCTAAGGTTATTAGTAAGGATAATACCTATTAATATAAAGTGTAACGGCGTGGCTGATCCACGGGTTCAATGTGCGTACTGAGTAGTATATGTATCGGTCCCAGGCATGTCAGCCGACGGCTGACATAGTGGTCTTTTTGGCCTAGTTGGTAGACGTGTGTTGCCTGGGCGCATGCCTTCACATAAAGCTAGATAAGTAATATGATATTTTAATTAAATATTAAGAATTCATTTTTTAAAACCTTTCTCTATTACGTATTAAATAGATTATAATATATATTATCAGTTATAATAGTTAATATAAGGTAAGTAATTATATAGTATAATAAAATCCATTGATTTACACTGAATTAGATATAGAAATATACATTATATTATCTATGAGAATATATAATAATATTAACAAATATTATTATCTAAAAAGGCTATTTATAGTCCAACATAAAGCCTTAGATTATATTATAAATTCTTATCTAAAGTCCTATATAAATTCGGTCTTAGTATACTATTATATATAGAAGATATTTAAGTAAATAAAGAAATACAGTAAATTATAATATGTTATATTAATACTATTTTAGTTGTCTATTCAGATATTATCTATATGAAGGATTCAATGAATAAGTTAAGGACTAATATTAACATAAAAGAGGATAAGCTAGGTCTTAACATTTCTAGGAAATATGACTATAATCTAAATAAATATATATCTATATAATACTTAAAAAAAATACTTAACGAAACTTCTAAACAAGTTTAATAACTATAATAATAATAAATTTAAGCTTTATGAATCTTAAGAGAACCTAGAATTAAATTATAAAAGAATGAAATTGTAGCTTTCTAAAATAGTATAAATAGATTTTAGAAAGAAATTAGCTCCTTATTATACCCTTAATATCCCTAAAATATCAGTAGATAATCTATCTACTAAAAAAGTAAGTAAAACTCTTAGGAAATCTATAAAATAATCAAACATATTAAAATAGCTTACTATTCTATAAGAGAAGCTATTTTAAATAATAAAACGAACTAATTTCAAATTCCTACTTATTATAAACTAATAGACCTTTGAACTAAGAGTCTACCTACTATAACACACACTATGTCTATAGAACTAGAGAATTTTAAAACTAGACATAAATAAAAAATAACTAATCTAAATAATAAAATATCATATAGATCAAAAAGTGTGAGAGCGTGCACCCAGGTCAACACACACTACCAACTAGGCCAAAAAGACCATCATGTCAGCCGTCAAGCTGATATGCCTGGGACCAATACATATACTACTCAGTGCGCACATTGCTAACAGCACCGCGCCGTTACAAAAGGGGATATTATTTGTAATTATATATAGTAATAGATAATAGGATGTATTATTTTATAATATCACTATTTTATAATGATTAACCATTTATTCGCCACTATTCTGGATAGTAAGGATTAATAATAAATAATCATTCGCCGCTATCCTAATTAATAGGGATAGATAGTAGATATTTATATACCGATATATTCTAATATAAAGGAAGGACAAAAAAATTAATAATAATAACAATTCTATTAATGACACCTTTCTATTAGAAAATATATATTATTACTAGAATTATTCTTTAAAAAGATTTCTAATTACCTTCGGTCTTTGTTCTAACTTCATTTATAATCCCTATTCCCTTCCTACTTTTTATTCCTCTTTATAACTCTAATTTTATCCTCATTAGTGACACTAAGTCCAGTCCTTATTATAAACTGGGAACTTCCCCTTTATTTGGTCGGATAGGTGGCTCCTCGATCTGCAGAGTCTCGTCAAAACCAACCAGGCAAAACCCTATTAGGAAAAGGCCAAAGGTTGAAAAGAGTGATTAGCAGTCTTGGTGATCTGTCTTCTATTATAAGGTCCAAGAGATCATTACAAATTATAAGTTCAGATTTATTTCAAACGATGGCAGTAGTCCTTCAAAAGTCTGAGGCATTAGTGATGTGTACTGCAAGGATTTTATTCCAGTCTAGATAGGTAAAACTTGGTATTTTCATATACGAGAAAGGTTACCCATGTGCTTGGAAGTACTCGGAACAGATTTGGCCCAAGCCCTTTGTAAAAGCCGGCCATGCCCTCGCGTGCCCAGATCTGGGAGAAAACATCAACAGCTCCACGGTAGATCACACGAGCCTCATAGGTCTGCAGTCTAGACCTGATCACCTGGTAAGGATACGTCATGCTGCTAGCAAACACCTTGGACAAACTGGAGATAGCAAAAAAGTCGAGGTTTCCTAAGCCTTCAGTGCCAGAATGGCTTTTTGTCTGTGAGACCTCAGTAGTCTTAGACCAGGACCTCAAAAGCTTCAACTGCTCGTACGCCATGAACTGAAGGCCACCGTGACTGACACCAAAAAGTGCGGGCACTAGACCTCGGTAGAAGCCAGGGATTCCTTCTGCATTGTAGATTTGCTTCGCCCCATACGTGAAAGAAGAGTATGCACCAGGAGCACGAGAACCTGTTGACAACATCCGTGTTTTTATCACCCAGATCGGATTGGTGAGTACCGATGTGATCGCACCTATATGCGAGGCGATGAGATTGCTGGTTAGGAAGACATAAGACACAAATGACAAAGCTAGGATGGCATACCTGCACCGCCAGATGCGATAAAATAATCCGACGATGAAAGGATCTGCCCTTTTTTGTCACGGTAAGCTCGAATAGTGTCCTTCAAGCTGCCATAGCACAAAAAGTATAGACCCCAGCTGGTAGAATTCCCGATGACATTAGGGGTGAGTCCTCGATAAAAGGCGACCAGACCACCCTCATGATAAAAAATCTCGCGAATAATTCGAAGAGAACTACCAAGCCGAGAGGACGATGATCGATCAACTAAATAATTTAGCTCCCAGCTTTCAATCTGAGGGGGAACATCGAACTTGCCTTGTAGTCTCGTTTTGACCATGTCAAGAGGATGCAGTGAAAGGGTTGACGCTATTCCTGCTGTGAATCCCGCTAGGGTCTCCACAAAGGATGACGAGAAGCCATGACTAGTCATGAACCCCACGATGAGACAAATACAAAGAAGTTGGTTGAATGAGAGAGGAGTTTGAGAGACGAAAGAAAAAATAATAAAGGCGGAGAAATCGCAGGTGAGAAGCCGAGGGAACCCGAGGACCGCGTTGAAGTCCAAGCTTCAAAGTCATTTGAAAAGATGTTTGAGAAATTCTTCTTTGATGTAAAAAATGAATACTAAAGCATATCAAGAAGAAAGAAAAGAGCAAAAAGAGATTCTAAAAATACAGAAAGTTCAATTCGGAGTGAGATAATCTTAAACCCATCAAGGATTAGGGATAATTCCATTAGATATCCTCGATTCCCCTTTGAAAAAAAAGTGACCCCCACCCCAAAATATCAAATTATCGGATGAATGTGTAACTTAGGCAAGAGGCGAGAACAATCTGAGTATATCAAGTTAGTCAGAGCTGAAATATCTCGGGGCCCTGGGACCATCTGGCGGCTTCAAGAGTTGAGATACCTGAACAAGGTAGGCTTCGGGTCGCTGTAAGTGTAGCCTATATAGATATGTTTGCGTTAGAATATACTTTTGAAGTCAAACAATAGGAATTCTTGTTTTTATCACATACCCAGATAGACAATCAGAGGCAAGTATCCGCTAAATGGTCACTGTCAGTTCGGTTCACGCGAAGATGCTACGAGAGCTTACTAGTGAATCGCAACACGGGAAACATCGATGACCTTGGAGACACGCTCCTAGATAAAAGAACAACACGTTAGTAAGGTAACTTCTCGATCAAAGATTTGTTGAGGTTTGCGAACCTTGGTCTCTTCGGAAAATTGAACCATTGTGAGAGAAAAGCCGGGGATTAAAAATAGACTTGAATGAAACTCGAAGGAAGCCAAGAAGAATCACAAATGTATAAGTAACTCAGAATCGAATTGAAGGGAAAGGTTTGAGAAGATGGAGATGTGGTGGATGTTCGAAGGAGGAGAGGTTGCGGACCAGAAGTTTTCGGAAAGCAAAAGTCACTGATTTCCTCCGAGCTTCATTCTTTCACACTTCTTCCTTCCTTACACCGATCTTCTTCGATATCAGTCCTCGCTCGTATCAATTACTGGGAAGAATCACATTATTGAATTTGCTAAGCTTCTTTTCTCCACTCCATCAATCCCACCGGCGCCATGTCAGGCGCACGGCATTGGTACATGATCAATCTGTCATTTAAGTGGCCGTGATGCTAACTACTCGCAGGGAACAAGACAAAGAGGCCACAGTGTACATTGGAAATCTCGATGAACGCGCCACCGATAGCCTAGTATGGGAACTGATGCTACAGGCCGGGCGCATTGTCAACGTGCACCTGCCCAAAGATCGAGTTACGCAATTGCACCAGGGGTATGGATTTGTCGAATTCATCAGTGAGGAAGATGCTGAATACGCATCCAAAATCATGAATGGAATCCGGGTTTACGGAAAACCTATTCGCGTGAACAAGGCGTCGGCCGATAAACAGAAGACTGTGGAAATTGGCGCAGAGCTCTTCGTTGGTAACCTGGATCCGATGGTCACCGAACAGGTCCTCTATGACACATTCAGTCGCTTCGGAAGTCTCGTAAATTTACCTAAGGTGAGACATTCCTCTTGCTCTAGGCAAAACTTCTCCCCCCAAAACAGAGACCAAATTTTAACATATATCTATCTAACTACAGATCGCCCGTGATGACAACAACCTCTCTAAAGGCTATGGGTTCGTTTCATTTGCAGACTTCGAGTCTTCAGACGCCGCTATTGCCAATATGAACGGCCAGTACTTGATGAACAAACAGGTCTCAGTGCAATATGCATACAAGAAAGATGGCAAAGGCGAGCGACATGGAGATGAAGCGGAGCGAATGCTGTCAGCCCAGGCCCGCAAGCATAATGTTCAGCCACCGACTCAGCAGCCTCCGCCCCAGTTACCCAGGGCGGGCCCGGGCATGGGCGTGTCAGTACCACCGCCTGGCATGTCGAATGGTGATAGCTCTCGACCCTTGAATACTGCACCTCCGCAAACACCCGATTTTGGCATGAACATGCCTTATCAGAACGTTGCTCCTCCTAATCGACCTATTCCACCTCCAGTACCTTCGCTCAATACCCCGCCTCCTGGGCTCCCAGCGCGCCCACCGCCGTCTCAAGCTGGCTACGGTGGCCCACAATCTTTCTTACCGCCGGGTTTCGCACCACCCGCATTCGGACCTCCCACAGGAGCTCCCCAACCGCCCCCGGGTTTCCAACAGCCTGGTTACGGCGGCAATCGGTGATTTTCCAAGGCGAGTTTGGAGAGCTCCTAATCTAGAGCCATCCCCATTATAAAACGGGCGTCATTCACTTCGTACGATTTGACGATTGAAGGACCACAGCGTTTGGTTCATGTCTTGATATGCCCTTCCTGTTTTACTACCTCCAGCATGTTTGCCGGGTGACCATGGGCGTCAAATTGTGCTTCAATGTTAGCTAATGATCGACAGCGCATGGTCATGTAAACTAGATGTCTATTTGATACAGAAACAACAAACAGACTTGGCTTATGTTGAACAAACATTGACTTAATCAATCTCATTTGAGGCAGCAAATGTCCAGATTCTCTGTAGAGACATGATTTGCGACGTGAAAAGTGGTGGCTGGACTGTGTGGTTGTGTGGACAATTGAAGCAGCCTGGAGCGACATGAGATATCAAGAATCAAAAGCGGGCATCCACGAAGACAATCAAGAAAACCATTCAATTCTGCAAGCCAAACGCCTGTTCTTATGATAATCAAGGAAACACGCTAAAGGAATGGAAGACTGTTGATGGCACTACTGAGTCGTCATGAAAACGAGACAAATTTGGGGTCTCTTGGACGGCCATCAGGTCCAATATTGTTTTTTGCGAATCGTTGTTCTGTGTAGATTCGACGTGCCTCATCGAAGTTGACCTTGCGATCTTTCATGATCTTCCTCACTTCATTCTTGGCGTGTTGATCAAGCCCAGCCCTTGTATCACCGTCGGCAACATTGGCGGTGATGTCAAATTGTGAGGAGCTCAGTCCAGCCTCGAGATCAGCTGTGAAACTTGAAGGGAGGCGATGGTAAAGGTAATCGGGTACTTGGACTAAGTGCATCCATCGTGACTTAGTGAGGTAAAGTGCTAATACCTTGTTAGGGCCAACCTTTGCATATTCCGATTTGTCCATGGCAAGATAAGAAAGAAAGACAGCTTACCTGTTCCACCGATGATTACCGTAAACAGAATAAAATAAAAGAAAAAGTAGGTCATGATTATGAGTATGAGAGTTCTGAATAGTATTGAATGTATAGGTCTTGCAATGGAAGAGATATTTTCTTTTCCTTAGAAAATAATCTGTTGAGTCAGGCAGAAAGCCAGCGCCGAAGAAGAAGGCATCTGAAGTAAAAAAAAATGGAAAAGGAGAGTGAGGAAGAGGTTCGACGGAGGCAACGTCAGCATCGCGTTCATTATTGGCAGCCTGGAGGTCGCCGGAAGCTGTTAATTTTAGAGACCTTAGAAAGCAGGCATAAATGAAAGGCGACACGGCAGCAAGGCATCAAGGCATCAAGGCAGGAAGACAGTAAGGCATAAAGGCATCAAATCTATTCCTAAAATGGCCGCATTAGCGAGACCCAATGTCAAAGTCTTGGCATTTCGAGACACACACAATTTGACTGTGAAAGACTTGTATAGCGATTTCGATCCTTTCCACCCCCAACCCAAACCCTTTCATCACAATGTCCTCTAACATCTCCAACGACTTGGTCTGGCAGGTTACCCGTATGTCCGACTCTTTGCAATTCTAATTGCAATATTTTGTGGTGGAAGCTCATAATTCTTCGGAACAGGCAACCAGAACTCTTTCCTGGTTAACCGCAACAGCGGTGGCGGTTCCCAGTTCTCCCGTGACCCCCTCAATGTGCTCAACAAGCACTCCTACAAGGTATGCGCCGATTGGATTGAACGGAGAGTCATGGACTAATGGTATCTCGAAATTAAAAGTATGCTGGCTTCTCCAACAACAAGGTATGTCATAATCTCCGGCGCTTTATTGCGATATATCTTGCTCACGCAAATTCTAGGCCATCGGTGTCCAGGCCACTGAGAACGGTGTCGCTGTGACCACCAAGAACCCCAACACCGTCCAGCAGCCCGCCAAGACCTTCGTCACTGTGAACTACGGTCCCAGCACCTCCACCCGCAAGTAAGTGGACCATTTCACTCCCAGAACCCATAGTCTTTTACCAGTACTGATATCCTATTCCTATAGGATCTACAAGGGTGTTGCCGACAAGACCGCCAAGAACGGTTACCGTGCTGATATCCGCGAGGAGGCCGTCGCTCGCGTCAGCGCTGTTCGCCGCTCCCAGCTCCCCAAGAAGGATGCTCCCGCCAAGAAGCTCCGCGGCTCCAAGGCCCGCAAGGCTGCCGAGGCCTCCGAGTAAATTGGGGTTTTTTATCTCTTGAAATGAAACTGAATTGTGGATGAAGGATCTGGATTGGAGGGAGACTTGATAGGCGTCGAAAATGCCGTGCTGGACTTGGAAATTGTCCATGTAATCTAGCGATCTTGCTCCGGGGCAAAAAAAAGAAATAAAATGTCCCGTCCGACTATCCGAAGCAAGAATACAAAGTTCAAAAAAGAGCGCGGAAAAGGAATCTGCCTTTGAAAGATTGTAGTTTAGTACACAGAGTAGTTATGATGTATTATTCACAACCGACTGGTCGGCCCGAGCCCCAATTGTTATGACTTGAACGGTTTTCGTCCGCCTTTTTCCGAAACAAAACCCGAGATGTCGGGGAAGTGTGGAACAAGCTGAAGCACGAGAATTGCCGGAGAATCTGGAGAAAATACCGTCAATGCATCTCTAGTGGGCGGGAAACTCCTTGCCTGTCCTCTACGTTGGGGGAGTTCTAGTACCTGGTACCTTTTCCGGTGAACGGTTATGGGTCTAAAAGTACCTTTTAATATTTTCATCTTTTTGTACCTTTATATATACTAACAAAGGATTGATGAGATTGATGGATAGGATAGGTAAGTAATTAAAATCAATAAAACATTCCCTTGAATATGATACCATCATTGAATCAAAACAAACAATATGTAACAATACAAGGAGCTTGTACGGAGAGTAGAGAGAATCATATAGTTCACATGTCATAAGCCGATGGGGTGTACTCCGGGGTTGCCCCTCTGCCCCTCTTATAAACCAAACCTCCCCTCCTTCTTCCTCTTCTCCTCAAATCATCTCAATTCTTCTCTACACATCTATCATCATGGTTAAAGCTGGTATGATTTCACCGCGTAGTCATTAATGCTTCATCGCTGATTCGTTCTTAGTTGTTCTCGGAGCTGCTGGTGGCATTGGCCAGGTATGTCATACATTTGTATGCATACTGGGCTTGACTAATTAATTTGTTCAGCCTCTCTCCCTCCTCCTCAAGGCCTCTCCTCTCATTGACGAGCTTGCCCTGTACGATGTTGTCAATACCCCTGGTGTGGCTGCTGATCTCTCTCACATCTCCTCGGTTGCTGTACGTTTTGCCATGGGAAACCGAGGTACCTGTCTTATGTGCCATACTGACCAGATAGAAAATCACTGGCTACCTTCCCAAGGAAGATGGCCTGAAGAATGCCCTGACCGGTGCTAACGTTGTTGTCATCCCCGCCGGTATTCCCCGTGAGTACATATTATTGCATTGGAGCCATATATTCATCATGATGCACTGTGCTGACTCTGAGTTCATGTAGGCAAGCCCGGTATGACTCGTGATGATCTTTTCAAGGTCAACGCTGGAATCGTCAAGACTCTTGTCCAAGGAATCGCCGACTTCGCCCCCAAGGCTTTTGTCCTCGTTATCTCCAACCCCGTTAACTCCACTGTTCCGATCGCCGCCGAGGTTCTCAAGGCTGCCGGTGTCTTCGACGCCCGCCGTTTGTTCGGTGTGACCACCCTCGACGTCGTTCGTGCCGAGACATTTACCCAGGAGTACTCTGGCAAGAAGAACGCTTCCGAGGCCACCGTTCCCGTCATTGGAGGCCACTCTGGCGAGACTATTGTCCCTCTGTTCAGCAAGGTCTCCCCTAGCTTCCAGATTCCCGCTGACCGCTACGAGGACCTTGTCAAGCGTATGTAAATGATTTAGTTCCCTGGGCGGCATTTACTGACAATCCACAGGTGTCCAATTCGGTGGTGACGAGGTCGTCAAGGCTAAGGATGGTGCTGGTTCCGCTACCCTGTCTATGGCCTTTGCCGGTTTCCGGTACGCAATCCTTGACAAAATGGAGATTCCAGGCGACTGACTAGTATTAGATTTGCCGAGGCCGTCATTAAGGCTTCTCAGGGCGAGAAGGGCATTGTTGAGCCTACTTTCGTCCACCTGAACGGTGTCCCTGGCGGTGATGAAATTGCCAAGGCCACTGGTCTTGACTTCTTCTCCACTCCCGTTGAACTCGGCGTAAGTCTTCAATTTTCAAGTGCATACTAGGACAATTAAACTGACGTGCTCAATACAGCGCAACGGTGTCGAGAAGGCCATTAACATCCTTGACGGCGTGACTGAGCGTGAGCAGGAGCTCCTCAAGGCTTGCATTGATGGACTCAAGGGCAATATTGAGAAGGGTGTTGAGTTCACCAAGAACCCGCCAAAGTAAGGATTCCCTATGTCCCTGAATCACTGCAAGCATACTTGTGTATACTGGACGCGTCTTTGTGTCAGTCTCTTCTCATAAACTGATTCCTCCACCACCGCGACCGTGATGACACCATGGATTAGCAGAGCGTTGCTAACCAATGTTGTCGTGGAAAGATAGGCCCCAATTGTGAGATCATGAGATTATGAACAATGAGCAAACACGGTAGTGGTCTTTGACCCGGCAGGTTAGACATATGTAGCAACAAACCTGCAATTGAAAGAAATACAAATTACCCTTTTTGTATCTCCTTAGGATTATGTATCATGTAGATGGGTGACTTGATATGGCCTTTTCACATCAAAAATTCGCTTCAAGGACGAACTGCCACAGCCGGAAGTTTAGGCCAAGGACTAGCCCAGGCTCAATTGCGGCCATCATCTCAAGGCCGGGGCTGGAGCGTCTTGATTTGGAAAGTTACACCTGGTAAATCCGATGTCTCGGCCTGCACAGTTGTATGGATACCCAGATTTGCTAAAGCGCCGCGAATGATACCACAGGGGAACCAAAGGTACTGAATTAATCAGTCAGCCAATATTCGGGGAAGTTGCGAATGCTTGCTTACCGCCTGCGCCATGGATATAGCTTCACTCCGCACTGCCATGCTCATCCTCCCAAATGGCCGAAATGCACTATCGGTCAAAACATAGACTCCCTGTTTGTCCCTTGTTAGCTTCACGAGCACCATAAAGCAAGCAATAATATCCTGTGGCCTGCAATTGCACTTGTTGAATCGACGTACCCGATGGTTCGTTTTCAAATTATCAATCTGTTTCTTGAATAGGACTGTCCACAGATCCTTGCAGAGAAATTTAATCACATCAAGATTATCAGTGAAGCGTGGCCGGTCTTTAGCAAATCTGTAGAAATTGAAGGTCATTAGCGTGCTGCGCGGTGACAGTTACGACAAAACGGAGCCAGCAAGGAGGTTCAGGCTTACCGTTCCGCAAGACCTTGTCCAACACGATAACCTAAAGATTCTAGACGAAAGAATGTGGCCTCTCGGACCTCTTCATCTTCCATGTCCTTTCCCTCGGTCGCAAGTTCCTTGGCCATGCGCTCAGCCATGGGTACTAGTTCTATGAGGAGGAAGTCGAAGCACGAGGAACTGAAGACGCGGGCATTTGGATCGGTATTTAACGGGGAGGTTGAATCGAAGGACATTGTGAACTATTCAAATGAAAAGACCAAGATGCAGGAGTTCAGTATAATGTTGAAGGTGGGAGAAAAAGATGAAGAGTGGAGGACAAGTTTGAGGGGGGGAGAGTTGTCTAAGCTCAACCCGAATCCACCTTTGATCTATAGTTATACATACATACATACCTAGGTAGGTATCGTTATATATAACTATGCATATATGTGCACGCCATTCCATGTGTTCTGAATGAGTACATTATGCCTTATACAAAAGAAACAAAGCTGTTGGGATTTAATCCAGCCTGCTTCAAGGCTTAAGAGCACACATGTAGGTAGCACGAAGACTCAAAAGGCTTACAAAATCAAATATAGACAACAACCCCGTTTCATATTAATATTTGAAATAAAATGAAACCACTGAAATAGGTATATGATCACCCTTGGCTAATTCAAATTTAGAAAAACACAATCCTCCCCTAGGTACATGATATCTCGAATCCACCGGTCACTCCAGAAACTCCATTGGAAATATGCGCTCGTAAAAAGAGCCTGTGAACTGTCATAGGCTTGAGTTGAAAAAGTAAGTCTAATTTGAAGGAGGGTATGAATCGCCGATCAGGGGGCTGCTGGCAAGTGGGTTATGATAGTCCTGTCGGGGAACAGATCGAGAGGGTAAGTTTGGAGCGAAACGTTTGGCAGGTGGAGCAGGAGATTCATCTTCGTCGCCACTTTCGGTGAGATCGATGACCTGAGACACAGGTCGCTTCTTGCTCGACATACGCATGACGGATGAGGGGGTTGAAGCTTCTCGTGATTGGGATTGAGCGGGTGTCCGCTCCAAAGCAATACTTGGGAGTCCAGGTTCCTGTTTTACAGAAGGAAGCCCTGGCTCAGTGATTTCGATCAGGTCGTCATCGTCATCGTCTGACGATGGGGTCATTCCACCCAACTTTGTCAAGTCAGAGTCGGTGGGGTTTGACCATACACCATCTGGTTCAACAGTGACTTGGTCAATGCTTGATGAAGTAGACTGGAGAATATCATCGACGTATCTATCGAATAAGTTAGAGATGAGGTAACACATATTATTGGTAGATGGACGAACTGGTCAACCTGCAAAGACTCAAAGCTAGTCGATTTTGAGCAAACTGGACATGTCCAAGTCGGGGCTTGCTTTTGCAGCTCGAGAAACGAAGATGCATCGAAGCACTGGTTGTGCGTGCAAACGATGGAGCGACAAGGCACCTGAATCCGAAGTGTAGATAGAGGGCACTTGAGTGACATGACACTCGAGGTAGCAACGATGTCCTGATCACTGGCACGGTTTTTCACTGTGGTCTTGATTAGATTTATACCCAACAAAAAGAGATAAAGAGCCTCTTACTTTCGCGGATGACTTGTTCCTTCGAGATAATTCTCCTTGTCTTTAACTGCGATACGAGATCCTCAATCGGATTCTGCTGAACAAGGTTGGCAAGGGCGAAGAATTTCTGTACAAATTAGCCACTTGGTCTGACAGATGCTCTAGAGATTTAGCAATACTCACTTTTTGTGTTAAGGCATACGTCATGACGATATTGTTTGGGTAATGGGCTTTCTTGCGGATATAATTGGTGACATCTGCAGGCTGCGTGGTACCTGGTCTGTTTTTCAAGCCCCTCAAGTTGGCTTTGACTTCATCAAGGTTCACCTTGAGCTCGACTTGATGTGGGAAGGCGATGTCCGATTTGGTAAATTGTGTCAGACCCGAGTCTCCCGCGCAATAAACCATCACTCGACTGTTGGGGTCCGTCTGCAGCCTGTAAGCCACTGCTTGGGACAACATAACCTTTAGTTCGACACTATCTCTTGTTTGTTCACGAACTGGATAATATTAGGACCAGAAAGTACCACAAGTGATATAACTCATACACATACTTTTGCATTCCACAACTGGAGTCAGAGAATCCACAATGGTATAGAATGGGCTCTCTTTGAAGGTCAAAGGTCCTGGGGACTTTGCAGCTGGGGCTTTCATAACAGGAGCACTCGGCCCAGGAGTGTATGGGTGAGGTGACATGGGGATCCCAAGGGGTGCAGATCTAGTCTGTGCAGGAGACTGAGAGACAGGTGGAGGCTGGTACTGGGGTCCAGGATGCGGTGCGTATGGAGCGGAATTGGGGAAAGCAGTAGCACGGATGCGCGTGGCTAGGGCATCATAACTGACAGTGTCTGATTCTGCGAGATTTTGGAGTCCTAGTTATAAGAGTCAGCATGAACAATTCCCTGATGCTTCATTGTGAAAACAAAGGTTGGTGAATGAAAGCAATATAGAGAAGGAGTGAATTGCAACCGTGGGGGGTCTTTGGGAGGGTGAAACCAACGATGAATAATACGGAACTGCAGGGCAGCCTTCACCCCAGACACCTGGAGGCCCTCATACCTTAACAAATCCTTCAGTTGTGGATTTGTCAGGGTTTTGATGAACGCTGTCAGTGTCGGAACATCTGAGTGTTGGCTCGCCATGATTCTAATAAAGAAGTAAGAAAAAGTCAAGGACTTCTACTCCTTAAAGGGCAAGAGTCCAATTCAACCAGGCCAATTAAAGATCTGCATCGATACATTGGCCCTGAGATAGAGAAATTGTCGCAAAATCGCATGAAAGCGAGTTTAGAGATGAAGTGCCCGCGGGCGGCCTCCGGATGACATAAGACGAGTCCCTATCGCGATTTGGAAAAAAAAAAGTTATCGACTTCGATTCCGACTTTCTTTTCTTCTAAATTTTTTTTATATCTCACTCGACTAATCTCATTTCTTTTCCATTTGTCGCCTTATACAAATTATCACATACATCTTACACAATGGCCAAAAGTATCCGAGCCAGCGTTTCCAAGCGTAACAGAGCCACTCTGCGCAAGAACTTCTTTGGCCCAATCGTCGATGCCAGAACCGAGAGACTCCATGCCAAACTCCAAGAACTTGCGGATAAGCCCAAGCCCGAGGCTCCTGCCAAATCCAAGAGGGAATTAGCCGAGCAAGAGGCCGGTATGTGTATTACCCACCTTCTCATAATTTGAGAACATAGGCTCACCGCATGTTACTAACACAGATGAAGCAGCCAAGGCTCAACTCGACAGCGAGCAAGGTCAGTTTACAGCTACATAATCTTTGATCTAAATTTTTGCGCCAAAGACGCTAATATATCTCCAACAGAAATGGATGTCGATGCCAAACCCACCAAGAGCATGAAGAAGCCCGCACGTGTGCAAAAGCGTAACCAGAAGCCTCGCAACTCCATCGTTTTCAAGAAACGTGTATCATCCGGCAAAGGAACATCCTACAGAGGATCCAGCAAGAAATGAGAGGTGTTTGCCGAGGGGCATTGGATTGACGTGCGGTAAAGAAAAAAAGGCGTTTGGGAGTCCACTTACGAATTACACCTCTGCGATCCACGTACATATGTTTCATAGTCTGTGCCTGATATACCATTGAGAATTTATCTGGATTCAAAGAAGAAGAAAAATTGCTTGGGAATTTAAGGGTTAGGTTCCATAACGATTGAACCAACTAATATCGATCTCAAGCTATGACATTTATAGAATTGAAAGGGCCAGCATTTGAAAGTTGTTATGCATATACATATATGTCTACATATGTCTATGATTGTATAATTGACATATTTCGACATCGAGATCGAGATACAGGTCAAAGTTCGATAGATCTACAATGTACATACTCGAGAAGGCGGTGTGAATATATGCGCGTCGATCGTAAACATGATTCTGCCCCCCTTTGGTTCCGACAATTCAGGAAACAATTCAGACTTCATGATTTGATTTGAAGAATTAACATTGTTGTTGGTTGAAAGAGCAGGGCAATCCAGCACAATGGCGGGCTTTCGCGGCTGGGCGACTATAGTCGCCAATCTACTGATGTTCGTGGGCATACTTACCTTCTCATCAGGCTTCTTCCCATATAAACCATTGATTCCTGGACTGGCAACATTTGAGACTGAGAATGATCCGGCGCCTGCGGTCTTTGACAAGGTTATATTTATGGTAGTGGACGCATTGCGGAGGTATATCTCGAAAACTCATTCGGAGATATACTATAAACTAATCAGGGGATTAGTGACTTCGTATATTCCAATGACTCAGGATTTCAGTTTACGCAAAGGTTAGTTGTGACTGACAACAGCTACGTTGGAATTGTGAACACCCAATTGACTCAATATTAGCTTGATACGATCTGGCGCTGCGTTACCATTCACTGCCTATGCGGGCTCTCCAACCGTTACAATGCCTCGATTGAAAGCTATCACCACCGGCTCCGTCCCGTCTTTCTTGGATGTTATTTTGAATATTGCCGAATCGGATACTTCATCCACATTGGCACACCAAGACACATGGTTGGCACAATTAAAAGCAACGGGAGGACGGCTTGTGATGTATGGGGATGATACCTGGCTGAAGCTGTTCCCGGGAATGTTTGACCGAGCTGATGGAACTACCAGCTTCTTCGTATCGGTCAGTTGTACTTTAGATGTTTCTGTATACACCTTAGCATTGAAAACTGAGTTTCTTCCTACAGGACTTCACGGAAGTAGATCATAATGTGACTCGACACCTTTCCAACGAGCTCGGCCAAGATGACTGGTCTGGCTTTTTTATGCATTACCTGGGCCTAGATCATATTGGACACAAAGCTGGTCCGAAAAGGTACCTAGAAGACCCAAGAATCTCGGTTCTGACCTATGTCTAACTCTCGAACAGTCCCTTTATGGTGCCGAAACAGCGTGAGATGGATGAAGTGGTCAATAAGATCTACACAGCAATGCAACAACAACAACATCTCCAGTCCGCCCTTTTTGTCTTGTGTGGAGACCACGGCATGAACGAGGCCGGAAATCACGGCGGGTCCTCTGCTGGCGAGACATCACCCGCTTTGATTTTCATGTCGCCCAAGTTTGAAAGATTGGGTGGCAGAGAAAGCCCCGTTGAACCATCAGGCGATATGAGATACTATCAGACGGTTGAGCAAGCAGACATTGCCCCGACTTTAGCGGGACTGCTCGGTATCCCGATTTCCCTGAATAGCCTGGGTGTGTTCATCCCAGACTTCTTGGAGATGTGGGATCAAAGTATGTGTTGCTTGCTGGATTATGGCCCGTACCCAAACTGACTTGAAAATAGGTGCTCACAAAATCCGAATTCTATCTCAAAACGCAAAACAATTATTGAACACGTTGACGACAACTTTCCCCGGCTCTACGTTCAGATCTGACGATATCGTATCCTGTGAATCTGGAGATTTGAGGGGAATTGAAGGTGCCCAATGTGCATGGGCTCTAGCCCAGCAACTTCTGTCTGATGGAGCCGCAAATGACGATTCTTACTCCACAGTCGGACCGGCTTTGTTACAGTTCTCAAAGATTGCACAGGAAGTCATGAGCCGGACTGCTAGCAATTATGATATCTGTAGGCTTAGCCTGGGTCTGTTGATCACAATTCTGGCAGGCTTACTTGTACTTCCTGCCACACTGAGGGAGTGTACACGACGAAGATCCTCCGGAATATTTTTGACGCTCATGGTTATAACCTATGGGCTGATGATGTTTGCAAGCAGTTATGTGGAAGAGGAGCAGCAGTTTTGGTATTGGGTTTGTTCTGGATGGATATTCTATCTGCACATCAAATCGGAATATTCCAAACAAGAACATACACAATCCGGTTCATTCCTTTGGTCTGGAAGATGTGCTATCTTTGTCCTCGCAACCTCTCAGCGATTGTTGCGACGATGGAACCAAACAGGACAAAAGTTCGCTGCCGAGCCTGATATTGCTCATACCTTCTTTGGGCGTCATCCAGAGATCTTCTGGGGTCTCCTCGTTCTCACATACTTGGATGCCGGTTTTGGTCTTGTTCGGAGAGTACAAGTCTCTGGAATCTTGAAACTCAGTGCTTTCGTCCCTGCCTTGTTGGCGTTTACGTTCAAATTGCATTTTGTGGCATCGGAATCCCCCGAACTTTTGGATGGAACATTTATCTCCAAGATATTGAAGGAATGGCCCTACAGTCTGTCATTGGTCGTCCATGCCAGGCTTGTGTTTTATGGGCTTGCTGTCATTGTCCTGCTAGCAGTCTCTGCCAGAAAATGCTCAAGTGTTGTCAAAGGTAGGCCACTAATTTTCAATCACCTAAACTGGAGAGACACGACTGACCAAATTCATAGCACTCCACGACACTATCCAAGAAGCCTTACACATCTTCTTAATGACACAATCCCGATCTACCAACGTCCCATTGTTCCTCCTTTTCCGAGTCCAATCCAGAATTTTCTCTTCCTTGAACCTCACGGGGATCGAAGTCACGATCACCACATTAATTTTTCAGTATATGACCTTCTTTGCATTCGGCGGCTCAAACGCAATCTCCTCGGTGGACCTCGCAAGTGCATATAACGGTGTTGGCAGCTACAGTGTAGTGCTTGTGGGCGTTTTGACCTTTGTGAGCAACTGGGCCGGACCTATCTGGTGGGCTTTACAGAGTCATCGTCTCCGGCCAAAGACTACCGAACATGATGCCGCATCGCTGCTGACCTTCCATGTCGCCATGTCCTTGGTGTCTGTCATGGCCGCCTGCACTTTGCTCCGGACTCATCTTTTCATCTGGACCGTGTTTTCTCCTAAATATCTCTACAGTATGGTGTGGGCCATCGCCAATCACATGGGTGTCAATTTGTTAGGCGAGATCATTTTTTCTCGATCTCGATAGTGTCATGATTCATCATCTTAATATTAGCTTCGTTTTAACTCCAATTAAATACATTGCATCCCATGACATTCATTGATCGAACATGAACCGTACCAAGGGGGGGTATAAAGCCATTCAAAATAAACCGCTGAACAAATCATCAATAGCGTTCTTCTTTTTCTTCGTTTTCTTCACACTCTTCGAAGAACTGCGGTCTTTCTCCGGCTTCTCCTTGGAAGCGGATTTCTTGTCAACAGGTCGAGAAGCATGAACTGGACGAGTCATCAGAGCATCATCTTCACGACAAACTCGTTCCCCAAGATCCTCTGTCATAGTAACAGGACTTGCTTTCTTAGTAGTCTTGCCAGGTGCAACTTGCATCTTCATCTCACGACTGATTCCAGTAACTTTAGACAATCGCGCCAACGCAGCCATCAGGACAATGCCAAGCGTAGAAAATTGATTATCAGCAACAACAGTTGAAAAGGCCCTATGCATGATGTTAGCATAATTGAATGGGAGGTGTTCAGGGAAATGCAATCGTACATATAGCACCTCGGAATGATGTGAGCCGCTAGGTGCTGTTTCTGGGATTCCACACTGGTCGCATCGGCATCCAGGGACCGGGCCAGGTCTGCGGTAGCTCGTTTCAACATGGATAACCACTTCCACCATGTTGTCCTGTGATGTTGGTTCTTGTTTCGATGAAATATGAGGTGGAGCATGGAATGCACAGCCAATATTTCTTTGGAGTCCATTGTATGCGTTATGTATACAACATGTTGTAGTGGTGCAGTGAAAAAAAGGTGAGAAAAGGAAGAAGTTGATAAAGTGGGGACTGCTCTTCTACCTTCTTTTCTACTCTTTGCTCTTTTCTCCCTCCTCTCTACTCTCTACTCTACATTTCTTTCCAAAAACAATCACACCCCCAATGTTTTTTGTATTTTCCTATTTTCTAAATAAAACAAAAAAAGCAAATGGATAACAAATAATGGAAAAAAGAGCACCCAAATTTGTTGAAGGGCATGCTCAGAAATGTTGTTGACCTCATACGGTAAGTGATTTGGACATCGTTGTCCGAGTAGGGAAGATCGTTGTTAGTTCTTCGCTCGAACAGATGTTGGAAATCGGTTGTTGAAACCAATAATCAGGCCGAAAAGAAGAATCAAAATCAAGGGGAGACAAGAAAATCTCTAGAACCCATTGAGGTGATTGTACATTTTTTGCAGGCAAGTAAAACCCTGAGATCTCACAAGGCAATTCTTGTCAAGTCCTTTTTTTTCTTCGAGATTTTGTCTTTTTTTTTTTTTTGTTGTTGTTGTTGTAAATTGTTGGAAGGTCGATGAGATGCGCAAGACTTCGACATTGGTTCAATGCTACCCATAGGAAGTTTGGGGCCTGATGATGATGATAATGATAAAAAACCAGCAAGAGATGTCATGGAGCTCAGTGAGAAACAGATCTGATATCAATGGGCAAGCCAGAGACATTCTTGAGTTGTCTCCTAGTTGCGCTCATTGCGGTTCCGCTCGCTCTGGGAGAAACGGCGAGCAACCTCGAGCTGCATGGGCGAAGAGGGGTCTCCAGGAGGGGAGTTTAGGGATCGTGCATTCGAATGACGGGGAGTCCGAGTAGAAGCCCGGCCTGACTGACCAATGTTCGATGTAGAAATTGTTCGAGAACGATTGCGAACCGCTTGGGGTGAGTTTCCACTGCGTGTGCGAGGCGCGAAAAGACCTGTGGAAGAGTTAGTTCAACCTCACAGCCAAAAGATGCTATGGAATGCGAGGACATACCTTGCTGGTTGGTGCTGGCCACAGAGCGACGAAGCTTGCTAGCGTCGTTGGGTCCTGGGAACGGAGCTTCCAATCCGATACGGGGACCTTCGGTGTGGTACAACTGTAAATCGTCAATATCGGTAATAATAAAAGAACCCAAAAGGGAATGTTAGGCTTACATGGGGACGTTCATCATGAGGGCGGGTCATCACATTGCTGTTCCGGAACTTGTTGATCAAGACGTCCCTTCCCTGTTGAGCTGTGTGGGAAATTGTTAGCCATCATACTTGTCAACAACGAAGTCATTGATGGGATACGAACTGGCGTAAGAAATTTCAGCCCGCTTCTCCGAAATGCAATTCGGCCTGTATATTTGAGTTAGCAATTATGCACTTTCAATGATGTTGGACAATATTGAGGATCAAGCATACCAAGTCAGTCCCTGACGAGCCATCACCAACTAGATAAAATGGTAAGCAAATATCACACAGTATCTTCGAATATGTAGTACTTACGTCGACGATACTAATGGGCTATAAAAGGTTAGCATGGGATCAATTGCATTGATATATATACATCAAAAAAACACGAGAATACACACATCGTGGAAGTTAACAAAAGCATAGCCGACGCTGGAAAGAAAAGAAGGTGAGTGACTTTGTAAAAATAGTCAGCGTATCAAAACTTACTTGCAACGGTGAACAAAGTCTAGGGGTCATTCGAGTTAGTTTCCGATCAAGTCAAAATAAATAACGACTTACCCATTCGCAGATAAATGAAATCATATTTGCCAAAGCTAGATTCGTCTAGAATATCTTTCAACTGGTCCTGTTGGATGAAAAAATGATATGAGATTAGTTATATGTGAAGAAAAAAGAAGGGAAGGAAAGAAGAAGAGAAACGGAACCGATGTAATCTTGTTTGGAATGTTGCGAATCATGATCTGTATAAAAAGAAAAGAAAAGATGAGAAACTGGTTGGTTAAAATTGAAAGCAAAAGAACAGAAACACATACAGTGGTCCGAAGATCTTCTCCACATTGAATCTTGCCGATATCAATGGTATGTTCAGCACTAGTCTGATCATCGATGATGGGAGATGGAAGTTCCCCAAGACTAGGTGAAGTTGGAGAAGCTTGGTAAGGAGTAACTGGACTAACAGGGGAACTCATGTTTGGAGTTCGAGTTCGGTAACGCGAGCCAGCATCATCCTGGTTGCGAACGGTAACATCAAATCGCATAAACTAGAATAAAGATCAGTATTGAGACTCCCAAAAATCACAAGAAGCATACGAACATCAAGAAGAAGATTATCAAGACTAGACAATGCATGAGCGGCATTATGAATATTGAAATATTCAACCCGGTATTCCAGCACACTTGCACCATCCACACTGATTCGATAACAGCTCCGACGGTGACCGAAAGTCGAGATGACATGATCGACGAACTGATCAGTATTCTCGAAAAATTGGCGGTCTTGCTGGCGTGGGTCAATGTACACCGAGACCACAATGTGACCATCTTCTCGATTCAGAGTAGTTGCAAACGGAGAAAGAAGACCAGCGGCGGCAATTTCATGAATAGTTGCATATCTGACATGCCACATGGAACAGTCCTTGTGTACTTTCTTGATGGCATCCATGCAGTCACGAATATCAGCAAATGTGACAGAAAATCGACCGTTCTCATGGACGTGCTTAAGGAAAATACCCTCAAGAGAAGTAAATTCGGCAATCTGTATAAGTTTAGCATTCATCCCATGTTTGAATAAGCGATGCAACTCACAGGGAATAGGTGAACAATTGAAGCATGCTCCGTCTCCCGAGGAACTCCCTCCACAATGAGACTGCGACGAGGCTGCATCCCAAGAGAGGCGCGATTTGGGGTACCTGGCAAGGGTAGCTGGCTGGCCTCAGGCGCTTGGGCTAATCCAGACGAGGGAGCCTGCACCGAAGAAGTATGGACATCGGGACCAATGCTGTATCCATGGGAAGGGGTATTAGCAGCTTGGCGGCCTTCCAGTTCAGCAACCATCTGGTTCAGGAAGCTCTGCTCGGGGCTGTATGGAATAGTACCTCCCTCCCGCGAGGGCGAGTAACGAGCATGAGAATCAATCGAGAGATTGCCAGAGCCAGAGCCAATGAGATCGGGCGACAAGGGATACTGAGACTGCGAGAGGGCAGCCTGAGCACGGGTAGGCGAGTACTGATACTGATCCAATGAAGGTCCAGTCTGAGAGCCAGACAATGGGTACTGCAAGCGACCAGGAGCATTGGAAGGAGTAAGCCGGGGTGAAATGGTTGGATATCCATGATGATCAAGGGATCCCTGATGCTGGGCACCGGAAACTCGATCGGGAGAAGCAAGAATATTCGAAGCGGCTTGAATCAATCCTGGAGTAATGCCAGCAGGGGTGGCCTGCGAGGCAAAGTAATCACTAACACCGGTACTTGGAACGCCACCAACTGAACCGGGCCAACCGGCGAACGGGTCACTGAATAATAGTGTTAATTGTCTGAAATTTGATGTATAAAATTGAAATATTTGGGACCTTACTTGGTTGGGCGCAAAGAGGCAGTGCCAGAGAAGGAGACAGAATTTCCACGACGGTTCATGGCATCCAGCCCTGTGGGGGTGAACGCCGCAAGTTGTTTCGAAGGCGAACCCCGAGTAGAAGGCGGTTCGTTCATGTTGGGACCTATGTATGTTTTTACTGTCAGTCCTCAAGCTTTCAACACGTGGTTGCGTTCCCATGTTGTATGCGAGACTCCTCAAAAAAAAAATAATCAGCTTAACGCACTATACATACCTGGCAAGTAGAAGGCTCAAAAGATATCGGAGAAATATGCTGAGGGTCGGAAAAGACGCGCAAAACTCAGGAGATGTTGATAGAGAAGTGATTGGTATGAGAGAAAGAGGGATGGAAGAGAAAAGAGGAAAACAAAGGTCAAGTCCGCGTACCTGAGTATTTATGGTGTTGCGGCGACTCATACTTCGAGTCTAAGAAGCCAACCAATCAGGTTGCAGATCTCATGCGACTCATCTTTCACCGACATCTCTAACTCCCAAACTGTTTATAGTGAGGTTAGGAATTCAGCAATCTATTTCTAGCTTTGATGTTAGCCAGAATATACCGTGAGTTAGATCATGCTATGTACTTGCCCTTTGATATTCTGAACATGGTTGAACATGTGTGTAGCTAACTAAAGAATCTCAAACACTTTCACGCATAGTGTAGATCCAAACATAACTACATGCATGTATATATTGTATATAGTTAGGGCTTTTATAGATCCAAATTGATAGTTGAGCTAAAGGTTTACGCTAATATATACGCTAGTATGAAATGGGACTAGCCTTAATATGCTTATGATCCAATAATTGTCCACCGCCCACTACCCACCGCCCTGACCGTGAACACCTGTGATCTGCCTGATAAGTCTACAAGCTGTTACCAAATCTTTTGCTCACTGTTTGGTTATTGAATGGTCTTACACCCTTACAAGGGGCTATGAAGCTGAGCCATAATGCCCCCCATGGCTCCAGCGCTCAATGAGCCACATGTCTTGAACCAAGTAAGATCAACACAAGTTGATAGGGTAGTACATATACTAATCCCAACGTGTCCCTAGATAATCATCTCACCTTCTGATACAGACTACCTGGACCAACTCATTCCGTCAATCCGAGATTATAGTGTCGGAAATCGTACCCCTCAGCTCCTACAGTCATTATCGCGATTCGCGGGAGATAAGGAATCCGAGATTGAAAGCATTTGCAACACAAACCATCAGGAATTCGTTTCATCTGTCAACTCATTGCTTCGGATCCGAGAGGGGACAGTGAGTTTGACTGCGGAGATCCTGGACCTCAACCAATCCATCCAAACCAGTACCGAGCGCCTGGCCGAGCAGAAGAAAGCACTAGTGGAGTCGCGCAGCCACCGACAGAACATCGATGAGACCTTTCGTGCCATCCAGGACTGTCTGGAGGTCCTGCGACTGGCAAATCAAGTCCATGATCTTCTCGCAAAGAAGAACCACTACGCGGCACTGCGCGCGTTGGAAGAGCTACAGAATGTCCACCTGAAGGGGGTGACCCAGTACAAGATTGCCGTCATGATTCAGCGCTCAGTACCAGCAACACAAAGGGCTATTGCGGAAGCCGTGATGTCGGACCTTAATACCTGGCTCTACCGAATTCGAGAAATGTCTCAATACCTCGGGGAGATTGCGCTCTTCCACACAGACCAGCGGAAAACAAGGCAGAAGCAAAGAGCGGAGAATGCTCCTTATCTCGAGCATTTTAATTTAAACTCTGCCATTGAGTTGGTGTCTGATGAAGACGAGGAGTATGATCTCCTTCACAATGAGGATCTCCAGGTTGATTTCACTCCCTTGTTTGAATGCTTGCACATCCACCAATCTTTAGGACACATGGATAAATTCCGAGTCGAGTACGCGACCACCCGTCGACGACAAAAAGAGCTTCTGCTTCCGTCTTCTATCACTTTGATTGATGAAGATGGTTCGAGCCTGCACAACCTCCTGGAAGAGATGGCTGGCTTTGCTATTGTCGAACGGGCCACAGTGAAAAGAGCCCCTGATCTTCGGTCATCTGTTGATGTAAGAATTCCACTCTTCCCTTCGTACTTCGGTATCTTCCGATCCGGGATTTGCTTCCAATGGTCTGACCAGTATATTGAAATAGATTGACGAGCTATGGGATTCGATGTGCCAAGGGGCTGTACTACTTATATCAAAGGCACTCCACGAAGTCGACAACGCTGAAAGTATTCTCAACATCAAAAACCTGATTGCCCTATTCATGCAGACGATGGATGTAGGTGGATCTATATGCATGACTGTGCCCAGATCGCTGATATACAATAATAGTCATGGAGCTTCCCGGTGGGGGTCTTTGACGATTTCCTTTTAAAGCTGTTTGAGAAATATGCAGAGCTTCTCAAAAAACGGTTCAGTGACGATTTCCAAGAGGTGAGTCGAATTACTCCGGTTGATATGTTTGATATGCTGACCTATCCAGATTGTATCAACAGATGATTACATGCCAATGCCCATACAGACTCAAGAGGAGCATGATAAGGTGCTCAATGTGAGCTGGTATAGCCCCGAAAAACCTCGCGAAGAGCAAGTGTAAGTCTCAAGCCAGACTGCTTCACCACCATTCGAACCTGACCGATGGCCATTAGGTTCCCATGCATCTTACCATTCTCTCGAATGTATCCGCTGTGCTGCATCGATATTCGAAATTTTTTGAATCAGTTCTATTTCTTCGCAACTGATGGTTTTACAAACACTAATATCATCGATGAGACACTGAAAAATGTAAGTCAAAATCCGGCAAATTCAATCATCTAGAATGCAAATCACTGATTACACAGGATTTGGATGATCTTCTCTCACAAAAAGTCTGTGACACCTTGGTGGAACGTCTTTCATCGCAATATCTGGGGCAAATTGTTCAGATTCTCATCAATCTGGAACACTTCGAGCTGGCTTGCCACGAGCTGGAACTTCTGCTGGCAGCGGCTCGGTCACAAAACTCCACCGGCAGCTCAATTGCGCTGAGGGCCACTGAGAAATTCAGAAGCAATAAGAAGGCAGCCGAAAAGCGTATCTTCGAGGTTGTCAATTCAAAGATTGATGATCTCATTGAAACAGCAGAGTACGAGTGGATGTCTCCCACCCCCCCCACAGAGCCCAGCAATTATATGCAAACCTTGACTCGGTTCTTGTCTAATATCATGAACTCCACACTACTGGGATTGCCAACGGAAATCAAAGAGCTCATCTACTTTGACGCCCTCAGCCATGCTGCCAACATGATTTTGGTGAGTTTCCCACAGCATCCTAAGTTCCTGATCCAAACCCATACTAACTGGCCATCCAGGCACAACCGCTATCCCCAGACGTGAAGAAGATCAACCCCAACGGGGTAACAGCATTGGCGAAGGATGTTGAGTATCTGGCACAATTTGTGGACAGTTTGAATGTACCCATCCTCCGCGAGAACCTCGACGAGTTGCAGCAAACGGTGCAATTGATGCAAGCCGACAACGCAGATGAATTTTATGATATCTCCACCAGAAACAAGAAATACGGACGCGTCGATGCCATGCAAGGACCTGTCTTGCTTGAAAAGTATGTGTCCAATCCACACACCCTTGATATCCACGGATTACATACTGACCGATGACCATTAGGCTCACACGCACTGTCCAAGCCCCTACAAAGACGGACAAATTTGCACAGCTCTCCTCACGTTTCAAGAAAACTGGATAAATCTATGAATATGCCATGTTACAGATACAATGTTTAACTACAACAAAGTACCTCCTGAATTGCACCGGGAGCATAAGTACAGAAATACCACTAGATAATGCCATATCCAGAACCTCAAAAAACGTGTGAAAACGTGAATCCCTACGTATAACCTCGCTGAACAACTCATTTGAGATTGGTATCAGCAATCGTTCTTGCCTTGCGTGAGAAAAGAGAAATAAAATAAGAAAACAACAAGAATAGAGACCATAATTCGCCAGGGAACGCGCATGAATTATTAAAAAGAAAACACGTGCTGATGACATGCTCACTGTATGACTGGTTAGCTTATATTTTGGATTCAAGCGAATTGACACTTTACATACCTGTTGTGGAGGAAGATGGGGGTAGGCATACATCCCCTCAAACATTTGAGCCTGAGGCTGGCCATATGCCGCAGTTGGGTCTGATTGAACGGCACCGGGATACATAGCAGGCTGCTGGCGGTACTCCTGCTCTTGAGGCATACCATGCTGGCCCATGGCACCGTAGTCCGCAGGGCCCATGTGCTGGTGCGGTTGCACACCATGAGGAGCAGTTTGCATCTGACCCGAGGCAGCGGAAGGACCTGGGGCTGTAGCACCAGCCTGACTGGAGCGCTTAGCGTGGGAGGTTGCCTCTTCACGAGGAACGATGTCAATCAAGAAGTCGAACATGTCCGACTTGGATAGGGCGGCAGCAATGTCTGAGCGCTGCAGAGTACGGCGCTTGTTGTCTTCTGCGTGGATCCAGGCACGCATGGTCAGCTCGGTGATGAAGATATCGCAACCCTTTGCGAATAGGATGGGTGCCTCGGCGGAGATCATTTTAACCTCGGGATCGGCCTTCATCACCTTCTTGATGCGGGCCAATGGCAGCTGGTGGATCTTGTAATCGTGGTTGTCGTTCTCCAGGTGGCTGATCACATGTTGCCAGTAGGTTGTCAGGATATCACGGGCGGTTCCTTGAAGGCCTTGGTTTACCTGGTTGAGGTGAGTATGAGGTGAGGTGGTGCGACTTGAACCGGATCGCGAACTTACATTGGCCCAGGTACCGGTATACAGCTCAGGAACTGGCGCATAACCCTGCGCCGAGAGCTGTTATCCGACGTTAGTTGCTAACTCGAGATATTGCGCGAGAATGTAAGGTGGAGGAGATAAGGCAGGCGTAGTTCGTGATTATAGACCTACCGCTGCACTGGCACCTGTATGAATAATTCGAGATTAGTCTTCATTCATATTGATTGCATAACTGAGGGATGCGCAAAGCTAGCATCATGATTCTTTGATAAATCTTGGTGCATAGCCTGGGCGCATCCATGATCCTGGGGCTTGATTTACCGTAATGACCCCCATTTCTGATATCGTATACAGGCTGTGCCTGTTGTTGCTGCTGCTGCTGCCTGCCTTGTTGTCCGACGACACCTTGAGTGGACTCCATGTTTGTTCAAGCGATGTCGGCGCTTGAGGTCGGACTGATGTTCGATGCGACGCGACCGGGGTATGGAGTATTCGAGGATCAGGGACAAGAGGATATAGGCACCTTCAGCAAATAAGAGTAGCAATGAAGTAATTGAATCTTGAACACGTCAGAGAATTCGTTGTGTTGTGAAGTCGCGCGTTGGGTTGCTAAGTTTGTACCTAGGTAGTAGTTCAGCTGTCTGACGTTTTCGGGCCACCCCTCCGCGCTTCTTTAAATACAAAATCGTGTATTTCGATTTGTTGTATTGGAAGAATTGATTTAGGTGTGATAGTTTTTATTTTAATTATTTTAATATGAGGACTTATATATCTCATGTTAATTCATGTTAATTTCTAGTTTATAGAGTCAAATAGAACCGAGTACATTTATGTACTTGGGAGAATTACTTCTGATAGGTGAACTCCTCGGGCGACCTTGAGCTTCCAATACAGCTGTATCGTGGGTATAGTACTTAGATCATGAAGTACTAATACACATAATGACATGAGCTATTCGCCTATCATAAAGTACTGGATACACACTAAAGAAGTACCCAAGATTACATGACCTCACATGACCTCACATGACCCAGATCCGCTTTACACTAAGCAGAAATTTCTCATAAACGTTTCTCCGACACCGAAGAAGCAACAAAGTCCAAAGCTCAGAAAAAAAATATAAATTCCCTCCATTCAACCTTGAACTTCTTAAGCTTCTGCTACCCACCAGGGATGGCTGATTCCTGTGTTCAAGCTGATGCTAGTCATCAGGAACTGACTGATGATCAAATTCAACAGCTACTTCTTGAAGCAGAGGCTAGACTGCGAGGCTCTGCAGTGACCCCAGTTGATGATCTTGCATCTATCAGGATTCCCAAACTTGCAACTGGTTCCTCACTAGAGGCTTACGTTCGCCAAGGAGATGATGTGGTCACTGTTGATGCCTCAAAGATCATCGACCCCAAGCAGAGGGAGTTGGCCAACTCCATTCATGCTGCTGGGAAGAAGGAAAATAAAGTGAGTTCAACCAGTCTCTCTTCTACACGTTTTGTTATTATTATTTTGCTATGAGGAAAATATTCCCAACGCGAAGCGCTTGATATGGCGTAACCAGTCCGTTTTGGGCTGTGCTGTACTAGTGAGAGCCTTTTTTATTCATAGTTACTCTGAGCATCTATTACAATCACTATCTCTTCTTGGTGTACAATGTCTGTGAACCAATTGCTGACAATCGACACCTATGATAGGAAAAGCCTACTGCCGGACCTCAGTGGTTCAACCTTCCCAAGACAGAGATGACACCGGAGCTCAAGAGAGATCTGCAATTAATCCGGATGCGTTCTGTGCTTGACCCCCACCGACACTACAAGAAGGATAATGGAAAGGTCGCACCACCAGAGTACTCTCAGGTCGGAACAATTATACAGGGTCCCACCGAATTCTTCAGCAACCGTATCATCAAGAAAGATCGCAAGAAGAACTTCGTTGAGGAGACACTGGCACTGGAGCGTAGTACCAAGCGCTTCCAGAACAAGTACCGGGACATTCAAGCTGCCAAAACCAGCGGAAAGAAGTCTTATTACAAGGAGCTGCAGGCCAAGAGAAGCCGCAAAAACAAGTGAATATCCAGTGTTGACTTTCGTCGACCTATGTCATGGATGGCAACAACTCCTTAGCGGATCTATCTCTGCTAGTCCCTTCAACGCCCCGGATCCAGATCGTCGTTGTTCATACCTGAACTCTGTTCAAATACGATCAAATACATCCAATAGAGTTTGGGCAACCAAGTTCTATCACCGTTAGTTCCATGACTTGCAAAGCAATGTGTGACAACCTCTTACCTGCATGTCAACGGCTGCTGCACGGCCAGCCTCGAGAACTTCTTCGTGTCCTGCCTTGCCCTTTTCTAGGATAGCGGTCAGCTCATCAGCTGCTTTGCCCTGGAGCACCTTGTCGTCCCCCCGTGGCACAGGAGACAACACAACCTGGTTGGTGACCAGGCTGAAGGCAAGCACGCGAAGGCCACAGTGTCTAGCAGTGACGATTTCCGGCACTGTGGACATTCCAACCACGTCCGCCCCAAGCATTCGAAGCATTCGGCTTTCAGCTCTTGTTTCATACCTGTATCTTGTTAACGAATCATTTCAACATTTGACTCGAATGCACCATGTTAAACTTACGTGGGGCCTCCGACATATGCGTATACACCTTCATGCAACCTTCTGTTGCTTTCGGGTGATACGACCTTCTTCCATGTTTGATGCACATGGCGACGGAGTTCAAGATCATAGGCGTCAGACAGGGGTGGGAACCGCACTCCGAACTCATCTTCGTTGGGTCCCCTTAGTGGATGAGTTCCTGCCAAACCGGCTAGGAAGAGATGCTGCAAACTAGTTAGCAAATCACTTGATAGCTTGATAGGTGATTTCTTGCATCATTCAACAAAACAAGATCTCCCACTGCATAATCAGAATTGAGGCCTCCGGCCGCATTGGTCACTGTTCAACATTAATATCTTCTCTTTTGTAAAAATAAGCATCGCGTAGAACATACAAACAACCGTATCCACACCCAGCTGCTTGAAGACTCGGATAGGGAATGCCACTTGATCAATCGAGTGCCCCTCATAGTAACTAAGCCAGGTTAATCACAGCAATACCAATAAATCGAAAGCTAAACTCACTGGGCACGGCCAACCATCAATACGGCAGGAATCTTCTGGCCGAGCAATCCAAAGACCAGTTTTCCAGCATGTCCCGCGACTGTGGGATATTAGAACCCACCTCCTAGCTGGGAAAGACATAAAGAGACAACCAACCTGTTGAGCGAGGGAAGTTTGGGATAGAAGCGTAGTCATATTCAGTCCTAGACTCGGGATGAATAGTATCGGCGAGTCCTCCAAGTCCTGAGCCGCATACAATAGCGACCTGGGGCTTTTGCAAGCCCTCTGGCAGGTTGGCTCGGAGGTAAGAAACCGCTTCATTGGCCCGCGCGAACGCGGTCATCTCTGCTTTGACCATGGTTGGCTTGACACGGTTGTGTTAAGTAACGGTATAGAGAAGGAAATGAAAACCTTTCGGTCACTCTTCTCAAGTGCGGAGTCACCCATTGGTTGGCTTGGCGGGGTCGAATGATCTAATCTGGTACATTTTTATAGATCCGAGAATGTCTTCTTTGCTAGAAGCTATAAGAGAAGAAAGGGATTCTAAATTGTAGTCGAGTAAGAGAACGAGAGGAAAAAAAACCAAAGTAGTTGTAGCATTGTACAACTACACATTTGTCTCTCCCGGTACCTGTAGCTGAATTCTACGCCTCCCCAACAGCATCATTGCACAGATCAGTGAGAAAGTACATTTGATTTTAAAAAGAAATCAACCAAGGTAAATGTGTTTATTGACCTACGGTGAAGAGAGAGCAAGGGTGTGTAAGTATCCAAACGGTTGACGGACATGCCCAGGTGCTACCTTAGTATTACTAGTGAGAGAGATGGCAGGTTCAACTCTTCGGATAATTGTATAAATCCATGGCTCTATAGCTCCTATATCCTTAATTTTTGTTTTAATTTTATCTTAATCAAAAAAAAAAATATCAATCTGCATTATACAGTAGTTGATGTCTTTCAATGAACAATATTCCAAAGTTGGTATATCAAAGTATTCACCGCCTTGGGATCGGCTCCTCGAAAAAACCCATCCGCTAACAACAATGGCTCTCGCCTCGAAATCACTATTAACAATGTTCTCATACACATCACGCTCCTTGTTTGGAGTGAGCAAGCACCTCAGAGTATGTTACTGTCTCAATTGATCCGGAATCCCTCTTTTAACAGCTTTCCGAAAGGTGCCTGTGCCATTCCGCGCGCTATCAACCCCAAGCCAGCCGACTCCGCCGGAACAAGAGAAGACACCTAGTCCAACACCCACTCCTACACCAGTTGCACTTGAGCAGGCTGCTCCAGTTCCTACTCCTGAGGCCCCTATCACCGAAGCTGCCACTCCTGCATCGACTTCCGTGGCGTAAGATACCGTCCAAATGTGATATTTGAGGCCGTGGCTGATTGAGACAATCCAGATCGACCGAGGCCGAACAAGTCTCCGCACCAAGCGCGAAAAAATGGTAAGCATCCAGACAAATAACTCGATCTCAAATCATATCAAGATCCAGCGCTCACAATTCCGCCAGGACTGAACGTATAGGAGCTCTCGGCAAGGAGAACCGACTCCCAAGAAGTGTGCAAGCGATATACCTACGACCCCTGCGGAGGAAGGCCGAGTACGGCCTCCCAGTTTGCGATCTCCAATTGCGATCCTACAGCGTCCGCAACGTGGAGTTTTTCGCAGATTTCGCCATCCGAGCCGCTTACTACCTCAACCTCCCCGTGTCCGGGCCCGTACCTCTCCCTCGCATCGTTGAACGCTGGACCGTCCCCCGAAGCAACTTCGTGCACAAGAAGAGCAAGGAGAACTTTGAGCGAATCACCCTCCGCCGACTGATTCAGATCAAGGATGGAAGCCCTGAATCTGTACAGGCTTGGCTTGCCTTCCTCCGCAAGCACGCATTCTACGGTGTTGGTATGAAGGCGAATGTTTGGGAGAACGAAAGTCTTGGTAAGATTATACTTGATTCGATTGCTTCAATGGTCGAAATACTCACATTCATTTTTATAGATGTTGGCAAGTCCATGGACGCGTCTGTCTCCGAGGTGGAGGCATCTCTTCGTCCTCACCTTGAGCAGTTCGGTCAGCGGAAGGACAACTCGGCCCCCGGCACGATATTCGAGACTTTGGACAGCCAGCGATTCACAGAGCGTAAGAGTCTATAGATGATGGCATGGTGATCTACCGCTAAATTTGTATACCCGTGATTATCTGGACTTTGGTGTCTTTGCTGCATGCGCTGTCTTCCTTCTGTTCAAAAGCCTTCATATAAGGCCATATGTATTTTACTGTTTCATTATCATTTGAGCCCCGATGGATGGGAGTTTACATACATATTCCAAACCACGGGTTGCCACGGCTGGAATTGTAGAACTTATCTTCCGCTGAAATAATCGATGAATGCACTCTAATGTCTTCCGCATGCAAACGCAAGTAGCAGTAGTCATTATGTAGTTAGCCAATACCGAGATAAACACGTCAATCACGTGACCACATCGTGTTTTTCAAGGTCATGGAGAACTACGACAGCACGGAGTAAGTTACATCTGACATTTCTCATTATTGCATCTATCAAATATTAGAGATGCGTCCCAGCGCCCTCCGCCAAGAACATAACGCATTGAGGTCATTGGCCGGGAAAGGTCTGCATAGTCGACCAACCGGTCTCTCGCTTCCCTCAAGGAGATGGAACAGCTCAAGCACTCAAACACCAGTACAGGAGCCCGTTATATTCTCCGGAATCCAGCCTACTGGAGTACCACATCTGGGCAATTATCTTGGAGCCCTACACCCATGGGTAAAGCTCCAACAGGAAGCCAAAGAAGGGACCAAGCTATTCTTCTCCGTTGTTGATCTCCATGCATTGACCGTGCCGCAAGAGGCTGCTCAGCTGAAGAAATGGAGAAGAGAAGCATTCGCAACATTGCTTGCTGTAGGACTGGATCCTAAACGCTCTACGATATTCTATCAATCCAGCGTACGTTCCGTCCGATATTTGACAGTCGGTGCGAATATTTGAGCTTTATTGACCGCCATCAGGCGTCGGCACATGCAGAATTGATGTGGATCCTCAGTACGGTGGCTTCTATGGGATATCTGTCGCGCATGACTCAGTGGAAGGTGAGCAACCTCCAGTTGTATACATCGCTGTCAACAGTTATACTAAAATCCCCCTAGAGTAAACTCCAGCTGCCGGATGATGCTACGCTGGATGACTCAACAGCACGAGCACAGCTGCGTCTGGGTCTGTTCTCATATCCCGTGCTTCAAGCTGCCGATATCCTGGTGCACAGGTGAAGTCCCCTTTCTCAGTCAGCAACTCGGTGTTAACGATGACCAGAGCGACACATGTCCCCGTTGGCGAAGACCAAAGACAGCACCTCGAGTTCTCTCGATACACTGCCAACAGCTTTAACCACCTCTACGGGCCCATTTTTCCAATCCCAGAAGCATTGATATGTAAGTGACACATCCCCCAACTCCAAAACTATCACACTAACACACCCAGCCCCCGCTAAAAGGGTGATGTCCCTCAAAGAGCCGACATCAAAGATGTCCAAATCACACGCGGACGAGAAATCCCGAATCATTCTGACCGACTCACCCGCCGAGATCCGCAAAAAGGTCAAGGTCGCGCTTACAGATTCCGAAGCGGGGGTTACCTACGACCCGGTACGTCGACCAGGCGTGTCGAACTTGATTGAAATCCTTAGCCATTTGGAAGGTGTATCCTGCGAAGAGATCGCAAGTGAACATCAGAGTGCGAGTCTCCGGGCGCTCAAAGAACACGTTGCCGAGCGAATCACGTTCCATTTGCAGGAGATTCGAGATCGGTATATTAGTATTATGGACGATAAGACTGGATATTTGGAGATGGTGGCTGAGGAGGGGGCTGAGGCCGCACGCGCTAATAGCCAGAAGACCATGAGACAAATTCGGGAGGCGATGGGGTTGTAAGAGGGATTTCTGTATAGTATTGTACAGTTATATTGTATTTTACATATGTAAGAATAATGTGGTTGCCTATAGTGTAGGGCATTTCGGTATATGTGTGTATACTAAACCAAACTATACTGACCCTAATTCTATTGACAGTATAATTATCAAGTATAACGCCATAGTATAGATACTCAAGGTCAATATAATATGAATAATTTTCGATATAACAGCTCACTAACACAATTAGGTATAGTTCACTAGAATCGAGGTAGAAATATACAAATTGCCAAGTCTACATGTAAACTTGGCGTGTCGATTAAGCCGGTGTGTGGCTGAAGTGGAGCGTCACCCAACCGCGTCATATAGGCTCCGCTACGTACGTTGCATACGTATGCTGATTTTGCCATCTTTCTATGGGGGGTTTTCATACGAGAATAGAGAATTTAGAAATATTTTATATGACATCTGCAACTTCCAACGGTACTAAAGGTAGGGACATATGCACCAGGTTAGTCAACGCAGTATTTCAGTATTCCATACACAACACTGACTATATGTGCATAGATCATCAAGGAACCCGCTCGGAACCGGCGGATACAGGCGCCCAAATTTAAGCGGCGAATAGTACAAGAATGATATACATATGACTGGTAATAATGAAAAGAACGACGTAAAAAAAAAGAAACTATAGATAATTCCTATGCTTGGTGACGACAACACATGTCCGCCTTACCCGAATAACTGAGTTTATAACTGATTATAGGGACCCTGATACAAAAAATCACTGCCCCATTTCCTCTTTTTTCTTTCCTCTTCACGCTCTTCCTCACACACACACTCTCTCTCTTCCTCTCCTTCTTTCAAACTCTTAGCTCCAATTCACCCTTTTGTTTAAATCACAATTGTCAATTCATCACCTGTCGCAAATACTTTTCCAGCTTGAAGTTATCTAAAACAAGAACTATAACAAAAGCCGATCTTTCACATTCCGGACTGAAAACTCGGGGAGAACGATCGGCGCAATGAAAAATGCATGGATCCTATTGGCCACTCTGGTGCCAGCCTGGGGTTTAACTCTTCATCAAAGAGAGAATCCCGCGGTGGTTCAGATGGACATTCAACGCAAGGACGTTGTCGATCCAGTCGCTAGAGATCAAGCCAGGAGAAAGCGGTCAACTATCAGCCAAACCTTGGACAATGAGGTAAGAATACTAAATATAGAAGAACAGAGTCAATGATGATACTAACGTTTCTGCCTAGGAAACTTTATACTTCTGCAATATCACTTTAGGTACTCCAGCTCAAAGCATGCGCATGGTGATCGACACCGGAAGCAGTGATCTATGGACGAATACACCAAATTCCACCTTCTGTGAAAACACACAAAATGGCTGCAGCATATCTGGTACTTACGATTCGAGCTCCTCCTCCTCATACGCCTATGTGAATTCGGACTTCAATATCACTTATGCCGATGGGTCCGGTGCCGCCGGTGATTATGTCACCGATACTCTCACCATTGGAGGCACAACTATCAAGGATTTCCAGTTTGGAATTGGATTTACCTCTGCATCTGCAGGTTAGTGGTTTGATTCAATTAAAAAGATATATATATACTCACCAGGGCTAATATAATGGTTCAGAGGGCGTGCTCGGAATAGGATATACTGCAAATGAAGTCCAGGTGGGCACCAATGGCGAGTCAGCATATGCCAACCTGCCCAAGGCCATGGTCAACAAAGGTTTAATTCAATCAAACGCCTATAGTCTCTGGCTGAATGACCTGGATGCAAACACAGGGTCAATTCTGTTTGGTGGAGTCAACACTAAGAAGTACCACGGCACACTGCAAACCGTCCCCATTCAGAAAGTTGGAGGCCAGTACGCGGAGTTCATCATCGCACTTACTGGAGTTTCTCTTAGCAACTCCTCGGGTACAACCACCTACTCGAATTCCATCCCAGCAGGTGTCCTCCTCGACTCAGGAAGTTCTCTCACCTACCTCCCGGACGCCGTGGTAAGCGACATCTACAACGACCTCGGCGTAACGTACGAGTCCCAAAGCGGCATTGGTTACATCGAATGTAGCATGGGTACCAAGGATACCAACATCAGCTACACATTCTCCTCGCCGACCATCAACGTCGGACTGAACGAGCTAGTCATCGATGTTGGCGACCTCTATTTCCGCAACGGCGAAAAGGCCTGCGTCTTCGGCATCGTGCCCGCAGGTAGCAGTACTTCTGTTCTGGGCGATACCTTCCTCCGCAGTGCATATGTCGTCTACGACCTAGCCAACAACGAGATCTCCCTCGCAAATACCAACTTCAACTCGACCGGCAACGATATCTCCGAGATCGGTACCGGTACTGATTCTGTGCCTGGTGCTACTGCTGTCTCGAATCCGGTGACTACCGCCCCAGTTGGTGGCACTGCTGCTCGTATTGGTGGTATTGGAGGGTCGGGTATCTACACCTCAGCTTCTGCGACTGGCAACATGGCTATACCTAAGGCCACTGCCATGCCGAGACATCTAGCTCTCGGCCTTGCTGGTGCTGGAGCGTTTTTGGTTCTGTGAGAGAATCTGTTAAGCATATAGGCCTCTCTGTTTATATCTTAGACTTAGCATTGTTGTGTGTATTTTGGAGTTTGGGAGGCTATACCTGGATTTTGGTCATTTTCATTACTTAGATTTATGTGCTATGAAATGGACAGTATTTATTTAATCTAACTACTCAATTTCAATATACCTATTAACGGTGAATCATAATGATAGTTAAATTCCTCTTAACTGGTAGAGTATAATAGCAGTGCACGCTAGGCCAGCGGGAGATCGCTGGCAAATGCTTGGCACAAATTTTGACCTCTGAACTAACTACACATGTAGTTATCGCCATGTTGTTCAATCCCCAGTTCCCATAATGCCCAGGATTCCATTATCCGTGATCCTCAAAGCACGTCGAGAAAATATACTATTGCCTATACTACTCAAAGAATGTCGCACAATCGATTCTGCCCGAAATGAGCTCCGTTGGCTACGCGAACGAGCAGTTCGCGATAGTCAATCACATCCATCAAAGATAGAATGGAGGGGTCAATTAAAATCAATGTGTCAGCTACGGTCTAGAGGCTATCCTCTTCAATACATCTTAGGCGATCAACCATTCGGTGATTTGGAAATTCTTTGCCGAAAAGGCGTTTTGATCCCCAGGTTTGTCCATCGATATTCAACCCTTCAGCCCAAAAATTCTCACTAACATCTTCCAGGCCAGAGACTGAATCTTATACATATCAAGCAGCCAGATTGGTTTGCCAAGTAGCGGCCGATGACAAGTCCAAGTCTGAAAGACCCTTGCGCATCATCGACCTTTGCACAGGCACAGGTTGCATCTCACTTCTTCTACATGCCTTGCTCGCTCCTCATTTCCAAAACCTGTCCATCACAGGAATTGATATCAGTCCCAGGGCGTTATGGCTAGCCCAGAAGAATCTCCGGCATAATCTGCAACTAGGCCAATTGGCACCCAGAGCTACTACAGACATCCATTTCCATCGCGCCGATGTTCTGGGTAAAGGCGACGGTTCAACACCACCCATTAAATCATTACTTCGATCCCTTGTATCGAACCCGTCAGAACATACTCAATGCGATCTATTGATCTCCAACCCACCATACATATCCCGAGCGGAATTTCGCAATGGCACCACTGCCCGCAGTGTGCGGCTCTTCGAGCCCGAACTTGCACTTGTGCCTTCAGACTCCATCTCTGAAGATTTCAGATCGGAGGATATCTTCTACCACCGAATTATCACACTAGCATACGAGTTGGAGACTAAGATCATCGTGCTCGAGTGTGGGGATATGGCACAGGCGCAGCGCGTGGTTGCTCTTCATAAACGACTTGTCTCTAAGGAAAGCAAGTTTAGCGCAGGGATCTGGCCCACTCGGGAACGTGATTTGGCCGAGTATGGGTTCCATCAGACTGATGGTTCGCGATGTGTTATTATACAGCGATTGTCGTGACTGACGATTTTATTTGGTGTAACGACGTATTATGTAGTATCCCAGATGATGCGTGAATATGTTTCGGCTTTGAGCAACGTAAATTTGCAATATAAATACATGGAATGGCATTGACATGAACATCTAATCAAGGACAATCTGCCCGCCGTGAAAAAGAAAAAATTATGTACAGAATGAGACCCCAGTATGGGCTCGATTTTGAGTATTAAAACAGATAAATGATGCACAGGGCGAGCTCATGTACTTGGATTAGCAAGAAGACTGGGGGACCGAAAAGAGGCCAGCCCCAGGTTAACAGCGGAAGTCGTTCACCGTATGTGGTTAAGATGCAAGGAAGAACCAAAAAAAGCATTTGCAGAAGACTGCAAAATCGTGAACATGAATTGTCGTTCAAAGGTCTTTTTTATTATCGGCGGAGTAGCTGCGGTCGTCTTCACCCTCAACGTCTTTGAGGATAGACTCCATCTCCTTGGCCTGGCGCTTCCACTCCTTGTCACCCATCTTGGTCTCGCGGCGGAAGAGTTCCTCGTTAGGCTTGCGATAGCTGCCACCAAGACGGTCCCAGAGAGTGGTGAACTGCCCATAGTTGTAGTTGAAATACAAGTGATGCATAGTATGGCAAGCAGCACCGTTCACGACGGGGCTGTTGGCAACGTATTCACCATCGTGGATGAAGACAGTCCAGAGGTTGATGAAGCCGAAGAGGAAGACGTAGGCCACCTTCTGCAGGGGGAAGAGGAAGGGAAAGACGTGGTATGGCACACTCTGAGACCAGCCGTCGAGCGGGTGGAAGGCGTGCGAGGCATAGGGGCTCGGCATAATCCACTTGTGGTGAGGCTTGTGCAGGGTCTTGTAGACGCGGGGGTGGTGCAGACCACGGTGAATCCAGTAGATGAAGAAGTCGGTGAAGCAGATGAAAAAGGGGAATTGGATAAGACTGTAGAAGGGGAAGGGTTCTTCGGCGGTTGTATCGTAGAGTTTGGCATATCCGCGGACTTCCAGGACGAAGAACGGGGCCGTTAGGAGGGCCATTGGGGGCATAGCTTCCATTGCCTGACGAATTTCCATTCTGATCTGGTTGCGCAGGAACTTCGGGTGTTGGTAGGTTGTTTTATCCCAGATGAAGACGTAGGAGAGCGATGCGACGACAAAGTAAACCAGAAGACCGAAGAGCCTGGGATTGTTAGATTTTTTTGGTATTTTTAAAGAGTGGCAATTTTCGAGATTGGCGCATACCAAGTGATCAGGAAGAAACTGGTGAATTGACGGTATACATTGTTTCGGGGCCAAGCGCTTAAGTACGCATACTTGGAAGGTTCCAGGTACAACATCTGTGTAGCCTGTTCGTATACGAAAGGCTCAGGAGACCCAAATAGGGACAAGGTACTATTGGCGACATTGGCGAAGGCGGGAAGTGACACCGAAGAAGAGAGAGATGTTGGTAGGAGTGTTGAATAGAGACGGTCACCAATGAAGGTATCCCATAATTCAAGAATGATATCCATGATTAAGACTTATCACAGATCAATTGGGGGGAGAAGAAGAGGAGGGGAGTACTTAAGGGAGAAAAAGGGAGTAATAACAATAAAATCTACCCGCAGTCACACCAGCGCGGAACCACTGCAGCCGTTGTTTAATAAGCCCAGGGGTATTCCAAGGTTCGTGGGCTGATTGATACTGTCCGATGAGAAAGTGGCCAGTTGTGTTTGTTGGTTTTAGATATCTACATTTAGCTAGTACATGACCAAAATTAGTTTAGTATTCTTGGACTATATATTCAATGGATATAACTATATGTACAACGTATAGAGTACAATCTACACGCTTAAAGAAAAAGAAAAAAAAAGGTAGCCCCTGGTTCGCCACAGTTTGCCTTAATGCCTGTGAATCAAGGCTGAAATTGGCAAATGCTGTTTGGCCTAAAGAATCAGGCCATATAATCTCGGTTCACGGAAATGGTACCACAGTGGTACTGCACGAGGCAACGGCAGTTCCACTCTGGGTTATCCGTACTCAGAGGTACCTCCACTGCCCGCACTTTCGGCTGTAGATCCAAGTATCCCCTAAGTATTTTCAGCCCCCATTGCATAAGTGGAATACCGTCATGTAAAAAAAAGGGGATTTTGATATCTGTAACTATGTACGTACTCGTGCATAAAAAAATCCAATGATGTTTCTGTCACGTATTTGGATCTAATCTTTTAAGCTTAATTCAATACAGCAAGTATATATCATTATACATATATACTTACATATAGTTCATAACTCGTACTCCGTTGAAGAAATATAGTGGAACTTCGGGTAAAGGGTGCGCTTCTGTCGCTGACTTCGCTTTTCGCGTCAACCGCTGCCGCCTTCCTTTAAACCTTCCCGCTCCGCTTTAAACTGTCATCCTGCCAGCCTCTTCACCCCTCTTACCGCTACCACTTCCAACTTCTTTTCTTCAACTTTATTAAACTCATCACTGTGGCTAGCTGCGTGGTGTAATCCACCAAGCATTGAAGCCTCAGTGGTCGATTCGGATCTTTGACTTTCCGCGCGAAATCGACCTCAGTCCTTGAAACAGCTACCAGCTACCTTACCTGACATTGGTTCCATTGAATCAATTCTCCTCACTAATTAAAGAAAAAGAGAAAAACAAGCGCCATGTACAACGCTCATCGCGGGATGGTGCCCGCTCCCAACTCTCGTCTGACAGAGTTGCTGGATCAACTGCGCCAGGAGTTTGAAAGCCAGTCGCGAAACACCGGCGAATTCGAGCACCAGTGTATGTGTCCCATCTCCCCATATCTATCCACTGCTATCCCACCCCTTTTCCTATCATTTGGCTCTATGCGCCGATGTTCCTTCCCCCTCCTCCCCACCAGACCACTTCATGAATACAAGACAGCTCCATGGGTTCCGACATTCGCTGAAATGTTATCTAACTGACAGATCATGCAGTGACCGGACAGCTCCAGGAAATGGAGATGATCCGTCAGAAGGTCTACCAGCTGGAGCAAGCTCAGATCAAGATCAAGACAGAGTTCGTCCCATTCCCCCCGAAACCTGATATCCCTCAATCTTTCTGACATGGATCGTATCTTGTTTTAAAAGTTATGAGGCCGAAATTCGAATGCTGCGACATGAACTTGAGTCGCGCGGCGTCCAAACTATTCCCACTCACATCGGCGGACCCGCCGCCGCCGCCCCTGGTCACTCGGCTGGCTCTCAGGCTCCCCCGCCTGCTTTGGGCCACGGTCCCAGCAATCTGTTTGGTGGTATCATGACCAACCCACCAGGTAGTGGTCCCGGACTTGCCCCTCCCCTTCCCCAGGATCAGCAGCCTCCCCAGCATGCCCTTCAACAGCCTGCCTCGGTCGCTCAGCCAGGTGCGCCGCAACCTCCGCAGAGCTCATTTGGATACCAGGGTGGCGCTGCTGTGAACGGTATGTCGTTGTGTTTATGACAATCATTGCCTAGTTGCTAACGTGGCCGTTTTCCCCTTTTCCCCAGGTTATGGAGCCGCTGCCCCTCCTACCGCATCCCCAGGCCCCGGCAAGAATCGTGGCCGTATGCCCGGCCCCCCAGCTACCCCCCAGCAATCACCACTCAACTACCCTGACCCCCGTGACCCCCGGGACCCCCGTGCGTCACCTCAGATCCCTCGCGCTGCTCCCAACCCAGCTCTCGGTGGCCGCACTGGCGAGCGTCCGGGAAACATGCTCGCCAACTGGAACCCCGATGACTTGCCCCCGTCGCAAAAGCGTGAGGGTAGCGACTGGTACGCTGTGTTCAACCCTGAGGTGCAGCGTGTTCTTGATGTCGAGCTCGTGCACCACCTGAACCACGATAGCGTTGTTTGCTGTGTTCGTTTCAGCCGTGATGGCAAATACTTGGCTACCGGTTGCAACCGCTCGGCCCAGATCTTTGACGTGACCACTGGTCAGAATGTGGCCACTCTTCAGGATGAGAATGTCGACAAGGACGGCGATCTCTACATCCGCAGTGTTTGCTTCAGTCCCGATGGCAAGTATCTGGCCACCGGTGCTGAGGACAAGCAGATTCGGGTAAGTTCTGGATTGCAGGAATGAACAAGCAGTAGATGGTTTTACTGACTCGATACGAATTTAGGTTTGGGACATCAACGCGCGCACCATTAAGCACATCTTCAGTGGACACGAGCAGGACATTTACTCTCTGGACTTTGCTGGCAACGGCCGTTTCATCGCATCCGGTAGTGGAGACAAGACCGTGCGTCTTTGGGATATTCTTGATGGCAAGCTTGTCTACACTCTTAGTATTGAGGACGGTGTCACTACTGTGGCTATGTCTCCCGATGGCCGCTACGTGGCTGCCGGTTCTTTGGATAAGAGCGTGCGCGTCTGGGACACTACCACTGGTTACCTGGTGGAGCGTTTGGAGAACCCTGATGGTCACAAGGACAGTGTGTACTCGGTTGCCTTTGCTCCCAATGGCCGTGACCTGGTCAGTGGCAGTCTGGACAAGACTATCAAGTACTGGGAGCTTACCGTTCCCCGGGGCATGCACCCCCACAGCGCCGTCAAGGGCGGCAAATGCATTCGTACTTTCGAAGGCCACAAGGTTTGTCGATCGTCCCGGGAATCTTTTATGGCGCAAACTAACGTTTCAACTTTCACTACTCTTTAGGACTTTGTTCTTAGCGTGTGTCTGACACCCGACGGTGCTTGGGTGATGAGTGGTTCCAAGGACCGCGGTGTACAGTTCTGGGACCCGGTGACTGGAAATGCCCAGATGATGCTTCAGGGACACAAGAACTCCGGTGAGTCTTACGGTGTTTCTATATTCATTATCTTTCTCTCTCTCTCTCTTTCTTTCTCTCTCTAACTATTTCAATAGTAATCTCGGTTGCACCTAGCCCCACTGGTAGCCTTTTCGCGACCGGTAGTGGAGATATGCGTGCTCGTATTTGGAGGTTAGTATATTCTGACTGTGTTTCTGTATTTGACGATAAGCTGACTCTATTTTCTTCCAAGATACTCGCAATACCAGGGAAGATAAGTTTGATCGGCCGTTGGCGCAATGCGTTTTGCTTGGATTCGGTTTTTTCTTTTGGGGTTCTCTTACTTGTTTTTTTTTGTCTATTTAACACTTCGGTGTAATGCGTTCTATGAAAAAAAGCAAATTCAATGAAGATGGAATATTATACAGAGTAGACTGTAGACAAAAGCATAGTATCATGTATGTAGTTGAATGTACAAAGTAGAAGTTCAGCTTTTGTCCTACGTCGGGGACCTTCAACTTCTGGAAAAACCCCGAATTCTCATCCTTGTCCCGTCTGAATCACCACAGAGCCTCGATCAGAATCGTCTATTGTCATACAGTATCCATTACTAATTTATCATGGAGTATTTACAGAACTACAGTACTACAGAAGTACTGAGACTACTGTACTCCGTACTGTGACTACAAAGCAGAACCTCAAATCCCAGATCAGAACGACCGGCAAACGCAATCTAGGCTTAAAAAGCCACCAAATCTCTGCTTAGTGCAAGTGAGCGCTCAATGTGGCAACAGTTCATGAAGACTAGTCGCATCTAGTCGCATCCCTGCAGGAACCATTCTCATACTCGACGCAGGCCGTGCAGGGTTGCCACTCGTGTCAGCGCCTCACACGGCTGTCACTTTTCTCGGATCGTTCCCATGGCGCTAAACCCTTTTATGGATATGATCACCATAAGACAAGTCCCAATGCAGGTTTTGAAAGGGGGTATAACACTACTCCGTACGGAGTAATAACTCGAGCGAGAGAGAGAGGGGAAAAATAGACGATCCAGCTTACTCCCAAGACACTGAACCAAATCCCGTGCTCCAGTCAACTACTACTTGGTGGGAAAAAAGGACAACACAGAGAAAACAGAGACGAATCAAAGGAGAATCCAACAAGATCTAACAAGATCCAACAACAATCTATAACTATTTCAAGACATTGAGGATCTGAAAAAAAAAAGATTTCAGATTTCAAATCACGAGGACATCAGAATTTCCCAAGGCCATAGGCGGCTAACTGGGATATTCGATGGGCTGAGATCGGACACTATTGGCGACTATCGGGATGGCGCATGGAACTCGTAATTGCCATTTGACCATTGAGCACTGAGGAAATTGCTGACTCCGAGATCGACTGAATAATCTACATGTCGACTGCAGGTCGATCACGGTCCACTTTGAAATTCCCGCGATTTGAAGGGCCGGCCCGTCCTCGAGGGAGAAGTGCAAACGGAGGGTTTTCTCTTTTCTTTTTTTTTTCTTGAGATCGAGGAGTCTGACAGATGTCAAGTGTTTTGACATTTGTTTTGCAGCAAGATCCAAGAAGAAGAAAATAGGGATGGGGAAGGGGGAAGAAAGAAAGCTGAAAAGACCTATGCGCCAGTTACTGCCACGAAGATTGTGTGACTGGCAAGCCATTTCACATATTTCACCCAATTCACCCAATTCACACCGACAATACCATCAAATACTTTACCACTAGTTCCTTGAGAACTAAAATTCCTCGTGGTACAGGAGTTGATGCGTCCGAAATTACTTATTATGATTTTCCCATTTCCCATTTATGCAGGATGCAATGCACCTGTATGAACTCCAGTTCGCTTGATTACCCAGATCTTACCCAGTTATTTATCCTTCTCTCTCCAAGCCTGTATATCTTTCTGACTATTACTTTTTACCCGGTGGAGTGTTTCGATCAGGGATGTCCCTGGCCCCCCCGAGATCGTCGAATCAAACTTGTACAGTAAGTACGTTGCAGGGCCTCGAATTGCGAACCCCCCCCTTTTTTTTTATATATATTTCTTTCTCTATAATTATTATTTCGTGTTAATATTTCAAACGTCATACAGATCAACACGACTCTCGACTTTCACCGGCTGACTCTTCCCCTGTCGCCCCGCCTTTACATTAGGTATATCTAGATCGAGAGACGCCACGGTCAATGCGGATGATCATCACTAGTTGTCAATCATTATATATATTATATACTCTTCATGACCTGCATATATTTGCTATTTCCTTTCACTATATATACATATATATATAACCACACTTATATATATATTCCAGATCTATAGATTGCGCTTTGGTCGGTCTGTTTGTCTATTTTCCCTCTTGCTTCTTCTTGAACAGCCAGAACCCAAATATCTCATACCTTCGAGATACCTTTGATTAATACATTGGTACTCTCCATCTGTGTGCGAAATGGAGACTGCAGACCCTGTGTCATATGAGTTCTCTGGTCATGCCGCGTTTACACCCAGACGGTCGATGGACTCGACGCTGAACCAGAACTTCCCTTTCTATTCACCACCTTCCTACTCGTTGTCTTATCAAGCCTCGAGTAGCTTACCATACAGCTTCGCTCATTCTGTAGGCCATGCACATGCACATGCACATGCACACTCGAATCCATACTACTTCGTTCCAAGTCAACATGTTCAGCCGCAACCACTGCGCCTCACGACAGAGCAACCACTGCAGTCTCTCCCAGAGATTCGTCCGGCCAAGAATGCCATCAGCCAGGCACCCAAGACTCCCGATCCTATACATGTCTCGCCTCCCAGTGTAGGCCATACACCGGAGGGAACAAACGAGAAACAAACATCCGCTGACATCGCATTCTCAACAAACGTGGATGTTCTCATGAAGGCAATCCAAGCGAAGCATGCCGCCTCATCACCTCAGCAGTCGCTACCACCCCTCCAGCAACAACTGGCCCCAGCCGCACCTCACGCGTATCCAGTATCCTACCCACCAGTAGCAGCCTCGCCTCCACGCTACTTCCTCGCAAACGAGGGCCAATTATCCCGCTCAGGCAAAAAGCGCAAGTACACATGCACTCTACCAGGCTGTGGAAAGAGCTTTGCCCAGAAGACACACCTGGATATCCACATTCGAGCCCACACAGGTGACAAGCCATTCGTAAGTAATCCTACAAGACGTCACCAGGCAAAAGACATGAGATCAGCAACTGATTCTTCCGAATCCAGATATGCACAGTGCCCTCATGCGGCCAACGCTTCTCGCAGCAAGGCAACCTCAAAGTAAGCAACAAAACCGGGCCATGCGACCACGCAGATCTCTAACAAGACCCAGACCCATGCGCGCCGTCACACAGGCGAAAAGCCCTTCAAATGCGAACTCTGCAGCAAGGCTTTCGCGCAACGGGGTAACGTCCGCGCCCACATGCTCACACACACCCAAGGCCGGAAATTCAGTTGCCTTCTCGATGAATGTGGGAAGGAATTTACCCAACTGGGGAATCTAAAGGTGAGTTCTTTTTTCCCCTGTCTTGCATACCAACATCGTGTCTTCTTTCTTCAAAAACCAAAACAAAACAAACTAACGAACATACACCAGTCCCACCAAAATAAATTCCACGCCGCAACCCTCCGCACCCTGACGCAGAAGTTCTCGCAAATCGGCGAGAACGGCCCCGCAAACCCTGCAGATCGTGCTCTATGGGAGTATTTTGCAGATTTATACAAGAACAGCAACAAGGGGATCAAAGGGCGCGGCAAGGACCGTCGGATCTCGACGAAGCGGTCTGCACAACGGGACTCGATGGAGCGGGTATCTGTTGAGTCTGATGAAAGTGTGAAGATGCGGAGGGGAAGCTATGATGGGTTCTCGGTTTACGGGTCCAGTAGTGATGGGGATGAGGAGGGTTATTATATTGGTCGACGACAGGAACATGAACAGGAACTGAAGCATGAACATGGGCATGGTCGTGGTGGGCAAGGGCATGAGCATGGCCATGGCCATGGTCATTGAGTTGGATTCCCTTTTTTCTCTTTCTCTCTTTGTCTCTCTTTGGTTTTATATTCCCTTTTTGATATCCCTTGCTTTTGGTTCTGCCTTCACTGCTGCTATTCTTTTCATTGGTTCTATTCCTCTCATTCCCATTTCTCGTTTGGGTGCGAAAACACCGGAGCTTGGTGTTCTAGTCTTTTCTTTTCTTTTCTCCTTTTTTCTAGGAGTTTCAAGATGTACACGATTTACGTTTGGTATGTATTCTAGCTATCTAGCTGGGTTGGGAATATCCTCTTGTATTTTGTTTGAATCGTGGGAAAGTGATTTGTTGCTTCTAGTCACGGAGTATAGTATGTCTATCTCCTACAGATCCAATATGTAATATGTTTGATATCTATTCCAGTACTCCGTATAGCTCGATCCTTTATTATTAGACAATACATTACCTGTTTGCTTATATCTAGGCACCCCCTTGCATATGTGAGCAGTCAGCCTTGTATGACACGGGGTTCTGCTTTGTTAGATCTGTACAGAAAGACAAAGGACTGCGGAGCAGAGAGGCGCGGATCAGCGTGAGCTGAAATGTAGATCATGCATCATGCATCTTGTAGTAACATAATTCTGCAACCTTGAATGCCTACCAAGTGAAAGACTGATCTTCAATTTACTGATTGAATACAAGGTTCCAAGAAATAGCCCTTTCATATTTCTGTTGAGGCCTCAACGACCGGAGATAGATAAGTGTACAATACAATAGGAAAAAAAAGGGGGGAAAGAGACTCCGGGCCATAAATCATGGAAATCAAAGTGTGATTAGATGCAAGCACGCGCATACAACCAATCAGGGCAACAATGCATTTACCTATTGCAGATCCACATCTGCATCAGCAATGTCAAGATCACCGTCACCAACCTCCCGTTCAGGAGCCGGAGGGGCCACCGTCCCAAGGGGAGTAGCATTAGCCAAGGCATCAGAGATGAAGGCCTCTTCGACAGCAGCCTTCCTGCGGAAAACGCGGAGCCAGCGACGGCCCCACTGGCGGATGATAGCATCCTCGGGTAGATCACCGGTGCCGTCACCACGCTCCATCTGCTCGTCGTTGCTACCGGCCGCGACGGAGACAATCGAGTCCTCGATGTACTTGAAAAGGGTTTGCATGTCCTCGCGCTCGCGGGACAGAGTCTCGTCGATGGCAGTCAGTTGGGGCTCATAGAGAGCTGGCTGGGTGCGGGCGGCGACGATCTGGCGCATACGGTTGGTAACCTTGCCGACGGTGGCGGAGATCATCTCGAAGACGTGGGGCTTTGAGAGGATGGTCCCTGCAGCAACGGATTCGGCAAGAGCCCATTCGAGGACGGAGAGGGGGCTGAGGATGGTATAGTTGAGCAGCTTGTCGATAATGTTAATTGCGATGCCGGGCTGGTCGACCCAGTAGTCCATGACGGAGGTGATGATCTGGCAGCGGGCAGCTTTGGACTCAGTGCCGATCTCTAGAAGACGATCTTTGCTGCGCTCGATGCAGGAAAGGACGTGAGAGAGGGACTTGGATCCGACGTAACACAGGGACGTGACAAATGCGTCTGTGGAGGGGATTTTGGGGTCATCGACGCCCTGACTTTTGGCCTGGTCCTCGATCGCTGTGATCACAGATTGAATCTCTTCCTCGGTGGCCTTCTTACGGATCAGCTGCATGAGTTCCTGACCTTCTTTAGCGTAGGGTGCCACTGAGACAATGTTAGTGACTGTTGTAGATCGAATCACCAAGAAAAAGACTCACTGTCGGAGGAATATTTAAAATCGGGTGTGTCCTTCTCCTTGCCCGGGGTGATCAACTTAGGATAAGGATCCGGGAGAGTGCCCTTGATACGCTGAGCGAAGCTCAAACGAATCTCCTTGTCCAAGGCACCGTGGATGAATGCCATCTTAGGGTGTATAGCGGGAAGATCCAGATCATCAGTCCTGTAACATGATTAGCTAGGTACAAAACGGGAGAGCTGATACTGTCAGCATACCACTCGCTCCATTTCCATGTAAAGCCGAAGTTGCTCAGATGGTGAGCGAACCAATCAAGGAAACGGTTGCTGAGCTCCAAGTCCATGGTCTCTAGGTTGTTATACAAGAATCGGATCGCACGACCCAAACTCGGCGCAATCGCCGCTGGGGCAATCTTGCAGCACTCAGTAAGAACGGAATGGTAGTAAATAAGCTTGTGCTCCGAAGCAGGCAGCTGGAACAGCTGTGAGAACACGGCATCCACTGCCACGTCCTCAGGCTTCCAAGGCTGGATCTCACCTGCGAGGTCGCGCATGCGGTCGAACGGCGTGGCACGCTTCACAAATGTATAAGGGGTGAAGTAACAGTCGATATCAATCAAGAACTTGGCCGTAGCGACACGGTTGAAGTCAAGTAGGTTGATGGTATCGACCAATACGTCTCTAATGAGCGAAGATGAAATGTCTTCAGTGGAAGGAACAGTGTCCACTTCTTGGTCGGCGTAGACCGAAAGATAGACCTCTGGGAACAGCGGACGTGGGCCATTGAGGACGGGGCTAGGCACCGTAACCTCAGGGAAGGCAATCTTGGCCACCGAGTCAAATGACTGGGGCTCACCGGTCTCAGAATCCCGAATGTCCTTCCAGGGACGAGGAAGACACTTAAGCTGCCAGCCGTTGTTGACCTCTCCTTGAAGCTGGGTCTGCATCAAGCTGATAACACTCTGACCAGCCGCGGACTGGTTTTCCTCGGGGCTGAATGTATTGACCAAATCGACAAGGGCGTGCGGAGTTGTCGCGATAATGTCGGTCTTATCCAGAAGCCCAGTAGCCTGGGCCTCGAAACCGGACACCGGAGAGAGCATAATGTAAGGAAGAGTGAACTGGATAATCTTCACCAATTCAAGGCCAAGAAGCTGTGCAAAGCCATTAGACAATTTCAACCATCACAATTTGGGATTGAACTTACATCCTCAGAAGAGGCAGTCTGCAGGTCAACAGCACGAGCAAAGAGCTCCTCCAAAAGAGGGAAGATGCCCTCACCCTCATAGAGCGGCTGAAGAAGACCCAAGAAACGAATCAGAAGCTTAACCTCCCGCCATGCGCCAGTATTAATGTGTTTCTGCAAAGCCCCAGCAGCCTTGGCCACGATCTCCGATCCAAGCTCGGGCTTGAGACTATGCGCGACCAGAACGGCACTGGCGATGAAAGGGATTTTCATAGGTTGTTCGTGAACACTACGAGGCTTATTAGCATATTATTAAGTCGAAAGTCGTCCGATACATACAGATCAAGGGAGATGTTGACAAAGTCGCGGCGAATGTCCTCATCGTCATAATTCTCCGCAACTGACTTCGCAATACTCTGAATATCATCCTCGACTCTGCGAGCAGCCTATCGATTGTACCGTCAGCTTGAAACACCAGTAAAGCGTCTCAATGCGCGGGAAAAAAAGACCTACCGATTCCGCAATGGTCAACAACTGCCGACGGACGACAACCAACAGAGGCTCCTCCTGTCTGCGTCTCTGGGGGCGGCGATCGTAGTCATCGTCGTCTGAATACGGGTAATGTTAGCATGGTCATGTATATGAGCTCAGCGCGTCTCTCACCTCTGTAGCGGCGCTTGCGCCCACCTCGGTCACCTCGGTCCCCTCGGTGGCCCTGGTTTCGACGGTCGTATTCGGCCATTGTCTGGAATCCGAATTTCCGGGTCAGATATAGGATTGTAGAAACGGTTCGGGAATGGTGGAAAGCGAGGGTGACAGCTTGGGGAGCTTAGGGTAAATGGAATCCGGAGAGGGGATTTTCCGGCCCGACATGACCACTTATTCTCAAAGTACGTCAAAGTACTTCAAAGCAAAGATATTATAATTCTTGAATGGTTTCTTTCTATCATGAATGACACTATTAACAGCACAAGCAAACAAAATATTGCCTTTACCTTTCTTGAATGCAGTCATTTGGTATCTCTACTTTCTCATGTACATATATAATTTGGAGTACTCATGATATTTCTTACTACAAATCTACACTGAAAGGGAAACTGTGAGAACTGAAATGACATATAGCTCACGGCCGGTGAGTCTGAGGGACCGAACCAGCCGAGCCCGATGAATCTGATACAAGGATATTGCGAACAAAAGAAAAACAAGTTAAAGCGAGGACAAGGGAAGAACGATTCGGGTTTCTAGCGCTGCAAGTCGAGAGATATTGACCACAGCGGGTCCTCCTTAATTGTATCCAAAGAAATCATCAAGATCTCTGATGCATTTGTGAGACAATCTCCCCATTAGGGAGATCGGCTTGCTGCGTGTTTAGGGGGTTCTTCCCGATGAAACCTATGCAGTCTCCGACCCCAAAGGCAGACTTGCACAGAAAGGGTATCACTTTTTCCTCCCAAGAGTTGTCTCAGACACCTCAAAATAAACTCCAGGCTATGACCTCCCATTTGAAAACCATCAGCCCTTACCACCGAAGATAAATTTCCGCTTCCCAACCATTAATGGATGCACTTTTCCACCCCACATTCCCCTGCTTCACCCAAATTCTCCAAGTTCTACCATATCCGTCGGGGTATGAGACACAACCCTCTAGAAAACAAGGTGTCATCTCAATTCAGAGCCCACTTGAGACATGATGGAACTTGGCAGGCAGGTCCTCTCATGTACAGTGCATATGGCGGCACAACAGACGTATCCCTCGCAGAGGGCACACTTGGATTCAACTCAGTCGAGGTGTGCAATCATCTCCTCCTTGGCAAGGGGTTTGAAAGTATCAAGGCCGAGGCCGCGAGCTTCGAGGGCAGGACGAGCGTGAGGGGGAATCAACTGGGCGTTCATTTCGGGGGCAATCGAGAGTTCTACAAAAAAAGAAACATTGTTATTAGCGAATGGGAGTTCACAAGCGGAGATCCATCGTCAGGGCCAATTTACCATGTCGTGAAAAGTCGAATAGAGCAGGAAGATCCTTGGAGGGGTTGTTGTGGTGACGGGAATCCGGTAGTCGGGTATTAGGGTCACGGAGCTCATCGAAGAAGGGGTGACACATGGCCTCCACGGCAGACAGTCGTTGTGTCGGAGTGTATTCCAGAAGGGCAGAGATGAGGTCAATAGCCTCCGGCGGTGCCTTGCGGAAAACCTTACGATTTGGTCAGCATCGTTTGTTTCAACACAGACTAGAACGCAACCACAAAAAAAAAAAAAGGTACCTTATTGAAGGGATGAGGCTTGATTTGAGGGAACTTGTGCTCCATATAATTGGGGTTCATGGTGCGAATTTGTTCTCGAGTTGGGGTGCCCAAGACCTTGATGATTTCTACCAGTTGATCAATACCCGACTCTCCTGGGAAGAGGGGTTGTCCAAGCATCAATTCTGCCATCACACAACCAGTTGACCAGACATCTATAAACCAGTTAGTATTATGTTTCTTTTATTATTTTTTTTGCTTTTAACAAATTTGGTGGATATGTACCGATCTTTGTTGTGTAGTTTGTCGCACCAAAGATCAGCTCGGGCGCACGGTAGTAGCGAGAGCAGATGTATGAAACGTTGGGCTCGTTTTCAATCAGTATCTTGGCGGATCCGAAATCGCAGAGTTTCAAGATACCCGTGTTGGGATCGAGAAGGAGGTTCTGGGGCTTAATGTCACGGTGACAGATACCCTGTGAATGGATGTAGGCCAGCGACCGGAAGAGTTGGTAGATGTACAGCTTGACTTCTAGCATGGGCATAGTAGTCTTGAGTTTGTTGAAGTAACGGGATGCACGATACACTGTCTCTGGGACATACTCGAGAACGAGGTTGAGATAGACTTCATCTTTCTGAAGATCCAAATACATGTCAGTCCATGGGGAACGGGGCCAACGAGGTAACGAGGGACGAAAGGGCGATCGGGAAGGGACCCGAGGAAACACATACCCTGTCGCCGTTGGAGTAGTAGAAGGCTTTGAGTTCGACAATGTTGGGATGGCGCACAATTCGCATGATCTGCAGCTCACGGTTCTGGCGAGGGTGTCAGTTATCTCGACCCAAAACCCCATCGGTTCGAGATTCCGTACCTTGAACCGCTTATCCTGGAGGACTCTCTTGATGGCAGCATCCTCACCACTGGGGGCCATCTTGGTCTGAAACACGACACCGAAGGAGCCATTGCCAACAATCTTACACTGCGTGTAGGAGATCTCTTTGGGCTCGCCCGTCAGTCCATCTTGGACCTTCTCGCGGATCACCTCTGTTGGGAGGGGGGAGACGTCAGTAACAATTGGAAGGTATATATCAAAACAACTTACCACCCATGCGCAAAGTTGGAAACAACCCGGGCCGACTTTGTGACATGATGAAGTAGTTGTAGGATGAGAGGATGAAGTTAGGAAGGCCGTTTTGGGCGCAAACCGGGGTGGAGTAGGGAGGGGCGGAAGGACCGATGGGAAAGAAGAGAAAGGCTCGGGCCAAGAATGTAATAAAAAGAAAGGAAGAAAAGGAAGAATGAGAAGTGGGCAAATATCAGTAGGAGAATGTTCAACCAATAAAGTTGAATTTGGTGAGGAATAAGACGGGTTAGACTAGGGAAGGTTAGGTAAAATTTGGGGGGGGAAGTTGTTTGGGGGGTTTGTTTCTTGTGACGTTGGTTTTTTTTCTTCTCCCCTCTTTGTATGGTTTTTTTGTGAAGTATTAGATGGGGGTATGTTTTTTTTTTCCCTTTCCCCCTTATATTAAATTTTGATTCTTTTCCAAGAAACAAAAGAAAAGATATCAAAAAGAAAAGGGTGTGGTTCAGTTCACCAAGTCAAAATAATGAAGATGAAAGCCAATGTCTTGGGGGTAATTCGGGAAGGGGGGGAAAAGAGAGGGGCGGGAGCTACCAAACCAATTGCCCTTTAAGCTGTGTTGAATTATATATCTATGGCTATTATGTAGGTAATTGTAGTTTATGTCACTTATATACTTAGCCTCTACTTTTCTCCAGTTTCTATAGAACCTATTTACAACCTATTTATAACCCATTTAGATCATTCTAAGTAATCTCCTAGGTATTAGTTTCATTACATTTTACCGTATAACAAGCCTATACCGTCAATTACCAAAAGAATACCGAGCTTCGGGGGATGATATCATAGGTACAGGCTAGTGGTAATTTAATTACCAATACCAAGTACTTTTGATGAGCGGAGTCTCCGGGGTAAATCTAACAATCTAAGCTCAAGGGAGAGAGATTATGGATATAAATGGATATAAGCTCCAATGAGTATAACAGCTACAATAGCTATCCTGAAAAATATAATTATCCTATTTATATAGGTCGAAGTAGTCAAAAAAACAGCAGTAGCAATCAGGAGTTATATTCCGATCCCAAATAAAATGGCCATGTCGGGTGACCGTGAATTTTACACTGGAACCGTTTTCATTGGTTCAATGGACCTCTCTTGTCACGAGACGTCCAGCTGACTAAAAAAAAAAAAAAGAAGCTTGGGCCAACTGGAACTGAGGATAACTAGCTACATATGTAGTAATTAATTGGTCTGATATAACTACGGAGTAACTATATAACTAGTTACTATTATTGCATCTTAATTATAAAATAGCTATGGACCCGTGGACAATATTGTATCGTAGCGGATCTGCTGACTGGAAACAGAAAGAGAAAAAAAAAAGCAACGATAACATTTTAATCAGATATTATTACAATATTGTCCTCCGTCCAGAATCTACTCTACCAAGCCATAAGGTATCGGCCCGTGTAAATCTCGGAAAGGGGGCTACCATTCCCGTCTTTTAAGTCCATATGTTTGCAAGGGTTCCCTTGGCATGTGAGTCGAAGCTATCTCAGCCGACGCCCAGCTCGGGTCAATCATTTGAATTCCAGCCGTAGTCCCGTCCATGCAGTCTCTCATACCAGGACCGGCAGATGAACCCCGAGTCGGCAATAACTCTTGACAGATCAGAAACGAGGGTTTCAAGCCAATCAAAGGGAAGAATGAACACGAGCTATAGTTCTAGAGCGCGTGCAATGACATTCAACAGGAAAAGGAACCCGGTCTCTGGCTGTAAAAGAATAATAAATAGAATAAATAAATAATATCAAAGAAAGGTAAATAATCACCAGGAATGCTGGTTCCTGGAGCAGCAAGCACCCGACTCGTCAGGTACCTCTCTCTCTTTTAAAAGGAAAAAAAGGAAAAAAAAGAAAGAAAAAACAAAACATCAATGCGGCCCGGCCGTTCCCTCGACCTCACCTTGGCCCCTGCGCAGTAGGGACGCACCTGGCTCAAAAGGTTAACGTTGAGGAGCTACGGAGCTGCTTGGAGAGAAAATCAATGCGTGATTAAGGCACATTTGAATGGGACCGTGCTGGTACTGTATTTACATTACCGATACTGTATGTTTCCTCCACATGTACAATATGGTAATACGTATATTACATTCGTATAACATTGTAGTCTTTGGATTTTATTTCATAGATAGATGTATCAAATAGATATAGTACATAAAGGTCGATATCAATACTACAAGGTCAAACATTGTATCTTCTTGTTACTATATCCATATGTATCTTCTCATATATAATCGGTTCTTTGACGCATAGAAGCGACGTCACCGGACATAGAGCAGGTGACCTTGGTTGAGGGGCTGTGGCATCGGAATCGCCACAATTCACTTCTTGTCATGCGACATGAGAACCATTGACTGGCAATATCACGGGAGCAGAAAAAAACTAAAAACTAAAATTAAGAATTAAAATGACGCCCCCTCAACAGGGGTCTCTTGAAACTGCTATTCTAATATTCAGAATCATGCCGGTACAACCATGACTACATACATTGTATACATTGTAGAGTTATATATATCGGGATTCCGAAAGGTCCCATCGTTCGGGTCTCGGCAAACTTGGCCATTCTGACGTTGTCTACCTACATACATCTATAACGACATATGTACAACTAAATTGTACAAGAGTCAGTACAGCCTCAATGGCATTTTCCGAGAATCTCGGAATCTTGGTCAGTGGATCAATTCATACCAGTCTATATTATACATGTAGTTGTGATTGTCCATGAACAAACCTTGGAACTGGCGCCATACCGAAAGTATATAGTTACCAACTACAACCTTGTATGCGGCGAAAAGCATACTTCCCTTGTGACACATCGTGGTACGAGTCCGGGATGAGGTGCCGGTGTTCCTGACAAAAAGCAATAACTGGCATGATGTATAAAATGCAGATGCAAAATGGAAATGTCCCAATCGCGCCGCGTCGGCATGTACGGATCGCAAAGCATGGAAGTAAGGAACGGCATTCCGACTTGTCAGACACGTGGATGAAAGCAAAATAGAGGCATAAGAGAGATTATCCATACAGGACAACACGATTGTACGCAACCAAATTTGGGAGGTCGGAATTGGAATCGAGTTCGGAATTCTAGACTGTATATTGTACAATGCATAATAGTATGTACAAAGAGTTATTGGTTGATTTACGGTTGTCTAGTGAATAGCTAATAGCCTGATCTACCATGTTCATGACGATCCAAATCTACCGTTGTCCGATCTTATACAAAACACACCTTGCGCGTCTATCATAGACACTAAACGAATAAACGTTGTAAGCGACCCGAAGAATTCCATTCTTCAATTGTCTGTCTATACCTACCTAGCAAGTGACTGTAAGCGAGGATTGAGATTAAGCCAATCAATCTCAAACATAATATGTTATGCTTTCATGTGCCTATGTCAAAACCCATGGAAATCAGTCCCCAACGCAATATTAATCTGTTTCTCGAACATTGACAATATTGCACCCCAAAGAAATGTGTGGACACGGTCCACATTCATTTCATTTCCTTGAAATCCGAGAATCAGAGAATCAGAAAATAATATTACCATGTCACTGAACCAAATTCATTGGATAAAATGAAACACTCGAGCCCCTCCACTCAAACTGTAAAAAAAACCTCCCAAGCTCATTTGTTCTCGGAGCGGTCATTGTTCCGGAACATACATATTTTAGTTCATTAGTTGCATAGTCGGTTTCTGTTAGTGAAGGCTACAATATTGTCTATCTTGTACGGAGCATATCGTTATACAATTACAGTGTACACTGTACGTTGAATGTGAATTTCAAAAGACAGTATGATGTCACGGTGGGTATAAGAACCGACTATCAGCCACAAGTAGGAAACAGGTATAACCTCTACGATATAGTATAGTACACGGAGTAGTTAGGTAGCTATTGGGCTTGATCTATGTAAGTGGCTGATCAACTGAGGCATATTGTGGAGAGAAATAGCGCATCTATACATACGTAGGGTATGGACATTCACATTCACATTCGCATACCTACAATATCGGTTCTGGTGATATGAAATTATAATGTAATTTCGAAACATGGAACTCGCATAAATGAACCATTTTCCATTTTACCGAAGGTGTTCCAAGTGGAGATGAAATCCATACCTAGTATGCCCGTTGGATGAGTTTCTCCAGTGTGTCCACAATGAGTTAGGGTGGGGTTTCTGTTACTAATCTCTTCACCGCTTGAGTTCTGCTGGTTCTTCCTTCTCCGCTTTGATACCTGAATGCCTCTATGCCTTGACGCCTGATATAACTAGGTCATATGAAATAATGCTATAGTTTAGCAGAGAAACTGGTATGAAATTGCATAGAGCTTTATAGGGTATATTCGCATGCAATGTAGTCTAAGGCTATATATAGCTGGTCTCTACTCACAATATTTCTAGTCACACCCACAGCGCTGTGATGGAATAGCATCTCGGATATAAGTCTTATTATAGATAGGAAATATCTGAAAAGGCTACACAATCTTGGAAGAAAGCTATCTCTCAGATTATTGGATCTTTATTAATAAGAAGCACAGCACTGATGCAGTTAAACATATATTCATCGGTTACACCTAATTTCCACATGCCTTTCGCCATGTCAAGCTTCTGCAACGACCCAGTCAGCAGCCTGCTATCTAGGGCGATCCCTCAGAATCATGTTCCCCTGTAAGTCGAGCCATGATTGCTGCCCGTCTTTGTGTCTCCTGAGCAGTTGTTTTATCATTAAACACCGAGTCCATTTGTTCCAGGGTACGACCGTTGGTCTCTGGAACAAGGAAGTAAACCCACACGAAGGAAAGGGCGCAGAAGCAGCAAAAGAAAATGTAGGTGCCAAACTTGATGTTTTGAATCATTGGAGGCGTGACCAATCCCTAGAGCCGTTAAAAGAAATTCTTTTTCTCGTGTGGAATGGAAGCTTGATACTTACGATGATGAAGTTGTTGCCCCAGTTAGACATCGTGCCAAAGGCGCATCCCTTGGCACGGAGCGAGGATGGGAAAATCTCCGCAGGCATTGCCCAGGGAATAGGGCCCCAGGTGCCTCCGAAGGTTAACATGAAGAAAAGGAGGAAGCCTGCACTGGCCCATCCAGCCGCTTTATGAGTAGGCCACTGCCCATCATACTTGCCAACCAGGACGGCGATAATGAAATGGGAGACGAACATGCACACTGAACCCCATAGGAGAAGTTTGCGGCGACCAAATCGATCCATACCCCATAAAGACCAGATACAGCCAACAACCTGGCAGATGTTCATGACACCGGAGAGAGTCAGTTGCATCTCATAGTCCAGGCCCATGGTCTTGAAAAGGGTTGGTGAGTAATACTATTTGTGTTAATCATCAGTAGTCAAGTATCGTCGAAATAATACACTCACGATAAGGGCATTGATGCCGACAAATTGTTGGAAAAACATCAGACCCACGGCCACCTGGGTTCGTTTGTAGATTGGCATTTTCCAGCAGTCAACATAGAGCGAGATCTGCAGCTTGATGGCATTCCATCTCCCCGGCTGGGAAAGGAGTGGATGTTTCTCTACAGACAGCTCCTCACGGTATGCGCATTCAGCCCGGATATCGTTCCATTCTTCCAACACCCGCTCGTCGGTGGTGGGTAGCTGACGGATCTTGGCGAGGGTTTGAAGAGACTCTTCCACTCGCCCCCTTTTGACATAGCCAGCGAGGAGAATAAGGAAGCATAAAGATACCAGAGCACATGATGAGTGCGGGAAGCATCTGAATCAAGAATGGAAGACGCCATGCCCAGTGCCCGGCGAGGTGGCGCGTGCCATAGGTAATGTAGAAGGCGATCACGATGCCGACCACGATGCAAAGTTCTTGAAGGACTAGCAGTGTTCCTCGGATCTCGGGGGGTGAAATTTCAGAGATATAGAGCGGCGCCACCATTGCAAGCCTACTCATTGTTAGAGAATATCGATAATAAAGAGCATTGAGCACGTACATTCCAACACCAATACCTCCGATGAATCGTGCAACGGTCAGCATAGCAAACGAGATGGCTCCAGTCTGCAAAGCTGCACCGATCAAGAAGATAACTCCAGCGGTGAAGATACTCCATTTGCGAGAGATCTTGTCAGCAAGCCATCCTTGGTTCATGGCACCTGTGACATGTTAATATCCCTCTATTAGCGAGATGACAAAATAACAGGTTTACTAACCAACAAAAGCTCCAAGTTCCAGAATAGCAGTCATAAGGCCTTTCTTAAAACCAGAGCCTGGAGCGGTCTCCGCGATATCGGGGAACTGTTCAAGGAACTGTGGCATGACTAGGGTGATGGATACTACACCCTGGTCGTAACCAAAGAGCATACCACCAAGGGTAGCAAACAAAGCACACATGAAGACATATCGAGAGGTGAAGATTCCACCAATTCCGCTCTTCGTGTACGTACGTCGTGTCTTCCAAACCGGTTCCTGGGTTTGTAGGTGGGCGGATGTGGTAGATCCTCGTCGAATATCATCTGAACGTTCGACATGCATAATAGTATCATCTACCGATGTGGACTTCTCTTTTTCCATCTTAAAGAATAGAGGAGAAAAGGATGCAGAAAAAAAGAAACAGTGGGATTTATTGCAGTGTAACTGTTACCCCGTGGGGAAGTGGAGAATATGAGTTGATGAGACTAGGATATGTGTGGAGTAGGTAACATATATAGTAGAATCATGCAAGTATAGTCCTACCCCGTGGGGAAGAGAAGAGAGTCGAGACGATCAGGAAACCAGATTCCGGCGATATAGGGCTTATAGACTTGTTCGGCATTCGATCACCGAGCCTCTTTGAATTTCAATGAGGCGACCAAGGACGCCCTCTAAGAGTTTACCGGACATTTTGGTAAATGACCTTCTAGGATCGGCTGAACAGGATAAAACCCCCTCGCAGAACTTCCCTCGCCGATGAAACGCTTTTCCTTGGGCCCTATCTAGGTAGAGACTAAGGACTAGGTAGACTGCATATGTATAATCCATGTCAGGTGGCGAAATTCTTGGACACGCTACAGATTCAAGCTTCTGGGTATAGCCTGTGAGCGGAAGTCATTTCATAAGGATAATTAAAGTCTCTGCCAGTCACTCTTTGTCTATGAACCCGAATAATAGATCCTATCTCAACGCTTGCTATCCTGAACCCCTCCCATCACCTCTACTGGGCGACGAGCGCCATGCCTTGTGCCACCCGCGAGCCAAGTCCACTAGAGGATTGCCCGGCCTTCGGTCATAAACCGAGCCCGTGTAGACTAAGGAGGTAGGGTCATTTAGCCCGAGGGCTCACTTCATGGCCAGTGTCTAGAGTGCCGATCCCGATATTTTTGCCCTCCCTTGCAGGAACATGACTTCCGATGAACCAAACAAATTGGACCATTGAATTCTGATTTAGAATGTCAGATAGAGTGGCAGCGTGGAACAGCCAGTAACTTCCTTTCCTTCACATGGACATTGTGCAGCGAGGCCTAGAGTCTATACCTCCATGAGGCACATCTATCTTTGTCTGGGCTAATTTTGCCGGCTTTTTCTTTTGCCTATGGTAAGCCATAATTCTGTATTCTCTGCGCAATGTGATGAGATTCAATGACGTGCTATACTCAGCATTTCATCAAGTGATTATGAGTCTCAGTCTTCACGGTAAGGATTGACGTCAATTTAGAGGCGTATAGATATAACCTATTTAGGTAGCTCGCGGCGACGGAGGAAGCAATAGTTATATACAAGCTACACCAAAGTTCCAGGATCTACCCAGTGTGCATGTAGTCAAACAAAAAGGCTTGATCGGGTATGTCCCCGCGACGTCCTTGCGATATAATTACTTGCTGTTTGCTTGTCTTGTCCTCATGGTGTCTATGAATTTGAGGCATGTTTCAGCTTTCACTAGTTCCATAACCTCTACGAAATGTCACCATTTCTCTGCCTTGGTCTCTCAATCGTCTTGAACCAACCCCCACGCTAAGGCGCGCACATATGCACGTATTTACATGTCCCACATTGGGCATCAAAGGCTGAAACAGCCATAGTAAGCCTTTAATACATTTTCCTATAGGATTTTCGGGGTTGGAAATCTGCCTACATGTACATTACACCTATACGTATATAGCATTTTGTGATCCTTCTGAATTGGTAAATGCATAACTACATAGCTAGTCTAGTCATACTTACGTAGCATGTGCACATTAAAATATATCCAACTCATTCCAATCAGATTATGCAATGAATAAGACCACCTAAAACTGTAATGATCAGCACGTAGAAAGCCCCCAGGGCAGCATTGATATGAGATTGACCATTGACTTATCATTCGGCATCAATTAGGTCCTTTCCTTGGTTAGTTCAAGCATGGAACTATATTGGTAAGTGCGGAGATACAGCTTGATTTTCCAGGGAGACGAGCTAGTCATAGTTGGTTCACCTGGGAACAAAGCCGTTGTAATACTCAAAGCCCAAGTGAAGCTGCCTTGAACGGATACTGACATTGATATAGACAGAAAGCCCCTGTCTACGTGTGGATGAAAATTGGAGGAATTATAATACTTTGATTACTGATTTTTTTCAACTTCGAAACGTGTTTTACATTGGCCCGTCTATGATGCGAAAACATAACCAGAGCTCCCTGCAGGCACAGCCGTGCATCTCACTCGCAATCCATAGACCCAAAACATGGCCAAGGAAGTGAACTGGAAAAAGGAAAACAAACCAGACACATAGCAGGCCAAACAGTCAGAGATGCAGCATCAGGTGGTGATGGAATAATCAAAGAAACAGTGTGAATCTATACAAAAAATAGGATCTCCATGGCGCCAAACAACTGCCACCTGCACCAGCAAACCAAAATCAAGAGGATATGCTGAAGAAGAGACATGGGATGTCGTTCCAGACGATGGAGAGGGAAGAACTACTAAAACAGGGGAGTGAAAGAGGTATTATCTCGGTGTGAGGGGAGAGCTTAGAAAGGAGGAGGGATCATGGCGGCGGGGTCAGCCTTCTCCTGCTGCTCCATCAAGTCCTCACCAGCGAGCTCGAGGGAAACAGCAAGACCAAGCTTGGCGGTTTGCTAGAAAAAAAAAGAAACGGTTAGTATCAAGCTCTCGTCAGAAGTACAGAATCAGATGCTTACCTTAGCCTGGTCAATCTCACCAGCAAAGGAGAGGGAGATGGGCATGGCAATGCGCTTCTCGAGGAGACAGCTGACCTTACCGGTGCTGTCAACCTGAGCGCGGAAAGAAGAGGCACGGAAGTCGTACTTGGCACCAATGGCGGTGGTACCGTCACGGGCAGGGCCGCCCATCATCAGAGCAGCGGGAGAAGGAGAGAGTTGAAGGTTCATGTCAACACCAGCCTCAACACGCTCGGACAGCTTGCGCCAGTAGGTGGCGTTGAAAGTACCCTGGGCCTGGAGCTGAGCAGTACCGATCCAGTCCTCACCCTTGTACTTGGCGGAGTAGGAGAGAGCAGTCTCGGGGCGGGCAGTGATACCCTGGCGTTGCCAGATAGCCTCGAAACCGAGGGCCAGAGCGGGAGTGACGGATTGGAGGTAACTGCCGACGAAGATACCAGTCAGACCACCCTCCAGGCAAGACGGGTTGAAGGCCTTGAGAGATGCAGAGAAATCGGAGCCGGTGTAGTCGTTGTCGATCTGAACCAAGCCTTGGGAGCCACCTGCCATGATCTGGGCATTGGTCTTGGTGACCAGGGCCGGGCTCCAGCGGTAGTTGCCGACGGCGGCAAGCGCACCATCACTTCCGTAGTTACCTTGCATGAAAACCTATCACGGGTAGTTGTCAGATACCGGGAATCGCATTCGAAATATGGAGTATCGGAAGATTCTTGTCTTACCTTGGGGTTTCCGAACATGGCGGAGAAAGCGTATGGAGGCAAGTTGCCGGTGGAACCCATAGAGAGAGCGTGCGACACACGGAACAGAGGGGACATACCGAAGACCTTGGTCAAGTCTGCCCGGAGACCGGAGAACATGAAGTTGGTCAACAGGACATCCTTTTGCACTTCCCTGGCGAGATTATCGACAGTGCCGGGGTTGGGCAGATTGAGCAACGCCCTTCGTTCGGCGAAAGTGTTGTATGCATCGCCGATGGCCGCGGCGGCGGAGTTCTCGGTGAGGAAGGAGAGAGATGATGACATTTTTGAGATGTGTTAATTGCCGACAATTATATTAGGTGTCGTCACGCGTTTTGATCTCAGAGAGATTTCGGGAAAGGAGGAATAGGAAATAAAAGGAATTGAGACCAGCCCGAGGATCTGCGACGAACAAACGTCTCAGATAACCTTGATGAAAAAAGAAAGGGCTTGGGATGCAGGAGATTCGGAGTGTAGGGGAAGCAATTCAGGGCTTTCCGAGCTGTGAAAAATGCTAGTCACCTGCCCTCGGCGTCTTTGGTTGTAGTCGCCCACCGTGTCTTAGGTAATCCGGGTCATTCCGATTCGAGTCTCTCTCTTTCTCTCTTTCTCTCATTTTGATATCTTGATATTTTGATATAGATTGATGGGATTTGTTTTGATCTTTTGGTTTTGATTTGGAGTTACTTCTTGTTCTTTATTTTGTTCATTTGATCAATTGAGATCTAATTATATAGATTGCCTGAGAAAAGAGGCATCAATACTCACCGGCCGATATCTGGGCCCTTTATCGATCTCCCTATACCGCTTGTTCTTCAAGGCTTTTTCATTTGTCTTTCCAGTGGGACTGACCTTGGAAAAGTTCATATTGTCTTGCCGACTATCAGTGGACCGAAGCAATTTCAATATCAACTTTGGCGATATTGCGTCACCTCGACATCCCACCATGGACACGTTACTGTAAGCATGCCTCCCCGCCATATCATGGATGCATACCGTCTCTTATGCCCATCTTTCTGTTGCATTTTTGCCGTAAATATGGCACTGGTATCAAAAAGAGAAACTAGCTATGTGTTCACCAAATTGACATTTCTATAATTTGAAGCTTGGGAATCTGATTGTTGAAATCAAAACTGACATCATACAGCACCGCTGAGATCGTGGCTAACTCTCCACAATTTCGTCGCAAGTCATCCATCTTTGTTGATGCAATTCATGACTTACCCGAAAAGGCTGATCTGGCCCCGGCCCAATTGTACAGCACCGAGTCTGGTCGACTGTTCCATTCGGGCCGAATTGTGATCATCACTGTCGGCTTGCCTGCTAGAGGCAAAACGTATGCTTTGCTCTATACAATTCTTGATTTTGATTGTCAAAATAGTAGCTAATCCCTGACAGGCATATATCGGTTGCTTTGGCCCGATACCTGCGCTGGTATGTTTCACTCCTGGGAATTTCTTCATCCCCCCCCCCCCCCCCCCCCCCCCCCCAAAAATATACTGACATGAATAATAGGCTTGGTGTTAAAACCAGAATATTCCATCTAGGAGACTATCGTCGTGCCACCATTCCATTTGGTGAGGATATGCCAGATGATTATTTCTATGTCAATGGTGAGTATGACATCACTGTTTACCTCGTACTTTGTACTGATATCTCTGTCTAGCGACTGCAAAGTCGGTTCTGCTGCGACAAAAGATCGTGAGGAAATGCCGAGAAGACATTTATCACTTCCTGAACCACGAGAATGGTCAAATAGCAATTTACGATGCTGTCAACCCGCTAGCTTCGGGACGGCGTTCACTTGCCAAGGAGTTTGCAAAGCATGATATCGAGGTAAACTCAAAATGGACTACCCTGTATTTTTCACATTAGACTAACCACTGAACAGACGCTCTTTATTGAGTCTTGGTGTGATGATGAACGCATCATTGAAGAGAATGTTCGCAGAGTCAAGATTTCCTCCCCTGATGTGAGTAGTCTTTTGATTGGCATATAGTAAATTTTCTGACAACTCTGGGTAGTATGTCTCATGGAAATCAGAAGAAGCCGTGAAGCACTACTTGACCCGCATCTCTTCTCGCATCCCTCAATTCCAGACCATGGAGGAAAAGGATTTGAATTATATCAAGGTATGCAAGCTTGGCCTGTTTCATATATCGAATACTTACCAAATGCAGATGATCAACGCCGGCGAGAGACTAATTGTCAACAATAGGAGCTTTGGTTACCTTTCTAACCGTATTGTCTTCTATCTTTTGAACCTCCACATCAAATCGCGACGGACTTACTTTGTTCGGGTACGTCATATTCTACCAACGCAGCTGCAGCACAAGACTGACATTTAGCTTTAGGCCGGTGTTTCATTGGATGCAGATTCTTACAAAGCTGATGCCTCCCTTTCGGAACAGGGAGAAGACTATGCTCAAAAAATGACGGCACGTCTACTAGCTCACCGAGAAGAAGAGAAGCAGGCGATGATTGAGCGAGGAGAGACTGGCTATGAATCAAGACCCCTGAAGATTTGGACCTCTACTCGACGCAGGACAGTGGAAACAGCAAAATACCTCCATGAAAACGGCTACAAAGTTCGGCAAAGATCTCAGTTGAGCCAACTGCACCCTGGCGTATGCGAGAAAATGTCCGAGAAACACATACGAGAAGAATATGGGGACGAGGTTGCCAAGCATGAGCTTGATCCCTACCATCACCGTTATCCCCGCGCGGAGGTGAGAATTGATAATTAAACGTTCCAAAAGCATGGATGCTGACCTTTCTGTTCAGTCTTACCACGATCTTGCCGTTCGTCTGGAGCCCATAATTCTTGAGCTTGAGAGAGAACAAACCGATCTGCTTATCATCGCACATGAAAGCGTTTTGAGAGTTTTGTACGGCTATCTTATGGCTTGCAATGCCGCGGACATTCCGTTCCTTGAGTTCCCTCGCGATGAAATTATTGAGGTAAGTTGTTATTGAACGTAATGTATCATAGAGGCAACTGACACTGTTCCAGATCATTCCAGAGAGCTACCAGAATGTGGCACAGCATATCAAGATTCCTGACCTCCCCGAGGAGATCATTCCGGACTCCCCTGAAGACCTGAAGATTCCAGTGCCCCCGAGCGGAGTGGTGTCGCCAATGCAGGGCCTTGGTAGCCCAGAAGGCCAAGCAACTCCACAGAGTGGTTACCGAACACCGAGTGGAATCAGAACACCCCGTGCTGAAAGGATCTCACAAGATCACGTTGAAGACGTGGTCTAGTTGAAAGTCCAGATCTCTCTTTGCTCGGCGATATACCGTCAGCCATAAGTCTGTTGCTCTTGGATTCTTTCCCAGATGCGTGCGCGTTAAATCATTATTCATCTCCAGTGATTTGCAGGAACACAACCACATTTTATCTAGCCACTTTTTTAACCATTTAACCTCCGTGTAGAGTTGAGACAAAGACAATAGTATCCCCTGCTTGGAGTTCGTATGCATCTTCGCCTTCCAACTCCCAATCGGCATCATTGATAAGGACGAGAACACCAGGTCGTCTATCAGGCTGTTAGTTTCGGCTCAGTATATAGAATCAGTGTCCACATACACACTGTCCTCCATGATAAACATGTCTTTCCGCTGGTCCTGCATGAGATTGTCGACAAGGTATCCGAGCAAATATGAGATATTTGGCGGGCTGCCATTCTCTAATTGAGCAGGTAAAACGATTTTGTGCTTGCGCTCATTACCGAACAGCAATTCGAGGCCACCACTAATGATTTCAATGGTTAGTACAGGCTCGTCAAACGGACGGAAGATTCGTACGTAAATTCGACGGTAATCGGAATGGGAGCTTCACCCTGTACAGAATTTGAAGCGGCCATGGTGTGGTGAATGAAGAAGAAGACAAAAAAGATACAGAGCAGAAGTAGTTTTTCTTTCTCTATACTCGAAAAAGAAAAAGAAGTTCGTTCACAGTAAAGATGGAGGGGCTGGGGCGGAGACAGAAATCCTTATCGATAAGCCAATCTGCAATTTCTTTGCGCTTCTCCAACTTGCTTCATGCAAACGACACAAGGGTGATTAGGTCCCTAAGATACTCCAATGGTGGGCGTCACAACAGACTATATATCCGTGGGAGGAAATCGACACCCTGGTGCTGCGGATTGGGATGTGCAGACCGGTGTGCTCGCCTTTGGCGCTGACAACAATGTTGCCTTATGGGACCCTCTTGTAAGTCCAGTCAGGTTTAATAGACATATCTAGAAACTCAAAGGCTTACGTCTCATAAAGGACGAGACCTATCGAGGAACATATGCTTTACTGGTTGGTCATACCGACAAAGTGAGTGTTGTTCGGTTTTACACATGCCCCTCCTCAGGAACAAGATTCATTATTACCGGCTCCGTCGACCACACATTACGCGTATGGCAACAGGATAGCACCGAATTGTGCAACTATGCTCATGTTTCTACCCTCGAGGGTCACACCAGCTCCGTGAATGCGATTGCTGTCGCTAATGGAACGAACATCATCGCATCCGGAGCGGCCGATGGAACAGTCCGAATTTGGAGAATAAATGCGCAGGATGGAGTGAAATGCGAGCTACTTGATACGATTACTATGACGCCACGCTTTTTCCCATTGACTTTGTCATTACAGGCGCTTGGAGATGACTCGGATAAATCTTTGGTATTGGCCGTTGCGGGCACAATGACCAAGGTGCACATATATGTCTCTGAAACCTCCAACATGCCAGAGTTCAAGCGCCGCGCTGTACTTGCAGGTCACGAGGCTTGGATCAAGTCTCTTTCATTTACTCAGGATAAGCAAAGTAAAGAAGGCGATATCTTGCTGGCATCCGCTAGTCAAGATAAATACATTCGCCTTTGGCGCTTGCATCGGGGTGAAGCAAATCCTCCTGCTCCCATTGATGACACAGATCCTCTGCTTGGAGGCATGGAACCCACACTTTCGAACAAGGCCCATGAATTCGAAGCAAAGGGATTGAAGTACTCAATCACATTTGAAGCTCTTCTATTTGGACACGAAGATTGGATCTATACCACTGCATGGAATCCTGACTCCAAGCGGCAACAGCTTCTTTCAGCCTCCGCTGATAACACTATTACGATCTGGGAACAAGACCAAGCGTCAGGCGTTTGGATGTCGACAGAGAGAATGGGAGAGATCAGTGTTCAAAAGGGATCTACTACCGCTACCGGTAGTGCCGGTGGATTCTGGATTGGTCTTTGGTCGCCCGATGGAAAGCAAGTTGTGAGTCTTGGCCGAACAGGTAGTTGGAGAGTATGGCGACAAGATTCCGATTCGGATCTCTGGGTGCAAAAATTTGGTATCTCTGGCCACGTTCGCTCGTCTAATGGTGTTCAATGGGAACCTACTGGAGGATATATGCTCTCAACCAGTGCCGATCAGACCACACGACTCCATGCCAAATGGGTGCGGGACAGCAAAAGCTCATGGCATGAGTTCTCTCGGCCCCAAATTCATGGATACGACTTGAACTGTGTCGACACCCTGGGACCTTTACAGTTCGTGACTGGCGCGGAGGAAAAGCTTCTGCGTGTTTTCAATGAACCTAAGCAAATTGCCGAGTTGCTTGAGAGACTCACTGGGTTCAAACAGTCGATTGAAGACCTGCCAGACACTGCTGAAATCCCTGTGCTGGGTCTTTCTAATAAGGCCCTTGGAGAAGAGGCACCGGTAGAAGAAGACGAGGAGAAAGCACCGGCAGAAGCACCCAACGCTTCTGTCTCGTTGGCTGCCAATCACCCGCCACTAGAGGATCAATTGTCTCGTTACACACTGTGGCCGGAGCATGAAAAGCTCTACGGTCACGGATATGAGATTTCAGCAGTGGCAGTTAGCCATGACCGCAAGCTCATTGCTACCGCCTGCAAGGCCAGTTCCATCGACCATGCAGTTATTCGTCTCTACGATACTTCAGACTGGCATGAGATCAAACCTTCTCTCACAGCGCACTCATTGACCATCACGGACCTCTCGTTCTCAGCTGACGACCGCTATCTTCTCAGCGTTGGACGTGATCGTCAGTGGGCAATCTTCCAGCGCAGCGACTCAGATCTAACAACATTCGCAAATCTCACCTCAAATCCCAAGGGTCATTCTCGAATGATTTTGGGTGCCGCCTGGGCCCCAGCCACAACGGAACCTGTCTTTGCTACCGCAGGACGTGACAAGTCCGTGAAGATCTGGCAAAAGACAGAGGAGACTTTCGTCTCCAAGACAACCGTGCCACTGACCTCAGCAGTCTCAGCAATTGCCTTTTTGCCTATCACATACAAGGGATCATTCATCATCGCAGCGGGCGAGGATAGTGGTGTCATATCTATCCACCGAATTGCCGCCGACACCTTTGAAGCAACGCATATTGTGACGATTGACAAGAAGATTGCACCTTCAAAGACAATTACCCAATTATCATGGCGGCCAGTGTTGGCAGAGTCAGAGAGCGATCGGTTTGAACTGGCAGTGGCAAGCGAAGACACTTCCACGCGCATATATGCTATTTCTAGCATGCTTTGATGATGTATATACAAAACCCAAATCGTCTTAGCCACCCCTTATGAGTCATGATGGTTGAAAAACTCGCCAATGTTGAATAGATCGCTAGATGCAAGATGTCAAACCGTGAACCGTAAACCCCGTCTATGCCTGTGGTTGAACCCAATGATTGTTGAATGGCATGATGTTAAAAGACCCCTCGCAGCAGTGCAAAACAAAAGAAAAACACAAGAAAGTAACCCAGGTCAGGTCAGAAGTCACTTATCAGAGCGCTTCTCCAATCCATAACCACCAATGCCCTCAAGGGACTGGTAAGTCTTAGCCTGATTTCCACGACCATTCCGAGGCCCTCTAACTGCCATGTCCTCCTTGAGCCACTTGAGCACCAACTCACCAAGTCGACTATTCTCAGAAGTCCACTCAGGAACCTCCTCATGGAAAGATTCAACACTGCCCAACGCCTTAACCTTACCCAAGTGCATATGAGCGAGATGAGTCGGCCACTGAGCAAGGTTGTCCAAAATATGAGTAGCATAAACAATGGTGCAAGCTCTGCTCTCCGTCTCGCGTTTCAAAAATGCCAGGAAATTACTTCGAGACAAAAGATCCAAATCGACCGTGATTTCATCAAGAAGCAGAACCTGCCACGGCCGGAGTAGACCCATAGCCAGTTGGACACGACGACGCTCACCATCCGACACGGCATGCATCCTCCAACTCAGATCAATGTCTAGGATGTCGACTAGCTCGTCCCGACGCTCGGGGTAAGCGTTTCCGCCCACGGAGGCGAGAAGTGTTGGCACGTCGATGTCTGTGCGAACAATGCTGTTCAAGACCCATTCTACACCGAGGTAGGTTACGCCGTCTAGGCTGTCTTTGAAGGGGTCTTTGCCACCCACCGCGATGGTGTCATTGGGTGCTAGACGCTTGCCTGATAATAGGCGGAGGAGGGTGGTTTTGCCCGCTCCATTTGCTGGATTTGGTCAGTCTATAATGTTGCATGGGAAAAAGTGTGACTCACCGCCGATTAGGAGGGTTCGACTTCCGGCTGGGAGGCTCATGGCTACGTTCTGGAGGCCGTCGGAACCATCTTGGAACTTGTATGAGAGGTTTTGGACCTCAATGTTGGGGAGAGTGCTCGACATGATGGGAGTGAGCAATTCGTGGAGAGAATGGGAGCAAATGAGAAGAATGAATGAGTTAAAAGAGGCTGCAATGGTAATGAAAGATGAATCATTCCACTAAAGATTAGCGTTGCAACATTGCGAGCGAAACACGCCCTGTGGCGGGATGGGGACCCGATAACGATAACACCTTTTTTTTTTCTTCTTCAACGTCTTGACTCAAGCCGTTGAGGCATGCTCTCTGCTATACGCAAATTATATGCTCGACCCCCTCTACTACATATTCCAATGGACTCACTTATAACTGTTCTCGGTGCCACAGGCACCGGCAAGTCAAAGGTAATGACTCCCCCGCACTTGTGAACCCAATGACTGATAGCTATAGACAGCTTGCAGTGGACTTAGCCTCTCGTTTCAACGGTGAAATCATCAATGGCGATGCAATGCAGATGTATCGTGGTCTACCCATTATAACGAACCAAATCCCAACCGAGGAACGAAATGGCATCCCCCACCACCTCCTCAGTTGCATCGACCCGGACGCAGAAGCATGGCGCGTAGGGTTATTTAAACGCGAAGCTCTCCGGATCATAGATGACATTCGATCAAGGGGAAAGGTGCCCATACTTGTTGGAGGAACGCATTATTACACGCAAGCGGTGCTTTTCAAAGACCAGCTCGTGGGCGAAGGGGTGGACGACGAAGGCGAGCGCGAGCAGCTCACGGAGTTTAGCTCCACTTCTTCGAAGTGGCCAATTCTAGACGAGTCGACCGAAGTCCTCTTGGAGAAATTGCGAGAGGTCGACCCTGTCATGGCTGGTCGTTGGCATCCAAAGGATGGGCGCAGAATCCGTCGCTCACTGGAGATATTTTTCCAGACTGGACGGCCAGCTTCGGAGATTTACAAAGAGCAGATGACGCAGAAGAGAAAGGCCATGGACCAGAGTGATAGTCTATTGCGATTCTCGAATACATTGGTGTTTTGGGTCCATGCCGAGAAGGAGGTTCTCAATGCGCGCCTGGATGCGCGTGTCGATGACATGGTCAAGCAGGGCTTGATGACTGAGGCGCAGAAGATGTCGGATTACCTGCAAGAGAAAGCTTCGCAGGGAGTCGAGGTCGACCAAACGCGAGGAGTGTGGGTGTCAATTGGATTCAAGGAACTGGCGAACTACTTCGAAGTTGCCCGGAAAGGTGAGCAGAGCGAAAAAGAGCTCGAAGATCTCAAGCGGGCTTCTTTGGAACAAATACGGACTGCTACACGACAGTATGGATCGTCACAAGTCAAATGGATCCGCAACAAATTGTGGCGTGCCCTCACAGAAGCTGGCGAGACGAATCGTCTATACCTGCTGGACAGTTCGAATGTCAGCAACTGGAGCGAGTGCATCACTCAACCCTCGGAGAAGATTGTACAAATGATGCTTCAGAATGAACCCACTCCTGACCCCAAATCACTTTCTCAGCTGGCGGCGACTGAGTTCGGGGCGAAAGAGGCCCAAGTCAAGGCGCCGAAAGAGCTGATTGGGAAAGTCTATACCTGCGAATGCTGCAAAAAGACGTTGGCGGGCGAGGACCAGTGGAATATTCACCTCGATAGTTATCAGCATAAAAGGGGCCTTAAGTCTGCAAAGAAGAGGGAAGCGCGTGATGAATATTTCCGGCAGAAGGAGTTGGAAGCACAGGAGGCTGCTGTCAACGAGAAACTCGAACAGGGACCTGAGAATGGCTCATGATTTATTGCACTGCATGTTTGAGCGAACATTAGGTCGATTGTTAGAATAATACCCAATTCAATCTACATCCCGTCTAGAAAGTCTGGCGACATGTCATGCGCTGTAGGGCTTACTATATATCTTCCTATTAGTCTTTTTTCCCGTTTTTCCGGGTCTTTTTTCCCAACGTTCTTTGGGGTCTCTTCTATTCAATTGTAAAAATATAGCGGCTTACTATCCAAGATCGTTTTCTTGAAGGTCTTTGTTTACTATGAGCTATTTTCAGACACGCCAGACACTATGTAGACAATGATTTTCAGATTCAGCAAATAAAAGTACAAAGTTTCCAATCAGGATTCCGCAAAACCTGTGCCCGATCGCCAGGCCTTGAAAGCAGGCGAGAGGATATCACCATGGCCCTGTTCCTCAACCTGATAGACTTCAATAATAGGAGATTTTTCCTTTTTCCGGATTCTCCACGTTCCCTCCCGATTAATAGTCTGCTTGAGCCCTGTTGGATATGTCAGTGCTGCTAGATACTCATATATAGAAAAAAAGACATACACTCCAAGAAAGCACCAGCAAAATTGATGCAAATATTGCCATCCCAGGACCGTCGACCAACATTCAACACTTTCGCGGGGATGCTGGCTGTGTCCAGCTCCTCCAGGCTGTGGCAGATACCGTTCTGATCGCGGAATCCGACGATGATCTTAGGCACACCGAGTAAGAATGACTGAGCCCAGAATTTGAGCAGCTTCCGCTCATACTTGAGCATATCTTTGTCGTTGCGGATTTGAGCTGATGTCTTCAACTCGACCCAGTTGATGGGAGCGTCTTTCTTCCATGGTTTGCTATCCCAGACTGAAAGAAAATCAGTATAGTATGGTTACAATCAAGGCACGGTAATTGAAAACTTACTGGCATCAACCTCGCCACCGAGAACCATGCGCACATTGCCGATTCCTGTGCGAACGACGGAACAATATTGTGCTGCGTTGTTGACGACTGCGTCTTCGCGGCCTTCAATCTCTTCACGAGTGCTTTCGTCCCATGTTTTCCGGAGTACGGCTAAGCTTTCGAATTTATAGCCTGGGGATTTATCAGCCCACGTTTCATTTGAGGTATCTTTTTCTCATACCCCAATACATCATCAGTTCCTGCGGAGCCATCCCAGGCGGTGATCCTCGTTTGCGTTGGATCTCTTTCTGTTGGTTTTTGTATTCATTGTTTTCTTCAATGAATCTAAGACCAGTCAGTTGAAGCATATAGCTGAATATCGGTGTATACACACATAGTACCCTAGACATGGTTAAATCATTGATGCTGGGATTTGGAATTGATATCCTACCTGGAAGCAAGTTGCGTTCATCTCAAAGCTGTGTACCGAGGTCAGAGAACCAGCACATACCCGAAAATCAGATCTACTAACCCGTTCATGTTATCAAATGGAGCTGTCAAGATCTGTACATGGGGTTAAGTAGTTAGAAATCAGTTTTAGACATGCAGATTGTACTATATTTAACCCACCTTGGTCATCATCCCTCTCCATGTGACGATGTCAACTTCACACTTCTTCCCTGTATCCTTCTCATGAGCAACAAGGGTATCAAGTAGAGCATCCAAGTGCTCATCGGCGACATCATTGAGCTTCTGGAACGTGTCATACCCCTTGTTGAGATCCGCAGGTAGTGCCGGCGTATAGTAGTAGGCCATAGATGAATCTCCCAGCGAAAACCGACGCTGATCATCGTAAGAAAAGCACGCAATTTCCTAATAGCCATTTAGCAACATAGTGCTTCTAATCGATGTAGCATGGCTTCCTCACCCTTGGTCGCCGAATAGAGGTATTTGCACCGCCGAAGCGGAGCACTGGCTGGATATTGAAAGTAGACGGATTCATGTTATCACTTTATTGCGCGAAATACATGATCGAGAGAAGAACGCGACTGGGTTTGCCCTTGATATAGATCGCAGCAACTTGGTTGGCTGTATAGCGACTATGTGTAATGGTGTCGTGTGTCGCCTGAAAGAAATGATTCTATATGTTGAATTGGTTTCAAACAGTAGAAACTGTAGATTCAATAAGAGATACAACTGTGAATGCAGTTATCAAGCAAATCTAGGGTCATTCGGAGGAGATGACGGAGGAGTTCTCAGAACATCCGCGTCCCCACCAAATCTCAACCAACTCCCCGCGAACGTCCTTACACATCACTGAGCGCTTTCGAGTATACTCTTTTATTTCTTTTAGCGATTGCAGATTTATTATGGCGTCCCGCATCGATAAGGTCATCGCCCGCCAGCGAGAAAAGTGAGCCCCCATAGACATCCTAGCGAATTGTGTTCTGACTGTGTTTAGGATCGCCGACGGCGCCTACTATGAAGCTCACCAGCAGCTACGTGTCATTGCTGCCCGATACATCAAGCAGTCCAACTACGATGCTGCAGCGGAAGTCTTGGCTGGGGGTGCGAAAGAGCTGTTGAAAGCTGGCTCTCAACAAGGTGCTTCTGCCAGTGGTGGCGATCTGGCGATCATGCTGGTGTTGGAGGTGTACAACAAAGCAGAATGGGAAATCAAGGGTGGCAGTGATGATGCGGAGGGTCGGGCTCGTAATAGTGAGTATACCAGTGGTTTACAAAGTTGAAATACTGCGACTTGCAGCAACCTGGTCCAATCCCGGAGAGATTGCTAATATATTCAATCCACAGAGCGCCTGATCGAGCTGCTTCGTGAATTCCCATCCGAAGAACCTACACGCAAGAGATTTATCCAGGAAATAATGGGATGGAGTGGAAAGTTCGGGCCTCTGGAGAGGGGAGATCCAGAACTACACCATGCTGCCGGCTCAGTGTACGCCGAAGGTAGGGTGATATGCAAAAGTGCAGTAATCGATATATTCTAATTTAGCGCAGATAACGAGCCATACGATGCCGAGAAACATCTCATCCTCGGAACCTCCGAATCGGCCGAGACGCTGGCGAAACTCGAGTATGAGTGGTACACCAGCGACGAACCACACACCGCAGCGATATATGCGTCTCGCGCAGTCTTTCCATACCTCCTCACTGGCAATCTTCGCAGCGCAAACAAAGCCATGCTCATTTTCACATCGAAGCTCTCAGCCGCCAACCCCCAGCTTGGTGTGCAGGATGTCAGCAGTTCCAGCTCGGATACCCGTGTATTCCCTGCGCTGCCATTGATGAACTTCATCAGCTTGCTGCTGTTGAGTATCCAGCGCGGAGGTGCAGATATCTTCCGCCAGCTTACTGCACACTACGCGGCACAGATTAAAGCAGTGGGTATCTGGGATGATGCGCTAGCGCAGATTGGCGAGCAGTACTTTGCTATCAAGATCCCAAGACAAGGAAACCCTTTGATGGATATGATGAGTGGTATGTTGTTCGGAGGTGGACAGGGTAATGCGGGCAGGCAACAATCCAGAGCGAAGAAGGTCGAGGCACCACCGGCAAGCATGGAGCTTGATTAAGGAAGGTTTGCTGTGAACATATTCGCCTGATAGTGTAATGAAACCGTGTCATGCACACGAGCCCACCTTAATTAGAAAAAGAGTTCCTCTCGGACTCAAACATCCAATTATCGTCATCCAATGATGCCGCTTTCTTGCGTAGACTTTCGTGCACGATCTTGAGAATCTCTGCTTCGTGTCAGTAGGATCAATGCCGGGTTCAATGAATGAAACTCACCATCAGGCTCATCATTCGCCTGTCTGTTCCGGTGCCGAATCATCATTTCCACAAGCGCAGCCTCGAATCCTGTCCAAGTGTCAGCATCTCGTGCTTCGAATACACCAATAGAGTCGTATATAAACATACTCTCTTTATCGATCCCAGTAAGCTCTGCAGCACCGAAAGCTCTCTCTTCATCGAGCTCAGCCAGCTCATCGGCATCTTCAACCAAAGCAGGCGGCAACGTGGGAATATCAAGCTTGTAGCCTCCGTTCTTATCCCGAACCACGATATCCTTATTCTCCACTGTCTTGAATGGTCGCGCAGGAGGCCCCGAGTCCGAAGATGTAGGCTTGAGTCGGTGTGAGGGACGATTGGAGACACCGTTGGGGTTTGGGGGAATTACGCCATTGGGCGGTCCTGCAGAAGCAGGTCGGCGGCTGAGGTTTCCGTGAAAGAGATTGCGGCGGACAGAGCTTGGGTTCATCATTGTGGAGGTTTGGCTGTAGACACTGCAAAGAGCGCGATTTGCCTTTTCGTTGCCGGGGTTGGGGTACGTGTTTCGGTGGGGGTATGAAAGGAGACGCGGTTGTTTCACGAATTAAGTTTCTTGAGCCGTGGATATATCAAGGTGTGTACAAACGAGGGGACTTAGTCATTTCATTGACTGTATTAAGAATACTTGTTGTTGAGAGGGAAGAATAGTGCGGAATGAAGTGGTAATGCTGTGTCGACCACGAACTTGTTAGAGTTGAGAACAACTATATCATATTCTGAACTCGTTTAAGATGTATAAGACCATATATGAATCAAATTCATAAGTAAATGATTACAAGAAATATTCACATGTACACACATAGTTATGTATGTATTCATACAAATTGAAGCACAACAGGGCACAGGCCAACCGATAAGCTTATCGGACGCGCTCATCTTTCGCGTCTTCCCTTTCTCTCACAGTGTGCTGTTCTTCACTAATATTGTACATCTTCCACAATGGTTCAAGCAGAGTCTTCTACAAGCGCTTCTCGCAATGCTGCAAAGGCAAATACCATAGGCGCTCCTGCCAACTATGAGCTTCCCTGGTAGGTATACTTGCAGAATGTCAAGTACCAAAAGCTAACCTCTTTTCAGGGTCGAGAAATACCGCCCCATTTTCCTCGATGACATTGTTGGCAACACTGAAACAATTGAACGGTTAAAAATCATTGCCAAAGATGGTAATATGCCACACGTTATTATCTCTGGTATGCCGGGTATCGGAAAAACCACTTCAGTTCTCTGCCTGGCACGACAGATGTTGGGAGATTCATACAAGGAAGCAGTGTTGGAGCTGAATGCTAGTGATGAAAGAGGTAGGCTCTGCTGCTATTTTGGTGACTGACTGGTACTAATGAGTCTAGGTATTGACGTGGTACGGAATCGGATCAAGGGTTTTGCCCAGAAGAAGGTTACCCTACCTCAAGGTCGCCATAAGCTAGTCATTCTTGATGAGGCCGACAGGTTCGTGCTTCGATCAATCCTGAAATCTGGATATCAGAATTAACATAAATGCAGTATGACCGGCGGTGCTCAACAGGCTCTGCGACGTACTATGGAAATCTACTCATCCACCACCCGATTTGCGTTTGCTTGCAACCAGTCGAACAAAATTATCGAACCCCTCCAATCCCGTTGTGCTATCCTTCGTTATTCCCGGTTGACGGACGCCCAAGTCGTGAAGCGATTGATGCAGATCTGCGAGGCAGAGAAGGTGCAGCACTCCGAAGACGGTATTGCTGCTTTGGTCTTCAGTGCCGAGGGTGATATGCGTCAAGCTATCAACAACTTGCAGAGTACTTCGTCTGGTTTCGGGTTCGTCAATGGAGACAATGTCTTCCGAGTGGTTGATAGCCCACACCCGGTCAAGGTCCAGGCCATGATCAAAGCTTGCTGGGAGGGCAAGGTGGATGCGGCACTGGAGGTGTTGAATGAGCTATGGTGAGTGGAGCTGCTTTCTCTTTTTTTTTGGGCTCACTGGAAGATGCTAACCAGTTTGTTTTCAGGACACTGGGATACTCCTCTCATGATATCATCAGTACTATGTTCCGAGTTACCAAGACCATTCCTACCTTGTCCGAGCACTCCAAGCTGGAGTTCATTAAGGAGATTGGTTTCACGCACATGCGCATCCTGGACGGTGTGCAATCACTCCTCCAGCTAAGTGGATGTGTGGCGAAGTTATGCAGAATTAACATGAAGCCTGAGCTCTTCAAGCCCAAGGCTTGAGATGGCGTGCTTATATTTTCGCATATTCCCACGGCGTTTGGTATCATTTTAAGTGACTCTAGAAGCAAAGGCTTTCGTATAATGAGTTACGTCTTCAATTTCAACAAAATCAATTTCTCATTTAGGTTCTGGTACCTTACTTTAATTCGAAACGACATGACTCTTCCAGAGTCTCTCAACAACAGTAGCAGCCCCCAGCACCTTTTCCTCATGAAGCTTCTTCCCAATAATTTGAAGATTCACCGGATATCCATCCACCTGCCCCGCATCGTAAAGGTTCCAATTCCATTCATCGAGACTATTCCTGGGAACATACTCCGGCAGCACATCGACCTCAGCTCTGACTCTGTCCACCGGGAATGTCACAGCTGGATAGTCTAGCAAATTCCAAATCTTAGTATATCCAACCCACCTTAACTTCCGATGAGGCACAGTCGTATGTGGCAGAGTAGGACTCAGCAGAACATCAACAGGCCTGCCAGACGGAGACCGCACAGCATTCCAATGATCTAGGTATCGTTTCTGCACCGCCGCTTTCCGTTTGTTGAGTTGCCAATACTCATACACCGAAACAGCCTTGCCGCGATTAATCAGAGCCTCGACATGAGGAATCATCGGTTCTCCTGCAGCTTCGACATCCCGTCGGATATCTTCGCACCCGTCGACAGTGTAGAATAGATCCATGATTTCAATGCAGGATGCATGATCTGACGTATCCCAAATCATGACTTCGTGGCCATTCGCTTTCAAAACAGCTGATAACTCCTGCAGTGCGCGTGCGATGGGCGGGTGGACCTTGACTACACCGTCGTCTAGTATCAAGCCGATGACCAAGGGTCTATCCTGAACTTCCTGAAATGCACCCTCATTCCAAGAGAGAGGAACACATCTCGGGTCGTAGTCCCAGGGTTGGTGATTCGCTACTAGCCGGCTCATGTAACAGATCGATGAGAGATCTCTAGCCATCGGTCCGATCGAAGACGGAACATGTTCCTGGCCTTCTGTGGAGACGGGTACGCCGTGATAGGGCAGACGAGCGCTCTATAATGTGTCAATAAGTATACGACGAAATGCAGAATGTCTACCCACGCTCGGTTTGAAGCCATACAAGCCCATGGTACTCTGTGGAATTCTCACACTTCCCCCGATATCAGTTCCAAACCCAATTAGGGACCCATGCAATGCCAACAGCGCCCCCTCGCCACCGGTGGATCCTCCAGGCGAGAATCCCGGATTGCGAGGATTCGTCGTGAGTCCCCAAAGAGGGTTCTCCGTTTCGGCCCACTGAGTAATGTTAATCATTAATGAACAAATATGTTGCGCATTGGAGCTACGGACCATGATACTTTGGGGAAGATTGGTCTTGGCAATAATGATGGCGCCCATCTTCTTCAACATTTGCACGAGGGCTGCGTCTTCGGAAGCTGGGGCGAATGATCTGCCTACATAGCCTAGGGTTGTGTCGACGCCTTTGACATTGAATTGATCTTTCAGTGTGATTGGAATGCCGTGCAAGGGGCCTTTGAGTTCCCCGGATTCTTTGAACTCGGCATCTAGTTTGCGGGCTTGCTCTAGGGCGGTCTCAAAGAAGACCTCGGTTAGGCTGTTTGTCTAACTCAATTAGTGAGTGGACCAGAGTCAACAAGGGAACGACATACAAGCTGATGCGCTACCACAGATCTATTGTATTGTCAGCGTTTGCTGCTTTGGCAATAGGAGCAGACATACCGTTTAATATAGGCCCGAGTCACTTCTTCCGCACCAAACTCTCCTTGCTCGATACCTTCCAACAAGGCAGCGACATTATCAATGTCTGTGATCTTCTGGGCTATAGGATCTGTCTTTATCTGACTGCGCTCCTCGACATTGTGGACTTGTGGTAGACGTTGCTCTACATCGTCTACCAAGTATGGAGTGAGGAGTTGGTCTCTGATGACCCGTTTCTGGGAAACGATATCTTTCCAGTCTGTTACGCCACTCATATTGGTATGACTGAGCTACTTAGAAATACCTAGGTATATATATACTCCATTACTCCGCTCCAAAGTGAGTCCGAGGCCTGAATAAAGGTGGAGATGCAATTGGAGTAAGTGACTAAGTGGCATCTGACGTATACCGTGTTCTCCAATAAATTCTCCAATCAATTTTTGGAGTAAAATGAATTGATGAACATACAAAATATTGCAGAAGAAGTACAGAAGTACAGAAGAAAAGAAGAAAAGGAGAAGATCACCGTACGACGCATTAGGGAGCGGGGAATTTGCCCATGTGGGTCTGAACCCCCGTCAACCTCTGATGCGCAATCGTCCATCCGGGATCTTCCTTGTATTCTTTCTCACTCCCATCTGATGGAGCCTCATCTGAATGGAATCAAGCTCAAGTACCGGATCACCGCCCGGTGCCTCCGCAACCGGTGCTATTCGTACCCGAAATAAACCACCTATTGCCAAGAGAGCTTGCGACCAATGCAAATTCCGCAAGATCAAGGTAACCCTCCCCCTTGTGATACGTATCAGATATATCAAATGTATCGATTCAGGCATTGACAGGCCTCTAGTGTAGTTTATCACAGCCCTGCAAGGCTTGCACGTCTATGGGCTTTGAATGTACATTTTTTCAACCGCAGAAGAAGCGGGGACCAACGGGCCAGTAAGTGCAGAATCGCCAGTGAATAAACAGTCTTGGACTGACTGGGGCCAGTCGAGTATCGCAAATTCGACAACAGCAAACTTTGCCAACTCCTCAAGAGGAAGCACTCTCTAAACAAAGAACTTTTCAATATCATACACCCACTTCATCCGTGGAGTCCGGTGGTTCTTTACCAGGAGCACCTTGGACTCCCAATCATGGCCCAGTCACAATGCCCCTAGAGGGGGCTGCAGGGCTGGCGCCGTCAGCTCCACCTCCTCCAGTGGGAGCGGCTTGGGGTGCAGATACCCAATCTATGGATTCTCACAGCAGTGGCGCAATGGGCTGGAATGAACGAAATGACGTGGAATATTGGCTTCCAGATAATTTGGATGCCCAAGTCCCCGTCTTTGAATATCCAGGAAGCAATGTCTACCTCAAACCGTCTCTCCCATCTATAATCCAGCCAGTTCCCGATGCCGCGGGAATGGGCATACCCCAGGAGGCTCACAATATGCCATATTCACCATCCCCAAACGTGGGTTCCATGCACTCAGATAACCAGGAAAGCGAAGCATATTGGCCGTCTACCATCAACGAAGTGAACATGATTCCTTGGATCGATGTCTACTTTGACCGATTACATCCGACAATTCCCGTTCTTAGTCGATCTTCCCTGTACACATCAATGCTTACCCAGGAACATCGCAGGAACCCGCAATTCGGGGCGATGCTTTTGTCACTCTGTGCTTTTTCGCTCACACAGCCAATTGAAATCAACGAGCGGCCGACAACCTCTTCCCGGGCTATCCAGGCACGCGCCATGATGCACGAGGCCACGAAGATGCGGAGCTGTTCAGACTTTGGCGAGAACCCAACCATCGAAGCTGTTTTGACAAGTTTCTTCCTCTTCGGGTGCTTATTTGGGAGCAATCAACATAATGCTGCATGGCTTCGAATGCGGGAAGCTTTAGATCTTGCCGCTACCCTTGGACTGAATAACCCGGAGTCATATCACGATCTACCGGGAGAAGAGAAAGGCCAGAGATTACGAACATATCTAGTCCTTTCAATCACAGAGCGGTTAGTAGACCACCAACCATATTGTACCACCGCTGACCATGAACTAGAGCCTATGCCTTACAGCGACGCCACCCAATCACATTCTGGGGCAAACCCGGCTTCACCATGCGATCAGTACACGACTTTATCCTCAGCGCCACGCACAGCGTTGTATCCGGTATCATAGTACACAACGAAAAAGATGCCGAAGGCATGATGGGCCTCGCGCGAATGATGGAACTGTTCGACGCCATTGACGAGGATGTAATCGACTGCTGGAACCGTCGATGCGACGTCCCCAACGGGTACTGCCAGCGACTCACCGAGGCCAAAGCGCTCGCCATCCACCACAACCTCAGTCGAATCAACCAAGCTGAGCGGTATCGCGGCTACGACTGGTTCGAGCGCGCCAAGGGAGGTCGTGGCGAAAGCAGCAATATCGTTCTTGCCATGGGTTTACGAGAAACGCAAGCTGCGGATGTCTTCGTTACGCAGAAATGGCTGCAGAACCGTGTTTGGATTCTTTGTGCCACTCATGGTCTTCTGAGTGCCCACTCTGAGCGGCCGGAGTTGACCTTTGGCTATGCTGTTGCCCTTGCTGAGTCAACGCTTCAGTTATGTCAATCATTACGGCTCAGTTCTATGGAAGCACATGGTATTGGATTTGTGTGTCCCACTTTAATAGTCCGAGTCTATCAAATCCGAGGTTGTACTAATAAACTAAATAGACCGAAAAGCTGTTCGATATCGCTATCTGCGCCACAAACATCCTTTGCAACACCAGTCCACCCCTTGGCGGCGGCGCCTTGAACATCCCCGTCAACTTCACCATAAATACGACCTCTACACCACAAAGTCTCGCAGATGACTTTTTGTTACTAATGACGAGTTTCCGGGGCGGGAATCACCCCTTCCTGGAAAAGTTTCGGGCCCATTTACACTCGCTACAGATCATACCACTCAAGCAGGAATGGCCGCAGCGGTGAATATGATGCTTTACTTTTCGATCCCTTGAAATCTCTCTGCGGAGCATCTGCTGATTGTTCCGTTGGTGTATAAGAGAGGTTTCTGGTACTGTACGATTTACTTTATATGTTCTGTAGAATAGGAGGACTTTTGGATGTCCGTTTTAGCTTTTCTAGTTATCCGAATCACTATACTGTAGACAGACATCGTGGTTGAATGTAAAAGCGGTTGTAATGGCCTCTCAATAGACTTGTTGAGCCTGTACATCGCATAGAAGAATAAAGAGCGCAATAATATACATATAGTTACAATGACCTCAATCCATCTAAGTTATCTATACCGACCACCCCCTTCGATCCCCGAGGCCTCATCTGGAACGAAGTCTCATAAGATCTCCATTTCCACATGGGAATATTAGCCGCATACATTTCATCGATTTCAGCAAAAGTCCTGCCCCGCGTTTCTGGCATCAAAAAGTAATAAAAGACAATAATGGCAGCCATACAACCCGCAAAGACAAGATATGTCTTCGCGCCGAGATTAGCCGCATCCGCCGACGTCAGCTGTGGAACAGCCAGCGTGGTGATAACGGCCGTTGTCTGAGCGCAGGCAACAGTGTAGGACATGGTGTGGTGGCGGAGTTTGGGGGTTGCCATCTCGGATGGCATGAGATTGGCCAACGAGAAGAAAGAAGATGCACAGAAGAAATTAAATACAAAGGACAGCCCAGCGATGGCCGTGATGGCTTGCTTATTTCCTTTGTAAAATGCTAAGCTGCCGGCCGCGACGTCGATTGTGAATAGGATGCCCATGCCGACGAACGCTGTTGGTCGGCGACCGGCTCGGTCGATGACGAAAGGGGCAGCAATGGTCCCAGCTAATGTGCAGCAGGATGCGATGATGGTGAGTGTGAAGGCATTTCCGATGCCTATCTCTTGAAGAAAGACGGTTGCGTATGTCGTTGAAAGGATGATGCCTGATATTTGGTTGAGGGAGAAGAATGATCCGGCAGTTATGGTTCGCTTGAGGTGTTGTTGTTGGAAAATGTGCCAGAATTTGACCTGAGCGTTAATCTCATGCTCGTTCTGTTCGCTTCGCTCCATCAGATGAAGCTCGTCGTCTACCTCTTCGTCGCTGAATCCACGCAGTTTCCGAAGACTATCTCTAGCGCGCTCTAGTTTGCCCTTTCCGACAAGCCATTGCGGACTTTCTGGGAGAGGGATTGTCAAGAAGAGAAGAATGACTGGCAGAGCACATTGCACGGCGAGCGGGATCTGATATGACAAGATCCCGTCGATCTTCTCAGTCTTGAAGACCACGACCGTGCCAATCACTCCAGCGGTGAGGTTCAAAATATTCGTTGAACTGACAGACCTCCCTCGTATAGATGCGGGAACAACCTAAATGCAATAGTTAGTCTCGAGATGTAGACAGGGTGGAACAATCCCTACCTCGGCGATGTACAAAGGGGCAGTTGCATTGATAATCCCCAGCGCAACAGAATTGATCGAGCGACCTCCTATAAAGGCCCCTAGGTTCGGCGCAAAAACCTGAAGCAATCCGCCACCCACGGATATGATATATGCAGCAATCAACGGCCATTTGCGACCAAGGTGGAAGTTCAATGGCGAAGCAAGCAAACCTCCGATCACGGAACCCACCAAAGGAAGAGAGAAGACGAGATCTTGATTGCGTGCCGTGAGTATGTACTTCCCAGACACCGGGTTTGGTCCTTGGAACTTCTCGACCTGTTCAAATTAGTAAATTAATGTTATCACATGTTATCCCCATGCTATGGGCGCAGAGCCACCCACAAATGCCGGCAATGCAGCAACCGGAGAAATAATCTTGTCGTCGAAGCCGAATAAAAATGAAGCCGCGCCGAATACTGTACAGGCGAATATCAATTGGGCATTGATGGCCTTCCTGGGATGGGAGTGCGAGAAATCGACATGCTGGATCTCAGCCGAGTCACCCTTGAACATCATGTTGCGGAGAGTAGAGAAACACTGTAAAATGAGGGTGATCCATGCCCCGCAACGAACATGGTCCATTATATACTACGATCCATGTCGAAAAGAAGTTCTATTGAGGTCAAGAGGAGGTTCCCCAGATTTTGCAAAACTTTTGAGACATTCGGATTTAATTGACGTATCGAGTTTCTCCGAGATTTGCCATTTCATCGACACAACGTGTGTGGTATAACTACCTAGGGAGTGAGACAACTAGTAAGTAGTCAAGGGACTAAGCTGAAACAGAGTGAGCTGCAGAACATCATACTCAGACTGGCATATTCTCCACTACCCCAGAGATCGGCTTACGCTTGTGACTTGTTCAGTTTCCCCGACATTTTCCCTGCATATCCCGAACTTCCGACCAATTCCCGAAGGATTGAAGATTTCGTGCTTCACGATATCCTAATATGTGTTTCTGACGTGCAAGGTTCATCAATTAATAAAATCAAGTACTTTGAGAAACGGAGGATTCCCCGCTTATACAGAGAGCGGCACGGAAACCGAGTCTGATCTCGACAGAGTATATGTTATATTTCAGCTCTGGAGGTGCTACATATCTGGGAAACATTCATCATGTCGATACCAACTTCAGAGTTGGAAGTGCCCATTCTCAAGCCTCTGCAAAAATCCATATCGCCACGCCCAAGCCAAGAAACCATAAAGATCGACGAGAGAGATCTGCCTCGAAATCAATCGCAATGGAGACCGTCTTTCCATCTAACTGCTCCAGGGTGGTTGAATGACCCTTGTGGCCTAGGATATGATCCAGCAACAGGATTATACCATTTATGCTTCCAATGGAACCCCCACGGAAATGATTGGGGCAATATCTCTTGGGGCCACGCCACATCCTCAGACTTGGTATCATGGACGCCATCTCTTGATCCCATATTGAGCCCAACAGCGGAATATGACTGCCGCGGCGTCTTCACAGGATGTCTACGAGCGACTGACCTTTCCGGGAACCCGGGCGCTCTGACGATCATGTACACATCTGTGAAACACCTCCCAATCCACCACACCCTTCCGTATACATATGGAAGCGAATCACTCAGCCTGGCTGTGTCGCGAGATGGAGGCAAGAATTGGGAGCGACAAGATTGTAACCCCATCCTATGCGGTCCGCCTACTCATCTCGATGTGACGGGCTGGAGAGATCCTTGCATCACCACTTGGGTAAAGGGGCCTGTTTCCGATCCATCGACTCTATATGGATTTATTTCAGGCGGAATCGCTAAGAAAACACCCACTGTTTTCGTGTATACGGTTGACCCCACGGATCTCCGGAAATGGGACTTTATCGGCTCGCTGGTCGATGTAGGTCTCAACCTGCGGCCATCTCGCTGGTCCGGGGATCTCGGCGTGAATTGGGAAGTAGCCAGTCTGATGACTTTGGGCAATGAAAGCACATCCCGCGACTTTGTCATCATGGGAGCCGAGGGCTGTCTACCACTGGATAGTGCGACTCCGAAAGAAGACCCAGAAGCACGTCGGAGACGAGAAGCTCGAGGCCAGCTCTGGGTCTCTGTCAAGACAAATCGAGAACCCAGCTCTACAGGTGCTCTGACTTCGTATGCTTTCTCTGGTATCTTTGATCATGGCTGCTTTTATGCCGCCAATTCATTCTATGATACACAAACAGCGCGGCAGATTGTCTATGGCTGGATCACAGAAGAGGATCTGTCTGATTTTCTTCGTCACCGCCAGGGATTCAGTGGCTTGATCTCCCTACCCCGTGTTGTGGGATTGATGACATTGAAGAATGTCAAGAAGGCTCGCAAATCGGCTTTGAGCTCCATTACTTCGATCGAAGCCATTCCGGATGTTGATACATTCACTATCCACACTATGAAGATCAGTCCAGATAGTCGACTTGCACGTTTGCGGCAAAAGGCTCAAATGCGCCATCGAGCCCGCGAGTCCTTGTCTACCTTGACTGCCAACGGTGGCGCCGGTGCGTCCATGACATCTCGATGGGAAATCGACGCCAATTTCTCTGTCGGTCAATCTTGTTCTCGCGTGGGTATCAAAATCCCTCACACTGCCGGTAAGGTCTTCTCTTTTCTCTCAGATTAGAAATCCAAATATTAATAACGCTTCAGATGGTGAAAACTGCACGACTCTCTCTTGGCATCCACTCAGCGAGACATTCACAATCCACCGACCAAAGATCGAGAACAAGGAAGTCAACCATGGATATGAAACTGCGCCACATACACTATTCACCTTTTCAGAGCGAGGCCAAGAGACAGAAGAGAACCTTAGAATACACGCTTTCTTTGACTCGAGCGTGCTAGAGGTGTTCGTCAATGAGAGAACTGTCATCTCGACGCGAATTTACCACCCATCCAACCAATGCTTCGAGCCACTGTTCTTCGCAGAATCTGACGCCATTTCAGATATCGAACCAGCAGTGCTCTTGCGGGCGGATATTTGGGATGGCCTTGGGGTTTGAGTGTCAGTCATATAAAAGCGAGAACTTACCTCTTCATACAATACAATCTTTAATTGTAATTCCCATATGTGCGTATGTATATATGTATGCGTGTATATGATTAGCCCTAAGCTATGCCCCTACATAGTAGGGAATACACCGCCGTTCCCTAATTCGGAAACGGGGATACTTGTGTCATCCTTGACTCACATCTATCTCACTTTCGGCTTTGTCTCTCTTCTTTTACAATTCTCTCCAGACTCTCTTTTAGCCTAGTATATCTTCATTTGAACTTGATTTGATTTGCATTTGACACATTTCCGTCATGTTTGCTCTCAAGGCCTTTATATCTTATATGAGCTCCCTGATCGAGCACCCTCGCGATCCTCCTCGCAAATCATTGGATTCTCTTCCCACAGAGTTACTTCTCATGATATCAGCCTACCTTCACAAAAATGACGCTATCTGCTTTTTACTTTGCACTCGCCGATTCTACACTTTATTTGGATTTCGTGGGAGGCTTCTACAAATGCCCAGAACGCAAGAGAATCGTTTATTGCTACTTTACCGGCTAGGGCGTGATCTTCCAGATCGTTTTACCTGTAATGTCTGTATTCTCCATCACAAATACGACGATTCAAAAGATTATAGAATACCAGCTATATCAAACACACATCCTCATCCTCATCCTCTGTTTTGCGTGCACAAATGGAAATGGAACTCAACCGACCTCGAGATGTGTCTACATAATCACCGACACACTCAATGTAAGTTTCTCTTCCTTCACCTCCAACTTGCCATGAGGACGGTCTATTACGGCCCCCAACAAGGAATCAGTACCGATTCACTAGCATACGTCGAGGTGAAGAAGCATATCGAGTCAACCACACTATTCTCCATCGATGCAAAGATCTGCCCGGAGCTACCCTGTATCTGCCTCCGAATTCAAGACATAATGGCAGTCAAGCGAGTTGGGGCTCATAAAATTGTACCCAACGATAAAAATATACGCAAAAAGACCGATCCCCTATTCGCCTTCCGGATTTGTCCGCACCTGTCGAATTTACGTGCTGAGCGGCTCATTAAGCCACTCGTTGACCTCTACTACTTAGATCAGCAGCCAGCGCCTTATTTTAAAGGGTGCTCCTCGTGCAAAACGGATTACGAAGTTGAGCTTTGTGAGTTTGGGGCAAATGATCTTGCTCTTGTCAATACCCGGTGGGTCAATTTAGGCCCTGGTATTAGTCCTACTGATCGCCGATGGAATTTTCACGCTTATGATCCCAGAACAAGTCTAGCCCCTAAACTGAGAGCGTGGGAGGTGTTTGAGACGCTGGACTTTAGAAGTCCTCGGCTCATTTTTGAGAGTTTGGCTATTGCCGATGGCGATCCCATTGTAGAACTACGTGAGCGTAATCTTCGCTCACTCTGTGAGACAAGGTATAATACGTCTGGAAATCCTGGTGACGCGCTTCAATAATATTCTATGAGACTGGGTTTTTTCTCCGCCGTCGGATCTGGCATTGAATGCTAATACTTGTTTATATTTGATATTTGATCAATGACATCTGAGTCAAAAGATAAATCAGCTATAGTTCTAATATTATCAAACAAAGAACATTAGAAAGTATTAGTTATGTGACTATAATGGTTGCTACCATATGCAGCACTATGTAGATTTTCAGTAATAAAACAAAATAGAAACAGACCGGACGAGGCATCAGAATGAAGCAAAAATGCCCGCCTTAAGCCATGGTCATCACATCGTCGCCTTTCAGGCTGTGCCACAACACAAATACAAACGTCTTCTGTACCATACACCTAAGCTATATATGCATGCATGGGTATCAAAATCATAAGAGGGAAAAGGAGCAAACAGCTCATCGGGACCGCTTCCAGAACTTCCAACTGGGAAGTTCGATACGACCATCCCGCTGGTAGATCCGCCAGTAATAAACCGGCACACCGGTAATGATGAAAGCGACAACGATGAGCGTCTGCAAGGGCTCAGAGATGACAGCCCGACTGAGCAAAAAGAGACTGACGCAGCAGAAGATAATCGGGGTGGTGATCCACGTGCGGTAGGGGCGTTCAAGCTGTGGTTCGCGGATGCGCAGGACGATCAAGCCTAGTACGGTCAAGAAGTAGAAGGTATATCCGGCAACGCCGTAGAAAGTGACCAAAGTCCCAAACTCGCCGACAACGATGTAGATGGTTGTCAAGACCCCGTTGAAGGCCATGGCGTAGATTGGCGTGAAGCCGAGTTTAGATTCATCGCCGAAGATGCGAGAGAGAGATTTGCGTGCCCACGACCGTCGGCGCAGCCGGCTGCTTGCCGGTGGTCCTGTTGGAGCAGAGAGACCGATGCGTCCGAAGAGCGAGGGGAGGTAGCCTTCTTTGCCGGCAGCGTAGACTAGACGGCCACTCGTAAAAGTTGTTGCGTTCAGGGCTCCGAAGCAGCTGGCTCCCACGACTAGAGCGAGGATCAAGGCTCCGGCGGAGCCGAACACCTTTGCGCCAAATTGGACGGCAACAGTATTGCTTGCTTCGATGGTGGAGTGAGGCAGAACCAAGAAGTAGGAGACGTTGGCGAGCAAGTAGGACAAAATGACTAGTGGCATAGCTGTGTGGATTACCCGAGGCAGATCGCGATTCGGGTTCTTGAATTCGCCAGTCACGTAGTTGGTCTGGGGAGTGTTAGTAGAGACGTGCTATAGAAGTGAATGTCCACTTACGTTATCCCAGCCGTCGAATGCCCAGAGACCTGCATATAGGGCCACAGCAAAATCCGAGATCTCGGTGTTGGTGCCCTCGAACCACCCATGCGTTTTCCATTCTTCATTTGCGTCGCCAGCAGATGAAAGACCCGTCACGGCGACAATGACTCCAATGACAGTCACACCCAGAAGAGCGACAAATTTGAAGAACATGAAGAGATCACCAATGCGAGTAGCGAATTTGGTAGATATGCAATTGAGCAGCGTCACTGTCAAAAGCCCTCCAAAGGCAACGCCTTTGTTGATCCACGGGCTGACATCGCCGACATCAGCTCCAACAAATGCTCGCACGATATATTCACCGAAGATAATTGAGATGATGGCCGCAGACCCAGGCTTCAGCACTAGTACAGCACACCACGTAAACAGGAAGCCAGACAATTCCCCGAAAATCTTAGCCAAATAAATCTGCGATCCACCATTCAAAGGAATAGCACCTCCGAGCTCTGCATAACTCGCAGCTCCCGTCCAGGCCAACAGACCAGCCACAGCCCAGACAATGAGTGAGGCGCCCGGCGACCCCGCGTTGGCATTAACCTGGCTAGGCGACGAGAAGATGCCAGATCCAATAATCAGCCCAACAATCAGCGACAAGCCATTCAGGTATGTCAATGTTTTATTGCGTTCCAATGATCCATCGGCTGGTCTATCAGATGGGGTGCCTAAGGGTGCGTAGCCACCCTGTGTTTGCGATAATGGGAAGAGAGTGCGTCCGAAATCAAAAGCTGAAGAAACAGAGTACGACCGGAGACCTCTGTGGCCGCTTTCTAGTTCAGCATCCAGATGCGACTCGGCGAGCGGATCTTCGTCTTCGAGGGAGAGTTTGCGGGATGAGGAGACGCCGCCTGGGGAGGAGGAGCGTGAGGAACCGCCGACGGAGGCGGGCGATGAGGACGCGAGAGAGGCTAGCTCAAGTGAATCTCGCGGTGCGACGAGGCCTCTGCCTGTATTTGACATGTTCTCTTTGTGTATAAAGGGAAGAGGAGGAGATGGCGAAGCTTGTTGTCTCGTCAGTAGCTAAGGAGGGTCTCCATTGCCCAAAGATACTGAATTATTAAGGATTGAAAGAATTTGCAAGAGAATCAATTAGAGGCTAAACAAGAAACAAGAAGACAAAAAGTTGGAAAGAGAGAGGTGCCAAGGGGCTGTCGATCGAGTCTTGGCTTAGACCCTTTCAACATTCCCCCGCGATACTTTTCATCTCCTCCAATTGCGCTTCCATGAACTGTCTACAATGTAGAAGCGGCCTCAGAGCTGCGACTAAATCAGTTCGCTATGCTTCAACCTCAACTTCAACGCCTGCCATATCTCCAGCCTCAAAATCCCGAAACAGACGCTGGTTAGGTATCCTCTTCGTCGGCGCAACAGCTACAGCCACGGGCGCCTACATCCGCCAAAGCAACGACTCCGCAACCCTAAACCAAGAAACTTTCACAAAATACCGCCTGGTATCCCGCGAGCCCGTCTCGGCAACAAGCAGTCTATTCACGCTCCGTCCGCGCAAATTCAGCGAAACCAACTACGATGTCTACGAAGAAGCCTGGGCAACCGGAGTCTGGAGCGTGATGTTCAAGCAGCCACAATTACAAATCGGACGCGACTACACACCCCTACCAACGACAGCAGCGACAGGATTGACAATCGAAGACGAGAACGAAGGGTGTCTGCGGTTCTTTATCCGGAAAGATCCGTTCGGCGAGGTCTCGCGATATCTGCACACGATTGACGTCGGTGCTGATGTTGAGATGCGCGGACCGAAGATTGAATGTGTGATTCCGAAGGAGACGGAGAATATCTTGTTTATTGCTGGTGGGACGGGCATTGCGCCTGCGTTGCAGGCTGGGTATTCGCTTTTAAGCCGGGGTGGGAAGAGCAAGATCCATATTCTGTGGGCGAATCGATTGAAGGATGATTGTGCCGGTGGGCAGAGTGATTCATTGAAGCCCGTGCCGAGCCGGGGCTGGTTTTCTTGGTTTGGCAAGAGGGAGTCGGTTCCGGATATTGTGGCTGTGAGAGATGAGGATCAATCTCTCATTGTTCGTGAGTTGGAGGCGCTGAAGTCTCAATATCCTGGGCAGGTCACTGTGGATTATTATCTGGATGAGGAAAATACGTTTATCGGGAAAGAGGCTATTCGTGCTTCTATCGATTCGGTGCCTGCAAGTGACTCTGACAAGAACAACTTGATCTTAGTTTCTGGTCCTGAAGGGTTCATCAGCTACATGGCTGGGCCTAAGCTGTGGGCACAAGGATTAGAGCTGCAGGGTCCATTGAATGGAGTCATCAAAGAGCTTGATCTCAAAGAATGGGGTGTATGGAAGCTCTGAGTATGTCTTTTTTTTGTATCAATATTATCTTGTTCATTAAGCATATAGCATGGATATACTGGGAAAGTCAAGCAATTGAAAAGTCCTCCACTTGGGACAATTTTAACCTGACATGAGAAAGAAACACCATATATAATGCGCATAAAGAGCTTGACAAAACATCAGGTCGTTAGAAATAGCCATAGCTTTTTATGTTGAATAAACAGTCGCAACTGTCCTGGAAACTTCAGCGTCCTATTTCGTTACCCGTCACACATTCCTGGCCAACCAGGTTTAATTCGCTCAAACACCGAACACATTATCTGAATTTACAGCCCTGAAGCAAAGTCTTCGAGGTACTTCACCAGCTTCTGCACATTCTCCAGAGGGACCGCGTTGTAGTTACTAGCGCGCATACCACCAACACTGCGGTGACCCTTGAGACCCTGGAGAAGACGCTTTTCAGCACCTGCGATGAATGCCTTCTCCTTCGCGTCATCTCCACCGCTGACGCGGAAACAGATATTCATGCGGCTGCGGACACTGGCGTCGGGAACAACCTGGTAGACTTCGGGGTACTTGTCCAAAGCACCGTAGATAAGCTGGGCCTTCTTGTTGGCGACCTCCTCCTGGCCACTGACCTTCTGGGCGCTGAACTCGGCCATCAGGTCGGCCATGACTTGGCCAGCGACCCAGAGGTTGAAGATTGGAAGTGTGTTGTAGAGAGAGTTGTTCTTTGCGATAGTGGCGTAGTCGAGGACGACTGGGCCCGGGAGACCGCCGATGTTCAATCGGTGGATGAGGGGGGGGGAGGAGTCGCGGTTTGGGGAGGGAGAAGGTCCTTGCGGACAATAGCGATGGTGATACCGGTGACACCGATGTTCTTTTGCGCACCGCCCTGTATAGACTGTTAGCTTGGCTTTGCGATAAAGAAACATTGAAGATACGCACAAATATGACGGCGTATTTGCTAACATCAACTTTGCGGCTGATGAAGTTGGAGCTCATATCAGCTACAACGAGGCGCTCATCCTCGGCATCCTGGCCCTGAGCCTCCAATGACTTGGGGAACTGCTGGAATTCAACGCCATCAACAGTCTCATTGTCGCAAAAGTAGACAAATGCAGAGCCCTTGCCACCCTCCTTCTTAGTAGGAGTCAAGGACCAAGAATCCTCAGCAGGGATCTTTCCAAACTTGCCGCCGTTTGCCTTGCGAGCATCGAGGGCAACATTGACATACTTTGACCCGAGAAGTCTGCTCGCTTCCTGGGAAGCCTTGAGGGACCAAGATCCAGTAACGAGGTAATCGAGCTTCAACTCCTCATCGACCTCCTTCTGAAGTCTCTGGAACACCAGTTCATCGATTTGGGCCTGCTCCGCCTCAGGGTTGTCTTTTTTCACGTCGGCCTCAGCTCGGCGGCGGCGGCGCTCGATCCAAACGGGGACGAGGTTCTGCACAACAGCACTGAACTCGCCACTGCCACCAGCCTGCATGAAGAGGACTTCATAGTTATCGGGGATACCGAGGAGCGCGGATAGGTTTGACTTGGCGTCATCGAGAATCTTGTTGGCGGTTGGCGATCGGTGGGAGATCTCGCCGAGACCCAGACCGCAGTCGTTGAAGTTGACGAATGCCTTTGCGCCGGTTTCGACGACTGAGGTCGGGAGGGGCGCTGGGCCCGCTCCAAAGTAAGAAACTTCTTGCCTGGAGGGCATAATTGTGTATGGTGGATTGAGTGAAGGAAGAAGAAGGAGAAGAAGAAGAAGAAGAAGAAGAAGAAGAAGAAGAAGAAGAAGAAGAAGAAGAGAAAAATGATGTGGACCAAGTGGACCTTGGGGGAAAAGTATGAACTTTAGTTATGTCAGAGATCAGATATCTGAGATCAGATATTATATAGTGCTGTATTTGATTCTTCAACTCTTCATTTCAATGTACATTCACCGGATGTTGCCCAGGTAGTTATATAGCCCAATGGCTTTGTATCAATGGCGGGGTATGAGTCAATGACTTGAGTCACTGGTTTCGGTCACTGTTTGAGGATTTGGGTGGATATCTGTAATTTGGAGGTGTCTGGTTAGGAGAAATATAGCAATTGATATAGTTAATATATAGATCCCATGTTTGCATAGACTCATGTTGTCAATATAACGTTCTAATCGGAATTCATCGCGGGGTTGATCAAGGCCCATATAACTACATAACTAGATGCTGTATATGCATTATGTTTTGGATCAGATATTCCCAGGCAAGATAGTGTTGGTATTTTTGGTTCTTTCTTTCTCGACCCCCATAGCATATGTATATGATCCTATACCAATGTGTTTGTAGGGAAGACGAAACTATACCACTGTGTACAAAAAAGAAAGAAGATCCGACATCGGCGGAAATGATCCGAGTCACGTGCGCAATGACGCGATTGGTTTGTTCTGTTTGTCTCTTCCCCATATCAATCAACCATTCAGAGTCGAGCTGAGTAAACCCGTCCCTGAATACCAGGCCGCTCATTTGCCGAATACCGACATATTATTTTTCGCCTTTAGGTGACTCGACTCATCCTTGAAGGACATTTACGGTGGACATGACTGTATGTTATTTTGAGATGTCAGCAAATTCAATTGCATGGTTCTAACATTTTCTTCTTACAGTCCCGATTAATGCCCTCGGCCACTTTTGGCCGGCGCTTGCTGCGCGGCCCTGTCCCCAGCACTCTCCGACGCCTCGCTTTCACTTCTACCAGAGGTCCAGTTCCGACAGTCCTGCAACGTCGCGCTTTCACCTCTTCTAGACTCGGATACCAACAGGCTTCCACCTCGCAGGCCTTCCACTCGCAATTGGAAGACCCAGCCACCGCCGCCATCTTTTCGAACTTGCAATCCTCCAAGACTGTTCCTCAAACCCTGACCGAAAAGATCGTCCAGAAGTACTCTGTGGGCCTGCCCGAGGGCAAGTTCGTCCAGTCGGGCGACTATGTCACCATTGCCCCCCACCGATGCATGACCCACGATAACTCATGGCCCGTGGCCTTGAAATTCATGTCCATCGGAGCGTCTAAGATCCACGACCCCAGTCAGGTTATCATGACTCTCGATCACGATGTCCAGAACAAGTCCGAAAAGAACCTCCAAAAGTACCAGCAGATCGAGGAGTTTGCCAAGCTCCACGGAGTGGAGTTTTATGGCGCCGGACGCGGAATTGGACATCAGTTGATGGTGGAGGAGGGCCATGCTTGGCCTGGAACTCTCTGCGTGGCGAGTGACAGTCACTCGAACCACTATGGTGGCATTGGAGCATTGGTATGAATTCTATACCATATCTTACGACTTCATGCTAACGGCACTAGGGTACACCCATTGTTCGTACTGATGCATCTTCGGTTTGGTATGTTCCATTGTGCCTGTCAATCAAATTATTGATACTAATTGTCGCAGGGCAACAAAGAAGACATGGTGGGCTATTCCTCCTGTCGCAAAGGTCAACCTCAAGGGTGTCCTTCCCACTGGTGTCACTGGAAAGGATCTTATTGTCGCTTTGTGTGGAATCTTCGGACAAGACGATGTTCTGAACCACGCCATTGAGTTCACTGGTTCTGAGGAGACCATGCGCAGTCTGCCTATCGACTACCGCCTGACCATTGCTAATATGACCACCGAGTGGGGTGCTCTTTCTGGTTTGTTCCCTATGGACGATGTGCTCAAGGCTTGGATGACCGCCAAGGCCACACTCGGAGCCATGGGATTGGCTGGCGGTGATGGTACCTACAAGACTTTGGCGTCCCAGAACTTCACCCACGCAGCCATTGAGGAGCTTTTCGCGAACCCTATGACTGCCGATAAGGGAGCCAAGTATGCCAAGGAGTTGTTCATTGATCTCTCTTCCCTCACCCCCTACGTTTCAGGCCCCAACTCTGTCAAGGTCGCCACCCCTTTGAGCGAATTGGAAGCCGCCGACATCAAGGTCAACAAGGCTTACCTGGTGTCTTGCACCAACTCGCGTGCCTCTGATATCTGTGCCGCTGCTCAAGTCTTCCGGGAAGCTACCGAAAAGAACGGAGGCCAGGTCGCCAAGATTGCCGAAGGAGTTCAGTTCTACATTGCCGCCGCTTCCATCCCCGAGCAGCGAGCCGCCGAGGAGGCTGGCGATTGGCAGGTCCTGCTTGATGCCGGTGCCACCACTCTTCCTGCTGGATGTGGTCCCTGCATCGGTCTCGGCACTGGTTTGCTCGAGCCCGGTGAGGTCGGCATCAGTGCCTCTAACCGTAACTTCAAGGGTCGTATGGGATCCAAGGACGCTTTGGCTTACCTTGGCAGCCCTGAAGTCGTGGCTGCGAGTGCCTTGAGCGGAAAGCTCAGTGGTCCTGGCTGGTACCAGACCCCCGAGGGCTGGAATGGCGTTGTATACGGCGAGGGCGACGGAATCCGCGAAGAGGACCGTATGCTTACTACTGAGGAGGCTCTAGAGAAGCTCCTCGGCGAGATGGACGACCTTGTGGCTGATGGCGAGAAGCGCTTCGCACCCGAAGAGTCCGCTTCCGCTGAGGTCGAAGTCGCCTCTGATGACTCTCTCACCGAGCTCTATCCCGGCTTCCCCGAGCGAGTCTCTGGTGAGATTGTTTTCTGTGATGCCGACAATGTCAACACCGACGGTATCTATCCCGGTAAATACACCTACCAAGACAACGTCTCGGAAGAGAAAATGGCGGAGGTCGTCATGGAGAATTACGACGGCGAATTCACCAAGATCGCCAAGCAGGGCGATATCTTAGTTTCCGGCTTCAACTTTGGCTGCGGCAGCTCCCGTGAGCAAGCCGCCACTGCCATTCTGGCCAAGAAGATTCCTCTCGTTGTCTCTGGCAGCTTCGGCAACATCTTCTCCCGCAACAGTATTAACAACGCCCTGATGGGTCTTGAGGTTCCTCGTCTGGTCAGCCGTTTGCGTGAGACTTTCAGCCAGGGCGAGAAGGCCCTTACCGTCCGCACTGGATGGACTCTTACTTGGGATGTCCGCCGCAGCCGCATCGAGGTCCAAGAAGGCCCCAACGGCCCCAAGTGGACCCACAAGGTTGGCGAGCTGCCGCCTAATGTGCAGGAGATCATCGCCAAGGGTGGTCTTGAGAAGTGGGTTAAGAACGCCATCGGTGCCTAAGTGATAGCCAATGGCGATGCCAGTAATTGTGCCTTTGGCAAAAGTTGGCGTTTTGACGTGATACCCGAGTTTTTGTTTATGTTCAGCTTTTAAACCCGCAATTTGGGACTCGGATGATCTGTATAAAAAGAAGATTTGTTATTTAGACATTCAATCGAGATATTTGTGTTGATCACTACATTTGGACTGTTAGCCTCAGGCCGCATTTGGTATCAATCATCTACGTCTTATCATCACGTGTAGGTGTGCTTTATCTGATCAACAGGTTACAATATCTTGCCAATTACCAATTTCCAACTTGACCTAATTAATGCGCATGCGAGCATTCCGACTCTTGCGTCGGGTCAGCCCATCAGTGAGCCAACCATGGCCAGCTAGTCGACCGCAACCCTCACCAAAGACATATATCCGACATCATGGCCTTTTCTGTGAATCGGCACCGAGAAGCCCCAGCCAAGCTCGAGCATTCTCGTCCACACGCTCAACCAAATTTATGCTAGATGGAGACTCTACAATCTATGCACTTTCTACAGCACCAGGTCGCGCAGCAATTGCCGTCGTGCGCATATCCGGACCGGCCTGCGTCCCGGTATGCGATCCAATCCACCCGACCCGCCAATACTAATCTGGACCAGATATACAAAAGTCTCTGTCCGAACACATCTCTCCCTAATCCCCGTTACGCAGCACTTCGCACTCTCTACGACCCAACCCAACCCCCAACGCCAAAAACAGTACTCGACGCGGGCGCCTTAATTCTGTACTTTCCCTCCCCACGAACCGTCACAGGCGAAGACATCTTAGAACTACACCTCCACGGCGGCCCGGCAATCACCAAAGCCGTCCTATCGGCAATCGCCTCAACGAACACACCCACTCTCTCCGTCCGCTATGCCGAACCAGGCGAATTTACCCGCCGAGCATTCATGAATGACCGCCTCAGCCTCCCACAGATCGAAGCCCTCGGCGACACTCTATCGGCTGACACAGAACAGCAGCGACGGCTGGCGGTGCGCGGATCCAGCGATGTCCTCGTGCGCCGATACGAGGCCTGGCGCCAGGGCCTACTGTATGCGCGCGGGGAGCTGGAAGCGTTGATTGATTTCTCCGAAGACCAGCACTTCGACGAGTCGACCGAGGAGCTGGTTTCGTCTGTCGCGGCGCAGGTGCGGGCTTTGACTGTGCAGATTGGATTCCATATTAGGAATGCTTCGCGTGGGGAGCTGCTGCGAAATGGGATCCGGGTTGCTTTGCTTGGGGCGCCGAATGCGGGGAAGAGCTCGCTGCTTAACCGGGTTGTTGGGAAGGAGGCGGCTATCGTTAGTACTGAGCAAGGGACTACGCGCGATATTGTTGATGTCGGGGTTGATCTTGGTGGGTGGTTTTGTAAACTTGGGGACATGGCGGGGATTCGAGCGGATGGGTCTGGGGATGTTGTTATTGGGGCTGTTGAAAAGGAGGGGATACGGAGGGCTAGAGCTAGGGCATTGGAGTCGGATGTTGTGGTTGTGGTTGTTTCGTTGGAGGACACTGCTTCTGGTGCTCGGCTTTCGGTTGAGCCGGAGGTTCTCGATGCTGTTAATGACTGTGTTGAGGCGGGCAAGTGTCTCGTTGTGGCGATCAACAAGTGTGACAAGCTTCACACTGCTCTGGACGGCGATGTGCCTCTACCCTTGTTCCATCTCATCCGTGATATCTTCCCCGCTGTCCCGGCGAACCGCGTATTTGCCATTTCCTGCGAACAGGCCAGACGCGGAGAATCGGCTACTACCACAGATCCCGGGAACCTACAGGCCTTTCTACGTGGTCTAATCGCAACTTTTGAAGAAATTGCTTCGCCGCTCGGCGTGGACGGATCTGAGCAATATGATCTTTCATATTGGGAAGATTCTCTAGGCGTGACCCATCGCCAAAGTTCTAATTTACAAATATGTCTCGATCATCTGGATGATTTCCTGTCCCAGGCATCTTCAGCTGACCCCGTCCCCGGGAATGAACCCAACCATGACGAGTCCGAAATCGACATCGTCACCGCCGCAGAGCATCTACGCTATGCGGCCGATATGCTGGCAAAGATCACGGGCAAGGGCGAGAGTGGTGATGTTGAGGATGTGTTGGGTGTTGTTTTTGAGAAGTGAGTACCAGTCCGATATTCTGAGTCTGGGGCTAATGGGTTGCAGGTTCTGTGTCGGCAAATGAAATGTCCAATAGCACGATATGATTCCAAACTTGGTCGGCTTCACGTTCGTATGGGCCATATCAACTGATTGCCGGTTGGTCTGTTGGTTCCAAAGTTCCAATCAAGAAAGCAGCGAGCGCCAATGCGCTCGCATGTTGATGTCCGGCTCTCTAATTCTGATCCGCATCCTGAGATTCAGGATATGAGCTCTTGGCAGGGGCGTTATATCCTCCTCGGCCCATTTCAAGAGACATCTGGTGAAGTAGACAGAAAGTATCTAACGATGTAGGAGAGGTATGGGACAGAATATGCCGCAATTGTATAGATAGGTGAGGATATAGAGCAGTGTATGATAATGTATGATATTTTATTCCTCATAACCAAAAACGACGCCCAAACATGCCTCATTTATAAGAAAAAAGCCCGAAGGTACCTACCTACCTGCCTTGGTCGCCTGGGCGTCATCCAGGCCTCCAGAAAGGACGGCAAGAACGGCAACAAAGCATCCAGCATCCTAGATTAGTCCGTTGTGGGCATCTTCAAAGCCTTTGTCAAACATCAGTTCTTCATCTGAGTCAGGGTTTTCCATATCCTGACGATCTCCATGTCCTAGCGTTTAGATGTCGACTTTTCTGTTTCAATGTGAAGCTCGGGGCGCGCCGTAAATAGCTACATCAGGCACTTAATTACATATTTATATCGTCAGGTCGACAAAGTCAAGTAGATTTGAATTGTCAATGCTACTGTATCAATGTAAATGCAGCTGAAGTTCAGCTTATAGGCTTAGAGAGGAGTCCGAGTTTGAGGTTGAAACACACCTAGGTACTTCTCCGTTAGGTCTTGCTATTTTTTTATTTATAGTATTTAGCTAATTTATCAGTTCACTATTGGCTGGTATGTTACATTGTACATGTTATATATTTATTTGGCTTGCATGAATGTATCTCTATAGGGCGTCTAATACTTCTAAACCGGTCGATCATGTCAGATCTAAGAATAGCGTACCTGCAATGGTATAAGCCAATTTCTTTCTAGAAGAATTGACAATTGCCAAGGTCGAATCAAGTGAAAATCAGCAAATAAGCCGAAAAATAAGAAACCCACGTTGTTTAATTTTCGTCATTGAGAGCTGATGATGTCTAGCGTCTAGGGCTAACAGCCTTGTAAGCCTGAAGCATTGGAAAATATTTTGATTCGATGAATAGGGAGAAAAAGAGAGAACTAAGGCCAACAAGCTCAGGATACAAAAAGACAATAGCACAAAAGAATAAAAGACATCTATGGATAACCACCGATGTGTTGTGCAACCCCTGTCGCCATGTCTTCCAAGATTCTTTTGCGTGCTTTAGCTTCTTTCTTCACTTATTTCACATATTGTCTGGCCATATGTTTGAAGATGAATTGTCTTTTTTTGTTCTTTGTGAAGAGAATCAATTCCTTGCAGGAGTCGACGGTAAATCGGCCCCAAATGGCTGCCCGGCGGTCGTCGTTGGCGTCGTTTTCACCAGAAAGGTCTCCTCCACCCATATATGACTCAATGACAGAGGGACTAGTTGTATACAACATTGCTGGTAAAACATGAAAGAGCCAAATTGGTACAATTGTACCCCAAATGTCACTTCTTCGATTACCCAACGAGCTGCTCCTTCATATCGCACATCTGCTAGAAGATGAAGACATCTCTTCCTTCCTCCTGATAAACCATCGCCTCAGCGGTCTCCTTCAACACTACCTCTTTGAAAAACTTGCAACCAGACATGGAGACTCGGCACTGGCGCTATGCGCCGAACACGGCGCCACAGCAGGCGTACAAAAACTGTTAAAAAAAGGGAGCCCAGATGCAAGAATGCGATGACAACAGCCGAACATCATTAAGCTATGCAGCCGAGCAGGGGAACATGGAGATCTGGCAATTACTCCTCGCCCACAGGCTATCACTCGGCCACAGCCCTGCAAGCACCCCAGACGAGTACCACGGACGTACCCCCACTCAGCTGGGCAGCTGGCGGTGGCCAGGCCGCATTTGCCGAATATCTGATCAAGCAGGGAGCGAATGTCCGCGTAAAATGCATGGATGGACGGACTCCGCTCAGCTATGCGGCCGAGATGGGCCATATTGCCATGGTGCAGCTGCTGCTTGATTATGAAGATCACTCCACCGAAGACAGAGACGGCCTCGTGGCTCTGCATTATGCCGCCTTCGAAGGGCACGAAGATATAGTGCGGCTGCTCGTATCCCGTGTCGCGAATGCGCATTACGGTGGGACCGATTGTATGTGGAAGGCGGCACCGTCCCCGTTGATGGAGGCTGCTCGAGGCGGGCAGGTGGCGATCGTGAAGATGTTCCTGGAGATGGACGCAGGACTTAACGGTTGCGATGGGACGGGGATGAGAGCTCTGCACTATGCTGCGCGGGCGGGCTACGGGGAGCTGTTGAAAGAGAGCGAATGCCATTCCCCGAGTTTCATCTTTGGACAGCAGGGTCCTGGGTGGTATTAGGATGGTGTGGCCTGTCCGACGCCTCGTAGATGCGGTAGACCTGGCGATTACCTCGTTACTGTGAAGTTGTTAGTCACTCACGGCGCAGAGCCTAATATGGTACATAGTGATTATTATGATTGTCCACAGGGCAGTCCCCTGTACTCTGCGGCATGGGTGGGAGCGGAGGACATTGTGCAGTTTCTGATTGATTCCGGGGCCGACGTGAATAAGCCTTGAGAGCGTCGTTTGTATAGTCCGCTTCATGCGGCGGCACAGAACGAACATGTTGATGTGGCTGCGAAGTTTATCGCCAGTGGTGCCAATCTCAATGCCAGGGATCAGGCGAAGCATACGCCCTTGGACCGCGCAGCCTTTGCTTCGAAGTTGGCTGCTCAAGGAAAGAGCAGTTTTGAGTATGCAAATGGGGGCTGGTCGAGTCGACAGATGTATCTTTTTGAAGCAAACATGCAGAGATACCCGGAGTTGGTTGAGTTTCTCATTGCCCATGGTGGTGAGGTTGGAAGAGAAGATATGTTCGACCACCGGTGAATATACATATATACGATAGTACAACACAGGGGGTATCTGGATCCATATCAGTGCCTCTCAAGATTTATCAAAGCACATCTTATATTTACATTTACGTCTAATTTTACTTAACTTTACATGCAAGATCCTTGCACTAAGTACTCAAAGTCTAGAGACCCAATAGTAAAAGTTCATTGCATAGCCACCTTCTATCAATAGTACGTATAACACTGGAGATAGAATATGTTTGCATTTCAGAAGCTCAAGAGGTCATCCCATCACACCCCATAACATAAGGCAAAGGCAAGGCCCTCTCATCATTTCCATCAAGTCGAAGAGCGTCATAACCATAACCCATAACCCATTGCAGACTCCTCCAACCCAGCACGCTCAATGACCCAACCCATCGTATCCAGGGCAATCGTAGTACTCGATGTAGAACTCGCGCAGGGCACCCAAGCACTCCATCCGATCCAGCAGATAAGAACAAGAAGGAGTGTGTTCCGCGTGGTGAAAGAGATCCGAGATCTGAGAAAATTGAGCCTGGCACGAGAAACAGAAGAATGGGTATCGGTCCTTGAGGCGGTTGCCGTAGGAGCCATATTCAGGACATTCGAAGGCGAGAGTGCGAATACGGTCTCTTTTCACACAGCGGCCGTGTTCGAGGTGCCTAAGAAGGGCAGAGAACTCAGTCCAGGATAAATCACAGAACCAGCAGTCGTAGGTTCGTGGATCAAGCTGCATCTCGTGAGACATGTGAGACATGATGGTGGTTGCTGTAGTCGAATGAGGAAGAATAGCGGCGTTGATGAGTAGAGAGGATGATGGAGACTGAGTGATGAATGGAAAATGGAATGATGGTAGGTGGATGGGAGATGAAAGATGGGAGATGGCAGAGGAGTTATGTGAAGTTGAAGAGTCTTATATACTTATCAGTCACCAGCTTGTAGAATGATGCAGTGCTTTCCCAGACTCATATCACATCGATTACAGATCATTTATAACTCTTCAGTACTCTAAGCGTGTATCTACATGTTCTTTCACAGAGCAAATGTCAAACAATCAACTTCACAGATTTTGGATACTACAATGAAGAAGACCAACACGAGATAACCTTATTAGCTACAAACATCTGCATATATATGTGTATATAAGACTATTGTCTCTTCGTCTTCTTGGCGTGAAAGAGCATACTACACGTATATACAACAAATATTATACGCACACACTGTCCGAATATGAACTTCATGACATACATACATTGTCAGAGAAAGACACAACAAAACAACTACACAACCCCTAATGTATTCCATGGGTGACTGCGCAAGTTCATGAGCTTCGGGACGTCTCCCGGTGACTTCAATCACTTGTCGACTCGCACTGAACTTATATTTTTATTGAAGAATGGCAGTTCCTCGCACCCCCAACTTGACGTGGGGATGCAGAGACGAATGTCCCTCTTCCCCAGAGGGGATTGATGAGGAGAAGAGGAAGAGAAGAGAGAAGTTGGGGTGTTTATATACCAGAAGGGCAAGTGAATTTCCTATTTGGGAAGACTTTTTCTTTCCATACACTTCAATCAATACATACAGTGGTATAGTTATATGTGTTTTATTCCTTTGCTTTATCATTGTACTTATTTAGATCTCCATTCAGCTTGTTCCTTAGCATTGTTGATCTCTTCCAATTGCCATCTCAATCACTTCGACATTCCAGGATTATATCTACTCATAACTATCTATCTCTAAAAATCCACAAAAGTATACATCAACAATTCAAGAAATAACAGGGTCAATCAGGCTCAATATGCAATTCAACCTCCAATCATGACAGCATTTCCATGTTGTGAGAGTGAGGGCAAAGAGATTATGTACAAGGAGACAGGGTATGCGAAACAGAGAGAAGGAAACGGTATATCATGACACCATGCTCGTCAAAGGAGGGTAGTGTAGTGAAAACAGAGAAAAGGGGTATTATACAATCAGATTGTAGTGCAGTAGTGTGTGGTGTAATGATGTGTAGTGATGTGTAGTGAGAGTGAGAGAGAAAAAAAAAGAAACATTAGATTAAATCAATCCGAATGACCCTCCTGTTCAGAGACAATGATCTCAGGCGGAGCCTGCTCACCCGGCGGACTAGGAAGCTGGGCATCAGGCTGGGCATCGGGCGAGTCCGGTTCGGGGACCGTCGCAAGACCCCCATCAGCACTGTCTTTGCTACCGCTTGTAGGATTGCGGCGTCTCATGCGACGATTGCGACGTTCTTCGTCCGCGCTTTCGCGTCTGCGCCGCTGCCGTTCGCCGCCTGCTTCAGAGTTACTTCGTAGTCCGAGGAGCATGCTTGCGGCACGATCGGCGACGTCTTCGCCTTCGGAGACTTGCGCTTCCGGTTTATCTTCTTCTGCTGCAACGGGGGGACTGAGAAGACCGTGCTCGTCTTCTTCGGCCGGCTTTTCTTCTTCTTCCGTGTCGGCTGGCGGCTTGGAGCCTGATGCCACGCGGACATTGTGTCGCTCCTTCAGGCGGGCGCGACGGCGGCGGTCGCGTTGGTCTTTGGCTTGTGGGGCTGCAGCTCGGAGCTTCTCGAGGAGTGAGTCCATTGCTCCGCTGGAGGCGGGGGAGTTGGCGGTTTCGGGGGTTGGGTTGTTGTTGTTGGGGAGGTTGGCATTGATGCGCTTGCGGGCGAGGGATGCTTCCGTGCGTTTGCGCGTTTCTTCCAGGGCGGTATTCTTCTCGCGGGATTTCTTCCATTCGATGAGGAATGCGCTAAGCTTGGCAAAGAAATCTCGGCGGGCATTCTCGTCGGCGTTGTCTTCGCCGTAGAAGACCATGATATCATCGTAGGCTTTGACCATCTCGTCGAGGTAAAGTTGCAGCTGCTCTGACTTGCGTCTGGCGTCCTTCATAGACCGCTGGACGACCTGGCTGACCCGATCCTGGGGGTGGAATCGCTTTGGATCGCTGAGGTTTCCGGCATCCAAGCTCGACTGCACGTTCTTGACATTGCTGATGTACTTGGTCGCGTCGGTACGGAGCTGGTCAACATTAACCTTCTGCAGGCCGATGACACCGCTAATCTCATCGAGGAAGCCTTCCCACTCTGGGTACTGGTTTCGAACAATTCGCTCGACCAGATCGGCAAAGGTGGTTTCGTTCTTGTCATCCTTGACCATGCCCAGACGGGCGAGGGAGCTGAGCTTGAATCCTTGAGCCTGCTTATTGGCATCGTTCATGAAGTTACCAATATCAAGAATGAGACCGAGCACGTTCATTAGAGACACGGAGTCCCGCAACGACTCACTGACCCTCGCCACCTCCTTCAGCTTGGAAGAGAGATGCTCATACTCCGGTTCGTAGGAGCGGGTCAAAGCAAGCGCTCTGTTTCTTGCTTTCCAGTAGTGGTTTAACTCGAAGGCAGTATAAAGATAGATTTGATCCTCGCGAGTGATCTCAGAGGGATCCTGTTCACGATCGGTACTGGTCGCACCAGGCCCAGTCCAATCCACACTATAAGGCGCCATCAACTTGGCAACGTTCTCGGGGATATTGCACATTTCGTCTCTCTGCAGGAAATCCATGACAACCATGTTGTCCAGAATATCTTTGTCACAATGGATGATCATACGAGTGACCTCTTCGGCGGGGAATTGGGAGAATTTGGACAGAGCAATTTGGAAGTTCTTAGATAGATCGTTAGAGATGATCTGTTTCTTGGCTGAACGCTGCTTGGCGGCAGTGCTGGCTCCGAAGATCTTGGTTTCCTTGGCCATGAACAATCGCTCGACCTCGTCCAAAACACCCTTCTTGGCAAGATCGGTATACTTCTCTTCCTTCTGCTCTGCTGTTGGAGCGTGTGTGGCCCAAACGGTCACTTGAGGAGTATCGACTTTGTCCCAATGCAGAGCCTTAAGCTTCTTCTTAGGTCGGATAGAAGGCATGTTAATCATAGAGGGCGAAAGTTCTCCAGCCATGTAAGCTGGCCGCCAGCCTGAGCCCAAGCCAGAATTTGGCGGCGGAGGAGGGGGAGGTCCCATTCCTACACCACCTGGAGGAGGGGGAGGAGGAGGCATTCCGACCTTTCCACCCGGAGGCGGCGGCGGAGGCGGCATTCCAACCTTTCCACCAGGCGGAGGGGAGGCGGCAGCCCAGGGACGCCTTTGGCACCTCCTGGCGGCGGTGGCGGTGGGAGAGCCATTCCCCCAGGCGGCGGGGGGAGGAGGCAGACCGACCTTTCCACCAGGAGGTGGCGGTGGAGGGAGAGTAGCAACGCCCCCTGGAGGTGGAGGGGGTGGAAGAGCCATGCCTCCAGGCGGAGGCGGAGGCGGAGGAGGAGGAATGGCCAAGCCACCTGGAGGGGGAGGGGGAGGAGGCAGTGGGATAGTAGTAGCCTTATCTCCAGACGGGGGCAGATCGCCAACAACACCAAGAGCAACATCATCAGTATCCTCAGCATCGAACTTAGGAACCTTAGAAGCAATCTCGCCAAGCAGACCATTAGCCTGGGCTGGGTCCAACCGAGGACGATGCATTTCCACAATGCGAGGCTTCTCGTATATCGATCCGTCATTGCTATCCACAGGGGTATGTTCCTCGTCTTCCAGAGCAGCATCCATCTCGGGAACATGACTGCGCTTCCGATGCACAGAGCCCAAGGAACCAGGGTCTAGATTTCTCCGAACAGACTCGAACTCTTCACTGTCCTCGACCTCGCCATCCATCTCCTCGCGCAACTCACGCAGTCGATCTGAAGGCCCGTGCTGGCCCCAAACCTTGCCCTCGAGCTTGAACTGTGTCTTCGTGCGTTCGAGCTGACGCTCCAAGCGCTCCATGAGACGTTCCCGGTCCATGATGCCAGGCATCTGGGACGGGTCAGCCTCCGCGGCTTCAGGGTTGGCAGCTTTGCGGGCATTGGCAGCAGCAATGTCCTGAGCATCACGGAGCATAAGGTACAGCTCTCTGGTTTCCAATTCATTGCGCTGTAGTTCCTGAGCGCGCAGCCGTTGCACCTCAGAAACTTCTGCCTTGAAAGATTCCGTCTGTCGCTGCTGCAATTCGATGATAGCGGCTTGCTCCTCGATTTGCTTCTGCAACTTCAGAACCAGGCCCTCAGCACCGAGTTCGATCTGCGCGCGCATCTCATCACGCTCGGCGATGGCGGCCTCAGCAATCTGGCGAGCTTCAAGAGACTCATCGTACACGCGTCTCGCCTCCGCATCGGTATGCAGCCGGTCCAACAGGCTCTGCACAGTGAAAGTGAGGCCCTGGCGGAGATCAAGATCCGGCAGTCGCCGGTCCATGGCCACGTAGCTCAGCATCGCGTCGACAAGCTGGAACATACGCAAGCCTTCCTCCCCGGAGTTCTCCCGGATGAGCAGCATGTGCTGCATGGCTGAGAGGAAGTAGTCGTGAGAACGACTGCCGCCAATCTTGGAGGAGATAGCATCGACGATTTGCATGGGATCACTCATGTCCTTGACTTCCCCTTCGATGCTATCCTTCATGCTACTTCCCTCGCGCTGTAGCAAATCCTCGTAGTCGATGAGCTCATTCTCGCGGAAGCGCTCGATTTGCTTGTCGATGACCTCGTACTGGAATCCCTCCATCTTCGTCAGGAGCCGCTTGATTCCACATGATGTGAACTGCGCCCGGATGTGGCATCGTAGCTGGAGATCAGACTCTGCGCCGTCTACGAGCATATTGATCAGAATCATGGTTGAGACGGCATATTCCATGAGTAGGTTTTCCATGCCAATGCCGCCGCTGCGATACTCTTCGCTGGCACCGACCAGACTGCCCATCTTTCCGCGGCCGTCGATTGTCACTTCGACAATACGCATCCAAGCGTCAAACCGGCCGGTTTCACTGTGGTCGTTTTTGACCTTGTCCATAGCTTGTAGCACCTTCTGGTGGCCCTGTCCATCTCCCCAGTGGCACAGGAAGGTGAGGACTTCACTGACGAGTTTCCGAGTATTGAGGCGCGGGGAGGAGAGCGAGCTGACCAGTGCCACGAGCACATTCTGGTGCTCTAGGGCGTCATCTGCACCATACTTGTTGTTCATGAGACCTTTCAGACATTTGGCAATATCATATTCGCGGTCTAAATCTTTATCGCCTGTCGGGGGGCTGGAACAGGACCAGAAGCTTTTCTTCGGTTGGTTTTCAGAAGAACATTTGTCAAAGCAACTTGACCCTGGGCTTCAACAAAGGTTTTCACCCAGCTGTATAATGATTAGTGCTATGCTATGCCAAGAGCAAAGGGCATCCATACCTGATAGGCTGCGTGCGCAGACTGACACTCAAACTTGCAAGTTGCTTGGAGGTAATTGTATCATCCATGACCTTTTTCACATACCACTCCGGGCTACCCTCTTCATCAGCGCGCTCCAGCAAGCCAGACAAACCATCATGCCCATGTGTTTGCCGTGCATTCTGTCGTCTCTTTTGCTCTCCTTGTAATTCCGTCAGGCGATCCTGGTGTACCAAAGTCCATTTCTTTGATGCGGGGTACGATAACATCTGTCTTTTAGCCTGTTCAGGAAGGTTCTGCCAACCTCGCTTCTGCATCAGTTCGAGAAAAAGCTGATCCACGATGCGGTCGTCTCGCGGACGGGTGAGATAATTATCCGGTGGCCGAGGAACTGCAACTGGGATAGGACCTGATATCTGATGCGTGGATCCTGCATTTGACAATCGGCCAGAGCTGGAACTAGGGAGGATATTGTTGCGATCTCCGGAATGCGAGGTTGTGAGAGTGCGGGAAGAGCCATCGGAGGAGAAGTATGATCCACGAGTATTAGAAGAAACGGAGGAGTAAATGCTGGTTTGGTCGAGGGAAGTGCGAGAATTCGAGGAGGAATCAATAGAAGCGGAATTATGGTTTGGCCCGCTCGCCGCGGAGCTACCTGGCCGACCCCATTGTTGATATCTGGCGCCACGGTCACCGGAGGTACTACTACTGATAGTTGTATGCGGAGGTGGACGAGGGCCAGTTGGGTGCCCGGAGCCATTTGGGGCAGAGGTAGACGTCCACGTTGGATATTGATGGTAATCTGCTCCAGTCTTGCCGAGATGGTTTGGCGACGGTTCCTGGCGCGATGAATCCGGGCGAGTCATGTTGTCGATTGGAATCGGGGTCCTATCTGCGGAGAGACTGTCAAAGGGAATTGAAGTGATCACGCCAGCGGTTGGAGCGAGGCTGTTTGGGTCCAAGTCGTGCATCAAGTCGAAAGATTGAGTGGACGAGCGTTTAGAATAGCGGGAAGAACGTGAGCCAGGTGCACTGTTGGCCGGGGGAGCTAGGCTATCGTAAGACCCTCCGTAATTATCATATCGATCCTCCGTCGGCTTGTCCTTGTCCTTGTACAGCTTGCGTCCGAAGAATGACTTTCCTCCCGGCTGTTTCACTTTGTCGGCTTGCGCGGGCATTTTGTGTTAGATGATAGGGCAGCATAAGGGCCTTGCACACTCTTATTAATTATTCGGGTGGAGCGTCTGTCGCAACCGGAGTCGGTGATGACATTCAAGTGGCTCTGTTGTCCCCTGGTTAGTTTACCCGGTACAGCCCTGGGGATTGTCGCGGAGGGGTAAGTAGTTCTTCACGCACCCCACGTAAAGCATAAAAAAGGGAGAAACAGATCAAATCAAATGTCACGAGATTATTGACGCCAGGATCAAAGCCCGAGCGTCCTAATCTATTGAATTATTGATTATTAGGGGGTGGACCGGAGAAACCTCCGGCCGGGCACGTGAGATCACGTGAATGTGACAAGGCAGCCAATTCAAAGAAACTCGGAGATTAATTCAAGACTGAACTGAATGGATGTTGTATTATTGACTTTGGGAGATCTGCATTGCACTTGTTGTCCTTGACATGGTTGGTCTGCGAAACTACTATTGACCCAACCTTCAACCCCATCTCCCCCGGACTCGGATATCAACTCCGCCCGTAATTACAATCCAGATCAAAACAACTACCCAATTACACCTCCTGAACAAGCACAAAGTCAAATCAAGAGAGAAAAAGAAAGACGATGGGCTCATCAGGAGTCTTAGCAAAGGTACACCGCAGCCATTATATCTCACTTTCACAACTAACACCCCCTACACGAACTAAAACAATAAACTAACCAACTCCCAGACAATCCTAATCCCCGCCGCAATCGCATTATCGATCTACATCCTGGCATCATGCATAATTATCCCCTTTTTCCACCGCTACCACCAACGCTACTCCCAATACCTCCCAATACACAGTATATCAGCGCATACGCTCTCCCTACGTGACCGCATAGCAGACGCCGTAATGCATTTCTTCCTCCCATCGACATGGCAGCGCGGTGCAGACATCGCAGACAATGATAATATCAGTATCGATGAGGAGGAAGGTGAGGCCTTGGTCGGAATGAATATGGATGCTGCCAGGAGGGGAACGCTGGACAGGAGACCGGACATGGGCACGGAAAGATTGGGGAGGGATCTTGAGGAAGGGTTTATGGATGACAGTGATAGCAATAGTGAGCATGCCAGGAATTAGTGTACATATGTATATTTGGAAGGCACTTTGAGCGTGTGGCGTTTGGGGATAGAGCTTGTTTAGATAGCTTTTGCATTTAAAATATATGTATTCTGTACATACTATACGTATATCTATACACTGAGATATGGCATTGTAAATCAGATCTCAAAGTCACAACTATATATCCATCGATCAATACTAAGCATCAAGAATGCCCAAAACAGTTCTAGTGCTCGGCGCTCCACCGAAAGACTGGACTCTTGAGATCTTCGGAGCTCCACCGATCATCGTTTCTCAAATTAAGAGAGGGGTACATTGTACAATGTATATTACATAGTGATATGGGGTTAAATTACAATGTTGTCACCAAGGGAAAGAAGTAAAAGTAAAGAAATATTATTCATTGGTATCGTGATAGATGCTACCTGTTACAGCATCGCCCCTTTAGAGCTTATAAACACTTAAAAATAAACAAGAAACCCAAGAGGGAAAAGGCAAGGAAACTTTTTTACTTGCGCTGACCGTAAGCCTTGGTGGCGTACTCACCCTTGTGGACAATCAAATCCTCAGGGCGGTAATCCTCACGGCCGGAAAAGTAGCTGTCCAGAATGTTCTTGGTACCGTTGGCGTAGCGGACCTGAGCATCGATGGAAGTACCGGACATGTGGGGAACCATGGCGTTACCGCCGCCCCAGGGGTGCTCGGCGTAGCGGAGAGGGTGGTCCTTGGGAGCGGGCTGGGGGAACCAGACATCACCACCGTATCCGCGGAGGTGGCCGGACTTAAGGGCCTCGGCAACATCCTCCTTGACGACAATAGCACCGCGAGCGGTGTTAACGAGCCAAGCACCGGGCTTCATCTTGGAGATGAGTTCTTTGTTGAAGAGACCGCGAGTCTTCTCGTGGAGGGGGCAGTTAATGGTAACGACGTCACACTGGGCGAGCATCTCCTCGAGGTCATCGACGCGACGACAGCCAATCTCCTTCTCGGCTTCGGGGGAGAGGGGCTGGTAGTCGTAGTAGAGGAGCTCCTTGCAGTCGAAGGGCTTGAGGCGGCGGAGGACACGCTCACCGATACGGCCGACGGCGACGGTACCGACGACCTTGCCCTCGAGGTCGAACTCGTTCTTAGCGACGGCGGCAACATCCCAGTCACCGTTCTTGATCTGCTCGTGGGCGGGCACGAAGTTGCGGACGAGGAGAAGGATAGTCATCACGACGTGCTCAGCGACCGAAACGACGTTGGAGCCAGTGACCTCGGCGACAGTGATACCACCGTTAGTGGTATTGGCGGCGTTCAGGTCAACGTGGTCAGAGCCAATACCGGCAGTGACGGCAAGCTTGAGCTTCTTGGCCTTGGCCAGACGCTCAGCGGTCAGGTAACCGGGGTGGAAGGGAGTGGTGATGATGACTTCAGCGTCGACGAGCTCCTTGTCGAAGGTGGAGTTCTCGCCCTCCTTGTCGGAGGTGGTCACCAGGGTGTGACCTTGGTCCTCAAGCCACTTGCGGATGCCAAGCTCGTTCTCAGTGGTACCGAGCAGCTTAGGCTGCTGCTGGGAGTGCTCACCACCCTATATCATGGGTTAGTCGTTGGGTATATCAAGTATAATTTGGGACAACTTACATCGTAAAGGACGAGAAGAACTTTGCCCTGGAGATTGGCAGTCGCGGTTAGCGTACGAACACCGGAAATAGGACCAGCCAATGGTGAAGTCCGAGCGAAAGAGCTGGATGGCTTGAAGGGGAGGAAGGGCCGTCTTAATTGACGGGAAAGGGAACGAATAAATACCATTGTGAAGTTTTATAATAATCAAAGATATGTAGTAAGTGTGAAGAGTATGAAGCTAGAGAAGAGGTTAGCAGGATGTTATATAGGTTGAGAGTCGATGAAGTCAATGTCCCGAAACGGCGTTGGAGAAACCAGATATCGAGACAAGCAACGCGGGGGGGAGTGTGGGGAATCTTGCAGATGGCAGATGGCTAGAGGCAATCTGACATAAGGGGAAGAGGGGGTGCATAGTGATAGATTAATAATATAATGATAAATGACTGACTTACTTCTGATGGGTGTCAAGAGGATGATGAAGAAAGAGAAATAAAAAACTGGCTCGATGGAGCTGATTATATAGACACGAGGCAGCCCCTCTCTACCATCAAGTAACCAAGTAACTTAGTACTAACCAAGTAGCCACAGCATTACACCCCTCAGAGTGGAAACGCAAGCACACCGATGAGGGTCAAAAGGGAGCTACGGCTCGGAGTGAAAAAGGTGTACCCACTCGGAACTCTAGATTCCTCTCCGCACGAGGGGGAACCGTTTTTATTCGTCTTTCAATAGATTTGGTGGCCTATGATCGTCGGATTAACATCGAACCTTGTTGGACATACAAGGGTGATCTCGTATACAGAATGGTATACTTTTTCTCAGCTATTTTACATACGTACATGGCACATGTACATGTAAGTAAATGGAGATTGGATAAGGAACGTGCGGGGTGATGTAAGTGACTTTCGTCTATAACAAATCTACATACATATGTGTATAAAGCTCTCTCTACACTATATTTTTTTTGCCATTGTCTAATAACATGTGTGTACTATACAGATGTAGCCATATTGAATCATACTTGTAGCCTTTGTATCCTATACATTACAACATAGCATCATGTTATTTCCCCGCAGTGGGGTAATTAATGGATTACCTAGTGAGGGGTAATGCCCTCCAAAAAATATACAATGTATTGTGCTTGCCACCAAGACATGTATACTGTAGAGACCAAACCTCAATAATAGTACCATCTCCAATCCCCACTCGAGCTCAATTGATCCTCTTTCTCCCAGGGTACTAAAACACCCCAAGTTTCCAGGTCCCTCAACGTTCCTACGGCACTCCTGCCGAACTATGTCCGCCCATTTGCCGAACTTCGGCCTCTGGCTTTCTCCAACTCCGGAAACAAGGACCCGCCACATCCACTACAATCAGCTATCTCGAACTGACTCCTCGCGAGGAGGTTTTGGAGAACCATCTGCACCGGGCCCACTGCCACAATACTAGTGTGTGAAAGTGGCCGGGACACGCAATTCGGATTGACAGTTTCAGCCCGGACGGCATAACCGGATCAAGAACCATCTCGCCGACGAATGGGTTCTGGATTTACTCATAATTAACCATTGCCCACGGAAAACCTGACCCATTCTTGAATTTATTATGTGAGGTCCATCTTTTTTTGGGCAATTATTGGGTTGTTTCTATTTTCGATAGCAATTGACCTTACGACCGGGCAACAAGACAAGCTGTGATTTGAGCATAAACTATTCATCGCAATGCTGCAATGAAGCATGAAATCAAAAGAAAAAAAACAACAGAATTCTCAACCCAATTTCTTCTCTAAATGCTAATGCTACAGCTGTGAACCTGACCGAAATCTAGCACCCTTACGCGACTGGCCTTCGAGCGCAAACCCCCAATTATCCACGCAGCCCAGCTACGAACAATGTCTTACAATCTTATCAATGTTACATGCGTTCGTGTTTGATGCGCTGGCATTCCCGTATATAATATCGCATGACCGGTGCGGGGTCCTTCCATTCGCCACGGACCAACCGCCCTTTTCGCCCCAAATTCTAGCGAATCCTTGAGCTCCGCTGCGTGGGTCACAAAAATGCTTGGTTTTGGTCAAATGAAACACCATGGATTTTGAGATTCTACAGTTCACAATTTACAATTGTGTTTTGTAGAGTATGGGAATTCGAGACCAGATAAAGCGAGAAATTGTCACAATCGCAGAATCTTCGCCTGCGTACAAAGCGCATCGTTGCATCATTGTCCAAGACGAAGCGTGGACTTGAAGCTCATACTTGTTTCAATGACATCCTTTTAAGGTTTTAGAAACAGATAGGACCATGGGACCATCGAAGAGCTACCAAGCAAACACTGCAAACAATACAACTATATTTATCACCATAGGGTTACCCAGTTATGGGTGGGATTAAAATTGTAGAGACCTGACTGTTAATGGCCTGGTGAGCCATGAAGATGACATAAGACTTGCATAAAATAACTCATATATATGACACAAACTGACTAGGGTCAATTCTCAGCCCCCAAATAGGCGCCTAAAGGGACCTTTTAGTCCAATGGAATCCGATGCCAAGACGGAATCTGCATACACCATGGTATTCACCTGTTGATCAACATCAAATCAGGTCTCACAGACCCTTGATCAACACCCGTTCATTTCATCTACAGTATATTGTAATCTTCCTTGATCCACTGTTTCTGTCAGATTTTAGCCATGCAAAATATTTTTCCCCTTTACCATAAAAAGCCCTTGCATTTCTGCTTTGTTTGATGTGACCTGAGTCTCTCTATCTTCAGTATGTCGGCAGAGGAGCGTCCTGTGGACGCCAAACGGCTGGTCAACTATTCTCTCGTGGCCAAAAATGAGGACGGCGACAAACCCCGCCCACTTTGGACGCCATTCTTCTTACGGCGTCCGGTCATGATAGTCTTTTTGATTGGCTTTCTGTCATGTCTAGGGGCACTGGTTGCGCTGTATGTGTACACTCAACGCCAGAATCACACTCTGGGTATCAAGAGCGACGGAGATAAATATTACTACCTCTGGACGTATGGACCGACTGCAGGTATTTAATTTTTTGATAATTCGGTTATAGGATAAACATTCTGATCTCTTTATAGTGTTTACACTCCTCGCTGCTGGCTGGAGACAAGCTGAATATCGCGCTGCTCAGTTGATGCCATGGGTTCTGATGCATCGCGGCCCGACCCCAGCTTCGCAAAGCATTTTTCTCGACTACGTATCGAAGTGGAACGTTGTTTCCCTCTACAAATCTCTTAAGCAGAGACACTTTCTGGTGTCTCTCTGCGTGGCAGGATCACTCATTCTGGACGGCATCACTGTGTTTTCCACTGGTCTCTTTGAGTTGGATTCAGTAATTGTTACCCGTCCGATCGACTTAATGGTACTCAATAAGTTTAGTGGAGCCAGTTTGGACCCTTACGCGAACGACGCCAAGTCCTTCGCCGCCTGCATGGCATTTACAGGTCGCAATATGAGTCGCTCTTTTGGTCTGTATGAGGATTATGTTTATACTCCTTTCCAGCCAGCCAACTTGCATTCGAAAGGAAATAACACTATTCCTGTGGATCGGAACTACCAGGCAGATGTAGCCATCATCGAACCTTCCCTTGATTGTCAAAATGCAACCGTCTCTTGGGAGCTGTCCACTAACAAATATGTTACGGGCAAAACGCCCGTATACAAAACCGCCGACGGCTGTCGTTATCAAGCAGAGAACATGCCTACCGCGATGTTGGAGTCGGAAGCTGATATTGGTATCGAGGTGAACCTCAGAGGGTGTCAAGGCCAAAGATTCAACGATTCTAATACCAATGGTTCCCCACCGTATTCCAACAACTGGGATGCTGATTGGCGGATATGGGCAGGCATTTCTCCATCGGTAGCCAAAAATATGTCGGATTCGAATGGGTGGGAAAACCATCCAATCCATGCTACTGTATGCAAGCCACGTTATAGTGTGTACCAGGGCCCAGTGAGGATCTGGCGCGAGGCCGGAGAGAATGCAGTTTCAGTGGACATCCAACGGGAGAAACTGAATGTCACAGATGCAATCGCTGGTGTACAGGCATCAAAGCTCATGTACAGCGGTTATCAGTCAGCGTTGCTGGGATCCTCGTTAGTTTCTTACCTTATATCCCCGGTGGGCTTTCAATATACCTTCGCAGCAAATGGTACTTCAAGGAGTGATTTTTGGGAAGACCCGGCGGTCTTCAGTGATGCTCTGACTGGTTCTTTCTCGTGTCTCATGCAGCAGACAGTGAAGAATAACGTTCTACAAGATGAACCACATCATATTGAGGGAACGGACCAATTGATTGAGGACCGACTATTTGTGCGTCAGATGTCGTTCTGGCTGATGGCAGCTTTATTAGTCATGTTGAATGCTGTGGTCGTCGTGCTTATTTGCTTCTTTGTTCCTGTTGCTGTATGCCCGCGAGATATAGGGTCTATTGGAGGACTCGCTACCATACTCTCTCAAAGCCCAGAGTTCATGGTTGCGTTTGGTGGGTCACAGTTCAAATCAGAAGAGAAAATGGCGGAGTCTAGGCTGGGCCAGACACAGTACAGTACTTTGAGTGATGCGAAGGGGGCATTCACGCTCCTTTCACAAGATCAAACTACATCCCAAGAGTCTAGTAACGATGGGCACTGTTCACCTGCCTGGTGGCACCCGTTCTCGTCCAGCTGGTTTATTCGAATTACTGTGGTCATCATTCCACTTGCCGTGATCATAGGCCTCGAAGTTGTCTACCACGTCTCTACCAGTGGGCATGGGATAACCCTAGTGGATGGAAAGTCGCCTTATATTCATTATATCTGGGTCTACATACCGGCGTTGATAATGTTTATCATCCGTTGTCTTTTCACATCCGTCGAATTTGGCTCACGCATCGTCCAGCCCTATTCTCGTCTCCGCGAGGGCCTTGCTCCACCTGAAACTTCGATTTTAGAGAACCAGCTACGCAAGATTGCCCCCTACGCCGTCTTTGATACCCTTCGAAAGAAACAGTGGGCACTGACAGCAGCCACAATGTCTCTTCTCCTCGCGGCCATCAATCCTATCGTTGTCTCCGGTCTCTTTACAGCCAAATCCTCCGAGCCCACATTCCCCGTGAACCTCACACAAATCACCCGCTGGAATCTAGGTGACCCTGTCCCTCCCACTGAAATCATGAACTACTGGAAGTCACGAGGCTTTGATATCGACTATACAGCCGGTCTTATACTTAACCTCAACCTCTCTGATCCCCAATGGACATACAATAACCTGGCCTTTCCTCAATTCGCACTCACCAGCAATGATAGTCCGATACCAGAAACGGGATTTATTGACGCACGCATCCCCGCTCTCCGCAGCCAGTTGGCCTGCGAACTAGACCCGGCGAACAGTGCCTGTGAGGTCAGCAGGGGGGCATTATGGTGCGATATTGACAACCCTTGCTACATGGATTTCAGTAGCACTGGCAATGTGAATAATCTGGACTATGTTCTCACATACGCCGGTAGGCCAGCTGGGAATAGTTATCCCTCAAATTGCTCTACACATAGTATGCTGTACGGTAAAAAGGGCGAGGGCAATACTACTTCCACTGGTTACTATGATGATTACCGTCATTTCTACTGCAACGCCACAATGGAAGTAGTCGAGGTCGATACAAAACTCCAGCTTCCTTCACTTTTGATCGACACGGACACCCCGCCCAGAATAGTTGAGAGCTCGGCTCGACAACCATTCAAAACAAACGCTTCTTCATTCCCATCATTCGACGAAATGATTGATTTCTTCTTCGCAACCGATGCTAAATTCAACGACGCCTTCTTGGCAACGATAGTAGAAGGCACCAATGGCGTCCCTTTAAATGAACTTCTCAACCCGGACACATTAGTCGCACGCATCAACGTGGTTTGGGGAGTCCTCATTGCCCAACTACTCAATACCAATGCGAGAGAATCTTTCAGTAACCCATACAACACGACATATTTTGTTGAACCCGCCACCATGGAAGCACCTATCTACACGGGCATTTTACACGATGGAAGGAAGTATCTTGTGCAAAACGAGATCTCAACTCGAATTCTGGACGGAGTGCTTGGAAGCATGGTTCTGTGCGCGCTGATAGCGCTGTTTGTTATGCGTACTAAGAGGGTTCTTCCTAAGAGTCCGACTAGTATTGCTTCTGTTGCGAGTTTTTTATATGGATCGCGCATTCTACGCTCTGCCATTCCCAGTGGCTCGGAATGGTGCTCGGATGAGGAGCTCAAGAAGCGAAGAGTGTTTGAAGGAAGCTCGTTCTCGATGGGTTGGTGGGAGGAGAAACAGAGGGATCGCACCGGGTCTGTTTCTTCTAGTCTTTCCAGTGTGTCTGAGGATGAGTTTCAGGAGCAGGAACAGTCTGATGGAGTTCAGACTTGTTTGAGTGACGAAGACGGTCTCAAGCGGCGGACTAGATTCGGGATTGATGTTGATATTGCGGATAGGCCGTTGTTGCGCAATCCTTCTCCTGTTTGAACACGCAGGTTTTATACGATACACCTATACGAGAATCATTATGAATGTAGGATAAGCTTTGCCTCTGAGCTCTATCGTAGGCTTCTCATTCATGTTCATCACCAAAGGACCGCAATTTCATGCTAAAAGGTCTTCCCAAGCATCCACATTTAGACAAAATATATCAAGGTAGCTATTAGCATCTTCTCGTCACATTTCTCATAGATGTCAGAAACGTCTCGGCTGCATCGATTCTTCCCACCTCCATCTCCATGTCTTCTCGTGTCACTGTTGTCCATTGTAGGACCAATTCATCGACTGCTTTGTCCACCGTGATAACAGGTACAAGCGCGGACTGTTTAGTATTTGTGGGAGTTTCTCGCTGTAGAGTATGATTATCGGCCCTCGGTAGAAGGAACGAATCTGCCCCGCGTACATTGTAACATTCAGCATCAATAACATGGTAGCCTTCAGCCTTTCTAAATTACTCTTGAGTAGATCCAGATCCGGGCCATGAAATGCCGATGTAAGTTTTTGAGATCCGCGCAGGAGCATATTTGTTTTTTTTTCCTGATCATGTTTGATCTCATTGTTGATCTTCTCAAAATGACCTTACATTTCTTCAAGACATCCTTGGTGGTCGCAAAAGCCGCAGGCGAACAAAGCTTTGTCTCGGAGTATTGTTCAAGGGCGCTGGCAAGCTCGCGGAGTACACTGCAAGCTCGCGAAATATTACTGGACAAACTTCGCATCGAGTCATTGGCATCTTTCACGGGGCAGTAGACAGAGCACGAGGCAGTGCATTCTCAATTGATTCATGATCACCACCAAGAACGTAGATATTATAGTTATAATCAATACATACATATGTACATCAAGTGTAGTAAACAAATCAAAGGCGGCAATTGATAATCAGCGAAACTCCGAACCGAGATCTCGGACTCTGCGGAGATAACTCCGGATTTCTTGCAATCCTTTAAATTCTTTAGCATTCCTTCATGTCCAAACGAGTCTACTGTTTCACTCATTTTCTCTGAATTTGTAAAGAATATTCATCAGATGAGGCTACGAACAACCCTCGCGCAATCGTATGCGCGACACTGGAGCACACCAACATACCGAAGCCGCGGGCCCATTCGCCAACTATCCAGCACTCCAACCCGAAATAGCAGGTTGCGCGCACGCCTGGAGATTCCCCCTCCATTTCCTGTGACCAAAAAATGCCCAGAACCAAGTTGCAATTGTCCACCTACGCCCGCCCTGCCTGAGGGTTTACCGATCGATCATGAACAAGCGTTGAATGGAACCATGGCTGCCTATGCGCAACAGCTATTGGTTTGCACAGGACAGCCGGATTGGACAAGTCGAATCGAAAATGACGGTGAAGATAAAGGTTGGGGTCACCTTGTGAGAGGCCTGAAGAACTTACTTGGTCGTGGCGGGCCATATCTCGACGTACGTGAGCAATTCGCTTGTCTCCTATAGATCGCTGAACTATTGCTAACCAGCGTGACTTTCTAGCCCTTCAATAATGTCCTAGTGACGGCTTCATCCATTGCGCCAGCTACAAACTCCTCCACCTCCGCTTCGGCATTCCTCTTCCCTAGCTTCAAATACATACCCTCAATACCCACGGAAATTGCATCCACTCAAACCGACTTGACGACTTTTGTGCGCGCTTATCTTCTCCCCGAAAGCCTTCATGACATGCATTCCTCCCTCCCCGCAACAAAACAAGCAGATATGACCCGATCCCCGGACCTAGCGGCAAACTTCCCTGAAGTAACTGATATCAACCACTCTCCTACAATCCTTATCTGCGGCCATGGAGGACGCGACATGCGCTGTGGTGTCATGGCGCCTGCCTTGGAAAGCGAATTCCGGCGCGTGCTAGAGGCACGGGGATACACTTCCGTGAACAGTGACGGAACTACAGTTGATGCTCCCACTCATGCCAATATTGGCCTTATCAGCCATGTTGGAGGGCACAAATATGCGGGTAATGTCATTGTCTACATCCCGCCTAAGATGAAGTATGGAACTTCTTCAGAGCCTCATCCGCTGGCGGGTAAGGGTATTTGGTATGGTCGCATTGAGCCTAAACACGTCGAGGGTCTTGTTGAAGAGACAATTCTCGGCGGTAAAGTGGTGACTGATCATTTCCGAGGTGGCATCGATAGGAATGGCGATATTTTGAGGATTTAGATGGGACAAATCCCAATTTTCACAGACATTACTGTACGATTAGCTATTTGCATGTCAAATAAGAGAGGAACAAAAAAGAGATTCGGAGATCAATGTAGTAAATACACTAGGCCTGATCAGGATTAGCTCCATCAAGCTCCGGGCTCCGGGGAAATTTGAAGATGCGCGCAAGGACATGATTCCAACGACAACTCGCAAATATGGCCTATACCTCCAATTCCTGAATCTAAATGACCGCTCAATAATGAAAAATAAGCAATCATGCAATCCCTTCTCCGACACCGAATGACCGGCGCAGTCGCGCAAAGCCGACTCGCGCGTCCAAGTCTCCGCCTCAAACCATCTTACATTCTAACTCGCCTCGCAAGCTCCCAAGCTCGCCGACTAGACCTACCAGCTCTCGACAAAAAATGGCAAGCAAAATGGCAAGACAGCGCCGCGCGCTCAACACCCCACACGAACACAAAACCCAAATCCTACATTTTATCCATGTTCCCATACCCATCTGGAACGCTGCACATGGGCCATCTGCGCGTGTACACGATCTCAGATGTGATCTCACGATTCTATAAAATGCGCGGACATGATGTGGTCCATCCAATGGGGTGGGATGCCTTTGGGCTGCCTGCGGAGAATGCGGCGATTGAGAGGGGCATTGATCCTGCTGTTTGGACGCAGGCGAACATAAAGAGAATGAAAGAGCAGCTGAGGTGCATATCTGCGGAGTTTGACTGGGATCGGGTATGTTTCGATCATCTTGTCTGGAGCTGGAGACGTTGGCTGACCAATACAGGAACTGGCTACTTGTGATCCGGAGTTCTATGAACATACACAGCGCATCTTTTTGATGCTTTATCAGAAGGGTTTGGCATACCAGGCTGAGGCACTGGTGAATTATGACCCGATTGATAAGACAGTTTTGGCCAATGAGCAAGTCGACGCGAATGGCTTTTCGTGGAGATCTGGTGCTAAGGTTGAGAAGTTGAATTTGAAACAGTGGTTCTTCCGGATTACTGAGTTCAAAGAGGCGCTTTTGAAGGATCTTGACTCTCTAGCTGGCGGCTGGCCTGAACGAGTTTTGACAATGCAGCGCAACTGGCTAGGGAAGTCTTATGGCGCCAAGGTCACTTTCCCTGTTACTATCAATAGTGCGGGGGGTGAAAAGGTCAATGTAAAGGTTTTTACTACTCGGCCAGACACTTTGTATGGCGTGGAATACCTCGCGCTGTCCTTGAACCACCCAATTGTCTTGAAGGCCGCCGAAAAGGACGAGAAGTTGCGCAAGTTCCTGGGCGAGGCTTCGTCGTTTGCACCGGACTCCAAGGCTGGATACCGGTTATCCGATGTTGAGGTGTCTCATCCCCTGTGCAATATTGATACAGAAACTGCCCACTTGAAAAGGAAACTTCCTGTCTTTGTGGCACCATATGTCCTGAGCGACTACGGCGAAGGGGCAGTTATGGGCGTTCCAGGTCATGACACAAGAGACATGATGTTCTTCAAGGAAAACATGAATCAGGAATCGATTCCTCTCGTCATTCAAGCCGAGTCAGGTGGGAATGAAGTCATCAATAGTGTTGTTCCGACGTCGGAGACAAAGGCTTTCACCCAAGAGGGCTTCTTGACTTCACACTGTGGAAAGTACCAAGGGATGCACTCTAAAGAGGCTGCGAAGCTCATTGTCAATGACTTGCAACAGGTTGGACAGGCCGAGTTCGTTGAAAGTTGGCGTTTGCGAGATTGGCTCATCAGCCGTCAGCGATACTGGGGTGCTCCAATTCCCATCATCCACTGCGGGGACTGTGGTCCGGTGCCCGTACCCGCCGAGGATCTCCCAGTGAAGCTACCGAAGATCGAGGGAGAGTGGCTTAAGGGAAAGAAAGGCAACCCTCTTGAGTCGTCAGAGGAGTGGCTCCACACCAACTGCCCTAGTTGTGGAGGACCCGCTCGGCGGGATACAGATACCATGGATACCTTCGTTGATTCGTCCTGGTACTTTCTGCGGTTCTTAGACCCTGCCAACAAGAAGGCTCCATTCTCTCCTTCGGTGGCACAAGCAGTGGATGTCTACATTGGGGGTGTCGAGCATGCCATTCTGCACCTTCTCTATGCACGTTTCATCTATAAGTTCCTTTCTGGATCAGAACTTTTCCCAGCTAGAGACTCTGCTGTCGCAGAGCCCTTCAAGGTTCTTCTTAGCCAAGGTATGGTGCACGGAAAGACATTCACCGATCCCTCGACAGGCCGGTTCCTTCTCCCCGACGAAGTCGATCTCACCCGCCCAGACCAGCCTTTGATCAAGGGAACTCAAGTCACACCCAACATTTCTTTCGAGAAGATGTCAAAGAGCAAATACAATGGCGTGGATCCTACATTGACCACGTCTAAATACGGCGCGGATGCCACTCGCGCACACATCCTGTTTTCCGCGCCAGTAAGCGAGGTCCTAGAATGGGACGAGAGCAAGATCGTCGGTGTGGAGCGCTGGTTCGGTCGGCTCTGGAAGCTCGTCCAAGATACCCAGCAATCCCTAGCAGGCTCCTCATTCACCGTTACAGAAGCAGAGGCCTCTAGTAGCCACGCCGTCTCCCTCCCAGCATCCCTTCAGGACCTGAGCGATTCTGACGCCGATGCAATTTTGGCCAGTCACAACACCATTGCATCAGTGACCGCATGCATCGAAAGCAACCCCTACGGTCTGAATACAGTAATCTCGGACCTGATCAAGCTAACGAACGCTCTCGCATCGGCACCCGCTACCTCCCCTCTCATCGCCTACCTCTCCATCTCATCTCTCCTCCGTTTGCTCGCCCCCATTGCCCCAGCTCTAGCATCTGAATCTTGGGAACTCCTGCACACAACAATAAGCACCACAAACCCATCGATCCTTTCATCTCCTTGGCCTACCACGCTCCTGACACCCGAACAAGTTGAAGTTCTCTCTTCTCGCGGTGGCCAAACGGTGGCTGTTCAGATTAACGGTAAACTTCGCTGTGCGGTTACCATTCCGCGAATGGAGACCGAGTCTCCGCAGGGCAAGAAGAATCCCTCACAGGAAGAGCAAGACTGGATTATTAGTCGAGTGTTGGAGACTGCTGAGGGACAGATGTGGCTTCGTGAGAAGCATGATTGGGAGAAGAGACGACGGGTCATCGTTGTTAAAGGGGGAAAATTGGTTAATGTTGTTTTCTAATTCCAATTGCTATGTTGGATGTGTATTTATAAAGATAGACTGTATATTAGCATGTAGGGCTACGAACATTATAGCGCTCTCTTCTCATTCCCATCGTGTCTATGCTAAGCACTTAGACCCACAGCCCAGAGCGAAGCTAGTTTTCTGATCACCAAGAACAGAGGAAAGAGATTTAATTTTGGGGGTATCATATAAAGACATTGACATTTCCTTGACAACAGGATCAACCACCCATTTCACCCCGGGTCTCAGAAAACGACCGATCCCGCCCAGGCGTCTCCAACGGAAAGCTGAGATGTTTCCAATCCTCAATTTCCTCAATGATACACTTCAACCGATCCCGAATACTCTCCACAGCATAAGTTCCCAAAATCAGCCTCAGCGGTGGATACGAGCAATGACCCAGCTGCCAAACCAAATGCGCCGCCTTAACAGCACTAGCAGGTTGCTTATCCCCCAACCACATCAACATACGACGCGCATGCGCAGCAGGACTCGTGGGAGTATTATACGGCTCACTGGGCGGCTTGACCAAAAAGTGGCCATAGAGCGGTAACGGCGAAGACAAATTATGCTCCGACGGATTGGCCGCCATAGCCGACGGCGAGACCAAATCCCCAATATCATCACGGCGCATATGCCCGGGCTCCACAAGCGTGCCCTTAATATTGAAACTATCAACCTCATATAGCATACTCTCCATGAGGCCCTCAACAGCATACTTGGACGCACAGTAGGGACCGAGACCAGGCACGCCGAGGGCGCCAGAGGTCGAGCTGAAAATAAGGTATCTGCCAGCGCGGCGCTGGCGAAAATGCGGCAGCGACAGCTGGATCATGTTCAGGGTTCCTGTGAAGTTTGTTTCGAATTGGTTGCGGATGTCGAACTCGTCTTGGTCTTCGCAGGCGCCGATGACGCCATAACCGGAGCAATTGGCTATCACGTCTATGTGACCGAAGCGGGCGATTGTCTGGTCGATGACTCTTTGGACGGTCTCGCGGACGCGCACGTCGCAGAGGAGACCCATACAGTTCTCGTGTTCGGATTCCAGCTCTTTCATTGCTTCTGGGCTGTTTTCGTAAGTGCGGCCTACGGCTGCTACTAGATCGTTATGGGAGAGGGTCGTTTTCACTAGGGAGCGACCCATGTGTCCGGTTGCGCCGAAGATCTGTTGGTCAACGGGTTAGTTCGTGGTTTGGTGGGGTTGGTGGGTTTGATGAGGTTGCTTACCAGCCATACTAGGGGTTTGGGAGGGTTCAAGGGAGTTGGAGGGTCGGTTGTTAGAGGGAGGTGAAGTGTTGGTTCTCGCGATTCTCGTGAGTCGCGCGGGGAGGATTGACCTCCTTGATATGTTTGGTCCATTGCTGTGAAGAAGGAAGTTGAAGATCTTCGTCTCCCCCACACTTTTGAGGGCGGTGACTTCAAGAGCTCGGGATACGACATTGGAGAGACTACATATGTACATCCCAGTACAATCCAATACTATGTTGGAGATAAATTTAATTATAAAGGCATTCATGGTGTAACATTGTAAAATAGAAGTACATTAAAGGTCAAAGAGTGCCCATTTCTTAAATACATCATGGAACCATCATTATATACTTAACGACCAACTTCACGTCGCAGCCGTCCCGCGGCCGTCGTAGGTCCTGGTTCCGGCCAGCTACCCACCGCATCATCAACTTCTTCCAAGAAAGTCGTGCTATTATGAATCGAGGTACCCCCCAGAACAACACGCACACCGGGTGAGCTAGCATTGACCTGAGCCACCATCTTGGCTTCCTCGTAGGTGACACCACCAACCATGAAGATAATGATATCCTGTGGCTTGTCACGCGTGTGGCCGCTACCCTCTAAGAAGGGGTATTGTAATTCCTTCAAACGGCCCTTGATGAGATTCTGAAGTGTCACTTCCAGTCGCGGGGAATGTTGAGTGTAGACATTTTCGACGCCTTTGAGGCCCTTGAAGCGGTCTCGTGCGCCGGAGAAGAAGGAGGTTGATTCAAAGAGGTCGGAGAACCCGCCTGCGACCGGTGGGGCTTGGAGAGAGTGGTGGTAGGCGAGAAGCTTGGGAATGAGGTTGACGCGGATGGAGGGGACTTCGCCTGCTGTCACAAGGAGGTCGAGGAGAATGGGTAGTGCGTTGTTAGGCTGTTTCTCATAGCGGAGGGCATATAGTGCTACCAGGCGTAGTTTGTTATCTGTTGGCACACTGGGGAGTGCGATGATTCGTTGTAGGGACTAGAGCGATGTGAGTGGGGAACCAATTTTTGTCTGCCTTCGAACATACCTTGAGGTCATTGGAGTGGTTATCACTGCAGGCGAGACTTTGTTCGAGCTCGCTCACGTCGAGGAGATTGTCCTCGCCGACACGTCGACTAAGTTCGCCCACCAGGGTAACATGTTTGCTCACATTGCCCGCAAGCTTGCGGAACTCCGGATAATCCTCCACAAAACGTTTCATATCCGCGATGGACTCGATGTTCGCGGTGCTTTGCGTTTTGGTTTGATATTGCTCGACATATTCTTTAATATTCTGACCCAAATCACCAAAGTTCTGGTACATGTTCTTCTTGAAGAACGGGTCTTGGTCTTGAGCCAAGACGATCTCCTTCAGCTCCGGTCGGATATCCGGTACATCCTGTAGATCAACCCGGCCATTATTGATGCCAAGCATTTCATGCACCATGGCCTGATATGTCCACTGGGTCAACAGTGGGGTGATGGGATCATCGCGACGGTCCAGAACGAGCAGGATGGGTGGTGTATCCGTCCGGCGGAAATTAAACAGCTGCTCCTCCTGTGTGATGTGGTATCTGACTTCTGTCGCTAGTTTTCGGGCCAATAGACTGTTCTTCTCGTATCTGATGAGGGGATTCTTTTTCAGTGAGAGTAGCAGGGCCAGTACTCCCTCCGTGGCTCGTTGTAGTGAATCTGGATTCCAGAGGTCGGGCGAATGGCTCCATATACGTTGCAAGGGGAAACCCAGCCCCAATGAGCAGAGGTCTGGGTTTATAACCAAGAAATCGGCGAATTGTTCCTGTACCGATTGAACAACCTCATGGCTGTCCGCTTCCGCGAGCCGCTCGAGGGCGGATTTGCGAATAATGTTGCTTAGGTAGATGTAATATTCGCCGTATTTAGGTTCGCGGAGTTCGTCGATCAGAAATTGAATAGAGGTCGGTGATGGGCGCACAAAGCATATACATCGTAGATGTCGCATCTTCTCGCGCGCGGCATTGTCAAGGCGGTCGATAAGGTAGACCTCGTGATTAAGGAGAGCGGACTGTGTGATGGCGGTTGAGATGATAGGGACCTGGTGATCGCATTAGCTTCAATGATATTGTCAGCTGCTGGTTAAATGACTCACTGTCTCGCTATCTAGAAGCAAGATCTTCATCTTAGACGAAGCTCCGGACTCGCCCACGGTGACCATCTTGGAGATGTACCCCGAGGCAGCCGTGACGACATCCATGGTGAAGATGCACCAGGCGCGTAGAAAGAAAAGGGAGAGAGAAAAGAAAAGAACAAAAGCAACAAATTGATTGAAACGAAGAGTCAAGCTAAGCTTTGATGTTTTGATCGAGGATAAATGTGGAATTGTGGAGAGATGAAGAAGTTGTTGGGGATTCCAAGTTTCCACATGACAACCTCGATCTTCTCTCTCTTTTCTTCTTTTTTGTCTTTCTCCCTACTTCTCCTTCTTTTATTCTAATCTTGGTCTTTTTTCTTCTTCTTGTTGTTTTGTTTTCGTGTTTTCTTCCATCAAGGTCAACTATGTTGCCTTACGTAGACCAGTGTTTGTTCCCCATCTCAAAGCTTCTCGGCCCTCAACTAACACCTCCCCGCAGTATTTGAGCTGCCAGCTCGGCTTACTGGCGCATCAGTTGATGAGCGTATGATCTTCCACTTTCAAACAACATTACCAGTTTCTGATTCTCTATAGTCAAATTGATCGGCTCATTCCTCTTATCCTACCCGCTAGCTGCCCTACTTAAACGCATCCCCGACGCGCAGCCCTGGAAAAAGAATGCATTCATCATTGGCGTGTCATTGTTCTACCTCGTCGGACTTTTCGACCTCTGGGATGGCCTGCGTACCCTGTTATACAGTGCTGCGGGCACTTACGCGATCGCATACTATGTGGATGGATCTCTGATGCCCTGGATCGGATTCCTGTTCCTCATGGGTCACATGTCGATGAACCATATTGTCCGTCAGGTGGCCGACGATGGTGCGTCGGTGGACATCACTGGAGCGCAAATGGTCATGGTTATGAAGCTTACTTCCTTCTGCTGGAACGTGCATGATGGTCGTCTAGCTCAAGATCAGCTGTCGGACTCACAGAAATACTCGGCCATCACCAAATTCCCCGCCATCGTGGACTACCTTGGTTATGTCATGTTTTTCCCCTCCCTGTTTGCCGGGCCGTCCTTTGAATTTGTCGACTACCGTCGCTGGATCGACACCACACTTTTCGATGTGCCTCCCGGCACTGACCCGTCAAAGGTGCCTCCAACCCGGAAGAAGCGCAAGATCCCTCGCAGTGGAACCCCCGCTGCTAAGAAAGCCGCTGAAGGCCTGATCTGGATTTTGGCCTTCATCCAGCTAGGCTCGTACTTCAGCACCGATTTCCTGCTTTCAGACGCGTTCCTGCAGTACCCCTTCCTGCGCCGCGTTTTTACAGTCCACATGGTAGGCTTCACCGCGCGCACCAAGTACTACGGTGTCTGGGCTTTGACTGAAGGCGCCTGTATCTTGTCTGGTATGGGATACAACAACTTTGACCCCAAGTCGGGTAAGGTCTTCTGGAACCGACTGGAAAACGTCAATCCCTGGAGTCTGGAGACTGCGCAGAATTCCCACGCCTATTTGGGTAGCTGGAACAAAAACACCAACCACTGGCTGCGCAACTATGTCTACCTGCGTGTTACACCAAAGGGCAAGAAGCCCGGTTTCCGCGCTAGCATGGCTACCTTCGCTACCAGTGCGCTTTGGCACGGTTTCTACCCAGGATATTACATGACCTTTGTCCTGGGCTCCTTCATTCAGACTGTTGCCAAGAGTATGTTCAAACCAAGACAATGACATAAATTGATTATGTTGTATTTACTAACAATTAAAAGACTTCCGCCGCTACGTGCGCCCCTTCTTCTTGACTCCAGATGGCACAAAACCTATGCCAAACAAGCGCTACTACGACATCTTCAGCTGGCTCGCAACCCAGCTGACTCTATCCTACGCCGTGATGCCCTTCGTCCTTCTCAGGTTCGACGAGTCCGTCACAGTCTGGAGCCGTGTCTACTACTACGGTATCATCAACTGTGCCGTCTCACTAATTGCTTTCGCCTCCTTCTCGCCTCTGAAGAGTTACCTCGTTTCCACTCTGAAGCGCCGCAACAGGCCCCACGTCGGCCGCACCGCTAGTATGGAGTCTGTGCGCCCTCCTGTCCTTGGTCTGCCAAATGATCCCGAGCGCGACTTCGATGAGGTTGTTGCGGAGATCAGGGCCGAGATTGAGTTCCGTGGACGTCGTGGTAGTACGGCTACTATGCCTACTGGTGAGGAATTGAAAGCTGCTGTGGAGCAGAAGATTGGGCGGAAGTTGTAGGCTGCAGAACGAGTCAAAAAGATTTTGGTTGGATTCGGGATAGAAATTGGTTAGAAGACTTGGAAGGACTCGTTAGATGTTCTCCTTTCTGTAGGAAGTAATTATTTATGTCTTTCTTCGCACTATATTTCATGTCAGCTGGGTTGATAATGACACGTCCAACATAGCAGAAATGGTAATCGATGGAATTTAATGATATATCACTCGCTATGAAAAATGTCATACATAATCTTGAAAGCCAATCCTTAACATTTAGTCTATAGTTCGACGAAGATTTCAAACCTCTCAGTGCTGGGCCCGACACGAGTGGTCACCTGCTGTTCATCTTGTGAACACGCGCAACCCTAAAATTCACCAACGAACCCTAACTTCACGATACGCCCATTTTCAAGGAGTGCGACCCTATCAAAGTCAAGAATGGTGTGCATTTTGTGCACAATAGCAATGATAGTCTGACTCTGGAAATGTTCCCGAATCACAGTCTGCATCAACACATCTGTTTCAGCGTCCACACTTGATAAAAGATGTCAGTATTACATCCGTGTAGTTCGCCGAAGGTCTTGGCTACTTACCTGCTAGTGGCCTCATCCATAATGACTATACTGCTGGACTTGCACATTGCGCGTGCGAGACAAAAAAGCTGCTGTTGTCCATAGGACAAAAGCTCATCCGACCAGTCGGCATCGAGTCCACCTTTGGTTTCAATATCAGGCCATAGTTTGACCACTTGAAGGGCATCAATGATTGCGTCGTCGGTGGCATTGCCCTCTGGGTTTGCATTGAGGCGTATTGAGCCTCGTAGGAAGAAGGGTTGTTGAGGGATGGTATTGATTCTAGATCGAACGGTCGCTCTGGAGACCTTAGAAATGTCTACGCCATCAATGAGAATGGTGCCGCTGCTCGGTTCGAGGATTCGTAGAAGTGCTGAAATGAGGGAGGATTTTCCACTAATGGTTTCATTAGAATATACTCTTTCGAATTTTTCGGAGAGAACACGAACCTGCCAGTCCTACCACATATAGCGATCTTTTCACCAGCATGAATGTGAAGGTCAATATCGCTGAGAACAGGATCTGATGTAACCCTATTAAAAGCCAAGAGCGTGAGAACGAGGTCAACGTAAATCATTATTCAGAAACATACTCATAAGAGGCGGAGAGGCCGCGAATCTCAACACTACCTCGTTGAGGCCAGCTTTCAGGGACAACCTCCGTTTCAGAATCCAGATCCTCGGTCACTGCTTGTTGCGTATAGGAGCGGATTCTAGCAACCGCACCAATGGAAGTTTCCAACCCAATCCAGTTTTTCACAAGCGATTGAAGTGTATAACTGAAGTTGACGATATTGAATAGGGCAATGCCCAGCAAATTCATCGAAGGACTACCCTTCATAGAAAGCGCAACAGAAATGACAATCACGGCAATCGCTGCAACAATCAAATCCAAGACAAGGGTCAACCACCGCTGAATGCAGTAAAGCAAATAGAAAGGGCGCTGGGATGCATCCAATGCAACTCGATTGCGACGCTTGTAGTCCTCTACCCAGCCATAAGCGCGGATGTTGGACAGACCACCAAGTACTTCCAGGAATTGGGAGAAAAGTGGTGCTTTGGCCTCAATGTCTAGGAGACGCATTTGGCGAGAGGTTTTGACGTAGAATTTTGCTAAGTAATACACAGCCAGAACGCAGAATGGGATCACTGCTGCTGTGACGTAGGAGGAGCCGACGAATACGAGGAAGCCTTCAATGATGCAACTTAGCACGGCATTAACCGTTAGTTCTAAAGTCTCAGGGAGCTCGGCGTCGATAAGCTCTAGGTCTTGACTAAATCTGCAAGGTAATATTTGTTAATAATCAGAAGAATCTAGAGGATTTGGTATGCGCTCACCTATTCGTGGTGTTTCCAATATCCGTCGATGTTAAGAATGAAGTCGTCGCGCTGGATAAGATGTTAGTAACATGGATATCAAAAGTAAAACTGATGTTTCCGATCTCACCCCATTGTAGTACGCAGAAGAATCTCGTGGAAGCGACGGGACGTCTGGGGTTGTATGATCATGATGATGATCCTGTATAAAGTTAATGATCCGAAGGCGACCCAGCTTGACTAAGATAGAGATCAAACAAACCATGAGCCAAGAAAAGTCATCGAAAGAGAAAAGAGCCCAAGTGCAGCATACACACCCAACCAATACCAGACATGTTGATTAGGATATTGCTCATTAGCCTGAGTCCACCGCTGTAGCCATATCTCTTTGGTGTAGGTCAGCACTCAATAATTTCGCATTGCAACAAGACTTCAGAACTCACGTGGAAAGCTGAGGCTAGAAATGAACAGAACACAACATATGAGAAAGAGGGTCAGAAGAGGCCAGCCAATGTTTTGGAAGTAGAAGGAATAAACTGTCAAATCTCCAGTTCGTCGACTCATGTCTTCGGTCTGTTCTTCTTCTATGTTCAATCCTTGGATTGTTTCATCATCCAACACAATGTCCGGCGCTCGAGTGGTGTTCGGCGGTTGGGAGCTTTCGGAAATGGTGCTAACATAACCATTGGTGTTCATTAGATGTTGATAGGAGCCTTGTTCAATGACTCTTCCATTTGCATCTAGTGCAATGATGTTATCTGCGTAGGCAAGGTGATGTGCTGGGGACACCAATCATTAGCAATCTGAATAGATAGCCTTGACAAACCCAACCCCCCCCGGGAAAATAGGACGTACACACCTGAGTTTGTAGCCATAATTACCGTCTGTCCGGATCCTTTGATGATACCTCGGGCAGCAAATACATTCTCAAGGATGATCTTTTCCGTTTCACGGTCCAGACCCGTCAGAGCATCATCCAACACAAGGACCGCCTCTTTTGAGTAAAGAGCCCGCGCAAGTGCCTAGGCATGTCTGCATTAGCTTGGAAACCGCAAGGTATCAATCCAGAGAGCCATACCACCCGCATTTGCTGTCCACCGCTAAGCCTAGATCCACGAACACCGACTTTGGTTTGGTCACCGACAGGAAGTTGTTGAAAGTCAGCCTGCAAAGCACATAATTTGATCACCTGGTTATACGTGGTTTGATCCCAGGATGATCCCCCAATGATGTTTTCCTGTATTGTTCCAAATGTAATCCATGGCGACTGGCTACAGTGAGCAGCATGGGTGAAGCTTGTAGAAATTGTACCGGAACATTCAGAGATCTCCCCAAGAAGTACCTTTAGGAAAGAAGATTTCCCACTTCCCACTGGTCCAACGATCATTGTAATTTGAGACGCTGGAATGTCAAGATTTAGATCTTTCAGAACAGGCTCTTCATCAACAGACCATGATGCGGATAGATTTCGAATGACAGCAGCACAAGCCTGTTGAGTATTCTGGGCCTCAGTTGGCGATTCAATCTCAATCAGAGGGGTTATGATGCCCGGTGAATCAGATTGCAAATGGGGTTCGTGTTTCAGTCGATAATCGACTCTTTCCGTCTCCAGTAAATGCTTTTGAATCCGCTGGAAGCAATTGACAACTGTCATGGAATCCTCGACGCCATTCACAATAGCCCCCAATGGCTGATCCAACAAGGAGAACAGGGTAAGTGCAGAAAACGCCAGCCCATTCGTGAGTGTAGCTGAGTCGTTCGCACGCGCGATTAGAATGAAGGCACCAAAGCCAAACACAGGGCCGATAGTGAATGAAGAGTACGCTATTGAATTAGCCGAGGTCTCATAGCCATAGTAAGTTTACCTACCCAGTGTGACTCCCAGTGTTTCATAGAGCCGAAATAGAAACGAGGCTTTGATTTCCGCAGATCGCAGATTCCGAAGACTGGCGGAGATGGTCTCAGTCAAGCCTGTCATTTTGACATTTTTCATCACACCAAGCACTTTTGCTGTTACAGCGACTCGCTCTTCAACGGCCTCTAGCCATACCCCCTGTGCGTCTCCACAAGCAACTCCTAGCGGAATTCCCAACAACAAGCATACTATGAACGCCTCAGTCAGCTGTAAATTAACAACCAGATTGTCAATACTCACAAACAGCAATAACAGTAGATGCAATCATTGCCAAGTTTAGTAGTCTTGCCAGCAGCCACAAGGCGATCGCGACCTCAATGATACTAGCGTACACTTCGTGGATCTCCCTCATACCACTTCCAATTCGTTCGATATCGGTACTCATCAGCGTTATCGCAGCGGAATCGGAAACGACAGAGGTGCTCATGCGCAACGTCTTGTCGAAGATGAGAGTCACTAAGCTTCCCCGAGCCATGGTGATAATGCGATTCGTCTGATGTTCGTAAGCAGCGTAGGAAATCTGTATTGATTAGCACAGCTCTCATCGACCGCAGAATACTACATACAGCGATACCGAGGTACACGATGGCATAGGCGGCAACGAGCCCGTACGCATAGTTGGTCGAATTGACGTGTTCTGGCTCTGACATGAAATTGATCACACGCTCCACGAGGAAAGGCTGAGCAAAACAAAAGGCTGTAAATGCCAGTCGGGGAAGAACACCTTCTAGGAAATCCCACTTATGGTGAGACATCACAGTCCACAAAAGTGCGTTCGGCTTATATTTGTTGGCTAGAGCATTGCATTAATTACTGATTGAATGGTTCAAAAAACAGATTTGGAGCATACCCTTTTCCCATTTTTCGAAGAGAGATTGAGGGTCAGAGGCAGCTGTGATGCTGTCGTCAAGTGCTGGGAGACTATCCACTGTCAGCTGAGATTTTGACCCACGCCAAAGAAGACCATTCAGCCACCAGAAGACAGCCCGGTTGAGCACACCACTTGTCGACTCAATCGGGCTATTCTGGTACGTCTTTTTGAGCAAGCTTTGCTTCTCTCTCGCCTCCAGGACGACAGTGATCGATTTGATGACGCATGATATAGCAAACCAAGTGGCCACAGACGAAGGAACCGGCATGAAATATAAGGTCCGTAGACGAGCGAGATCAAAGAGCAGCGTAAAGCCGAGGAAGACATTGATGATTGTGGATGGACGAATTGTGCGAAGATGCTCAAGATGAGACAAGTACATCAAAACGCACGAGGCGCCGATCGTGAGAGATGTCGTGGCTATAGTCGCCTTGGTTTTGGGAGTGTTTTGTCGAGTCCAAAGGACTAACAGCACGTTCTGGCACACTATGTAGAATAACCAAGATGACTGCACGGATTAGCGTGAAAATGTAAGCATACTCTTGACCACACACCTCCTTCACGGCATACGACCATGATCGATTGACTGTTTCAGAGGCGGTTTGCAATTTCAAAACGCGAACCAATGCAGCTAAACAAACGAGACCTAGCGGTACTAGGGTGAGAATGCATTCTTCGAACAAAAGAGTGAAGTCAAAGCCATGTAAACAAGACGACGCGACAGTGGGACCGAAAACATCCTCCACTTCAATTGAACAAGAAGGGTCTAACATGGTCAGTGGTCAGTATGATATTGTAAAATTTGGGCGAGCATGTCAAATGAAATGTGCGAAGATGAGGCTTAAGATGAGGCTTAGTGTATGTGGGGTAGAATTAAGGGGTCCAAATCGGGAGATCGCTGATGCCTAACCCTTTTTTGACTCAGAAATGAGTCAATGAGAACCTTGGAATCGTCGTATTATCTCGTACGTAATCATATGGACATAGCTGGAATGAAAATAAATCATTGTTCTACCTAAATATAGTATTTACTACTTTTACTACTATGATTACATACCTAGGTGCCTGTAGGTACCGGATATTAGACGCACCGGGAGTCGCCCTTTGGGAACCACAGAACACGTGACCGTCACTCCATGATCTACTCCGCGGGAGTATATCACAGGAGTAGACAGTGACTCTAGCATCTACCCCTAGGGAGTAGATCTGGGAGTAGGAACGAAGGATATATAAGGGCACTCATTTCATGTATCTAGTTTAGTTCTTCGTCTTCAATTACACATTATTACTTGTGAATACCTTTGGAACCTCAGAGACTCTTTACATTGATTATAACTTAACAAACGCTACGACTAGACCAATACTTCGGTATAGATCTATTCGGCGCACTATCTGGCAGGTCTTCTCTACCGAGACTGGGAGGCCAAAAACTCGATTCTGCTCACGTGGCAAATGTCTTTTGACTATATTCAAAGAGTAAGGCCGTCCGCAACCGACTTACTTTCTTTGATGTGTTTTTTCGATCGACAGGGAATCCCTATGAATACCCTTCGTGATCCGCAAAGCCAGGAAATAAATGACATTTTAGGTTCGAAAAATGTCATGGACAGTTCGAGTGAAGAGGATGGGGATAGTGTGTCGGACTATGACTCTGGCGCAGATCAGCGTTTCGAAGAAGATGTGACAACACTCTGCGACTATTCATTAATCTCGATTGGGGAGAACAACGCAATATTCACGATGCATCGACTCGTGCAGTTAACAGTACGCACATGGTTGAAAATTCATGGAAAGCAATTGCAGTGGAATGAAAGATTCATCAACAATCTATGGCGTGAGTTTCCGACAGGTGAATATGAAAATTGGGAACGGTGCCGGTCGCTCTTTCCGCATGTTAAACTAGCGGTGTTGTAAAGACCAGAATCACACGGCTCTCGACAATAATGGGCCACGTTGCTTTACAGAGCAGCGTGGTATGCGCAATTAAACGGGAATATTGCAGAATCAATAGACATGGCGTCTAAATCAAGAAAGCAAAATTCGAAGATATTTGGCGCAGATGGTGAAGAGACTTTGAGTAGCACTGCCGTGTTAGCGACAGCATATAGGCTTAAGGGCCAGTGGGAGGAAGCTGAGCAGCTTCAAATACAGGTGAAGGAGATAAGCAAGAAGAAGCTCGGCGGGGACCATCCCTCTACGCTATTGAGCATGAACAATCTAGCGTTGACATACCAGAATCAAGGTCGGTGGGAGAACGCCGAACAGCTCCAGGTGCATGTTATGGAGATAATCAAGACGAAGCTTGGCTCAGACCATCCCCTCTACGCTATTGAGCATGAACAACCTAGCGTTGACGTATTGGAATCAGGGCCGGTGGGAGAAGGCCGAGCAGCTTCAGATACAGGTGATGGAGATAAGCAAGAAGAAGCTCGGCTGGGACCATCCCTCTACCCTGTGGAGTATGAACAACCTAGCATCAACGTACCAGAACCAAGGCCGGTGGAAAGAGGCCGAGCAGCTCCAGGTATACGTGATGGAGATAAGAAAGATGAAGCTCAGCACAGACCATCCCTCTACGCTATCCAGCATGAGTAATCTAGCGTTGACATACCAGAAGCAAGGCCAGTGGAAGAAGGCCGAACAGGTCCAGGTGCAGCTTATGGAGATAAGCAAGGCGAAACTTGGCCCAGACCATTCCTCTACGCTATCCAGCATGAACAACCTCGCGTCAACGTACCAGAGCCAAGGTCGATGGGAGGAGGCCAAGCAGCTCCAGGTACAGGTCTTGGAAATAAGCAAGACGAAGCTTGGCTCGGACCACCCCTCTACACTATCAAGTATGAACAATCTAGCGTTAATGCATTGGAACCATGGCCGGTGGGGCGAGGCGGAGCAGTTACAGATGCAAGTCATGGATACTCGCAAGACGACGCTCGGCACGGACCATCCCTCTACGCTGACAAGCATGAGTAACCTAGCGTCGACATACTGGAGCCAGGGCCGATGGGAGGAGGCGGAGCAGCTCTTTGTGCAGGTCGTGGAGAGTCGGAAGACAAAACTCGGGGAGGACCATCCCGACACGCTGACGAGCATGGCCAACCTAGCGTCGACGTTCTGGAATCAGGGCCGATGGGAGGAGGCGGAGCAGCTCGAGGTACAGCTTATGGAGACTCGCAAGACAACGCTCGGGGAGGACCATCCCGACACGCTGACGAGCATGGCAAACCTTGCCTTCACTTGGGAGTCTACAGGTCGGCAAGGCGAAGCAATCGATTTGCTTAGAGCCTGCGTGGCTAAGCAGCAACGAGTTTTAGGCTCCACTCATCCTCACACTGTCTCCAATAACAACACGCTACTGGAATGGGAAACAGCGGATCTTACTGTCGACGCATGATGTATTTATCGTATTTTGTTTGTCTCACGTTGAATTTGCCTTGCTATATTTGGTTGTCCAATTATGCTTATTATTCATTACGGTTCAGTTTACTTAGCAACCGTGCATTTGACAATCCATTGTTTTCTATACGTGTAAAATACATTTTCTGTATTGCTGTATTGAAGGAACCGTACTCTGTAGATTTGACGTAATAGCCTCTGCATACATACTATATTGGGACTAGAGTGTCTTGGTTTGGATTCCAGAAAGATCTCCTTGCGGCAAGCATGGAAGCCAATTCCGAATATGACTATAGTACTAACGACATAGAGCTAAAGAGCACTATGTAGTTATGAAATATTCATCTTTGTAAACTCCTTAGATTTATTTCAGTTTTACCTCTTAGCACTGGGAGGCAGATTGGATTTCATGGAAACCCGATAACACCCAAAGATTGTGCTCATAATCTTTATCAAATCTGTGAGTGGAATGGGTTTTTATAATTCCATGGTGTCCGGCTTCATAAGGTGTTATTGAATTGGGCAGAATGAGTCGAGATGGGCGATTGGGAGGTGGATGAGAATGGGGTTGCTGGTGGAATTGAGAAGTTCAAGGATGCTGATACGCCCGATCATTGAGAGAAGTATCAGATTCCGCTTTCTTGATGAGAATAACAAAGAAAACACGCAAAGTATCTTCAAAAATGGTCAAGAGTTCAGAATTTGAGTCGACGCAAGTCCAAATTTCAACGGGTCGAGTACCCGTACACGCGGCCGTGACCTGACACTTTCTGCAGGTTTCAACAGGCCTCCATTAGAATAGGTATATCTAAACGCTAGTTACCAAGCAGGGCATTTAAGTGACAAGATGAGCTGAGAAGTCTATAAACACGTCCTCTACCTCCAGCAATTTGCTCTATGACAGGAATATGAGGTCAATCTGTATGGGAACTAGAATGGTCATATCGAACTATCTAACTGAAAACTATGAGATGAACGAGTTTGTAGGACATGCCGATAGGGAGTAATATGCACTGATGTGAGGTGTCTGACATTGATGTTGTAAGATAATCTGGGTAAGTACCCAGAAATCCATATGCAGATCCACCATAGTTCTGACACTCTACAACCCAATCACTTGACTACAAATCACTTGATTACGTGAAGTCGAGCAGGCGTTTTGTCTGACGCACTTGATGAGTTCTCGCCGTATCAACTACTGCACCTGCCCTTTTGATCTTCAAAGTCGCACCTCTTCTTTAGGCCGAGACACCTATCACACGCCTGTTGACTATTAGTATGGGAGAACAAAATAAGGATGACCGTTTACCATTCATGTCGTTGTCCATTGAAAGGAAGGTAAGTACGGGGCCCGTGCGTGGATGATTTGATTGATTTGGCCCATTTTTCCACTGCAAATTAGTTTGTGGGGAAACTGAGCTCAAATGTAAGAAATTCACCATTAAAAAACACTTGGCGCGACGAGAAGTGGGATGATTTGTGCACTACTGGTCCGTAAAACCGGGTATTTGGTTGACGTCCATCGTGTCGGTGCTCTTCACGTATCTCTCTGTTTATTATGCAAATAGACGAAAGGCTGTATTCTTGCAAGCTTAATTGAGCTACTGTGTTCAAGACTCAGATATGAAGAGAATGAGGGAAGACGTGGAAGTCTTTACGCCACATGATCCGCCGAAACAACTCAGTGCAGAAAAGTGGACGTAAGAGTTGGCAGCCGGTGTCGAAATCCCCGCTCCAGTACACATATATCGAGTATCCATTGTTGGACACACGGGATAGAAGTGTTACAAGTCCGGTCTCGAAACGGTCGACGGGAGTATCTGGCCTACTCCGCACAGATCGACGCCTTGGCGCTTTTATGCATATTTATGAACACCAGGTATACCTGTGAATTATATTCATGTTGTACGAAGCCAATGCATTGCTGATATGTCTGAGAATGGGGATAAAAGTGTGGTAATTATGTGCACAAATAATGCAAAGCTATGAGTCTAAACTGTTCGTTTGATCATATGTATAAAGGCTTTATAACCAAGGGGTAAAATTTCTCTTCACCCGTTTCTTTCTCATCACCCCACAGCTATATTATACCTCATGGCGATCCTATCATTGCTCTTCCAAGGTGAAGTCTGGCGAGAGGCTCTACCCTGGGTGGCTTCTGCAATTGTGGCTTGTTTTACGATTGTCTTGGCTCGTGGAGAGCGTCCTCATTATGGGTTCCCATTGATAGGGATGGAGTATAGCCGATTCGGACGCATGGACTACGAAAAGGCGCTTGCCCGGTTCTTGGGAGGGTTGACAAAGATATATCAAACAGGATTGAGAGAAGTGTGTCCCCTATCTTTTGATTCTCAATTAGTCATTGTCCGTTTTCTAATGAGGATGAATCACAGGTGCAAGGGAAAGGGTTTCAAATTTTGACGAACACAGGATTCAAAATCATTCTCCCTCCTTCCTACATCGATGAGCTTCGCAATCAACCGAACCTAAGTTTGACGGGCTTCCTAGAAAATGTATTTGGTGACTGATCTATAACCAAAAATGAATCAAATGCTGAACCTTCGAAGGATTTCTTTGCAAGCATCCCGGGATTCGGCGCGTTTGGGGCAGCTGCCGGTGGAGAAGTCATTCAAGAGACAGTAAGGGTTAAGTTGACCGGATCTCTGGGTAAGCTCTTCCTCTGGATTTGAGATTGTTCGGTACTAAGCTGGTATCTTCCGATAGCCCACGTTACCAATGATCTATCAGATGAAATGTCATATTTTACAAATGAGTATATGCAGCCGGGGACTGGTACAGACAAGTGCTATCTACCACAACAAATGTTGCTTGACTGACACATCGACAGATTGGGAGAATATCAGCTTTTATGATATCTCGATGCGCGCAGTAGCCCAGTTATCTGCCCGTGCATTTCTGGGGAAGATGTTATGCAGAGACAAGCAATGGCTAGATCTGTCGGTTATGTTTACTATCCATGCTTCTCAAGCTGCTCGTGCCCTCCGATCGTGGCCACGGTTTACGCGCCGATTCATCCACTGGTTCCTTCCCGAGACTCGAACACTCCGAAATGATGTCGCTGCTGCCCGCCGAAAGATTCAACCCGAGCTTAGCCAAAGAAACAAGGACCGAGTGAGATACTCTGCCGACGGAAAGGAAGCTCCCAAACTCATGGACACTCTTCAATGGATGGAGGATGCAGCCAAGGGACGTTCATTTGACTTTGTTCACGGCCAGCTCGGTTTGACATTTGCGGCAGTACATACCACCTCTCATCTGTTGCAAAATACGCTATATGATCTTTGTACTCATCCGGAGTATATCGATCTTCTGCGAAAGGAGATTATTGATGTATTTGGCAGCGAAGACGAAGAGTGGAAGAAGACTTCCCTCTATTCGCTCAAAATGATGGACAGTGTACTAAAAGAGTCGCAGCGGGTCAACATGGTAACACTTTGTATGTCATCTCGTATTAAAATTATTCTTTCCAAAAAAAAAGATAAAGTACTAACACTCATTGACCACAGCCGCTATCAGTCGCCGGGTCGAAGAAACGACCACGCTTTCCGATGGAACTGTCCTCCCCAAGAATGCAATGATCACCGTTCCCACAAGAGAACGTATGCTGGACGAAGGCATTTGGCCCGGAGGTGATAAATGGATTGGACGTCGTTTCTATGACCTCCGCGCACAGCCTGGCCAAGAAAGTAAGTGGCAATTCGTGAGTACTAGCTCTGATCATTATGGCTTTGGTCATGGTAAGCATGCCTGCCCTGGCCGGTTCTTTGCCTCGAACGAAGCGAAAGTGATACTGGTCCATGTACTCATGAAATACGACTGGAAATTCCTTCCTGGTCAAGAGCGGCCCAAGAGCTCCACCAGGGGGTCCGAAAACTTGGTTGATCCGAAAGCGATCTTGATGTATAAGAGTAGGAAAAGTGAGATTCAATTCCCAGGTGAAAAGATATCACCTTCTGTGGGCTGAAGAACGGGGATATCTCAGTTGTTTTGATTGTAATTTGATTTCAGATATCCATCTTCAATACTGCAGTCTCTTTTCAGAAAAAACTTATTTCGTTTCTAATGGTTCTTCTCATCATGTACACAGTTCAACAAGAGTCCCCATTTACTGGAATACATGCACAGCTGGGATGTAAGTGGTCGTAAAGCGGCGCTCGCCCCATTTTTACCCGGGTGACACCCCCCCCCCCCCCCCCCCCCCCCCCAACTATTGACTGCACACAAGCCACGCGCCGGTGGGCTAGTATGTCGCTAGCAAACTCTCACTGTTGTATGTTTGTTTGCTTTTGGGGATTTGGGGTTTTTTATCTTGCTGCAATCCTAACCGAGGCAATCACCTACAGAAGTGAGCGATTCTTTGGCCGGTGGATGATGATATGGTAATATTCTACGAATGCTTGGGCTTAGCAAACAAGTGGCTCAGAATGAACACTTGCAGATTATTGGGAAAATATAGATGATGTTATCTCTGAAAATCACCATGTCACAAATGTTGGGTGCATATCAGGAGAGCCAAGACTACCCATCGACTTCGTTCGATAGAAGTCAAGCTTGGAGCCCATGATGATTGGACTCAAGAGTTTGTTAAATGAAAGCTGCGCCTTGTGGCCACCAATACCTCTCTGCCACATCACATGCAGGTATTATATCTATATTTAGTAGCTGTATTTGATAATGCCATAGACTCCGTCATTGGTTTACACCACGATGAAGCCTTGAAAGTCAGAGGGCCCCCAATTTTTTTAAGTAGGGAATTTCTCGAGGGATGCTTCTTTTCCGTTTTCTATTCTTGTCACTGAAATGATTCATCACCCGAGCTCAAATTCATATCATCAATATAGCTTCAGGTGCCCGGAATGTAAGAAAGGTGGTTTCAGGAGTATATCAGCCGTGAAAGATCACTTCATTGCTCGCGTCCACGTTGCGAATTGTGGAATATGCAATGTGAATTTTGAGGATGTGCTCTCATTTATAGAGCACTACCAGAGTCATAAGGAACAGAATGCCTTATCGCCAAATTCAGCAACTGAATCTGCTACAAAGATGCCAGCAAAAATAAAACACAAGGCAACGGCGCAAGTCGTCATATCATCTCGAAGAACGCTCGAGAAAAAAAGCCAAGAAGAAGAAGAGCTGGGCTGAAGTCCAGCAATTGAAACCTCTAGATGCGCAAGTGCCTAAACAAGGTATCGCTTATGGCCCTTCCTTTATTCGCAAAATCAATTCATTGACACAAACCTCACAGAGACACAAGCTACGACTTCTATAAAGACCACTGGCTTTATCCATTCTTTGCACCAGAAGTTTATCGTTCAAACCCTACAGGCAAAGTGCCACTCGTGGGCTCGCCTTCAGACCGAGGGATACTACTTAGGGCTCTCGCCTGCTGAACGAATGCAAAGATCATCGAAAAGTTCTATTCCATATGAGCACTATCTTACCGTTCCTCAATTTACCTCACCAAATGACAAGCGATTGGCGGTCGTTATTGATTGTGAGATGGTGGAAGATGCCAATGGTTACCGAATGCTTGCCTATCTCAGCGCCATTGACTTCTTCACCGGCGAGGTCCTGATAAATAACTTTGTGAAACCGACAGAAAAGGTTGAAAATTGGAAGACTGAGTTTAGCGGTGTGACACCAGCTCTTATGAGTTGCGCCTGTGCTGCAGGAGAGGCAATCAGAGGCTGGCAAGCAGCGCGTCAACGAGTGTAGGAATTTACGGATGCGGATACAGTTCTTGTGGGACATTCCCTCAATTGCGATCTTGATGTGCTGGGACTAATTCATCTCAATGTTGTGGACTCTGCCATTTTGACTTCGGAGACTGCCCTACCTCCTGCTTCTCCAACTGAGAAACTCAGACGCATGTGGAGTTTGAAGACTCTTGCTAAAGATTTTATGAAGCGAGATATACAAAGCGGCAGATCTGGACATAGCGCTCTGGAAGACGCATTTGCAACTCGAGATGTTGTTCAGTGGTGCCTAGACAATCCAGGATTGCTGCAAGCATGGGCTAAGAAAAACAAGTTTCAACACCCGAAGCGTGGACCAGCGAAAAAAGGGAAAAAAGCATCCACCGCTAGACAACCTCAAGCCAAGTATAACGATGCTGAATACTACCAAGACTTGGAAACTATGCACTGGTCTGATATCGCAGAGGACTGCGGATGGCCTCATCCAGATACTGGATACGACCCCTGGTCTGATTGAATTCAGCTTCGTTGTTTAATCTTGCTATAGCATTCTCAGATAGTACAGGTACATTTAATAGTTTTTACGTTCAGTGCTGCAGAATCTAATATAAGATTGTAATCAACAGGGAATTTGATCGATGCTGGGAGAAACAGTAAGAGGTGAGAACTGAAGAGAGGTGTTCAAGTGTAAATAATAATATTCCCTAGATGAACTTGATTATTCTTATTCCTTGTCAACGTCATTTGCTGCACCCATTACCTTTTCTAGACTCTTTTCCGCTGACTCCCATTCTCTTTGGATAACATTCTTAACCCAGTCGCCTCGCGGCTTAAGCTTAAATTTAATCTCCCTCGGCATCGTCATGAAACCCGCAACAACCATCGCCCACGGATCCACCACTTCCCCCTCAACAGGCTCAATATCAAACGCCCACAGCAAACAAGCAACCTGCATAAATGTCCCATCCGTGGCAACTTTTTTCCCTTGACAAACACGGTTACCTTGTCCAAACACCGGTAGTGGAAGATCAGTCCGCAGCTTCACCTCTCCGCTCTCCTCCCGCAGCCATCTCTCCGGCACGAAGTCCTGCACGTTGCCCAGTTCTTGATCAAACACTTGTTTGTCGCGGCCAATAGCCCACGCGTTTGCCATGACAGTCCAACCCTTCTTAATTTTCACATCATTGAACTCGTCGTCCTTCTCTGCTCGACGCGGGATGGAGCCCGGTGAAATAGGCCTCCACCGGAAAAGTTCACACGCGACAGCATCGATGAATGCCAAGTTTCCTCGGTCCGAGAACCGAGGAAGTCGCTCGCGACCGACGACGTCATCGAGAACAGCTTGTGCCTTTTTTATGAAGGAAGGGCTGTGTAAAGCCGCAATAAAAAGCCACAATAGCTGACGTGGGGACGTCTCCATGCCACCTTGAATGGATGTCGCGAGCGTGAACGCGATATCGAGATCTCGCATGTCCTCTGCAGGATACTTCTTCTTCTCTGCTGTGGCGAGTGCTTGGTTTGTTGCGTTCCAGCATGCCGAGCTTTTGCCGTGCTCAAAGAGACGCATGTACAAGTCTACTTGCGTGGCATAGAGCTTGCCAGCTGAGCGCTTCCAGGGCGATATGAATGCGGGCAGGTGGCGGAGGGGCGGAATTATATCCGGTAGACCTGGGTTGGCGGCAAGATGAGTGACTTTCGTTTGAATATTGATGACTTCGTGTAGGATCTCGTCTTCAAATTGCGGAATAGGGAGTCCATAATGCAGGGACAGGATGACGCTAGATTGGGTCCGCTCTAGAAGCGGGTATACAGTTTCGGTGCTGATTCCCTCCGGGCACTTTGTTGCAGCGTTGCAGAGATCGAACACTAAATGCTTAGATTCAAGCTCCATCAACGGCTGGTACTTCCGGGCTGCCGGGAGACCTAGGCTGGGAGCCAGAATGCGGTGGTGCCTTTTGAGATGATCATCGTAGTCGTGCATCAAAGTGAATCTGGATCGTCCTGGTTCGGCATTTGTGATCATCTCCATGCTCACCGATGCGGGTCGATTGCTGTACCATTGTCTGCGATGACTGAATAGTTCTGTCACTGCCTCGAGTGAGTTCAAAACGACGATTGGAATGAGTCCAAATAGTTGAGGAACTGCAATTGGGCCATTTTCTTTGGCCCAGGCGTCCCAGTTCTCCAGGGGTCTTTCGATGGACGAGCTATGCAGATCGCCGATGAGGGGCAGTTTGAGGAGCGATCTGACTCCTCCATTTTTCTTATGATTTTTTTTTCCGCTCACATAAAAAAGTGTCAATAAGACTACAGCGAAGGCAATCACTATAGGGGATGTGATGGCCATGTTGACAGTTGAAAGATCAAATGGTCTTTTTTCCAAGTTAAAAACAAGGTCACACATAACATCACTTCATTTTTCTGTAGGGAGTCAGGCTCTCACTGCCGGCAGACCACACATGATTCAATCCTATCTAGCGCGCAAGCGCCCAGAACAATACAATGCTAACGGGCGCGAAGGATGCACCACTAAGCCTTTGTGGGCATTTTGCGGGTCGAAACACACTAAAGCAAACTAGCGATGCTGCAATAACCAATAATATTATTGACATCATTAGTCCGCGGCCTGGAGACTACAATCTAACCTCATTCCTTCTAATGTGGACGGCTTACGTGTGGGGGGGTCATTTGTCTGTTCCTCCAGTCGCATACAACCGGTGCCAAGGCTATGTATTGTCCGAGGACACTAAGCAGTTGGGCGTTAGGTTTGTTTCATTCTGGGTCCGCTGATGTACAAGGCTGTGCAATATGGTACAGGATCATCTCAACGGTCGGGTCTCCCTTGGAACTTTTGTTTTACAACAATACCATTATAAATATTATTGTGCTCCGTCCCGGTATAATGGATCACAAATATTAAAACACAGGTGCGGGTCGAACTGATCCTAAACTGTACCAGGATGTGAATCCTGTTGACAGATTTATCCTTTAAAAGGACCCTGTAATCCCGGCACACTAGTGACCCCTTTGTCAACGGTCTTTTGGGGAGAAGAGACAAGAGTCTATCTGTGAAATGGGGGTTATCTTTCCCATTGAGACCCAGGGCCAAAAGCAAGTGCTGGGTGTTGCATTTACCTTTTCTTTCTTGGCTGTGATAGCAGTGAGCTTACGTCTCATCTCCCACAAGCTCGCGCGCAAAGAATGGATCGCTAGTGACTACTTTATCATTGCCGCTTGCGTACGAAAAGCTCCTAGGTTAAATTTTATAATGCATGTACTTACAATATTACAGATATTCGCAGTTGGTCTTCAATCGATCAGCATCACAGGGGTATTCCAAGCCGGCATTGGATATGACCATGTCACTACAATCGCCGCCAAATACGGAATGGAGCCTATTACCAAGCTCCTGAAACTGATTATCCCATTACAGTTTCTCTGGGTTCTGAGTCTCAGCTGCACCAAGATCTCGATTCTGAGCCTGTACATCCGCATCTTTCCCATCGCCTGGGTAAAATGGGTTTCATGGGCAACGATGGGCGTCATCATCGCCTGGACGATCGCAACAATTCTCGCCGGGTGTTTGATCTGTCGCCCATTCGCATTTAACTGGGACCAAACGATCCCTGGCGGATCTTGCGGGGACCAAGTGAGCTCCTTCACGGTAACTGGAGTCATCAATCTAGTCACCGATATCATCGTACTGGTGACTCCGATGCCGCGATTGTATATGCTACAAATGGCCACATACAAAAAAGTGACTTTGATCACTGTTTTTGGACTGGGATTAGTGTATGAACTGCTATCCAACGCCTCATTATCTATCGCTAACTCTTTCTAGCACATGCATTATCAGCGCCTTTCGCATTTCCGTTCTCTCTACAATGAATTTCAGCGATATCACATACACTCTCCCCCGCGCCAATATCTTCAGCGGTATAGAGCCCTGCCTTGCCGTGACACTTGCCTCGATCCCGATGATGCGTCCCCTTCTTGGACGATCAAATTACACTCCCGATATCACTGCCCGTCGAACAAGTAAAGCCTCCAATCCAACTGCGGGGTCCGACGACCACGATGACAATGGGTTCCGAGAACTGGATGATGACTCGAGTCAGTTGTCGCTGAGGCCTCTGGAAGGTTTGAAGCATAAGGTTCGTGTCGCCGTACGGAACAGGGACAGGAGAAATTCGGCAGAAGATTCTGAACGTAATAATCATGGTCAGAAGGAGAGTGGTGGAATCTCGGTCAAACAGGAATGGGCTGTGCAACATGGGGCACGGAAATAGAGGCTCTGGGCTCAAGGCCGGGATTATGGTCAAAATTTATATACCTATATATACGATGTAAGATAACAGGGGGGGGTCTGGCCTTTATACCACCCTCTCCGACGATTGTAATGAATCAGAATGTCACCGACAATATGAGGCTCTTTTGTACTAAAGCTAGTACACACGACCATAGGGTGTGGAAAACAAGGCTTCCCGTCCGTTCAGCCGTGACTCAGCCGAGTATTCTGCACAGCCAATAGTCAATGTGCCCTTAGCATCTATGCGGCACTATTGGGTGAGTGCGGGTGATATGGGTGAGAAGTCTCGAGACTGGCGTGGGAGAAGTGAAAAAAAGGGTGATAATTCTTACCTTCCAGTAAGCTCTGGTCTATTACAAACAAAATCACCGGGCCAACGCCACCGCTTAGATCATCCGATGCAGTGAGTAAATTCGCTTGGCAGTATCTGCGGTTGACTAAATACATGAATTTCAACTCCGTGGGCGCTTCTTTGGCTTGTCAACCACGGTTAAGACAGGCAAATTCTTCTTCACCGTTTCACCTGAGGAAGGACCAACCGTCCATGAGAGAAAATGACGTTGTCTCCCTCAAATCTCTCTTGCACTCTGTCCCCACCCTCATGACGCATGGGAGGGATGGTGCTTGGGGTGTTTACCGAGCCAATCTCCATAGTCAAAGTCTGTCCCTCGTCAAAAAGATATGCCGCTGGGTAAAAGGGGACAATGACAGTGTAGACCTCGCCTGGCAAGACTTCTGATTTAGGGGCAGATGGCTGGCTGATTACGCGTTCCTTCTCGAAGTTCTTTGCAACTTCATCACGGTGAGAGAGACGGAAAAAGCCTCTGGAGAAATTATCCATAGGCTCGCCGTGGTTACCAGCAAGGACGATCAGCTTTCCATCACTGTCATAAGCACGGAGATAGGCAAAGAAATCCAGGTCCTTGGCCTTGGTGCTGACCTCGATCTCGAGATAGGGAGATCCAAGAAGCTCGAATGAATCGGAAAACGCAGCATCAAGTTCAAACTTGATATTCTCTCTGAAACCCTTGTAGTTGAAGGCAGTTTTTGCATTGCCTGGCTTGGTAAGGGAGAGCTTCTTCTCAGGAGTAATGTAGAAGCTGACATCGTTTGCGTCTGGTGGAGGATAAGCGACCTCATTTTCGCGGTAGAATGTCTCAGTGCCGTGGTGCTGGAGTAACCTGATTCGGGGGACATCGAGCATCCCGTTGTCCTTCTTATCGAAGAGATAGTAGTCCAAAAACTTTTTCTGCATTTCAATGTGTTCCGGCTCATAGAAAGCAGCTAGGTGATTTCCGGTGTGCATCTCCAACCACTTATTTTTGGATGAAATCTCGTTAAAAGCGCGAATGTTTCCCGGCAAATGGAGTTCTGGGTCAGTCCAGTTACCTGAGCTGTAGAAGGGTACCTCGATGTCGGACAATTTGCGGACTCGATCAAAGACGGCCCAGACACCGTCGGAGGGGAATTCAGTTGTTGCGCACAGACGAGGATAGTCTACCCGGTTGGCAACGAGTTGCTCGTCCGTAAGTACACCATCTTGACTTCCGCCCTGTGATGGAATAACAGTGTTGTTATACCAGTGAGATTGGAAGTTGTGACTGTAAATTCCGCCACGTCTAACAGCCTGATACATGCTGCAAGCAGACTCGTAAGAAATCACGCAAGTCAAATGGGGTGGCTTCTGCATGGCAACCCAGTAGCCCACCATTCCAAAGTAGCTGATGCCAGAGAAAGCGACTTTCGTGGTCGACCATGACTGGACAGCGGCCCATTCCACGACATCATAGAGATCTGGCGGTCCAAACAGTGAGAATCATTTTCAGGCTATTATAACACACCGCCCACGAGGTGGAGGGAGTGGAGTTGGCGAAGAGAGCACGTACCTTGTCCCTCAGCATCCGCCTGAATAGTGAGCGATCTTTCCAGACCGAACGGATCCAGTTTTCCTTGGCTACCTCCTATACCTCTGGTATCGACACGAAGGAGAGCGTAGCCATAGTCCCGGCACTGTTCAGACCATCAGTTTAGAAACCCAATGAGCTGGACGAAAGAGTCAGCATTTCGCTACCTACCCAGATAGTGGGTTCGCACAACTCAAAGCAAGCATCAGGACCTAGAGGCTTGACGTTTTTGTACATTTCGGCATATATCGGTGTCTTTGGTAATCCAAAAACAGAAGCATGGATGTCCTTGCCATAAGGACCCATGCTGCAGACCACAGGAACCTTTTTGCCTTCCTTGGATGCAGCGAACGGCAAGAACAGATCAGCACACAGCTCGATCCCATCCCTCATGGGAATATAGACGTGTTTGATGCGAGTGTATCCCTCGACGTCGGTTTCAGCAATCTCATACTTAGGACGTGTTGCCATAACGAAGAGTATGGAAGAAATAGGCAATCAGAGTTGAAACTATGAAAGGCACAAACTGTATCTGGGGTAAAAACTGTTTTGTTTATATAAAAGGGACGCAAAATAAACCATGGGCCTCTCAGGTGAATCAATAAGTTCTGGACGTAATTTCATCTATCTATCGTTTACCGGCAAGCACTGTTCAGTCAACGACATGACATAAGGGAGTGTCCGACGGGGTATCCGGTGGGGGACGGAAGGTCAGTTTGCAGCATTTTGGTGGATAAGTTGGAAGAATGGCATCCGTTCTGGGTCATCAGTCACAGATGTTTTCTTAGCAAGACAAACCATCTTGCGAAACAAAATGATTATGACAGCGCCTACTAATGCCGGATCCACGCGTCATGAGGGTGTTGCACCCCATCTAGATCGTAGTTAGTAAGCGGAAGCGGAACATCGTTCGTTCTACCCGCAATCCGTGATCTACATACTCTCCGGTGGGGATAGCCCCACCCAGCCGACGGGGTAAAATGCGGTCCTCACGGGAGTTCTGATCCCTCGAATCCAGTTCGGACCTGGTGATCTTTGGGCAAGATATTCCCTCACCAGAATGCCGTGACCGACCAATTTTCTTAGCCCACTCCCCTTCCCGTGAAGACAAAAGAAAAGAGACTGAACGAAAAGATGTCTTTGGAAAGTAACATTGCCGCTCCCATCACAGCTCTAGCTGTTGACGAGAACATCACTTTCATAACTCGACGGACGCATGAGCCTATGTGGAAACCAGAGGTCGGTGAACTTCTGATCGAAACACTATTTTCGGGAACCAATCCCGCGGATACCAAACACGCGACTGAGTTGGGCATTTATCCAGCAGTCCTTGGCTATGATTTCTGCGGCAAAGTGCTAAAATCATCTCCAGAATCGAAGTTCCGGAGCGGGGATGTCGTTGCAGGATACACTCCCACTGGCGTTGGAAGGGCGAGCAAATATGGTACTCATCAGAGCTATTTGATCTGTCCTGAAGAGATGGCCTTTCTAGTCCCTTCAGCCCTTCCTCGGGACCATGCGGCATGCCTAAGTGTCGTCGCCATGACCGCAGCGGATGTGATGTATAACCTTTTCAGGTTGCCGCTACCAAGCCATACAGACACACCTAAGTGTGAAAGCTTCAAGGCAATGTTGATCTGGGGTGCCTCTACTAGTGTGGGAATATGCGCAATCCAGCTGGCCCGTGAGAGTGGAGTTTACCCAATTCTTGTCACAGCATCGCCTGGAAGGCATGCTCTCTTGCAAGAGCTAGGTGCAACATGCTGTTTTGACTATAAGTCACCAAGTGTCATTCCAGACATTAAGCAAGCTTTGGCGGACTTCGACGTGCATTCTCTGGACTATGGCTTCGATGCCGTAGGCAGCCACGGAGACTTCAGTTCTGCAGATTATGTCGCCGAGTGCGTTTCGGACGAAGCCCATCTTGTTTCTGTGGTGATACAAAAGAATCCTCGTTTCAAGATGCCTTTCGCCACCTCGAACCAGGAAGCCATACTACGGGTCGCCGGGGTTCCTCATCCTATTTGTATCCCGGCTCGGCGTTCTGATTACCAGCACGCTTGGAAAGCATTCCAATGGGCTGTGGAAAACTACGGATCTCGTTTCAGACTCCCGAGCGTCGAAGTCTTCACTGGGTCTGCGGAGGATGCCTTGAAAGAATTGATGTTGGTGGGTGGCGAAGGAAGGGGCTTTGGGAAGCTCGCCATTCAGCACCTTCTAATTTAGTGTAATTTTACTCTTGACTAAATCTCAATGGCCAAATCAGAAAGTCGGCATAATAATGACTAATCTTGGCGGATCTACAACTAACTAATGAGTCTCTCCTTTCTCCGGGTATCCACCAATGCTACAGCTCCGTCATGTTTAAAGCTGAATGGGAAACGCTTCAAGACCACATGGAAGAATTGACTGGATTCGGGGATTGTGGTACAATTTGGATAATCTATGGTTTAGAGGACTCGCTTGGTCATTGGTTCTCTGAGAGCTCACCAGCATTGGTCTTCCCAAATCATCTCCGCGAGCTCCTTCAGCTGTTGCTGTGAGAATTTCAAATCTTTCTCCCGTGGACAGGATGACGGGCGACAGAACAGACTTTCAAACGAGATGACAAGAGGATGGTGACTGACGTTTATCTGGTTTCCACTCTTGGTAATCCAGATAACTTGGGAGCGATGGATGCGGTCGTTCTGAGCCTCCCACTTCTCAATCCGGATTTCTGGCTGAGATCGACCAATTCGAAGTGTCAAGCATACTTTTGCTTTTCCATCGTCAGGATTAAGCCAGAAGCGCACATCGGAGTTTAGTTTGACGTCATTTTCCGAGTACGCTACTTCGAGAGTAACGGATGGTGAACGAGATATCCCACGAGCGGTCCTTCTTGGTCCCCAGGAATAGTCTGCCTGCTTTCCTCGGGACGCTCCTCTGACATCTACACCTGTATACCCTCTGAGGGAAGTGAACAACCCCATCGGTTGTATAGCCTCCATGATCATATTGTTCATAGCGGCGGACGCTCCACCGTGTGTAGTTGACGGCATCCTGACCAATAAAAGCTGCTCTTTGGTGTCAAATGAAGTAAGGTATTTAGCGATAGGAGAAGTATCTTCGTTTTCGATAAGGGTATCGATAGTCTCTTGGCTTACATGAAAGAGGAGGAATTCGCTTGCGTAGGGGGAGGCTTCGAAACGAGCGGTTTCGGATTCCAAGATGTCAAAGAAGTCTGATTCCCCGCGGTATGTATATCGTTTGATCGAAGAGGGAAGATCTTGAAGGAAGCTGCCACCGAGACCAAGCTCGTAGTTGCCATTTTGCACCGGCATTTCGGTCATTTCATATATTGAGATAGGAGAGGATGACGAAAATTATAGATAGTAGATTTAAAGATTTCCTTGATGAATTTGGATTCGCTATCATTTTCCTGCAAATTTTTAGCAAACCAGGATGATGTGTACGTCGCTGTCCGAGGAGGTATAGTAAGGTTACTTCATGATGACGAAGAGCCTTTGACCAGCCGCCGAAACTGAAGCTGGCCGGGGCTTCAGTCAAGATAATTTGGTAGGATAGAATGGTGAACAATCTTTTCTCTATAGACGCTTGTTCAGTGCAAGAGTTCTATTTCAGAGTATACCTATATAATCTCCCTTGTACCTACGTATGTTTGATCATTTTTGGTTGTTGGTACTTTCTATGAAACAATATTTATTGTGCTCACACGAAGTGAGCAAAATATATATCTAACTTGTAGGTGTCTGTGGGCTTTATATATCTTAGCTCATCAGATCATTGAAACCAATTACACCTTTTCAACATTGATCAAGTACCTACATTACATGCAGTAATTATGACCATAATTGTGTTATACTGGATCGAGAATATATACAAGCATCGCGACATACTGGCATTCACAAAAAGTGTATTGGCCGAATAATTTCACGATATGCACATTGGAAAACATGCGAATTCAGTGCCGGTAAATAAAACTGGCCACGGCCCCGGTCCGATATATAGAGAGAACGCCAAAGGTATGATCGCAAAAGCACAATGCGGGCATAAAAGAGTTTGTCATATAGTTTACACAGAGAAACCATAACACACGAACGGATCTATACGGTCTTCCCCGTAAAAGAAACGAGAGCATGATAAGACTTGGTCAAAGGCCACAACCCTTGACAGAACCCAACAGCGCCAACAACAAGGAGCACATAATAAGCAACCGTCCACCCCACATGAAGACTATCATCGGCCGCCACTGCATCCACGTCCTCTTTGCCACGCGTGAAAGAAGGACCCACGGAGTCACCAGACTCCACACGGCCCCAAAGCCTAGGAAGTCCACACCAGTTGCAGAAACTATGCACAACAATCACGGCAGCCAGCGAGCCTGTGCGTAGATACAAAAATGTCGCATACCACCCGAAAACAGTAGTATACCCGAACTGGAACAGGGAGCGCAGAAGCGCAGCCAGAACGGGCGTGTCCGGGTGCGTGAGTCTAAATTCGTAGAAGTGATGCACATGCGCAATACCAAAGTACAGCGGCGCGAGAAACACAATCCGACCGGGTGATACATGAGCCAGGAGATGCAGCGGCACGATGGCAGACCGGAACATGACTTCTTCTGTGAAGGGTCCCTAGAAAAGAATCAGGAAAAAAAAGATCTTGGTCAAAAAGAGAAAAGACATACCGCGACATAATTCCTCCATCCGATCCAGCCACCCAAACTTTCAGATAGTTTCGAGCGACAGAACCAGAATCGCCATTCACCCTCGACAATGCCGCGCTCGAACAGCGGACCCGTGAATAGGATAGCTGTTAGTAGGAGAGATCTCAAAGTCTCCAATACGCCGACGGGCCACCAGCCGAGAAGTCGCACCCCCGCGTCAAGTGAGGACCCACCCTCTTCGACGACGAGCCAAAGGACGACGAGAGAACTGATGATGCAGGAACTTGTCACTGCGCGGATGCGCGCTCTGATTACAGATGGGGCATCGCGGCTGAGGCTTGGCGATGGGCGAGTTGTTGGGGAGACATAGAACGGGACCACATAAAGGAGCGTGAGAAGGACCTGGAGCAAGTTAGGACCATACCAGTAAACAAAGATGCGTGTTTGTTTTTGTTTTTGTTTTTGTTTTTGGGATATGCATGTTCTGGAACTGTCTCTACATACGGATAGAAAAGCGACCGTTCGGACTGACAGCGCGGGCTCATCTAGGGATGTTAGCGTGGAGTATTGGAAAATATTGAATTTCCCCCTTACCCTGTTGCTTAGAGTATAAACTCTTGAGACGCGCCATTAGTCCAACCGGTGCCATGGTATTGTATATTTGCGGGAGTGAGTTGGAATATTTATGGAGGCAGGAACGGACAACTTGACAGAGTCTTTGGGGTTCCAGATGTTCTTTGACGTTGTGACCATACGGATAAACTGATAGTGATTGGCGGAAAGGGGTAAATTACAGTACTGTATTGTTCCAGTGCACCATGGTTGAGATGACAGGTATCAAATTCAAAATCCTTAATCTTGTTGGTTGTTTTTCTTTGTATACTTCACATTGTTAGCATTACTACGAAGTACTGTCAAGAGTCCGCTTACCCTCTCTATTAATAGTCGAATCAGTTCCATTTCAAAGCCGAAACCTACTCCGAACTGGTGGACCGAGCGCCTCGAATTAGGATGTGATCTCTCTCCCTTGAAATCCAATTTTCATTTTAAACTGTGCGTCCATGCGAGGGGACTAAGACATCGTGAGGTTAATTCTCCGATTGACACGAGTCCTGCAAGAGTCAAACATTATTGAAATGATTGGCAATGAGCACCATTATTATTGCTATAACGTCATGCCAGGGTCAGAAAATGACGCTAGACTGGAAGGATTAATCTTACTATTGTAGGACTAGTTCAAGATCAAGGATCAAGGACAACGCATGCATGCCCCACTGTAGAGACTGAATATGGGAGTTTTTTTGGATCAGTACTAAGCCTTGAGAGAGTTGAGAGTAATTTTGTGGAGAGAAAATTAAAGATAGTAAAGTAATCTAGATCCGGCAGAATAATATAGTATCTAGTGCAACGGGAATCTTTGTTAACCTTGGTTGACAAAAAAGGGGAAATAATTAATTGTCCAGTCAGAGGGATCCTTTTTTATCGAAATTCGACCAATCGTTCATAGCCACCGAAAATGTCAACGTTCGTACCATGCAGGCTGCATCGCCCCCTGGAGTCTGGATTTGGCGGTGATAAGCGCTTCTTACTGCTCCTCACCGCTGGACGACAAAATTCCTCAACCCCTTCTGTCTCACGTTGCGTTCTTCTCGTTACTTCTCATCCTGTGCTTTTTTTTTGCTTTGCTTTAATGACTATTGTCCGCTGGTCGCTTTTGTCACTTTTGTCACTCTTTTGATGGCTTTGCACGTTTGAAACGTACTAATTTCCATTCTGACGACTTTGCTCGTCTACCACACTCTTTTGATGAATCTCGGCCTATAGACTCTTTTTTATCGATATCCCCAAGGTACCACATTCCTTACATCGAAATCCGCGATCCAATTCAGGAAAAGAAAAACAGTTGTTACTCCGCCATTCGTTATTGTTGTTTATTGCTCGTGTTACAGTCAAGTCAACCTTCGCCTTTGATTTTTTTACCCTTCTCGATCCAACGCCTTTTTGTTCGGATCAATGCTATAGTGTGTCATGTCTTTCCCCCGACCGAGCTCGCCGCGCGCGCGTAGAGCATTGGAAGAGCGGACTTCCGCCCACACAAATGAAAGATTCCCAGGCCAGTCATTGCGGATGGTTTCGGCAGACCAGGAAGAGGTGGATATGTATACCGCCACGCCTTTTCCGACCAAGCCAGAACAGATCTTGCTGCCTCTTCCCGGCAAAGGTCAACAACAGTATATCTCAGACACCGGTTTCAGCTATTCAGATCACATAGGACAACAGTCCTCGTCAACTTATTCTTCACCCACTTTCAGTCAAGCTGCACCGGCCAGTCCGCGCGATCTCTCCATTGGCGAGGGCTGGGATGTATCGTCCACTGTTGATGCCGGCAACTCGCCGCCACAGATGTGGGATGATGACCCAACCTCTAGCAAGTCGTCGCTACCAGACCTTTCTTCGGGAAAAGCACCAGATTATGGACCCGAGAGTTCGGATGCCGAGTTCTCAGATGAGGAGATGATTGTTTTACCGACTGCCACGCCAACTATCAAAGCAGTCCTCTCATTGGCATCCATGTCGCCAAAGTCGTCTGACGAGTCTCTAGTTTCCAGCCCCAATCTCGAGCAGTTTGGAACTCCGTCAAGTCCCAACTTTGTGACGTTGGATAACTCTAGCATGCACTTCCCTCGTCCTCCCACTGCATCATCAGAGACAGACCCACGAACAAACTCGCTTTCTTCGTTCAATTCCCGGGGAACAGTTGTGAGACATCCCGGTGCCACCCCCTGGTTCCAGACAACATTCCAGACAGTTTCGTCTGAACGATTGAGCTATCGCACCCCGTCTTACGGCTCTAGCCCGCCTGTTCAATCTGTGGCATCCTTCCGGTCGTCATCAAGGGCCCCCTCAGGTAGCCGCTCACGATCTGCAACATCTTCCTCACGCAGCCTGCGCTCCGCTTCTGACCTACAGGCCGCCATCGACAGTGGCGTGCCCATTCAATATCCCCGTATTCGCGCACCGTCATCCTCAAGCTCTCGTGCGGACACATCGGTATCAGAGCGTGACTTCAGCCCTGGCCCAGCATCTGGTCGCTGCAACCCTCACTTGGCATCCGGCCGATGGAACCCCCACCTGTCAACTGTGTCATCTATCTGGTCCGCGGATGAACTGACCAACCTCTCTGCCCAAGCCGACCACCGCTCAGACTCTGATAACTCAATCGCAGAGCCGACTCCACCGCCGCAAGCAGCTCTCAAAAAAGAACCCACCAGATCCTCCGTGTGGCTCGTCGACAGCTCCAACGACAGTGAAGATGAGTGTCTCGACAGCTTAGCCAAGCTACCTTCGCGCCCAATGTTTGCTCAAAGTCTGTCCTCCGGCTCCAAGCGAAGCAACAGCACCCGCAGCAACCGCCCAGGAACCGGATCCAGCACAATCCTCAATATCCTGCCTACCTGGGCGAAGGTGTACTACCTGCGTGAGCCAATGGGCCTGAACCCCACATTGTCCATTATAGACGGCAGCCGACCACCCTCAACCCGGACCGGAACCTCAAACTCAAGTGTCTTCAACCTGGTCCCAGGTCCCCTTAATATCCCACGTCCCCGCTCCCCAGAACGCCCCGTCTCCCCCCAGCGCCAACAACGCCGTTTAGAAAGCGACCCGCGTGATCCACGCGCCCACTGGGTCCCCTCTCCCCAACCCTCAGACGGCCAGTTCAGTGGGGCGCACCTCCACCGCCTGCGCCACAGCTGGTCTCCCCATCTCCTGCCAGACAGACGAGTCCTCCAACACTCGAAGTCAGGCTGGCGCGCACCATCTCTGGACTCACGCAACGAGCCAGTGTTTGGTCGGCGCAACATCCAAGTCTATTCGTTCTGCTTTGGGTTCATCTTCCCGCTTGCTTGGTGCATCGCGGCGTTCTTGCCTCTACCGCCTAGGCCCAAGATGTCTCCAGAGATGATCGAGCATGAGGCCGATTGCGATGTTGAGGTGGCGCTCGAGGCGCAGTGCATGAATCTCCAACAGCGTCGACATGACAACGCACGCTGGTGGCGGAACCTCAATCGGTGGATGATCTCCCTTGGGGTTGTTATTATTGTCATCATTATCACGCTCGCTGCTATCGGGACTACAACTGGGTTCTGACGTTTTTGCTCCTTCTGCCCTTGACGATCTTTCATTTACGCTGTTACGACACACACACTTTCTTTCTTATTATTATTTTTTCTACCCTTCAGGTCTCTTCACCCTTCACCAGTCGACTGGCTTCATTCTCATTCTCATTCCCTCTCCCTGCTGGTCACATCTCACCGATACAGATACGTTCTCCCGCTGTGCTCGATCCTTGATTCTGGGTTCAGTCTCCTCCCCTATCTATTATCTCCTTTCCCCTCATATGCTGTCGCATATCCTTTAACTTCTTACCTATACTTATATTCTATTCTTTGCTTCATTGCATATTTTCAACGATTACACGATTCAACGCACATAATATCCCATTCTGTTTCACATCTTTTACCTCTGACATTCTTGCGTGGAAATTGTGTTTTTGCATGGCGCGTCAGCATTTGCATGCTTTGTTAGCCGTCCGTGTGATGGATATACGCTTCGGCCGTCACTTTGGCTGCGGTATTATCTGGCCTTGACTTTGATTTTGTTTCCTCGGACGTCGCTTATTCTCTTCTCTTCGGTGTAATTTTGTGTTATACCACAAAACATTAATTTCACTTGACAATCCAATGTCTTGATTTGTTTTCTTCTGCCTTTAGATCGCTCCGTCTAAGTCAAATGCGAGACCCGTGGGTTTAGTATCCTGTCTTTTCGAAATTTCCAAGATTCAGGATGAGAAAAGGGTTTTAGTAGTTTGCGTTAGTGATGCCCAGATATTGATGCGGCATTGTAACAAGTTGGCATTGTACTAAATTGACAATGGACGCAGCAAAATTGATGAAATCGAAGGGAATCAACAAAGGCTACTAAAATCTCCTGCCGACTTGTACCTTATTTACCGATCTACTTTGTGCGATGAGTTCAGAGCCATGCATGATCAAACAATTCACTATGCTCAATTGTCTAAGGAATATTTGAATTATTTGTTTGAGACAGTTACTTAATTTCCTTAAAGAGTATCAAAACACTCCTAACCTTGATCATCCGATATCACCTATCATTAATGGATTGCGTGGCAGTTGTAGAATTTAGCCGGGTCCACACATCTATGATCTTTCTCATGTTTTTGAGCAGGATATCTTTTGCAAGCTCAAAGACTGGAGGCTTTCAATATCAAAAATGCACAAGGAACATTGGGGAATAGATGACACTAATGAAGACATGACAAAGGCCGATAGAAAAGAGTGAAAATGTTATATATTAAACGGCTGAGAGGCAAATCGGGCAAGCAACCATTGATTGTAACATTGCACAGTACCAGCAGAGAAGATGCAGGTTCTTGCATGGCAGCATACTGATACAGACGTTACTCAAGCGGAGTTTGCTGGAGTTTCGGGCAATATGTCGTTGGGACCATTTTGAGACTACACGAATCAACGCCCCGCAATCAACCGATGAGAATGAGCAATTGAAAGAAAAAGAACAAGACCGACAAAAAAGGGCATATCGCATTAATGTCGCATTAATGTGCTAGAGTCGAAGTTAGAAGGAGAGTGCGCGTGTTGGAAGAGCGTCGGTTGTTGGCCTGAGGCTCCTCGTATGTTTTGGCAGGAGCTCTATATTTCGAAAGCTTCCTATTTCTTTCACTTCCTCGAGTCTTCAGTTACTCCGACATTATTATCACCTCTTCATCTGTCAACATGTCACCACATGTCCCCGAAGTCCTTGTCGAGGCGAGTGAGGTCTCGACCTCCAGCCAGGAAGTCGTGGATGAACAGTCCGGTATTGCTGTGCTTGCAACCAAGGATGAGAATGAATCAGGCGACTATAAACTTGACAGCGATCCAGACGTGGTCTTAGTCACTGGTGCTGATGCGGCTCTTCGTCTACCGCCACTGCGAGATGACTTCGATAAGGCCTTGACCTTTCGTAGCATCATACTTGCTTCTGGTCTTGCCTGCTTTCAGGCTGTCATGACCCAGATTTACTCGGTATTTTGTTCGATACCTCTTAAACTTTCTTTCTATTTCGAGACATCACTGACAATCAACGCTTCAGTTCAAACCCACCCAGGTTTCCATCCAGGGAACGTTTCTCGTACTCATTTCTTACTTTATCGGCAATGCCTGGGCTATGCTCCTTCCGCGAGGTGACAAACTCGAATCTCGATGGAGAGAACGCGGTGGTCAGGGCAAGCTGCCTTGGTGGATTACAGTAATGAAGTTTGTGAATCATGGTCCATGGAGCTTGAAGGAACATTCGATTTGCTCGATCACGGCCAATTCTGCTTCGAATGCTGGTGCTGTATGCACCGTCTTTGCAGCACAGAATTTGTTTTATGATCTTCCTCTGAATGCCGCTACTGTGATATTGGTAACTATCTCAATCGGCCTCTTTGGCTACGGAATTTGCGGAATGATGCGTCCAGTTGCCGTCTGGCATATTAAAGCGGTCTACTGGATCAATTTACCGATGGTAAAGACCCTTCAGGGACTTCACTGGCAGCAAGTGAAAGATTCAAAGCCCCTCCGATACTTCTGGTATGCATTCAGTGGCATGTCTCTGTACGAGATAGTCCCGGTCTAGGTTTCCCCCTGGTTGAATTCCGTCTCCATTCCGGTAAGTGTCTTACATTCGTTTCTTGCTGGAAGAAGGTATAAACAGATGGATGCCCAGACCTCCCGCTTGGCTTTCTCGTGGATATTGTAAAGGTTATACATGACAGAAGCTTTTATGGAGGAAAATGGATCAGTTATAACTTTTAGTTTTTCACTCTTCCTCCATTCTTTGGTTCTCCACGGCTGCCCAAAGCTTTATCTGGGAAAATGAACTGAGATTGATTTCTATAGTGTCTGGCTGCCCAAAAGGCCACTGGTGAAACTGGAACTGTACTCACTAATTTGTTCAGTGGTGCGACTTCTAATGAAGGTCTTGGGCTATTCGGTCTTTCTTTTGACTGGCAAATGTGAGTTTGAAGGCTCTGATAGAGGAGCTAAAGGAAGAAGATGACTTATAAAAACAGATCACATCTGGGGCAACCTCTGCTCCTCTCAAGCTACAACTCCATACGGCCTTTGGGACCCTTGTGTGTTTGATTGCCATGCTGGGAGTCTATTACGGCAATGCGTGGAATTCAAGATCCCTCCCCTTCATGTCATCCAGACTTCTCACGGCTAATGGTACTTCATACCCTTTGGGCAAAGTGTTCCCAGGCGGTGTCCTCGACGAGGCTGCCTTGGCTGAGCATGGCCTGCCTCGACTCACTGGAACGTTTGCTTATGCGATGCTAATGGCTAATGCTGCAATCGGAGCCCTGATTGTCCATTGCATTCTTTTCTGGGGTAAGGATATCCTGCGAGCTTACCAAAGCGCAAGGCAGGGGAGATATGACGATCGCCATCATCAGCATATGGCCACACACTATCAAGAAACTCCCTGGTGGTGGTATGTCTTCATTCTCGTCGGTAGCTTTGTCCTAGGAGTTGTTGTGATTGTGAAAGAGAAGCTTACTTTGCCGATATGGGCATACGTTGTGGCCCTCATTTGCGGATGCATCGTCACGCCTTTTGTAAGTACAAGAGCGTTGGGGGTGATAGCCCATGAGTAATGCTGACAAGGAACGCGCAATAGACCACAATCCTTTTCTCTCGATTTGGTAATGGTATTGCTACTAACAATTTGTCGAAGATGTTGGCTGGCCTTATGGTTCCCAGGCATCCAATCGGAAACATGTACTTTGCAGCTTGGTCTCATAGTGTTGCCAATAATGCAGTTCTTCTTTCAGGGGATCTGAAGATGGGCGAATACCGTCAGTGTTTCTCACTGTCTACCGTCTAAAAATTGCAGCAGCTGACTTGATTTTTAGTGAAAATCCCTCCCCGCATCATTTTTTTGACGCAGGTCTATGGTACAATGCTGGGTGCATTCATAAACTACGTCATTATGATCTCCATCGTGACGGACAATCGCGATCTTCTCGTGGGAGGCAACGGAAACAACGCCTGGAGTGGTGCGTCTGTCCAAGCGTACAATACTAATGCGGCATCATGGGCTCTGTCTCCCTATATTTACAGAGTGGGCACCCCATATGGTCTGATCCCGATTGGTCTCGTCATTGGTGCCGGTGCAGTTATCCTCCACCGCATTGTGTATTATGTGAGTAGTTCCAGAGAAGCCCGGTGATATGGTCATCCTTCATGGCTGTCAAAGCTAATTCCAGTTTCACGTTCAGTTCATCCCCAGGATCCGAGGTTTCAACCTGACAGAAATCAATCTGCCACAGTTTATCCAATATGTGGAATGGTGCCATACAACACACCTCAAACCTGCGTCATCTTCAGTCAGATTATCGGCGGATTCTATGCTCAATACTATCTCCGAAACTACAAGCAGCGGATCTTCAAGGAATTTTCATACCTGGTGACGGCAGCCTTCGATGGTGCCGCTCTGACTGTTATGTTTATCCTTTCGTTTGCTGTTCTCGGAGCTGGTGGACCACAACACCCCTTCCCAACCTGGTGGGGGAACAACGCGGATGGAAACTATGACTGGTGTCCTGTTAAGGAGTGAGACGACCGAGTGGTGATGATGACAAGAGCTGGCCACATTGCAAGCGTGCTCGATATCGGTTGATATTGAGCTTGGCGGAAGCAAGATATATGTTCTTATCCAGCATTTCTTTATCTTGGTGACATCTTTTTGTCAATATTAACAAGTATGATAATACAAGCTTGTATTTGCTTTCCAAATTTGCTACATTAACTAAAAGTCCGGACTTGTATAATTCCTTCAACACATACATTAGATCAGGGCCTAAATACAATGATCTTTCCTTTCTAAGAGACTGATAGACAAAAGGAGGGATTTACAAGATGAACAATAGTTGGTATGTAGAGCACGTGAAAAATTATTGAAACTGAAGTTATCTAGGTGTGTTGATATTGAGCATATTAAGCAACAGTACTTTAAAACATTGATGGTTATAGCTGCAGTTCTATACTTTGAGCAACATAGATATAATAATATATTTCTGAACTATATGCACTTGAACAAAATCCATAACCCCATCATCGTACACCGTATTGCGATTTTGGTTAAATAATAATCGTTCCAAGGAGATTGGGTCAGTTTTATCTACTAGGCTAGAATCTTTATTACAGCATGCGACGCGCTCGTCTCGACAAAGGGGTGCCCAGAAGAGCAACCTCGGGGGCAGCAGAGGGTTAAAGAACAACCAGGCAAAACGAAGGCATCCACTATCAAACATACGCCACGTCGGTCAAAGCGATTACGGGCTCAGTGAGGCCTTAGAGATGATTCTTTTTGTTCGTGTATTTCGATGCAGTTCAATAGATTGATTGTAAGCCTTATTTTGAAAGCATTTCTGGCTAAGATATGATATTAATCCCTGACTATCGTTTTCCTGCTTTGAAAGGCTACGAACAATAACTTGCATTCTGATGGCGTTCAAAGATAAATATTATGGAACGATATTAAGGCAATTGGGTCGAGTCGGGTTACGTAGTAACAATGGCGTTACGAACAGTAGTCTATTATTACGCACGACTAACTGGTCACAGATAGTTTAGATAGAATTGGGAGATACTGTCGACAAAAGAGGGTCGCAATCTCACTTGTGCATCCGAGGAATATTCAGCCACCCCATGTGCCTGATTTCAACCATGATCGTAAGGCTCTCAACGACGTTACTAGTTAACTAACTATTTATCAGGCATTTGACCCTGGCCGCTATGCCCCTTCGCAGGTGCGCCTACGTTTATCATAGCTTCTTACATTTCTTCTTCTGTCCTCCTCCCAGTGAGGCATAGTTGCTATTGATCCGGATCACCGAGCTCCTGAGCCCTGCCACCCCCGCTATCTATTATGCATGACTCGTCGAGAATGCAATCTACGCTGCGGTGCACTCCCTTGGTCCCCTGTTTTACCCCTCATGTCCGACGTGGTGCTCAAGATGACACAATCCCATAGACTGGTCCCCGACCCTGGATTCTAAGCTCACCGCCACGGGGGTCAACGAGCCAGCAGATGATTGACTCCACGCATGCAGGCGCCTTCTCCCGACGCGATTCCAAGGCTATCGCTCGGCTATACGCCTGCTTGGAGCCGAATCACCGAGCAGGAGACATGTCGACCTTGACTAAGGACGCTCAGCCGCAGTTCAGAATCGTAGGTAACCAGGATCGCGGCACTCAGCTTGATCGACCGATTAGAATACTTCGGCCGTAATTTTGCATCAACCGATGGTTGTTCCCTGAGCCAGACTTCGCGAGACCAACTTAGTGATGTATGATTTTGCGACAACCAAAAATTTTCACGACGGTTATATCGAGGCTCTGAAACGGCCTCCAGATCTCAGAAGCCCTAAGGGACGCCGCCGGTTCACATGGAAACGTCTATTCCCCGTCAAGCTAGGCAAATCTATTGCGCAGTCGGATTTGGAGGTCTACGCAGTCCCGAATATTGTTGTCACACTCGGCCTATGATACAACCCCTCGTTGGCTTCATGATTGAATAGCGTGACGTACGAAGATAAGGAACATACTCGACTAAAACAGTGATTAATAACAGTAAGATAATAAGGATGAATCATCAGATTATGGGGCCGAAAAGGGAATCTTGGCAAATTTATGCAATTGCGGTCCCCCGGCCGGGGGACCGCACAAGACCATGGGGGACTGTGGTGCGTTCCGACCTGTTATGAAAAGAGATCAAAGACCGTATGGTCCGGTCATAGTCTTCGAAGTTGGAACCGGAACCGGACCATTCCTAGGTCTACTAGCATCTGCTACCAATGTGGTTACTAGCTTTGCTTTTGTCCAATGAGCCGCCATTTTGCTCCGATGTGCATAGAATCCTGGTTACTTCGCCCTCCATTTGTTTGTTACAGTTGCTGTATTGAAGCGAAAGGAATTGCAAACTGTTATCCCATTCTTGCCGGCGTATCGCTTTCGTAATCTTGACTCTTTGACACTAGCGCCGGTTGCGTTTTTTGACCGTTTGTATCAAACCATGAACAGTAAGGTCGGCCTGTTAAGCTTGATGGCACAGACCCAACCCTCTGCCACGTATACAAGTGTGATAATTTGACAAGGGTCGTACAGTCCGACAAGCCGAAGACGAGGGCAGGTGATAATCATCCGTGGTCACCCTTCGCAGTTCGGACCCAATAGCATCTAAATTCTCCCCTACCTTCATTCCACTATTCGCATTAGAGGTCTCGTCACAGTGCATGGAAAATTGAACATCTCACCCGTTCTAGCAATGTATGTTGTACGCCCCCGTATTTGCACCGCGACACTGCCTTGACAATTAAGCCCCATTCTATGGCCCCCGGATATAAAAAGTTACGTCTCCACATGCATCCGCTTTTTTTATTAATTTCCTCAAAGCATCCTGCCTACAGCCTTCAAACGTTAAGTAGGTCCTGATCCACTGCGAAGCAAGTTTCCCTTAAAACATTCCATCATATCATTCCAAAAGGCTGACTTCTGGCGAAGAAAATGGCATTTCCCGCCCAGACTCCGGAATGGGTTAAGCGAGCTCGGGACGCGAAGCAGAAGGACGGCCGCAACAAACCGTGGGAGAAAACCTTCCGTGGCACGCAGATGGGTCAACAGAAAGGATCCGACATATGCACTTATGATGCCAACTCCGTCCACGATAACGGCGGTGATACGTAAGGAAGAGAGGTAAGAAGTGTATTGACCAGCCGAAATGGGCATTTCTCATACATATTCTACATCCAGTCAAACTATCTGAGAGGAAGCGACTAGTCAATTGGAGGAACCAAGTGCAGAGTGTTCTTTAAGATTGGGTATCATTGTTAATACCTACGCTTGTTACCGTATTGTCTGCGATCACTAGCTAGTTTGAAGTCAAATGACAATGTTTTAATACATAAAAGGGTGGAGATAAGCCCTGGATCATAAAGAGTAGCCGATGTGACAACTACAATGTATTCAGGTTGCAGCGACACAACGTTGATTGGTCCAGGAAAGGGTCAATTCCTGATTGGTTTCGAGTATAACGAGCATGCAAAGACCCAAGAACCCCCATGTCTGGGAATATTACCACCATGAGGCTCTGTAATGATATTTAAAGTCGTCAAGCTGCCAAAGCAGCGGACATCAACTGCAGTACACCCAATATGAGCTCTCTTCTGACTAAATTCCATTATTTATTATGGGATCCGATATACGAGACAGAAAAACCATTTCAGATCTACTCTGACATACCACCAGAAGCCGAGGACAAACGTCAGACGAACTTGAAGTTCGAGCTCGCAGCTGCTGCCGAGACAATCGAGGACGTACGTGGTCGGGAGTCGCTCTTCACACTCGACAGCCATGGATTCCAGTATATCAGGCACCATTCCAACGTTTCGGAATTTGAATTCTATGAGGGGACTGGGGTTGAGGATAAATACCTGCCTGAATGTGAGGAGGTTCTGAAACAGCAGCTGGATGGCGTGGATGAGATTTTGCTGTTCGATTGGAGGGTAAGTGACTCAACCCTGCACCTAGGAAGCCTTTTTTTCTTTTAGCTTATTCTCCTCGAATCTTAGATTCGCCGATCGGAGACTTCTTTGCAACATGGACAGAGAGTCGATTTCAACGATAGGCACACCGTTTTTGGCCCTGTGAAAACACCTCACGTTGGTAAGTGTTTCAATCTTGTTGATAAAGTATTTCCTTCTGTTACATTGATAGATTCACAACTTACTGAGATGTGCTTTCCTCATGCCAGATGCATCGCCTGGCTACGTCGTCGACGTGGTGGAGCGTAACTTCCCAGACCGTGCAGATTTCCTATTGAGTGGGCGAGCCAGATGGATAAAGTAAGGATCTGAATCTCCTCCAGAATACCGCAGCTAATGCCATTAGCCTCTGGCGTCCACTTGGACAAGCCGTCGAATGCTGCCCACTTGCTGTCTCCGATGGAACCACAGTCAGCGAGGCAGGTCTGGTGGAAACTAATCGTGTTCGGCGAGCCCTGGTCAACTCGACGCTTTTTTCGTTGTACCAAGATGGTTAAATGGTACTATATGAGCCAGCAGACTCCTTCAGACCTCTTGATATTCAAGAATTTTGACTCTCAGGAAGGTGTTGCCAGATGTAAGTATCTCCAATCGTGGCTATTAATGAAGTAAAGGTATTACAGATACTAAGTTTACACCGTGATAAATGCTATGCATTCGGCTGTTGAGTCAGCTACAAGTGTGAACAAGAAGCCAAGGGAGAGCATAGAAGTTCGGATGCTGGTTTTCACGTATCCTGAAACTGATGAAACCCGTGAAGAATGAATTTAGGGATGAATATCTGGCTGAGGGATTTGTCGTGGATTTGAGTTTCATGATCTTGTCGAGGCTACGGGCTATAAACTGTTCCCTCCTTTTCAAATTCAATTTATATCTCGTTGAGGGTGATCGAGCCCAAATTACGCTCCCAGCTATTCCTGATATACAATCACATAAGACGGTTTACGTACGTTGCACGACAAAATGAGTCAACAAGAGGCACAATAATCAAAAATTTTGCTCAACCTTGCGCTAAAAGCTTTTTTGCTGTAAGAATCTGGACACTTAAATGATTGCACAATGTGGTGTTGCTTAAACTGCCCTTAGAGGTTGCTGCGCCTCACTTTCAGGCGCTCTAGCTCCGCCAAGCTTGTGAAAGTATTGTTCTTCGATGGGCAGACCCGGCTCATGAGGCCACAAGAGTCCTTCTACGGCTCCATCCGCACCGCTTTGGAAGATGAGAGTGTATACCTCCTTGCCGGCATACGGGAACCGAGCCCGTTTGACGATATGGTCTCGGGAAGACAGCCATATAAAGGTGTTATGCTGATAATGACGCAGATCCCACACTTGAGAATCCAGGCCCTGGAATGCGACTTGAAGCGTGGAGCCATCTTTCTTTCTAATTTCCACGATGAATTCGTGTCCAGTGTTGATGTACCGCCCAACAAAGTCATCTAGCAAATGCGTGGGAGGGGCATTGGGCTCTCGATCCTGCTCGAGACTATCCTCCATCTTCGGAATACCGGCAATGGCATTTTTAGCCGCCTCAGTGGCAAGATGAACAAAATCAGTTGGATTTGCACTTTCCACCATGGTCTCTACTAAGAGCTCGTTGATCCAGCCAGCTGGATCCGCGAGTCCGATCGAGTTTGTCAGAACAACGATGCTGATGTCCGCTTCAGGAAGCATAGTGAAAAAGGAAGTGTATCCTGCTTGACTGCCACCATGAAAGGTAACAAGCCGGGCATTGCAGTCCGGCCCAGGCGTGATCACCGGGAGCTTGGTATACAGGGCGTTACTACCGCCTCCAATGGTGCCCGGGAGCATTGTTCGCATCAGTCCCAGACCGTAGGACTTATCGAGGAACGGATTTCCCCGAAATATGTGGCCAGAGAATTGCTTGGGGACGTTCTTCGGAGGGGATGGCTGATCTCCTTTCCGAGCAGCCAGAAGTGCGCTGGAGAACTTGAGCAGATCGTTCACGGAGCTTTAGATCCCTTGTGCGGCGGTCATGATCGTGTCATCTTGGATTGGAGGGGGCGGGAGAGGGTAAAATGACTTGTCATCTAGCGCGGCATAGTGCTTAGCGAAATTATCTGAATCTTGACAAGTATGCTTGGTCGTAGTGCGCTCCATTTGCAGTGGGCCAAAAATGCGAGATTGGAGAAAATCCCCATATGTCACGCCAGTGAGGCGTTCGATGACTTCTCCGATTAGGGTGTATCCCCAGTTGCTATACCCGAAAGCATTTCGAAATGGGCTTGTTTGCTTCAACGCATTGATTGACGACACGGTTTGACTTTTATCCAGCATCAACACGCCATCCGAGCCGAACCACCAATTATTTGATTTTTCCAGTCCGGTCCGGTGAAGAAGGAGGTCTATAATGGTGAGCTGCCCGGTGACGGTCTTGTCGGCGGTGTTAAGCTCAGGAATGATGCTGACAATGGGCGTGGTCCAATTCAGCTTCCCCTCGTCGACGAGCATCCCGATCGCGCTCGCGGTGAAGATCTTGCTGATAGAACCGATACCATATAAGGTGTCTGAATCTGGTTCAATGGATTCTTCCATGTCGCGAAACCCGATATTGTCCCGGAACACGATCTGACCCTGGTACGCAACGCCAAAGGAGGCACTCGGGACGCCGGCCACATTACAGATCTCGCGGATGACCGGGCGCAGGGCCGACAGTCGCTGGGCGATTTCCATTCTCACTGCGTGCAAAAGCAGAACGTACGCTCTTCCAGAGGTATGAATGAGTATGAGATAGTATATTTTATGGACAGCAGAGTTGCAAGTGAAAGGTAGACATTTCACAATCGTTCTCAATCCCAGCCATACCCAGATGATCAATACACACTAGTTGGTTTCGTAACGCGCTAACGCGCGAGTCATTACAGCAGCAGTGAGGGGAATGTTAGGCAGGACTTTAGACAATTTAGGCAGTCACGGTGCATATCCGAGGTGCCTTACAGGGGGCTTGTGTATGTTTGCCGGGGTGAGGGAAGGACGCGTGCTACACAATACAGAGGGGGAAAGAGTGGATGTCACTGCCTGAAAATCACTTCTTATGACCATCAGGTGGGCACCTGCATGCAACCAATGGCATCCTTGTCATTGGTATTCTCTACAGTCACTACGCAGAAATATTCGTACGTTCCCTCTAGGGCAATACATACTAAATAACCTATTTGGGCGAAGACATTTTTTGAAAATGGCATTGACATAGAAGGTTAGGTCATTTATCTTATAACGAATATTGCAGATTTCTGTCGCATAAATTGATTGACTTGTGTATATATCCCCCTAGAAGGATTGTACAAATATCTCCGAGGTCTGTGGTAGAACTGTAGGTTCTACTGACTCATGCAATCTCGGGGATGCGCCTGGCCCCTCTCCGTTCACCACGCTTGGCGCGCATGTCATTTAGGGCGAATACAAGTTCGCGAAGTAGCAGCCCAACAAACAATCCCAGCAGCCCAAGACAGACAGCCACAGCGGAAACCAGAGTGAACACCGAAAACCCCCGACAGGCCACGGTGAACGCCTCCCAAGGCTGTGCATGAGGGACGGACTCAGCCGCCAACACCACCTGCATGGCGCTGAGGGCAACGCTGTAGAAAGCAAAGACGATGGCGACCGGGGCATACAGGCGCATAAAGTATGCTCCGTATTCCCCATATGCCTTGTGGAAATGAAATCTTCGAAGAACTAGTTTCGCCCAAAGATTGAGCCGCGAGAGACGGAGTTCATAGTGAGCGCTAAATATAGCGGTTGATATATGCTTTAGCTAATCACATCAATCAACAACCATTATTGTACATAATTGATCTTCATAAAAGCCCATTATGACCTATCATATCGTCACCCTGCTTAGCGGATCGTCTTGCTTTTATTACAGCGTTTGGGAGTAGACAGAATGTCACTTCAATAGCGGAGAAGGTACACCTAAGTCCTTCGCGCTGGTCGTGTCATGAGCGCCGCGGTTACCCCAGCTCAATTAGCACCGAGCTTTTAGGGGTTAAACAAAGATAACTACGTCATATATACCGTAAAAGCAGCTTCCATGAGCTATATAGCCCCTAGGAACCCCGATGTAGCTTCTGGGACCATTTACAATCAGCTCGGGGAACCAAATTCGTGTTCCTATAGACAGCTCTGCCAAATGCTGGAGGCATGGGTGCGGTTCCTGGGGCTATAGCTTGAACTTCGGAGAGTAATCGAATGAGTCATAATTGTGCGCAGGTGTGATGAAAGTGTCATGTGAGGACTTTGCTCCATCCCGAGAGGAAGAAAATTGACCCTAGGACCCATAAGTAGGGACGGAAAAGTGCAAAAGCGCCCAGATCCAGTTCCTTATTCATGCAGGAACATAGATTGAAGATTCCAAGGGTAGATCTTGGTTTCCTAGAAACACGAAATATTCCAGGAGCTTAAATGTAGCTCCCAGGCGATGCACAGCTCATAGAATTTCCTTCGAGGTTTCCAGGGTCAATTTAACAAGTATCATAAGAATCTGTCAAATTCTCTCGACGACCCGCGAGTTGTGTTTTTCCTCTGCCAATAATCTGCGTCTTCACTCCACGCGGCTCTGTTGAAATGAAATCCAAATCTGTATTTCTCTCGTCGCCGCCGCTAGGTATATATGATTAAAAAAAGTACTTCTATATGCCATCCATTCGACTTCTCGGCATTCATCATAACATCCCACATATTTTGGAACTCAGTGGCGCGGGTGAGTATGTCGAGCAGATTCTTCGAGACTTAGAGCAGGTCATGGTGGAAGCGGATGGGTGAACCAACTTGGGTGATAAAAAGAGGTATGACTTCACGGTTGGATGTAACCAATTAAATGTATTCTGTCAAGATGACGCTATGTGTTCTTAAATATTCACATCAGGTGGATCTTCGATTGCTGAAACAACATTTTGGAGATCCTGTAATACCAGCTGACCTAGGGGGGTAGAAAACCCAGATTCTCTATTACCATTATTGAAAATTCAGATACCTGACATTCTTCATCGGACATTTTACTTGATTTCAATTTGTATAGACCCCAAGACAAAATCTATCACTTCCTCTTGGCTTACGGAACAAGCATTTCTTAATGTCCCAAAGATTATGCAGATGTTCTTATTGACAGTCTTTCTTGGTATTATTAAGGAAATGAACACCACGGTTTGTGTCTCGCTGCTGAACAAAGATCTACATACACATCTTAGCTCCTTGTAACTTTCCACACGCCGTGGCATCTCGTCGTCCGGCCGGTGGAAGGCGACTGGTACGTGACGACAAATGGTACCGTCATATGCCCTTTGTTAACGATATGGATGCTTCTTGGCGGCACTAAGGCGCGACAGTGAGTTGGAATGTCAACGAATACATCTCTAACCTCGAGTCTTTTTCACCCTAGTTCCATTCATTCGTTTGTTGGAGTTCAATCTCTATCTTCCACTCAGAGACAAACGGTATCCCGATTTGTACCGCTAACAGATGCTAGTCAACAGATGGAAGGTCTTCTTTTCCGTGGAGCAGAAACTACCTTTTGCTTTGACCGTGCCTTTGATGGATAGAATAACGCTCTTATTCCATTCGTCCATGTGGGTCATAGTCTCCTTGAAGATTCTGACGCCCTCCTGGCGCATTCCGACATCGACTTTGGCTTGGAAAATCTCAACCAAGACACACCCCCTGCAACTTATCCCTTCGGCCAAAACGAGTCAATGACTACATTTTCCAAGTTGGTTAAAAAATCCCCCGGGGATGTGTTCGCAACACAAAAGCATAAACTTCGCTGACACATTTCAGTCTCAATATATTTTTTTAAGGACCACAGCAATAAGAGCATGCTTCATCATGCAGCATTCAATTGATGACTTGGCGAAATTTTAATAGCCTCCCTGCCTGACTGATGGTCGCAGCTCTCACCATATTTATCGCCTCACGTTTGATGGGTCGTTTGACCACGAGGGTGAGGTCAATCCCGACTGCTCCGCGTATTGTGGATGCGGCTCCTACAACTTTGAAAAGAAGTTGCGTATGGTTCGTTTCGTTCGCGGCTTCTTTTTTAGTTTGTTGGCGGTGCGACGAGAGTTTGGTGGTCACTGCGGGGGGGCTTTCAATCTTTTTTGATGTGTTCATATTTTGTTGCATCCCTCCGATTTGCTTTTATCTTCTTGGCCCATTAGGCAGGTGGATGATGAGACGTAGGGCTAAGCAACAAAACATCGAGGCCCCCGAAAGTTAGCTATAAAAGGGTTTGAATTTCGGCCAGAATGAGGTGGTGGTGCATGAATTCACAACAGGGAGCTCTATGTTTACTTATCTAGGTTCACGGGTATATTTTTTCAAAGATAATTCTGTCCGGCGGGGATGGCCAAGATGAATACTTCTCATTTCGAATCAGCTAAGGTAAATTTAGCTAGATTCGACGCCGGAATGACCAGCCGCGGTCTTCCCTCATTATCGGCCGGGTCAACCACCCGTCCATTTAAATAGCAGGGTAGCGTCACCCTCGTGTTGGCATGGTCCTCCTTCCCACCCCAATCCCACCAGTCGACAGTCCCACCATTGTACCGCAGGCAGAAGGTCTCGCCCACGTGCGCATCGCGGGGAACACTCGTCCAGCTCTGTCCCTGGATATACCGTGAAAATTCCCAGGATTCCCCCGGTTGAAGGGTGGTGAAATCGTTGTGCACGCTGACGTTAATGAGCACGTCCGGATCATCTTAGATAGCGTATCCGTCGATAGGCGATTCGGTGTCGATAAATTCAAGATCGGTGCCTTTGCGCCGATAGAGGTGGAAGTCGTCTTTTAAGATCCAGGTGTGAAATATGATCGCCTTAGCCTCCGATGAGATAGAGCGGTGGTAGTGGACTTTTCCAGTGATCTGGAATGGACCCTGGCGATAGATCGTGGGAAAACATTGCAGTTCCACGCTGAGAACTGGGGCTTCGGGTCTACAGTTCCCCTCTGGTTAGATCTCACCACAAGTGGAAAATGCAAAAAGATGAGAGAACGTACACACGATCCCCGCTTCCAACAGGCTCTGGAGACACCTTAGTCTCCGGAAGAGATGGTACACTATCGGCCGAGAGGAGAGTCCGCGCTCCCCCTGGTAATACGATGAGGTCTCTCCCGGACTCTGAACAAGGCCTCAGCTGCTCCTCGAGATGCTGCTTTATCGTCCCCCATTTCCACAGGCTAATCATAGCCCCCGGCCAAAGCAGTTCATAGGTCATTCCTGGCCGGAGCTGTCGTTCCCAATGGTCAGGCAAGCTTGTCCGAAAGGACACCGAATCTCCGGTCTTCAACTCCCAGAGACTCGAAGTCCATGGGAAAATCTGAACCGAATTAGATTGTACTAGGGCCGGGTTATATACAGGATCCGGTGGGATCTCGACCCTCTGCAGCGTGACCCTCTCATTAGCAGATCGGACGTGGCAGAGCAGAATAAATCCGCCAGGCACGAAGCCATCCCCAACGGCGCTCCACTTAAACAGACACGGTCTGCTATCGGAGTCCCTGTGAGTCGGAAGTCGCCGGATGGTGCAGAGGACGCGAGGGGCGTTATAGATCTCCAGCTGCAGACAGGGGACATCCAGCCTAGCGATGGTTAATTTGCAAAACGATATTTTTCGGGATTTTGGGCCGAAAGGAATCAAACGTCGGGAAAACTCACGGTCGGTTGACCCCGGTGATTGTAAGATGGGGGCGGATTTCGTCTTCCATACTGTGGGACGTGGAAGAATCTGGCTCCTAGCGTAGGGAAATAGTGGCAGATTTTGAGCCGGATAAGACGGAGTATATCTACTTCGTACAGTAGTGAAGCACTGATAATCGAACCACAGGATAGCGCATTGCGCTAGTGCACGCAGGTGGCTACAAAGTGAAGGCTTAACCCCGCAGTTTTCCATCTCAAGTAAACAATTTCCGACCATCCCAGCACTACCTACGCACATCAAGCCACGCTCAATTGCAGAACCCATTAGCATAGCATCTGGCCTAGTGGCTACTAACTGCGCTAAGGCTATCCAGGTAGATCCTCCTCTTCGTCTTCCTAGGCTGATGGGCCTTTCCAGACTCAGTTGTCTAAATCTCATGACCCCATGTAGCTGCAGGCACTGCGCCTAGCTGCCTCCATCCAGCGGCAAAAATACGAAGTTTTCCAAATGCGGTAATTGCAAAATTACTAAAGTGGGTGATTGGTTTTGGACTTCATTCAGATATTAAGTTGAATCTGAATTGCATTGATCTCACTGCCACTTTCTTATTCTAAAATTCAACCCCATCGCCTCAAAGCATTGATACATAGGCCCTCTCATTGACAATAATATCAGCAGCTTTCTCTGCGACCGCGAACACAGTCGTCTGGATATTCCCACGTGGAATAAGGGGAAAGATACCAGCATCAACAACGCGAAGGTTAACCGTGCCATAGACCTTCAACTTGAAATCCACCACACCTCCCTTCTCGCGCGGCATCATAGCAGTGGAACCGGCAACATGATAATGAGTCAGGAAGCGCTCACGGAATAACTCACGAGCCTCGCTCAGAGTAGTGTCCTTTGAGGATTTCTGCAAACGCCGACCGTCTGGCTTAAGGAGAGATGCCATTGGCTCAGTCCAAGCCAGAGTTTCTAACCACCGAACGTGGCGAGCATGCAGCTCCATATCCAGCGGATGGGAGAAGAAGCGCGGATCAAATATCGGGTTTGCTTTCGGATCGGCGCAGTCGAGATGCACGTTGCCACGAGAGAATGGGCGGTTCAGAACGGAGACGATGCTCAGGAAATTCTCCGGCTCGGTCATTCCAAAGATTCCCTGCATGCTGGGGCCTTTCTCCGGCAAGGCCTGGAATGGAGCCAGAGTGTACTGGCCAGAAGGCTCATCTGGATCTTCCAGAAGGCGGCGAAGTACCTCATACTGTGCGGCAAGACCCGGTGATAAAGTCTCGTCACTGAGATGCTCATCCACCAGGGTCTGCAACTCACCATCCTGCAGCTCCGGAAGAGTCATATATGCCGAGTGAATCGAGCATAGCCCGAGGGGTCCTGCACCACATTGTTGCCATGCTTCCATGGCCATCTTGGCAATCTCGGGGTCCCGGAGTGCCTCAGCGGTGACTTGGCCATCTGCCGCCTCCCAACTGAATGGGACAAAGCCGTGTTCTTGGAGGTTCTCGCCGACATTCGAATTTTCCACAATAACCTCAATGCCGTGCTTTTCAAGAAGGGTTCTCTCTCCGATTCCGGAAAGCTCTAAGACATGTGGTGTCTTCAGCGCGCCCGCGGCCAAAATGACTTCGTGCTTCGTGGCGACGGTCTTCTGCACTCCATCTTTGCCGACGAACTGAACTCCAGTGGCAATAGCGTCATTTTTTCCATCTGATTCAAGAACGACCTTTTCAACGAGGGCTTCCGTGATGACTCGCAAGTTAGTCCGCTTCTCAACTTCAAGATTATAATATGCCACAGCAGCATGGCTTCGCGTCCTAGCAGTGGGGTGAATACTTCCAGGGTTGCAGAAGGCTCCCTTCGCCACACCCGACATGGGATCACCAGTGATGCGATGATTGAGGTTCTCAAACACTTTAGGCCAAGCGGCATTGAAAGGCGGGAATGGTCCATCGCCGAATGAAACCTGAAGAGGACCGGAGTCGCCTTGAATAGCTGGGTCAATATATTGCAAAGAAAGCTGCTCTCTAACTTCCGCAGATGGGGGCGTAAAAGTCTGCGACTTTCTCAAATAATGCGAAAGGTTGTTCCAGTTCCATCCTTCGTTGCCTAGGTCTTCCCACGAGTTGAGATCGGTTCGACTGGGATAGATCACCATGCCTAAGTTTATGGCCGAAGAACCCCCTAGTGTTCGGCCCCGAGGCTCTGCGAGGCATCGTCCATTGAGATGTTCCTAAACATGTTTGTTAGTTGGCTAAATTCAAACTCCTCTATTGCTTACCTGCGGCAGACTGGTGAAGCACCAGTCGAATTCCGGATCAGAAAAGGTACTTGCTGCAAGGCCAGGAGCTGCAATCCGTGGATCATGGATGCGATTGCTACCTGCCTCGAGCACGAGCACACTGACGACGGGGTCTTCGGTTAACCGACTAGCTACCACCAGCCCAGATGTACCGCCTCCGACAATGATATAGTCATACTGCCCGCGCAGATTGGTGAGTGATGAGGTGTCAATAGATGCCATATTTCGACAAAATTATTTGAACGAGAACAAAATGTAGTCCTATTCTTCAGGAGCGACTAAATAATCAACAGAGGGAAATTATGGAATGCGACGCCAATTACAATTCCCGGGTCTGCGGCCCGCCTAACTGGGGGCCCCCACCGCATGGATGGGATTGAAGCTAGATCGAACGGGAGATATATGAGCCGCCCGGGAGCAAAACCAAGTGGACTGTTCTGCACCACTAGTGGCTTTTACCCAGCAGGCCGATGGGCCTTACTTAAACGGAACCCTATATATTGAGTGACGTTGCTGGTGCATGTTTCTTTTCCCGGCCTACTGAGGACACGAAGGGACATTGCACAACGAGCTCCTTCTGCGGCAGGTCGAGTGAGTTAAAATCTAGCCGTGCTGGGAAACCACTAGGTACTTCTGCAAAATATTTTCTACAAGTAGAGATTGTCAAAGAGCCAGTGGATCTTTATCCCATGTGGACCCTCGGTCATAGCCCGAAGGCCTGAGCATTTTTGGTCAACAGCCTGTCAGATGTTGACAGTAGAAAAGATAATACTAATTTCAAACTTTAACAACGCCAGGCAGTGAAATATGCAGGAGCGAGACCCGTACAGATTTGTCTTCCGGCATGATCATTCTTTCCATATCCGAACGGCTAATCCTCAAAGCGCTAGCCGAGTATTCCATTTATGCAACGCTTATGAAGTTAATTCAATGTTAGGATTCGGAGTACTGTTACCCTAATAGTATTTGAAGCCTATCGACATCACAAAGTAACAAGAAACAAAGCAGATTTCTTGAACTATTTTTAGTTTACAATATAATTACATATGTTGCAGACGAGCCATAGATAACAGAGCTTTATACTCAGAACTCAAGATACATATGTAGTCAAAATAGAAAAATAATTGGATACTGGGGAAGTCCGTTTGTAGACTCTCATACTAGTCGCACGTAAATGAATAGATAAACGAACAAAGTTCATTGTTATAAATGAAAAAACCAGATGATAGTTTATACAAGAGCTGTAAAGTTCAAAATTAAATGACTCCTCCAGCATATCGCAATATGCGCTGACCGTTCAGCTTCAGTTGCTTCAAAGGTCGTCCTCCAAGAATAATACACAACTTCACATCTCACTCCGCTATACATACATATCCAGCTTTACTCAAATATGGACCCCAGCTATCGCATTGGAATCGAGGTCGAAATTCTGCTAAGACCGATCGGGATGGTCTTTCACCTCGACGAAAAGCTGCAAATCATTACCGATTTCATCATCTCCAAATGCAACAAACATCTTGACGCAACTACCCAATTGCGGAACAAAGTCAATCGAACTCCACACCGCCTTCTCAATGAATGGTGTCTTACAAAGGATAACTCGGTTGTCACCCACGAATGGAACCACTGTATGTGAAAAATGCTACCCAAATTTGTCCCTATGATATGGATCTGCTGACAGCACGTAGTCCCCTTCGAAATAGTATCACCCATTCTCCAATACAGCCCAACAAGCACATGGCGCAATGAGATCCGTGATATTTTCGAAGTCATGGGCTCCGTCTGCAACATGCGTTTTAATGAAACATGCGGACTACACATTCACATCTCACCCCAAGGAGGCGAATGGGGCATACGCACCGTCAAAGAATTGTGTCGCACCATGTTCTACTTCGAGGAGGTCGTCGATAGCCTAGTTCCGCGCCATCGCGTTGAAAACGACCTCATGCAAAGCAGTCGCCGGGGCAGTACACCGCTTCTCAACAAGACGCCTCGCGAGTGCTTGGCCATCATCAAAAGATGCCATACAATGATGCAGGTAATCAATACCATGAATGATAGCGGAACGCGGTACTTCGCCTGGAACTTCGTGAACCTGATACGAGGAGGCATTGGAACGATTGAGTTCAGACAACCGCCTGGTACCGACAATGCTGAGCGGATCTTACAGTGGGCGGAGTTCGTGGTGCTTTTCCTTCATGCTGCGCGTATGTCGGTTCCTTTTGACACCCTCAGTCAGCACCCGCGAACAGTTGATGGCTTACTTGCATTTCTTTCTGTTCATAAGCTGCCTGGGTCTGATATTAGAGCCTTGAGGAGTCTGTTCTGGGCACTTAGCTGAGGTGAAGATATGCGGTTGAGCTCGTTGGGTCGCTGGAATTATCATTCCTACTCTGGAGGGCTCCTGTATGGTATGGTGGCGTTCTTTCATCCTTGAATAGGAGACCATTTAAAAGTATTGGGGGATGATGATTCATGTTTCCTTGAACCTGATTAGGGTACGTTAATCTACTGACCAACTTGGATGTCTTGTTATGATACTTAAACTTAAAATTAACATTCTTCCAGTATCTGCGGCATTATAAAGAAGCAAATATCTACCACTCCCCCCCTTCCCCTGCGGAAAACAACTACTTTTCTACTCAGATCTCGGTTATATGTCAATGTAAAAAATATGTGCGGGGATGACCAGCCCTCTCTGATTCTTTCAGATAGTTGATTAGATTTACTGTATTGTACACAACCTGCTAGATTGGACATTGTGATAAGATAAACAAAACAAACAACAGTCACGATCCGTACGTGGTCACCCACTATGCTACTCACTGACCTGCGTGTAGCTCTAACGCGGCCAGAAGTCGCGTGTGTATGCCGTTAGTTTAGGGTTTCAGAAACCGTGGTAAAAGCCTGAGGTAAGCCGGGACTGCGGAATTAATCCGTTCCGGCACTACGTATGAATAAACCGCCGTTCCGCCGTCAACTGGTGTTTCTCAAGTTCTCTACTCTGCTCATCCCCCATTCGTCAGACCAGCATCTGACCTTTAATGATGACAAAAGTGATGTAGAAGGAAAATTACATTCCCATTGATAGAGCTAATGCTGAAACATGGAATCGCGATCTGATGGAAGCCTTCCGCCAGGTGCTGGAGAAGAAACTCGTGGCCGACCTTCTATCCGTTGTCCGGAAAGAGATATGTCGCTGCACATCGTGCTGGTCAATACGCGGGACTATCTGATGCCCCTCGGCTAAATTTCAGAACCGTTTATTGTCTTCGAGATTAGGCACTTGACCGGCCCAAAATCAACCTGCGCGATAATTTCCCGGCGAACTACGATCGCCGATACAGATAGCCCAAGCCCAAGGAAGAAGAAAAGGAAGAAAAAACCCCCAAATCTCTTAAAGATTTCCATCAAAGACGCAGCCGGGACAGTCGCCCGACTGGTTTCACAAAAGAGTTGAAGCTGTCAACACCGCTAGCATCATGTATCCACTATCTGCCCCAGCATCAGCGCTCCTCAATCAGGAGCTTTCAGTGGATCTATCTCTTACAGCAGCTTTGAAGGACCTTATCTTGAAGTCCTACCTACTTATTGAATTTAGTATCAGAAAAGGTGCTGTCGTCAGGTGTAGTGACGAGCTTGTCATCAAGATCTTTCCCAGTAGTCGAGATCCTACTGAATACTACTCTCCAGTATCTCGCTAAGAAGTACCCTGATTTACCAATTCCTAAGACCCATGGCCTCATTGTGCTTGAGAGTATTGAAAGTCCAGACTGGGTATACAAGTTGCCGGAGCATTTGTACATGTGTTCCAATTCCTTTTTTCACGTAACCTTAGAAGTGAAGCCATTCGAACAAATGGAATCTGATCATTGATACCACAATAGCTGGAAAGATAAAATTAGAGCCTTGGAACAAAGACCGGTCAAAGATTCCTATGTAAGCGCGGAGGGCACATGACAAACTATTTAGTAAGATCTGAGTAGTTATTAGGTTTAAATAGTCAATGAGCGATCTAACAATCGATGCCGGTACGAACGCCTATCTAATTACCCCAAAAACTTAGTGAGTGGCTTCATTCTCTCGGGCTGAACAATCACCAGCAACGGTATGGGCACAACAGCTAGAAGTACGAACGCCAGCAATGAGTTCCCCCAATCATAGCCGAGCTTAGAATCCACATACGGAGCAGCGACAGGAAGAAATCCCCGGCAATGTAACGCAGAGGCAGAACAGCGGCGACAGCAAAGGCGGAGCGTTTGCCAAAGATGTCTACTATGTAGTTCAGAATCGGGGTGGTGCTACTGCCACATAGAATGGTAGCGATTGTCGGAATGATCCAATAATAGCGAAATTGGAGTGACCATCCGTGCAGTAGCAGGCCGCTAGGAAAGATGACCATGGCCGGGATTATAGGGATGAGCCGGTTTTTGGGGCACGGTGTAGTGCAATCACCGGGGTTTAGGTTGAAAGCCCGCGAATCAGGAATTAATCGAGAGTAAAGCAACGGAAATGAAGTAAGCTCTTCGTATACAATGTTCTCAGGGATCCCAATTTTTCTCGAATCAATTCGAAAAAGGTGCAGAATCTCCATAAGTGAATTCACAATACGTGCGTCTGACGGTGTCTTTATGTCAGGGAAATACCGCTGACGCGCACCGAGGATTTGAATGTTTATCTTGTCAGCTTCGTTGTCAACTTCAATAAAGAGGTTCCAGTGCACAATGCCAAGGTTTTCATGGATGGCTACTAGAAGAGGAATGGTGGAAGCCATTTTATCTCTATCTCGCAGACTGGTTCAGGAATGCCGAACGCGAAGATATGAAGTCTAGGAAGGGTAATCATGGTTAAAATGTTTTCTTCTTATTTTATAAATGATGGAAAAGAGCTCTAACAAGGGGGCTTGCTTTGGTCCACGTAGGTTGGAATATCTCACTATTTTTATTGAAAGAGAAGAAGGTCGAGACAGCGCGGAGGCCGAAATTTGTGCTAAGACCGTGCGAGTATTTCCTTGAATGGCCAGAATAATTCCAAGCCGCAGGCTTGGCGCTATGGAGGTTTGTGATATAGGAATTGATGTATTTACCTTGATCGTTTGCCTTGAATTTAATAACCAACGAGCCAAACCAATGAGCCGGCTGTATTGACAACTACGCTAACAGCTGCCGTATTACGCCGCATCGGAGCCGCAGGGGACTTGGCCTCGAGATTCTTATTGGACTATGCGACTACCGCGATTTTTTAGGATTTCTATATAAAAAAAATCAACTAGATTTATTAGAGAATCATGTTGTGAAAATCCTTCTATGGGTTCTTATCGGTTGCTATAGTACGTGACCGCGTCGAGCTATCAGGTCACATAAGTCCTGGAGATAGGGAAAATCTAAACAAAACAAGGTGAAAGGATCTAATGTATAGTAAAGAGAGATCTGATAAAATTTGAAGAAGCCCTCGCTATTTATCTTGATCTTAGAACAATTATAGTAGTTGCCTAGACCTTAGTTCTCATCGTTCTCACGCTGTCGCGGCTCACTGCTAATGCTAGTCAAGTTGTTTCTTTCTGATATACCTCTGCCATGCGTGGCGTGCCGATTGTTGGTAGCGTGCGGTGGTACTAGCATTTATAATTAGTTAAGGGGCATTCATTCAATAGACCAACTATGCTAAAAATAAGACAGTAAAAAAGCGAAAAAACATACAACAGTGAGGATTCGCTGGTGGTCACCCACCCAACTACTAACTCACCGGCGTGTGGCTTAAGTACGGCTGAGCGGACGGGAAGCCCTGTTTTCCACACCCTATGGTCGTATGTGTTCGAAAGTGTACTGTTGCATACTATAACGGCACAAATTGTTGAATTTAATATGGTGTATCCAGGTATCTGTTCAAGAATTTTATCGGCGAGCCTAACAGTCTGCTTAGTGGCATCGATTTTTCACCCTCTATCGAGTTATTATAGTTTCCACAGTCACTCCAGTTTAAAGACAGAAATGAGTGGTAGCTTAAAAGGGAACTAACTAAATAGATTCTATGTTTTAATGCTAAAATTTTATAAATGAATTTATTTTTAGTAGAAACTAAGGATCGTGGTTGTTTTATGCTTTGTCTACGCGTCTAGTATATTTTACAAGGCATAAATAAGTAACAAGTCATACTACTCCGTAGATATTCAACCAACTCTCGACTCATCTAGGCTTTATCATAAATTTTATCTCATTTGATTAAGATAAATAATTCGGAAAGTGGGGCGCGCGCCCTTGTCTACAGGCATTACATACTTCCTTTCCACCTTGGCAAAGAACGAATTGTCGATCCTGTAACGTATTCGGTGTGCGAGTTAATAAGCTAGTCTTTAGTATAAGAGTTAATTTGAAGCCCTTATCGTTGCTCCTTTCAGACATTATAGTGTACTTTAGCGTTTAAGATATTTAGGAAAAGGTTTCGTAGCTTTTCATAGCTTAACTACATAACTAAGAAAGCGATGCCGAGAAGCACAAGCAGCTTATTATATAACTAATCGGGTCGTCGAACGCGGCCACCTGGCGGTGTCCGGGTTCCCGGGTCTAATTGCCACCCGGGTCTAATTGCCAATTTACCAATTCCATCTTCTTTAATCATTCACTACACCCCCAATTCTTTATATCATGTCTTCAGAATTGGAGATTCGCATTGCCAATGCCTTATTAGCATACCATGCTAGTAAGAAACCCAACATCACAGCTACCGCTAAGCAATTCAACATCTCGCGCGGCACCTTGAAAGGACGTATCCACGGTCGCACATCTCGAAACAACCGTGACGGACCCAATAAAGCACTACATCCTGAGCAAGAAAAGGCATTAATTCTATGGATTGATACCTTAGATCAGGCTTTTTCTCCACCATCTACAGCCCAAATTCAAGGTACTGCTTTACAAATTGTTCGGCGTCATAACCCCGCTCGCACGCTTGGAAAGAATTGGGCTTACGATTTTATCGCTCGCCTACCACCACGGTTTGAGCATCTTACCCAAAAACCAATGGAGAAAGCACGGTTTCAGGCCGCAGATCCTGGTTATATTGTCTCCTGGTACGATCGTCTACAAATTACGCTCAAAAACTACAATATTAGCCCGAGAAATCTATATAATTTCGACGAAACCGGGTTTCGAATTGGCGAAGGGAAGGCTCAAAAGGTTGTTTCAGCCCGGGGCAATTCATATAATAGTACCGGTGGTCAAGCTGAATCGCTTACCGGTATTGAATGTGTCTCAGCTACGGGTTGGGTTATGCCGCCATGGTTTTTAGTGAAGGGACAATTCCATATGGAAAGTTGGTTTATCGACACCAATTTACCAGACAACTACACAATTTGTCCAACCCCAAATGGCTGGACTGATGAAATCATTAGTTTTGCATGGCTCCAGGTGTTCGATGAATTTACATCATTGCGTATTAAAAAGGGGGAATATCGTCTTCTTTTAATGGATAATCATAGTTCACATTTGACCTATGATTTCATTGAATTTTGTTGGACAAAACGCATTATTCCTTACTGCTTTATTCCACATACAACACATGGTTGCCAACCTCTCGATGATACACCTTTCTCGGTCTTAAAGCATTACTACAAACAATACAACAACGAGACTGCCTTTTGGGGTGGTGATGCGAAACATAAAGCCAATTTCTTCGCGGGTATTCATGATGTGCGCACACGATCATTAACCGAGCGGACAATTCGACACGGGTTCCGAGAAACTGGAATTTGGCCTGTCAATTCAGACAAAGGCCTTGAAAAATTGAAGTTGGTAGACAATGATCTCCCTGAAATGCCCGGGTTTATAGTTCATGATATTGCCGGAACTACACCCCCACCACTATCAAGTTCACTACCAAATTCACCACCTACAACTGTCCAAAAGCTACGAAAAGCGAGCAATAAGGTTGTGAAGCATATACAGAATGATGCTACAATTTCCCCGAAGGTGCGGGATAGTCTTTCTCGGATTTTAGCAGGTGGACTCGCTCTTGCCGAAGTTGGTGCTCAATTTGCGGAGGACAATGTTCGCATTTTACGACGGAAAAAACAGTCTAATACTGCTAAAACAAAGCGCAGACTTCCTGAACTAGGCCCTCGCCTAGTTAAGGACTGTAAAAAACAAATATCTGACCGCGCCGACCGAGAAAGGCTGCAGATGTTCAACCGATCTAAGAAATCATGGCGGGATGCAGCTATTTTAAAAGCAATTGAGGACGGCGACATTGAAAATCCAGGAGAAATTGAGGATGATAATAGTGCAGAAGGGGCCCAGGATTGGATAGATGATCTTTATTGTGTTGATACAGAAGGCGATGCTATTTAAATTCAATGAATTCAATGATGGAATTGGTAAATTGGCAATTAGACCCGGGTGGCAATTAGACCCGGGAACCCGGACACCGCCAGGTGGCCGCGTTCGACGACCCGATTAGCTCTTTAGTTACTAGCGGCCTTCTAAAAGAGGTGAGCCCCTTACTTAATATCCACATTAATATAGTCCTACTAACGGAGCACGAAGGGACTCGGTTTCAGTAAAGGAATAGTGGATGGTTTTTTACAGTAGAGATTTACGAGCTTGAAGCTACTAACAGCCGCACAGAAGTGGAATTATAACGCACTCATTCTTAAACGGAAAACTATCTTTGCGAAAGTCATACGCTCCGGGCTAAAGCCTATGAACTCCGCTACGGTATGCAATATCTTAAAATCATAAAATAAGAACCTACACGATGAGGTAGTGCAAAAAGGAGTTAGCATCGTTAGAGTAATATAGACATTGAATTTATTGCAAATAGAGGGAGTTAAGATCGCAGTTGACACCGACGACAGCCAATCATCACCCATTAGTATCCATGCTGTAGCAGGCGATATCTAAGCTTAACTGGTGAACATACGACAGAGACCACCGAAATGCGCCGAGAGCCCACCGAATATTATATTGGTCGTGAGTTGCGGGCCGCATGGCGTGTATAACTCCAGCAATATGCTCTGCATTTTAAGACCAGCTTCATCCGGATTCCACCCGTCAACGATATTGTAGCAATGCATTTGTATCAATAGATTGCGAAGGCTGCCGCCAGCGAACGAATAACAGGGGTCTCCAGCCAGAGGCTTGATAAGCCATATTTTCCGAGACATATATGCGGAGACCGGAGGCGTATGTATAGCTAATCAGGACCGTTATAACATGCGTTGTTGATTCGGTGGCTCGAAGTTGCGGATCGAATGCTTCGACTAACTCTCGTTGAACCCCATGCCCACATTATATTCGAGCTCGCAATGTACAATCGTGTCGCAGAGACTATCTCGCAAGAGTCAATAAATATGTGATGAATGAATTCCAACCTTGTGGGTGTTGACGGTGGTCGACAATTAGGCCGTCGGGATCACGAGATCTTTTGGAGATGCCAAGGCGACCTAACGTGATGGATGCGATCTAAAATATAACAAGAGGTTGACTGGGAGGATGGAGGTTGTGGTTCAATGTTGTCAACAGACAGCGCCGAGAGAAGGGGGGATCTGAATCAGTTCGGCATTTAGGCTTGGCCTTGAGCGTAAAAAAGAGCGAGTCAGCTCGACGTATTTCCTCTGAAAGTGGGGCTCTGCGAGGCTGAAAACAGTTTGACTATTCTTAGTTTTGTTTGCGCGCGGAGGAAGATCCTTGCGGAGCCGCCTTCCTAGGGGGAAACATGCCCACCTTGCCTCCGAAGACGCTTCTGTAGACCGTCTGACTCCAGTACTAGGAAAGTTTATTGGTGGTAGGAACCGAAAATCTTCATCAAAACGGATGGGAAATCCAGCCGAATCTGTGCTTGGGCTTCAGAAACGATGCGTCGTGCTATCCTTGTCCAGGGGAGGAGAGGAAGACCCACGCATGCATACGCCGGCTTACCGAGACTCTGTGATCTTTAGTATTGTTCCCTGATCTGAAAAGGGTACAGCTCAAGTCCTGGTAGTTTGTCTCGACTGGATATCCTAGGTAGCGCTTTGGCAAGTACCTGTACCTGGTCCCTTAGGCTGAGCGTGCTCCTCATTTACCAGAGCGGGGGAAGCGACTTTAACTTGTACAACAAGCTGTTCGTTGGCCCTGCGCAAGCTGAAAGGCTAGCACAGATAGATAAACAAAAATTGACCTACGTTTCTCACCCCATTAGGTTCAAGTCCAATCAACAGGGATCTCGGCAATCCACCTTGGATTGTCCAGAAAAAGTGAAGTTCGAGACCAAGAGGAGAAAGCAGCTAAGAATCCACAAAATACCCCTTCCCCTGAAATTTGGGTTGGCCACAGTATGACGTTGATGAGAGAATTTCTGTGGAGAAAATTGTTGCGATGTCATGCAATTTGTGAACACCAAATTTAGGCCGGTAGCAAATTATTCAGCCCAGGCCGCGTCTTTAAGAAGACTTCTGCTTCTTTAAACTTTCATATTCAAACTTTGATTGCTCGACTTTTTGACTTTACGGGATCTGAACGGGATTTGAGACACATCTTGAATTCCTTAATGGGTGAAACTTGAAGCACACAGTATGGCCTATCGCTCTTTATCTTCTCCCAACTCCTTGAAGGCCCTCTCTTAATACCATTGATGATCTTGATTCCTCTCTCCCTTGCTGGATCGTTGTGAGGTCTCCTTAAGACCCTCCCCTTTTTGATTTCACTAAAGGCTGACACAATCTCTGCCGTCAAGACGTGATGCGCCATAAGCCTAGACCTACGATAGCGACACCAAGATCCAGGACCCCGATTGTGCAATTAGCTTCATGGATCTCAAAACCCAGCCTCGACATCGACTCTTTCGTCCCCACGTAAAACAGACTGCGACTTACTTCGACTGCCTACCAAGATGCCACAACGCACCCCACTGGACAGCGGCAGAACTCATCGTCCGTGCCTCCAGCACGGTACGTGACCATGGCCTGGCTCTTATTCTCCCGGTTGCTTGTTTCCCCTTTTTTGTCATCTTCTTCGCTCTCTTCTCTTTTTTCTCCTTGTGAAACACCATTCAGAAGCCCAACGCCTCACCGAGCAGAATACTGAACTAACTCGTCAACTTTGAGCCTAGGCAGCAGTCAACAGGAACATGAGCTGGACTACTATCGGATATTTTGGGGAGATATGGAGCGGTAATCGGCAATGGGCGCACGGAGGCGATTCCTCACATCTAATTTCTCTTCCGATCCGGTTCCTCGAGCAAGGCAATCCAACACGCCTTTTGAAAGGTTCAAGATGGCGGATACATTTTGGCTGCTGCTGTCGAACATGCAAAGTAAACCCTTGAATCGAACCTAGAACGATGGGATCTCACTGATTGTTTGAGTCTTGAATAGAATTCAGTTTTTCTATTTCTGATTATCAGAAAGCGAGCATAACGGAAATCGCCACGGCGACCAGACAAATAGGCTTGGAGAGACTCGTGGATTGTATGACGAGGTTCAACAGAATGTTCTCTGCAAGGGCCAACGCCGTCTGCTTCTCCAGCGCCTCACGGAACGCGACCGAGACGGATAATGGAATAACCCTCTCAACCTCATAGTGCCATATGCTGCAGACGGGGCACCTCTTGGAGAGCTTCTGCAGGGCTGAACTCAGATGCCAACACGGGAGAACGAATCGGGGAGGGGGCTTCTAAGGAATCTTTTTGGCTCTCACCAAAGGAGTGACTGGATTACCGTTTATAAATGAGGCATCTGTTCCAGTCGAGTTGTTGGGATCATCAGCGGGACCGGAAGAAGTAAGCGGAGCCAATGGGAGAGAACATGGCAATTCTCAAGCAAAGGAATGAACAGTTCAATTGTTTGCAAATTGCAAGCTAAGCGTCCGCCCAACTCTGCGATCCTGTTACTTTTGATACGTGACTACACTCTTCTATGTTGAAACTAAGCTTTTGTTCTTCTTCTTTTTATCTCAGTGGTTGGTACATGTACAGCAAAGTTGGTTCTATGGTTATGGAAGATTACATAGAAGCAGCCCTCCTAACTTACATGGAATTCAATACGGCCACATCTCTCGACCTCGATCCCCTATATCCTTGTTCCTCTAGAATGGTTTATTTAACTAATGGCTTATTTAATAAATGCCTCTCGCACCTTGACTCACTTACCTGGCCCTGAAAAATGATGCGGAACCTACTCTACTCTCCTCCTCAAAGTTTGTACAATCCGTGACACGATACTTAGTCAAACACTATTTATATCTCCATTGGATGGCGCCGTTGAATGTAGTTAACATTGAGTCCTTGAACCTCGTACTAATGTTGGACAGATTGGATATTGAAGCAGCCCTTAGAGGGGGATATCAAGAATGTTGTTCAGCAATTAAATTTTACATAGTTTCCCCCAATGAATACGTCTCAGTCGCCGCCACGTATATATGACGTCCATTTTGCCATACGTCTCCTAATGTACGACACTGATACAGGAATAGAGATATATGAATCAGGGATCTAGCCGCAATATTGTCATCATAAGCACGGGCAGCTCTGCCTCGCGGTCACGGCATTTGCTTCAAAGAGTATATGTCATCCGTGGGATTCGTAGCGAGGGACATGCAGATAGAGAATGTCGATGGCTCACGAGCATTTGCATATTCTCAAATTGTCTAGCCAAAAGAAATAAGATGTTCAAAATAAGGAGATGTTCGAAAAAGGAAAGAGCACCAGCACTTTGCCCACGTTACAGACACTTTATCTGATGAATTGCAAGGATCAAGGATCGAAGCTCATAACTCTCGACAAAGCTTGGAGTAAGGCTGATCGCGTAACACTCAGGTTAATTTCTTCTTCTCCTTTCCACATTTCTTCAGATTGTAGGGCTTTTTCCACATATTTCTATCGAACTTGCAATATGTAAATTTTACCCATTTCTCTCAAATCTTGAAAGACTGTATTAACACGGATAGACATTATCTTGAAATGGGATTTCTCGATCTACCAAACGAAATATCACAGGCTGTGATAAAGTATCTCAACTTACAAAGAGATATTAATGCTCTAATCCAAACGAGTCGTCAGTCTTACTCTCTTTTCAATTCATACCTTTATTCCTCAAACATCCGAAATCATAACGGTTCAGCTATGGTTTGGGCTGCTGAGCACGGGCAAATACAAACAGCTGAGAAGTTGATCTTGGAAGGGATTGACGTAAAATCTATGAACTGTTTTGGTTTAAGGCCTCTTAACTGTGCAGCTTACAGTGGACAAAAGGAATTTGTTGCATTTTTACTTGCAAATGGGGCTGATCCTGAACAAAAGGGCTTGTTTGGACGCACCCCACTGCATGAGGCAGCACGCAGTGGCTATGAAGAGGTGGTCCGGCTTTTCTTAGCGGAAGGGGTTGACCTGGAACCTACAGATTCAGATGGCCGAACCCCCTTGCATGCCGCGGCATGCCACGGCCACGACGCGGTGACTAGCATCTTGCTTGAGAATTGTGTTCATCTGAAATTGATGGATTCCAAGGATCTACTGGGTTACACACCATTATTGTATGCAGCAAAGGGAGGATATGAAGCAGTGGTCATGCAATTGATTGCGAAAGGAGCCCGGCTGATCTAGAATCTAAGGATCATATGGCCGCACCCCACTGCACACTGCATCTTACGACCATGACGAGGACTTGCGAATATCTGAGGATTTTGCACCACATCTTTGTCCATTATAGCTTTTTGAATTCGGGGTTACAAATGCAACTCAAACTACTGGAGAGCGGAGTTGCTCTTGCGAGAACGGCCAGATCATCGCTTGGGCAATGCTTCCCCGCCAACAGTGGTTACTACTGGATATTAGCAAACACGATACCTTGCTAGGAAAATTCATATTTTTCAGTGACTTTATGGATTCTGCTGTCTCGATTGGTCAGCAAAAACTAGCAATCTCTCATGTAGCGCGTTTACCTTCTGCTATGGTGTTTTAAAGCCCATTCAGCAAGAGAACTGAGTAACACTGGGATAGAACGCACCCCCAAATGGCCCTCGGCCCCCATTGGAAATAGATTGGGAAAAGCAGCTGTAAAATAATGATAATCTGACTTATCATCATAAAGGGACTTGTCCACGAGTGCCTTTATGTGAACATGATCGCTTTTTACGTCGGGAACGGAGAGATGCTATTCTGTTAAATATCGAATCCTAATTCTTGGACGAAGGAGGACAAGGGCAATTCCAAAAATTGATCAAAAAGCAAAAACATACAACAGTGAGGATTCGCTGGTGGTCACCCACCCAACTACTAACTCACCGGCGTGTGGCTTAAGTACGGCTGAGCGGACGGGAAGCCCTGTTTTCCACACCCTATGGTCGTATGTGGCAGAAGTAGAATTGAAAAGAACTATCTGGATAAAAGGTTAATTCAACGGTTGACTCTCATTATGGTAGAAAATATCCCTTAAGGAAGATAGAGGTTTACAGCATTAGTCCTGCAGTCGATACTTCAAATGTCCTGGAGATGTCTAGATCTAGGGGAGAGCTTTACCGGATTCTGACATGTTTTTAAGTTACATAAAGTCTGCGGAGATTCAAAGAGAACAGCGTTCGTGTTTTGATTTGCGATCACAAATTGTAACTTTAGTGCGTCGACAACAAAGAACATTTATAGATGTAATCTAGCTCAACAGTATGTGTGTTGATCTCATATCTGACAATTTTATGAAAACCGTCCGCGTATTTGGACAAAGCAAGCTGAAAGTATAGCAAGAGGAAATAAAATATCAACACATGGAAGGAGCGCGATGGAGACCAATGCCAACCCCACAATACTTAATCCTCAACTTTGCCTCTCTAGTTACCCACGTGTAAATTTGTTATGACTAACACGAAGCATGTCCCGAGGTCGGTAATTCATATGACCCACGCTCTATCGTACCGCTTCTGTTGCGACGGGGACTCACCCGGCTTGGGAAACTAAGACCACTGGTGTGCGGCTCTATAATCCTCTGCAAATCGCTTGATAGGCTGCATGGTAGTTTCCTATAGAACCGACACAAGGATGACCTCCATGCCTCTAGACTGCAGTCCAACTGACAATACACGCTCTCGGCCTGTAAATGCAAGTGCAAAGGCTAAGAATCTCCCTCTCGATGGTTATGGCAATTGCAAGGTGACTAAAGAAAACTTGACTACGCTCTTTGACACTTCACCAGCTCTCCATTCTTATCGAGGGACACGCATTGTGCGTGTGTCACACGCGCTAGTCCTCGAGGGCGGTATAGGTGCACGGCCACCTGAGGCCAACATCCTCATGATAGATCAGGAACAATCCTAATGCCTAAGGTCTACCGATCACTTCTCACTGAACCAGATGAGATATACGGTTACAAATCCATAATACTGATGGATCTCATCGATAGCCTTTCAGTTGAGCAATTCTTGGGTGATGTGGAACAAACTGAGCGTATAATTGTTGTCTCTCAAGTTGCTTCAATGATCTCTATTATACGCTCAACCATGCTATCTCAAGAGAAACAGGATCAGCCTGGCTGGGTGGGCTGTGAAGGTTGTGTAGCTCATGGGTACTGATCTACCGGTATTGGAGCCGGTCCGTTGAGGTCAAAGGAGCATATGGAAATTTGGTTCAACCGCCGACTTGACATCACCAAGAAATTCCACCAGGCGGACGATGATGTCCCGCTAATTTACTTTGACAAAATATTTCTCACTCACCTGGATATTGCGCCCCGCAATTTGATAATAGGCCCTGATAGTAAAGGTTTGATTGATTGACTGGGGTGACGCTGGAATATACTCTGATGGATTTGAGATTGCCTCACTCAAAGAACGGAGATCCGAATTTCCGGAGTATACTGATACGTTACTTGAAACAATTTCCTACATGATTTCGGAACATGAGGAACTATTTCAGCAGCTAAGGTCAATTGCATTTGCGTTGACTACTGGACAGTGGTTGGGGAGGGAAAGATTGGAATTTGGTCAAATTTAGTCTTGCAATCGAGCGTAAATTGATCTTAATCCGTAGCGTGAGATGTACATAGAAAAATTAAATGACCATGTAGTGGGAATGGCCATAATTAGGCTTAATATTCGAGGCGCATGGAAGTACATAGTTTGGCGGAGCAGTGCTTAACATGGTGGTACTCCAAATTTTACAAAAGCTTCAGAATAAAACGATAGGTTTCCATTCAAATTGAAAGCCTTTGCCAACAAAAGCAAATATAGTTGAGCACACATACGCGAAACCACGAAGACAAATCAGCCCTAGATAGTTGCTCTTCAGCTTTATCATAATTTGAAATCGGAATCGCACCTGGAAGGGGAACAACCACTAAAGCCATTATGCCAATCACCAAAGAGATTGTCCCATACCGCTTGCCATAGTCTTTCGTTTCGCATATTTGAACTACGCAAACTGGCGAGAGGCCAAGGGATCGGACCAAACTCCGAAGAGGGCAATAAAGCTCAGAGAGCAGGTTCATTACTATCGGCATTTGACCAAAGTGTGAAAGCGAGGATAGTGCAGATAGCGCCTGCACATATCATCACATTGAAGCACCCTATTCGATCGTCTGAAATCCCAGGAACAATGCGGCCGAAGATCGACGTGGCGTTAAAATTGACATTTTCTGATACGCAAGGCCCGAATCTACGCCACGGGAGAGCGCATATGAGGTGAGGTGAGATAGATAACAGGTATCATCAGTTCTGCCTCTGCCGTGACAACAGATAAAGAAGTCGCCAGGAAGATTGGCTCGCTGAGTGATCGACTATCAATCTTAACGGAAGTACGCTGATGGAACTGCTTTCCAGTCCGAAACAAAAGAATACTCAGAGAAGAAGACAGCATGCAGATGAACCGAATGATTCTGATGGCCCACGTAAACTTAATTTGAGGGCAAAGCACTCCGAAAAGGTATTTCTACATGATTCTTCCCACGCCACCCGAGGAGCATGCAATACCAGTAGCAAGTCCTCTCCGCTTGGTAAACCAGTGAGTGATACACCCGAAATATAATCCCCAAAGAACATCGAATCCCAGAATAAACTGAAAATAATCTATGCTCCAATTGTATCTCACTTTAAAGTAACCCAGAGCATAAGGAAATACCTGTGTAAACACTCATATATACCCACTGGAACGCCACCTAGGTAGAGAAGAAAGCACTACAAGCTAAAAATGTAAGAAATGGTGGATTTTGAACATTATGTCAACTCGTTTTCTGAAAGCCAGTCTTCCAGCTCTCCTTCAATATTCATCAAGGCAAATCCTGGCATCAGATCACATCAAGCCCCCAAGACAACAAACAATGCGCGCCAGCCTCCTGGATATTCTTCAATTTCAACGCTGGTGAGGATCTTTCGCTTTGACCTTTTTTCATTTTTGGGCAAACCCAATGTGTATAATTTTCATTTAAAAGGTAACTAAGCAAGTCCTAACGGCAGTCATGTTTGATTGCATCGAACAACCTCTTACCAAGGATTGATCAACCAATCTGCGTCCTCGCTCTAATTATCCCTTCTGTTTTTTTTTGGTCTTCGCTAGCCAGGAACAAAACGGAACTCCGATTGGCGCTTGCCCGATCGATCGATCGAGCGACGTGACTACCATAAGGGATCGTTCATTTCGGCCTGAGTGGAAACTCTTTCGACCATTGGCTGCACCCGGAGCAACTCTGTTCAAAATCGCATTTAATAGAATATTACGAATAAGGGGCACTTGATAGAGCGGGAAGATCGGTCAGGGGGCCTGTGAGTGTGTATTGGGGACTTGTTTTGGACCAAGACGCCGAATGCAATTGAATTCTCGTAGCCGTTGCTTCCGTCTTTAGATTATTTCTGTGGTCCAATGAACACACTTCATGTTGCCCTTGAAACACACAATCAATCACATACGACCACATAGTGTGGAAATCAGGGCTTTCCCCGGTGAGTTAGTAGTTGGGTGGGTGACCACCGGTGAATCCTCATTTTTGTATGTTTTTGTATCTTGTTGTTTTGAATTAAGAAGTAGCGTTAAAAAAACTGGTATTTCTTTTTAATCTCTAAAAACAAATTCGTCTGGAAATATGGATTAACCATACAGATCATCTTAACTCATGGAATATCCTTGATACTTGGTATCCATCCCTTGTAACCATAATCTTACTTGCTCCTGATCATTTTGTGCGGTACACATCGTCTGAATTTATGACATACTGATTCGATTTCTGTGGTCGTCAATAGAGGCAAATCGGCTAGTTGCAGAACCATGTACAAGAATGCCGTTGACAGGAGTTTTATGCACATAAGCACTAGTATGGCCCCCGGGACCACAGGTACCTAAGATCAGGTGTTTCGAATTCGCCCGGTTTACTATATGCAAAATGTGCCGAAGGACCGCTATCTTAACCTTAGCGGTATATATCCCCCAAATATACATAATTTCGCAACTAACATCGATTTTCGCGAAATTATTGCATGCTAATTCTCCATCTTGATAATGGGGACGATGGATACTCATTTGAGTTTCAACTACACTGCGTCAAGGCTAAGGCGGAGTGTTTTTTGTATTTGGAGCATAGCCTCCCTACAGCTTTCGCATGGACTCCGCAGTCCATGCATGCCAAAAAAAATGCGGCCTGCCGTCCAATGGTCTTTAACGAGGACTTGTACGGCCCCCAAACCTGATGTATACCACCGTGGTAGCGATTTGTCTATATTGTATGTGGCAGCTTCGTGATTTATTGTACGCCCCAACCTTTAAGATGCAAGGACTGCGTTCTCTAGTGGTCATTGTTATGTTGGGAACCATTCAACATGAGATCAGACGATTGTACCGAAGAGCAAGTGAGAGTGTCGCACACAGAGTCAGAGCATACTATACACCAACAGAGCCAGCTTACGGATAATCCCGAACGATTACCACAAAACCCATCAGTTGAGCCGCATCCCGAGCCGTCAAATGAGCCGCTCGTCGGACCTGACATAATAGAAGAAAATCAACGCAAAGATCGAGATGTACCGTCAATGTGGAGGTTGATTTCTCAAGTGTTCATCTGGGAGATTCTGGCTATAATTTTGTCCACTGGGCTTTTGATAACTATAGTTGTAGTTCTAATTGATTTCAGTCACCAACCTCAACCAAGCTGGAAATAAGTGTTGCTGAACTCGGTAAGTTCCTGGCTAAGCACCGTTGCTAAAGCTTGCGATTTGTTCTCTGTTAGCGAAGGACTGAGACAGCTGAAGTGGGTGTGGTTCACTCAAAAAAAGCGACCGATGTCCGACCTTCGTGTGTTCGATTTAGCCAGCCGAGGAATATATGGTAGTGCAGAATGATTTGGAACTAACGAGCCAGGTATGTTATGCCCGTTAGCGGTCTCGCTATGGAGAGAAGCTCACCAACTAGACTCTTTGCTGTTCCAGGCAGCCTAGCGGTCATATTAGCGCTCGCATTTGATCCATTTAACCAGAGTTTGGTTCACAATTATCCCAAACTGGTTGCCGATCGCGCACAAAATGCCATTCTGTCGATGAGCTCTGAATATGCGGCCACCGGGATACCGACAGGTGCCTGTAGGTGACAGTGCCCAAATACTTTCGCTTTGACTCAAACGGTGTTTCTAATAAAGCCCCTGACAGCCAACTTCATTGAACCGGAAATAAAAGCCAACGTCTATAGTGCGATATTGAGCAGCGACTCCTCAAAGCCATGGTCTATTCCGCGGTTCACCTGTAGCTCAGGAAACCGCACCTGGGATCCTATTGCCACAATAGCGATGAGCTGGGGCTAGACGAACATAACACAACATTTGAAATCCAATTGCAGCATCATTACAGACACAGATAAATCAAGCTCATACAGGGGGTTTCAAAACTGCTTCAGTCATCTTCCCGGCCGTGATGTGTACAGTGGGACTCTCGCTGTAAGTTTCATTGTGAATACGTCCTATGGGACGCAGGTCGCTTTGGGAGCAGGTGGGCCATTCTTTTACAAGAACAATCCCATAGCACCTTTTCAAATCATTGCTCCAAATTATCAAACGCAGACAAAATAGGATGCGATCGATTGCGCCCTTCATCCAGTCATACATAGTTTCCGCGCAAAGGTATTGATGGCAGCTATCGAAAAGAAATTCTAGGTACCTGGAACGATGGAATCTATTCAACGGGGTCCGTTTTGACCAGAATGTACGTCTTGCAACCTCCCTGGGGACCTGAAATGGGTATGGAGCACAACAAAACTTTCACAATATTGGGAATGGTGATGCAAACCATTGAAGAATTCTTTCTCAATCTCTTCTCCGGCTCCATGGAGCAAGATGGGCTTAGGCAAAACATTAAATCAAATACACATTCAATATACGCCAGTGGGGATGTGGTACAGGTTATCTCGTCCTCAGGTTCAAATATTACCGACTACACAGGCAAGCATGCTGAAAAACTCCGCTGTGCCGTGGAGAATCTTTCCAAAGCGATGTCCAAATCATTTCGAGACACTGCATTGTCCAAGGAGAAAAACTCGACTGTCACAGGTAGGGTAATGGTTAGCAAGACATACATTATCATACATTGGCAGTGGATTGCTCTTCCGGTTGTAGTGTGGCTGCTGGGTCTTTTCACTTTGATAGGTGTTATATGGAAGACTCGAAAATCTATCGCTCCGACATGGAAAAATGATGTGTTACCATTCCTATCCGTATACGAAAGTAGTGAAAACGAAAATACCGAAATTGATGGAAAGCTCTCGGATAAGCAGAAAGTGAGATTATATGAAAGTGAAGGCAGAATACGGCTCGGGATTTAGCATGAAAGTTTTACAAGTTTATAATGATTGTGTTTGACTTTTATCTCATTTATCCATTGTTTAAATTATAAAATGATAGATATACTAATAATAATCTGATTCTCTGCGTATGAGTCTAGGGGATGGGCATATCAATTTAGTCGTGCATGAGAGATGAAACCATCTCGCTTACTGTACATCATTACGGCAGTCGATATCAGCCAGCATCTGAGGGAGAGAAAGGGAGTCGTGGATAATTTCCTAGTGGTCGATCTTCAGCACAGCTGTGTGTCTTCTCTCGCCAGGCTCGAGAACGCGCCGGAGCAGCGACGCGTCTATGTTGAGTCAACTTGAATGACCAGATAATTGGAAGTGACTACTTGCATGCGGATTCTCTTACTAATACCGATAAGCCGGGTACTATACCGGATCCTTAACCTCTGAGAATATATACGCTCTCCTGTCGAATAAAGCGCTAGGCTTCCATCATACAGCTCACGCAGCCTTGACAGAACAAGTCCCGAAGAAGACCGCCAGCGCTGCAACCAAGCCCCACTCGGTGCGGAAATCTCAGCCTTCTATTCAGCTCTCCCGCGGCACTGAGTCTCTCACATGAATCTCGCGAATCGACCCCTGCTTCCCGTGATCAAACTCTCCCAACATTCGACCCCGCCTGCCAGCAGTCCACAAAGCAATCCAAGGGAAATCACAAGTGGTCCCTCGCCCCAACAATTTACTGTGGTCATGACTGTCGACGACGGGTAGATGGGATAAAACGGTTCCGACACGCGGTGTATCGTGCTGAGTCTTAAGGAACGCTATGTAATCATTGTCGCTACCTTCAAATTCGAATTGACGCCGGTTTCAGACATAGTCGATGGAGAGTGTAAAGAGATAGATGAATATTAGACGATAATAATCCTTTTGTGGCGCCAGCATATATAGGTAAACCCAATGGAACAAGTTTTATGCTGCGCCATTTAACTGTTAGGCGGGCCCGATAGCACCCCTGCAAAGCACCATATACTATAGGAAGGGAGCTAAATTGGGAAAACTGAATAAACTGCTACCACTACTCCAACAGATTTATATCCTCTAGTACTAAAAGCCAGCATATCTAAGAGGTAATTCACTAAATAGAGCCTGATATATAGATAGTAAAAAAGCAACCTTGGAAAGCATGACATGATTATCGACTGACGCCGAGTTTTGATTGATCAGCTTATAACATAGCTCCAATTTGTCTCAACAGGGAAATAGTGGTATCAGAAAACAGCCAACTCAAAACTGATTTACGAGAGGATCATTGCTACGCGGGCTACCTCAATACGCCGAGGCACACATTATGTTGGAACGTAGTGATTGAATCGTTGTGTACAGGCAAAGACCTACCAACAGGGCATTGACATCAACTAGCAACAAACACTATCCATTGATAGTGAAATCTAGAACGTGATTTACTGTAGGTATTTTAGGAAAGGCAAAAACCCTAGCAGTATTACCATCTCTTCAGGGAGGGTAGATAAACTACGTTGCATAGTACCGGAACCTAGATCCACTCTAGACTCAGGACGGCCACGCCGATTCCAACTTTATCAAACGAGTGGATGTAGAGATCCGGATTGTCCAACACGAACAATGAGGCAATATTGTTGAAGGAGTATGCTTCTGGATATATACTCCACACGTATTCGGAAAATTAGCGGACCGCTTGCCATCCGCATACCTATCCGAAAGTGGTAACCTTGCCGCCAGGCCCGTGAATTCTCTCTCGCCACATACCTGGCACTTCAATTTGGAAGGCAAGAATTCATGTCCATATGAGCGACCTCTCAAAACTTCTAAAGCTTCATTGGATATTACTTGGTAAATGTACACTGAATTGTAGGTAATTGAACTATGTTTAAGAGACAGGTTAATGCGGCGCTTCGCTTCTTGCATAATAAAAATACGACTAAACTCGAAACGAATTTACTCCCGGAACCTGCTGACGTTTGATGCAAAGAAGAGATCGACCCACGGACTACCGGGACCTAATTCTTGTGCCCTTCTAGATTGAATTGATTACGGTTTATTCCACCTAGGGACACAAGGGCTTCAATGCATAGCTGCTTCAAAAGAAATTGCTGCTCCGCCGGCATACTCCAATATGGACCAGCTCTCTTCGTCCACCGCGATCGAACTCCAGAATCGGCTCTCAAAAAAATCTCAAAAATCTAAGCTATACCTAGCTGAGGCCCCAAGATATACCCAGATCACTTCTAAATCCCCTTCAATTTCTCACAAATTCTTCCACCCTCGTTGAGTATCCGGTCTGTTGAGAGCGTATTATGACTCTAATTGAAGCAGTGAAGAGGACTACTGCACGGTATGTGTTTCTTCTATAAGCCCTACCCTTAGAGATTGCCCTGGACCGTAAATCATGAGAAACGATCGATTTAGCCCTAATTTAATATGAGAATTTAGCTTACACAAGTTCTCAATTAGTAGCTGGTCGGCTTTTTTATGTTTCTGCTGCTGCATTGGATGTATTCCATACTTCATGAGATCACTACAGGATGTTAATCACTATTGCGTGAGATGTGAAACCAAGTTGGCGCTATGGCACAGTAACGACCCTGTTGGTGTGTTCCAAAGATAACGCGTGTGAGGATGGATTATTTGAATTTCCTTGGGGAGTCCTGAATAAAGAACACCAATAATAGAAAAAGTATAGGTTTTTCAGAATAGTCACCTGGCCACTGTTGATGGTAATTAGTATTCTTTCATATTAGCGCTCCTTCAGACTATGGCGTAGGTCCTTACAGATTTAGTAGCTTGAATAAAAAAATTATGATGCCTGGTTTGAAGCTGGTTAGGGGAATAGACTATTTTGCATTTTCACGAACAGTCAAACCTACGGACCTAAGTCTGGATTTTCACACCGGCACAGGTGTCGTAGATTAGTTGCGGGTCAATACGTACATTTTATGGTAGTGTAGCAGCGTGAAGACTCCACAGACGGGTAATGTCTTGAAGAAATCAATATCAGACCCTGGAACGAGGCTATAGCATCAATGTGGGGCTACAATCCTCCGACTATCGAATGGGTGGACTGGCCCCTTTTAGTATCTAGGGTCTTTCTTGTATTAATGATGTCACGACGAACAGACGTAGGCACAAACCAAATAATTGAAGACACGAATACGATTAAGGGGTTATATGGGTATTTAAAGGCTCTTTGTTGCTATCTAATGGTCCATCAATTTTGGCAAGGATTGAACAGCTCAATTTTTATCGAAACAGTCTGCACCATGCGCTTTCTCCACCTCTTGCCCGTATGGCTACTAGCACACAGCGTGATAGCGGCTACTAGCCCGCAATGCAAATGTGTAAGACCGCTTGCCTTCCTGAAAGTGAAAGTGAAATGCGATTGTTGATGCAAACTTAGGCTCCGTCAGATCCCTGCTGGCCCTCGGACGCAAGCTGGTCGGCATTGAATGTGACTGTCTCGGGTCGTTTGATCAAGACAATTCCTCCTGGCTCGGTCTGCTACAGATCAGAGCCAAATTACAGTCCATCTGCTTGTGAATATCTGCTCAAGAATTGGTCTAACTCGGAGTATCACTCGTCCAATCCGGTGACGGTGTCTGATCCCTTATGGTCTAATAGTAGCTGCACTCCAATCTATCCCAATGGAACCAGTGTCTCTGGGGATCCGAATGCGGGTGCTAAGGGATGTTCTCTGGGATATCTGTCTCCCTATGTTGTGAATGCGACCACAGCGGAGCATGTGACTGCTACTTTGCAGTTTGCAAAGAAGCACAATGTGAGGCTCAACATCAAGAATACTGGACATAACCCGGAGAAGAGGTGAGTCTAATCAAAATTAATTATGAGCATACAGCTAATCTGACTTATGCCCTTCTAGCTCTGCCCGTGGAAGTTTATCGTATGTGGTATTACCTTGGGCAGATGAGATAATGCATAGCTGACCCATTTAGAATCTGGACGCACCACATGAAACAGCTCAAAATCCATCAGTCTTTCAAGCCTTCAAACTGCAGCTCCGCTAAGAGTCACCTGGCAGCAACTGTTGGCGCTGGGATTCAAGATGGTGAGCTTCTTGACCAGCTAGCCAAGCGCAATCTGACGGCTGTCACTGGAACCAACGCGGTAAGGATACAATATGCTTTTATTTGAAGGTTTCGTGCGCCCTAACAGTCTACCAGGATGTTGGTGTTGCTGGATGGGCAACTGGGGGTGGTCACGGTGTGTTGACTGGAACGTACGGTATGGGCGCTGATAATATTATCGAAGCCAGTATCGTCACCCCCAACGGCGATCTCATCACAGCCAATGAATGCCATAACAAGGACCTCTTCTGGGCCATCCGGGGTGGAGGTGGCAGCACATTTGGTGTTATTCTGAGCCTTACAGTAAACGTGTACCTTATGCCGTCGCTATCCACCGCTACAGTTTCCATAAGTGCACGTAGTGGAACATCCGGGAAGACATGGTGGAAGCTTATTGCCAGTATTCACAAGGAAATGGTCAATCTTCAAGATGCAGGAGTGATGGGCTATTACACTGCTGGTTGTCTGCCTTACAGCTTCCAGTACACGATGTTCCAGCTCAACACGACTAACACTAGCTCGATCAGCCGCATGATCGGCCCACTTACGAAACACGTCCTAAGACACAACGAGAGCGTTGAGTCTTCAATATTATCTTCATGGTTGCCTGTTTGGTATACTATTGAGAAGATTGCCCCGTCAGGCGGGGATGCCGGTATTAACCGTGGGGCCCGCGCAACCCGACTCCTTCCTCGCAAGGCAGTTGAAGATACCGATTCACTTGCAAAGACTCTTGAGATTATTGGAGAGAGAAACGAAGCCTTTGCGGTAAGCTCACTCTATGATGTGCTGTAATGTAGATGCTAAGACAGCTTTCGGCGCGATAGAATGGAGTCTCTAACCCGTCTCTTTCGGGAACCATGACCATCAGTCACAAGCCAGTCGACAATTCCATGAACCCGGCTTGGAGGAATTCTGCTGTTCACTTGATTAGCAGTGTCCAATGGAATGATCTGTTGCCTGTTTCTGCTGCCGAAAAGGCTATTGCGGGCGTGACTAATAGTTCTGGATATGCCATGCGACAGCTTGCCCCAGATTCTGGAGTGTACTACAATGAGGTACGAATTACCCTTCTCTGCATACGCCTGCAATGTATCCGCGGGATCCAATACTGACAGCCAACTAAAGGCTAATTCTTGGGAGCCCGACTGGCAGTGGGCATTCTGGGGACCAAATTATCCCCGAATCCTGTCAATCAAGCAAAAATATGACCCGGAAAACCTCTTGTGGTGCCACCACTGTGTGGGGAGTGAGTCATTTGTGCAGCAGAACAATGGTTCTCTTTGTCGTGTATTTTGAATTGTCATAAAATGCCTGTAGGCCTCACAGGGTCACATGTGCATGATAACCGAATGAGAACCATGCAAGGATAGTAAGGGGGTTCTGTCTTTGTGGGCTTATTTGTTACTAATGCAAAAGATAGGGAGACTAAGATCGAAGAGATCTACTAGGGGAACGGAATTTCATCATCACAACATAGAAGGTAAAATGTGCAATCAAGATTATAGGGTCCGATCTAAATGAGACGTGAAACAGGCCGGAGCAAAACAAATGCATCTACATTCCCCACTCAACATACGAACGGCCTACCCTAGAGCACTACACTGAAAGCCGCGAGTGAATAATTTGTACTGCAACAGCAGTGGATAGCCATGGATGTTTTCAATCACTAAATTGTCCACTTCCCGCCCCATGCAACGTCAGAAGTAACAAGAAGACAAATTCAAAATTGAACATTGCTGGAAGTATGGTCAAATACCAGTGAATTTGACATCCATTTATCTTGGGGGAATGTTCAAATGGAAAGTTATTCCCCTGCAATATTTTCATTCTTGCAAATCATTTTTACCACGCGTGGGTTCTGTTTATGATGATACATTGTACCAGCACAAGTTACCGCTATGCCACTATCGGCGCCTTTCGGTCAAATGTCATATTGCAATATATGGTAACTATATGTCAGATCTACTTCTATAGATAATATTAAAAGAATATCCATGGGCGAAAACATATTCCAATTTTATGCCGCGCATGTTCCCGCCTCCTTCCAGGAAATCAATTAAAGAGCCGACGCCCTCGACTCTGCGTCTTCTCTCTGGTCAACAAGAAAACTTGATACAGCAAACAGACCTCTGCTACATCCACTGACAAACAGCCTCCTGTACTGGAAATCCACTCCGACTCCGCCCAACTCGCCTCTTCGATTCGTTTCGCAACTCCCTCTCGCATCGAAGCCCGCAGTGAACGATAAAGGCCCTGATTCGGATATGCAACGAGTCCTATCGTTGCCGCTCCTGTTTTAAAAGTCAGGCTAGCCAAGCCTTTGGTAAGCCCCTTAGCCACTCCAAGGGCGCCCTGCTTCTTCTTCCCCTGGTATGTATGCATGAAAATATCTGTGAACCCTTCATATATGCCGTGTGCAAAGGTAGACCACCCCACGATGGCGCCGCTTCTCCAGTCCCGTACTATGTCATGCGTTCTTACCTCTTCGCCATATAATCGAGGAACTGCCTGCAATCCTTCTACTGCCGCTAGAGGTAGATCGACGAATGCGCCACGAGAGGATCGGCCTAGAAACTTTCCGAGACTAATTGCAGAGGCGAGTGCCATTCGCTTTGCGTAATCTGGCTCGTTGGGCTCAGTTTTGGGGATGATGTCAAGCGAGGAGGCTGTTATTTTTGATATCACTGGTTGAGTTGCTGGAAAACTCCCAGATATGGTTGATAAAGCGAAGACAGATGTTTCGTCACCTTGACTGAATCGGAGACGTTTGTATTCTTTGTATGGTTCAATGAAAACGCCAGCTGATGCATCAGCCATGCCTGAGATGATCGACAATGTTGCAGAAATAATGGCTGTAATCGGCTCCCATCGCTTGATAGTGATGGTAAAAGGCTTGCTCTGATATCTGTTGTTGATCAATTATTTATGATATTATAGTCGTGCTTACTGGGGACTGATTTACCGTGTAAGATGCCCATCCTGCAAATAATTCTGGCTTTTAAGAGCCAATACAGCAGCTGTAGATAATTTTATCGCTCTTCCGCGTCTTTTTATCTTCCAAACTGCTGTCTCCCCCTGAAGCAGGTCACATGCCATCTGCTGTCGTGGGAGATGTGCATGGAAGGAATCGACTGCCGCAGTGACACCTGTTTCTCGGTTAATTTTATCCGCGATAGACTGTGCCACAATAGCAGCATGTGGAGTGAGACAGTAGGCAATAGCGTCGGCCAACTTCTCTGCGGTGAGGCTATTGTAGGGAATGGGCTCTGGGCCGGCTCCTGCGGCGGCCACCATATTGCCCCAAAACGGTTGGCTGCACAATCTCAATCATTAATTAACGGAATCTTTTGAAGGCAAAGATCAATTTTATACTCACTCTCCGAAGAAAGGTATAATAGTGGTGGGTTTACCATTCCGTAGCCCACATGCAGTAGTGCCGGCGCCGCCGTGATGCACAACAGCAGCTACATGCTGGAACAGCCACTCATGCGGACAGTCTCCAATGTAATAGACGCTAGAGTTCCCTTCGCCTTGCAAATCACTCCATCCGCCAGCAATTATAGCCCGTGCTCCAGTCGTCTGGATAGCTTCTAGTACGATGGACATGGCTTCTGTGACGTCGTCGAGTACGATGCTTCCAAATCCGATATAGACTGGTGGTGTACCAGCGCGCAAAAATGCGTTAAGATCTGCTGGTGGTGTGTATGACACTGTTTCACGAAAGAAAAAGCCGCAAACATCTATAAAGTCAGTGCATTTGAAATGAAACAGAGCGGGTAGACTTGCCTATATTTGATCCCCAATCACTGGGCTTTGGAACCAGAGCGGGTGACCAACAGTATGTGAAAGGCACCTTGAGTGTTTCTAGCAAGCTTGGACCTTCTGTGGCAGGGATAGGGTCTAAATCTAGTGTATCTTTTCGCCATGCATTAATCAGATCTCCTAGTCTGGCACAAGTTAGAAATCACTCATTTGTGCTACTGGAGACGATTAATGACTAACCCTTGCCATGTCATCCATTCCACAAAATGATAGGATATTAGATTACCCAAAGACAGGTCGTTCCCGGAATACTTCAAGTTCGCAAGGGGATGGTGAAAAGCCCTGGTGCTTGTCCAGGGCATCGTAAACATGAGATGAATGGGAATCCCAAGAGCTTGGGCACAATGTATGTGGGCAAAACTCGGTGGGTTTGCAATAATCGCATCCGCCACAAAGGGTTTTTTATCATTAGCATCTGGTTCTAAACATGATCGCCAGCAGCCGTGTAAGATCTCCACAATCGTGGCACGTTTCTTTTGAATATCTCCTACCCGGAGGCTCTTCATGCTTGGTATCAGGCCAGGATTGCGCACCATGTATGCCATCAGTTCAACAGGATCACCACCGATAGGATAGAACTCCAGACCGGCCTCTTTAACAAATTTCTCAAACGTGGCATGTGTCGCTAGCCGCACGCGATGGCCATGTTTCTGTAAAGCTGTGCCAATAGCCACAAAAGGCTGGACATCGCCACGACTACCAACCACCTGAATAACAATGTTGAGACGAAGTCCAAAAGTTGAATAAGGTGGAGATGGGGTTGAGTCTCCCTCGGCCTGTGGCACCTCGGCGGGTTGGTGACCCATCAGCCATTCTAGATTCTGGCTGAACCTAGACTCGACACACACGTTCACGCGGCCATCGCAAGCCAGTGATATATCCGGGAATGGCACATCAGAGCGTGGCACATCAGGGCGTGGGGGCACAGCAGACGAACTTGCCCCGTCGTGCTCGCTGAGCCAGCTGCTTACACCATTTATGACCTCGTATGGTGGAGGCTGTTCCATATAGTCATCAGCAACAGAAGAAATTGTGTCGGTCATTATTATGGTATCGCTGCCTCCAGATACTCCGACAATGGCTTGCTGTGCTTCGCGATCGAATGTGCTCTAGTCTCGAAGAGATAAAGGTCTTTAAGAAAGGACTAAAGCAATAGTGGAGATGGTTACATATAAGATCAACTTCCGTCGCCTAAAAAAAGGCTATTCGGTCTCTAAACCAATAAACTTGGGCCTTTTTGATCCTAGTTTCAGCAAAAGAGCGACAGCAAGATTGGAACCACGCAAAGTTTATATTTGGAAATTGGCGTTTCCCGAATTGTTGGATTGGCCCCACTGTGCCAGTTACGAATACGGGGAAAATACCTGAAATGGCTATGTACCCGACTAAGTGAAGAGTAAGGTCTTTATTTTAGTTTCTCCAAAGTTACGCCGCGTACTTCGCTGTGTTCGATATTTTCGAACATTCATTTGCCTTTTTAAGACACCAGAGCCCCGAGGTCGAGCTGGATGGTTACTAAAACTCCTTTCGTCCGCTTTTACGAGGATTCGCATGCTTACCACGGGAGGCCTTTTTTTCATTCGTCAAAATAGCTGAATTCACACACCAAATGATCGACCAGTACTGGCATAAGAGCGGAGTTTGCGGCCTCTTCACCCGCGCTGCCCTCCGTACTCTGCAATTCGTTCTCGCCGTGACGGTTGCCGGCCTCTACGGTGTTGATCTGGCCCGCGCAACCAAGACTAAGCAACACGCTAATTCAGAATGGGTGTATGCTGAGTTTGTTGTCGCGCTCTCAGCAATAACGTGTATTGTACACTGCTTCGTGACAGTGACGCATGTCGCGTGGTCGGCTTGGGACGGAGTCTTGTTTGTGCTCTGGCTGGCCCAGGTCGGTGTCTTTGGGACCATATATTCCCCCAATGTGAAAGGAGAATACCAACATGCGGCAAACTCGACTGCCCGTATGCATGCCGCTATCTGGATTGATTTGATCAACATGTTGCTTTGGTTTACGACAACGGTACTCGGTATCGCGTGGTGTATCCGGACTCGCAAAGTCACCCGGCGAACGGATCAACTTGATCCCAATCAAATACAGCTTAGAGAGAGCAGCGAGCAGAATCATAGCAGCAATGAGGAGGGTAGCTTGCAATCCCATGAAGACAGGAGCTTGAAGGCGCTTGCTATGGAGAAGCCTTACGAAAAGAGCGCCAAAGAAAGCATGAGTCAAACGTCCGCGGTAGAATCGGACAAGAAGGCCGAAGTCAGTCAGCCTGTCCAATACTGAATTGCGGAATATCCTTTTCTTGATCATTGAATCACTGGTCACAAGCGCATTGGGTATCATGCTCATCGTTTCCATTATATCCGTCCCTTTTCTTCTTGTTCTCGAAGATCCGGCAGTTTACAAACAATGCCAATATATAGATACTTCGCTCTCAATAATAGGGTCTCAGGTGGTCATATAATTCTATAATTGACTTTTCGTTATGACTACTTGTCCTGTTGTACGAGATACCTAGGTATTAGAGTTCTGAAAATCTATTTGATTCCGAAGTTGTTACTACAATTTGGCCACCACTGACTAGAATTGGTGAGAACTTTCATGCTATAATCTCCATACTTATAATTGGCACAAGTTCCACGTTTCCATAAGGGCTTTTTCGGTCATATATGGCCAGAAGACGCTTCCAGCTTCAGCCATAAAGGAGTGACATCATCATCCTTAACGTTACGGAAGATACCCCGAATATACCTCTAAATTGTAGTTGGGACCACAACGAGTGACTCGTTGCGTGCAGGGAAGATCTACCAGCAGGGAATTGAAATAAAATAGGTGCAAATACTGCACGCTCACAGTGACACGTAGCGTGAATCAAGAGCCTCCGAATATGTTTCTCCCAGGGATTGTCCACATTTGTAAACCGTTATCATACCCAAATTGTATTTATGACGTGTATAAGGAAATATTAAGACATATTTAGGATACATCTATGAGATCCTTTCTGTGCGAGTAAAAGCTTTTAACTCTGCCATCTTATTAGACTTTCTTGCCGCTCTCTCTAAAGTTGAAGCTATGGGTGGCCCCGATCCTAACAGAAAAAATCCCCGGTCAAATTCGTGAGGAGATTTAAGACATTGGAAGTCAAAGTTCATGGGCTTGTCAAATTGCATGCCAATGTGTACCTATTTGTCAATCATCAACGAGGATATTTTGTCTACAGCTCAGTTGATGATAGATCATGGCCTCCGAATGATGAAAAGACGGTCAGTAAGAGAATGCTAGAAAAGGCACCATGAGGCTAAGTCTCTAGCAGGAACAGCAGTATTAATTAGCATACTCCAAACAAATGAGATTTTTAAGAAGAAATTTAAAAAAAAAAAGAAAAACATACAACAGCAAGTCTAAGGTGGTGGTCACCTAGCGCTCACGGTTCGGGCGTGGGCGGCTCGCCGCTCTATTCAGTGTACTCAGGGCGGATATTCACCCACCTGAATATTCCTCACCCGAATATTCAGCCCGTACAGCAAAAGGTACATTTTCATCATGACCAGAAAAGCTACAAGTACCCTTCTTTTCCCCTCCGTTTTCATTTCTCCAGCCTTGCTTTATCAACCCAGCCTCGCTTTGTCACGAGCAAAATGCGTACCAAGCATGACCCAACATTGAAATATATGGCCAATGTTGTAGATTTCGGGGAGCATAGTAACAATGAGATCCAGCGGGCAGTGCTGCCACGCACAGAATCTGGTTACAGTGACACGTTACTCATCTTTGACGAGTAAGTCTCAGCCCAGGAGCAGAGAAGCAAATTGCTGAATTGTGCCTCTATCCGTAGTTTTGTCAAATTACATCCACAGGCCGTTATTCCACCGGACATCAGAACTTGCAGGGCTTTTCTCGAGTGGGTTGCAAGAGGAATGAACGGTCGGATCGAAGAACGGCCTACAGTCGAGACGATTCAAGGGTTTTTTAGGAAATTTGCCACTGGTATGAAGAGAAAAAGAAACTTTGAATTCCCACCAGCCACAAGGACTACAATTAATGAAGTTTGTACTAGCATCTTTTAAAGAAGTCAGGGCTAATACTAGATAGTATATCGTGGGAGAATTAAGAATCAAGGTCCCTCTCTCAACTGAGCAAATGAACAAAGATGGCGGTGTATCCCCAAATGATTTGATCATCTTGATGACTCAATTATGGTGTCGAGACCACCATGAGTATCGTGGGAACCCTGCCGATCGGGCCAGAGTCCAGCTAAGTGCTGCGATGCTCCTATATTGCTTTACCTCTGCGCGCACAGGGGAGGTTCATGAATCAACCGCTCGGAGACACGGAGCCCGGGAGATCGGGGAGGAGAGCGAGGATGTTGACTTGGAAGCCCGCGTGATGGCTGCCTGTTATAAGGTATGTCCAAATAAGGAGAAAGAAGCCTATGCTTGAAGCTGACTGCATCAGCATTTCGAACTCACAATCGAGGTTGTGGAAAATATGATCATGCTTGTTCTCACCTACGAGCGCGAATTTGTGAAAGGATATTGGCGAAAGACAAAATGGGAGATCCCTAAGCACGCATTCTACGATGTATACGCCGAGGAAGTGCCTATATTTCTAAACCTTTTGACATTCTTTTTACCAATGGCAACCGCAGACAAAGCTTTCAGAGATTACGGTTCAGTGAGCGAGATCCTAGATGCTGTCGGAATGCATGAGAAAGCCGGTCCTTCGGAGGATAAGATCCTTGAGGTGATTCATGTCCGGCAAGAAATGCGCGATCTACCGGTTTTTCGCCAATATCTTGAGCATAATGTCGAGAATTTCAAAGGCCATGCTAGAGGAGCGGATTCCTTCGGTAAGGCCTTGGTTAATCTAGGCCATAGAAGTGGCTACACGCTGAATATCACTGTTCGGGCGTGTCGAAGATGGGCCTTACAGCAAGCAGGTACGGGTTTATTTCGAGTATAGGCTCACAGGATAGCTGATGATAAACTAGACAAGACATATTCCGAATCTGTAAGAATGAAGTTCGCTGGGCAGACCAATCGGAACACGTATGGAAAGTCATACGCGCATCCTCTCAGTGAGGTTGATGGACCAGCAAACTATCTCGGAATTGCCAGCCGACAAGAACACATCCAGAATCGTCGGGGAATGGGTCTTTACCGCAACTCCTCTTTATCGCAGCTCCTTCCTGCAAAAGCTGAGTATGAATTTCTGGCCAGAGAAGATGTTTATGCTCTTGACCAAATCATGGCAAAGTTGAGTTTGATGCTCTCAGACTCTTCGCCGGAAGAAAAACACAAAATCCAACTCAAACAAAAGAGGGTCTATAATGAGAAACGGAGCCTCTATAATGAAGAGCTTCGAAAGGTCCAGGCGCAATCAGGGAGGCAATATGGAAGTATTTACACTGAAACCATGTTCCACTACCGGAGAAAGGTAATGCCTTATAGAGACTTCTTGGCTAGCACGTTGCCTTGTAAGCTCAGCCTCCGGAGTATAGATGGAAGAAGAACTTTGTAGGCATTAGAGTCTCTCTGCAGTGAGACAGACACCATTTCATACCGCGATAGCCTTAGCCCTCTAGGCCAGGTCTGTCTCTGTGGAAGGTCTATCGAAGAGTATGTCGAGCTTTGATGGGAAGATATGATTTTTCTATCACTAACTTAATACAGATTCAAGGATCACCGAAAATGGTTACATCTCTACCGTTGCTACTCAAGGAATTACAAGTCCACCCACGGATTTGCGCAAATGTGCTTTGAATGCGACGTATGGGTTACCAATGAATCAGAATGGGAGAGTCATTGCCAGGAGCATCTTGATAATCCAGGCGATTTGCTTCGTTGTGATCCCATGATCTTTCGGAACGCACCGATAAAGCCAGGGCTATGTCCGTTTTGCCTAGGTGCCAAGAGAGAGAAACCGTTAAAGAGGATGTTTCAATTCATCCTTTCACTACCACAATGGCACTCCCACATTGAAAATCATTTGAAAGGACTCAAATTTGATTTCAACTGCAAGCATCCAGCCTGCTCCACAAGCTTTAGAAGCCTGGAGGAGCTTACCTACCATCTCGTGGACACACATTGTTGGCGCCCTAGGCGGCAATCGCCTAAGAAACGAAAGTGGACTGAGTAAATTTTGATCCACGCGACTTTTCTCTATGCTTCGGCCTACCTGATTAAATGTTAATTTGGCTTAGCGATATAAAATTTACATATCAGAGGTGATTGATTCCCACCAATATAGATATAGCAATCCTCCTCTTTTCCCTCAATCTCCTCTTTTCCCTTAATCTCCTCTTCTCCCTCAACCTCCTTTTCTCCCTCAACCTCCTTTTCTCCCTCAACCTCCTTTTCTCCCTCAACCTCCTTTTCTCACTCAACCTCATTTTCTCTTCTTTTACTCCCAGCTTGCTCCAGTTCGTTCGACTTCGGTTAGATTGATGATTTATATCAATCCCGGTGAGTAGAGCCAGTTGCAGCTAGACGGAGGCGTGCTCTGTAGGATGCTCAATGAAACAGCACACCATGAATTGTCAATTCACCCCCAATGTTACGTGCATTGCCATACTTGCCACCCTGGGCGTCCACGTCGGCACCTTGATTTAGCAGTAGTTGGATCAGCTCTTTGTGGCCCGAACATGATGCTGCCTGAAGTGCATTGCCATATGCTCCACCCTGGGCGTTCACTTCGGCACCTTGATGTAACAGTAGTTGGACCACCTCTTTATGACCCGAAAATGATGCTGCCTGAAGTGCATTGCCATATGCTCCACCCTGGGCGTTCACTTCGGCACCTTGATCCAGCAGCAGTTGGACCACCTCTTTGTGACCTTCGCCTGATGCTGCCTGAAGTGCATTGCCGTAGAATCCACCCTGGGCGTTCACTTCGGCGCCTTGATCCAGCAGCAGCTGTACCACCTCTTTGTGGCCTGAACCTGATGCTGCCTGAAGTGCATTGCCATAGAATCCACCCTCGGCATTGACTGAGTTACATAGACCAGAAGACCTGTCATCACTCGCTAGGATACTCCTTAGTATGTCATCTAGTCCCAGAAAAGATGCATAGTATAAAGGTGATCCTGTGTCCTCAACGCCAATCTTAAAATTTATCATTGTTCTCCATGGACGGTCAACCTCGCATAACCTGACCCAGGTAAGGAAAGAATTCGCCTCGTTCTGGAAGATCCTCAACAAAAGTTCTCCGGCCTTTACCTTTCCCTCTTGGGATGCCTGATAGTAGTGATACCAATGCATAGCAGCGAAGTGAGCAAGTGGGAAGTCTCGAAGCTTCACCTCATCCAAGATACCCTCCGATAGGGCTGGGTTTAACAGATAAGCTAGGCAGATTTGTGCTACTTCTGCATTAGCAGATGCTCTTTCAATAGCAAACTTTGCTGCTTTCTGTTGACGAATGTGATCTGACTGAAGGTACTCTTGAACGGAGAAGTGGGCGATGCGAGCGATTGAGATCGATTTCCCATCACCATCATCTACTTCCACGATCTCTATAAGTCCAACACAAATTTCAACAATATCATCTTGCTCATAAGAACGGCCTTCACGGTCGAGATACGGGACTTCCCCAAGTTCTACCGCATGAGCGTCGATCAACTCACTAGCAGTAAGGGGTCGGGTGGCTAAGCTGAGCACGGTCAACACATGCCGTACATCATCAACATATGTTTCGTCAATGCCGCAAAGTATGCGTTCATAGGTTTCATCTAGATCGCGAGGCAAGGAGCGTAGACATTCGTCAAGTTGGTTTCGATTTCGTGCCCGTCGAAAAGAGTTAAGCTGGCATTCCACATATCGAAACCTATATACTTTCTATTAGGATATTAGAATGGGACTAGGATACGCATTCGAGAATCGGGCAAAGTGTTCATTTTCTCGGCGGACGCATCGGGGTTTTGGTCATTTCTGGGCTCTCAACTAGTATGTGCTCAAAAGTCTCCGTGGCTTCAAGTATCAGGCGTGATAACTTCCCTAGGCCTCTTTACTATCCAACACCAGTTCAAAGAAGCAAAGAGAACCTCCTAAGTGGCCAATGTTTATAATGATATAAGAAGCTCGATTTAGGGACCAGATGTGGTCTGAAGCGGCCGCCAACAAATTGATGCAAAGAAAAGGGGGTTCCCTCTCTAATTTAATTAATGGTTAATTACCACCTCTTATTCAAATTATATAATATAGAACTTCAGCTTTGAGCATCAAAACCTTAACGATTGACGCCTATCGAGGGCGCGATACCGTCATTGTGGCGCATTCTAAAATAAGTAATGCCGAAATTAGTCTCTCCTTTTTACATATGAGGCCCTTGACTTACAGGGCAGACAGTTGAGCTCCCAGAAGCACTCGGTCTTCTGGTAACGGAAGTATGGTTACTGGAAACTGTCAATCATCGCTCCTAGAATCATACTCACGGCCTCTGGGAGCTAAATGTCCTCCAGGAACTGTACTTGTTCCCCTGGGAGTGAGACAGTTCGTTCCTGGGCTCTCTACCTTGGATCCTGGAGCCACACCCGTCCATTCACGGGGCCCTATGGTTCTCTGGGAACTGTGATTACGCTTCCGAATGCACAAGGGTCGTGCGGGGGAACTCTACAGGGGCAAGATGATCCAAGAACCACTTCAGGATGACCCGTAGACTACTGAAAGGTGGGCAAGGGCTATATCGTATCAGCTAAGTGCCCAGCTCTTTCCCTAGATAGAAAAAAAGAGATTGGCGTCATATGGTAATCATGAGTGGTATCAGTTTCCACACCTACCAGAGGGTCTTGAGAAGGGAATATAGCTTGACGGGGGTATGGACAATGAGCGATAGCGGAATTAAGTTCTCTAACCGTGTTATTAACCTGCCGAGCTGACGAGTATCGAGCTTATGATAGATATCGCGTGGTAATGCTCTAAAGGTTTTCAACATGTACTTGCCCTAGTCAGTCTCCATAACCCCCTTTATTTTCCTATTCTGCATAACGCGTATTTTGTGACTAGTCTAACTAATTCAGTAGGCAACGAGGCTTCCAACTATACTTGACAGCGGAACCGTGGTCTTTCCTATGACAGAGATAATCAAAGGACCCTCGGGTTCACGAGAAGATCGGATTTACAGAAATCGTGGTTTTTCTTATGATACGTATAGTCGGATGATCGTTTGGTTCGTAGGAGCTTAAAGCGCGCGTGAAACCGTGGTGTTCCCTGGGATCTACCTAGTCTAACGATGTCTAGGCTCCCCCGAAGGTTCTTAGACTAAAAGAAAATCCGTGGTTTTTCATATGATAGAGACGGTCAGAAGGCCCCTGCCTTCGCAAGAAAACAATAGTTCGCGAAGAGCGTGGCTTTTCCTACGATGAAGAGAATCGAATGTTCTTTGAGTTCATGAGATACTATGGGCGCTTACCCCTTGTGGTACAAGTGATAAGTAGAATTCTTCGATGGCCCGTGGGCCAGAAGGTGAGCCGAAGGTGAGAATGGATGCGTATTTCGCGAGGGTGGCACCGAGATTGATGTGATTCTCATTACGAACTGACCTTTAAGAAGATGAATTCGTCTCTCTAGGGGATCGACGACGGAGCTGTTTCACTCACAAACTGCTGCCCAGTGCTGATTCAGATCGGTAATGGTTCATCATTATTGAAACCGCGAAGGTCTGAGAGGCTATGACTGCACAAGCAGGATCCATATTGGGGGCCATCCAGCTGGGCCACTGATTCCAGCTGGTCAGTAACCGGACCCAGTCTATGTAACTAGACTAGTTTAATAGGATCGCTCAATGGTGTGGGTCCCCGGAAGCTTTCCCTACTTCCGCTGCACATAACGGCTACAATCGGCTGCTCCTATTCAAGCCTGTGATGTTTGAGGCATTTGATCTCATGTATGGTGCGAGCGGATTTATCAGGCAAGCGGGGAAGCCTGTCACCTGAAGCGGTCCAAGGGTCATACGATTAAACCCCTCTACCCCGCTCACTACTTAGATTCTCCGTTCTTGTTCAATCAAATCACCATAAAACTTGGCGCGTATCTCGATTACAGTCATGGGCAGTACGAATGCACTCTTTGCGAAAGGCACTTTGGCAATGAAGCTGCTCTTTACGATCATTGCAGACAAACAAGTCGCCATGCGTGATGTGAACGATGCTCCCGAGTGTTTCTTTCGGGTTCCGCAAAGGATGCACATCTTCGAGAATCTAATGTCCATCATATCTGTTCGAGCTGTCCTCAGTTAATGGACTTCGAGACTGACAATGATCTTGAAGATCACCTAGTCGAGTGTCATCATTACTGTCCGAACTGTGACATCTGCTGTGATTCAAAAAAGCAACTTGAAGAGCATGATGTTGAAAAGCATTGCCTTTGTTTGAGGTGTGGTGAATTTTTCCGAAACAAGAACAGTTTACAAATGGTACAGTAACAGTGATACCAATGGAACAATGAATGACATTTGCAGCCGATACCTGACCAGCTAACAGCACCAGCAAAAGCGCTATCCTCGAAACATGGAATGCTACGGCTGCTACCAGACATTCAAAACATTCTCTGGGATGATGATACACCTGGAATCTGGGAACTGCGAGTCGGAGGTGACCGAGGATGAAATTGATGATATTGCTCACGACTGTTTCCAAAGCCGGAAGTATATTGATGACGATATTGAAGATGGAGGATGGACTTACGTATGTCCAAGTTGTACCAAGGATTTTTCCAAGCTTTCGGCGCTTTACCAACATGCAGAAGACGCCGGTCTCTGCTCTCATTCAATGAAGGGACAAGGTTGTCTGGCGAAATTGGAACGTTTCATTGCTAGTCGTCTTCGGTAGTCCCAAAGGATGTTCATTATATTCTGGACTGTGGGCAGTCACTGACATCAACATATGCCCAGCATTTGTACCTACGGTCTAGCAACCTCATTAACTAGAACAGGATGGAGGTTCCTTTATTGAGCTTTTTAACATGAGTGCCGCCCTTAGGGCTCAACGTTTGTGAATATACCTCTTAGGAGAGTTTGCAATTCAAAAATCGTTTCTTGGTTGCATCCATACTGCATTTGGGAATGAGGAGCCATGAGCATTGCACCAAGGACCCGAATCTAGACTAGTGCGGAGTACGAAGCTTAATTGCAGTGATCAAAAACAAGGTCGCGTTATTAATTGCCAACCACGAACTAAGCTGCTTAAAGAACCTGGGATAGCGAGGCGAGCTAATAATATCCTATCAGAGATAATCGAAAGAGTTAGTACACGCACGGTGAGTGTGATTGTCACCACCTGACTGACAAACTGACCGATAGCTATTCAGGAGGAGAATCCCTTTCTTGGCCTGCTCCCTTAGAGTGCCCGCAATTTGGGATAATCTTTACAAGCTCGTCTCAAATACGCAGCCTAGCGTCTGCCACCGACGAACTCGTTTCGTGAGATCCATGGCAGTGATCTTCAGCTAGCCAATTGATAAATACGTCAGCAATGCGCAACAGTTTTTTCAGTCAACTTACTGCCGGCCAACCATTGGCCCGTTTCTCCGACACTTATTTGGGGCTGCGACTGTTCCTGATCTGCAACACTGTTTCTGGACCTCACAGGTTACTTCTTGCGCTGGCGCAGCAATACCGAAAACCCTCAATTACTGGGTGAACTTAAAAGTGTCGCAGACCTGTTGGCCTTTTCAGGGGGTGGCAATCCCCGAACGCAATGACCATCCGTGGATCTACAAGCCAGAACATCAATTATGCACGGCACGGGACATACATTGCTAAAAGAACACCGGGAGATCCAAAGAACCTGCTAACTTTAGTCAGGTCGCGTTCAAACCCTCTCGTTAGCCAGATCGAATTAGCTATCTTTTTTGTCTAGCGGGATTAACCTAGCCATTCGCGAGTTCAAAAACCGAGGTCTTCGAAAATTAAAAAGATCATTCCCACCTTTGTACAGTTTAAACGCAAACATTGACCATTTAATTATGTATTGGGTTCCTTGGCGCAATGGCGCATTTCGCCTAGCTTCACGTGACATACCGCTTTCCTAAAATCGTTTAGCTCCACGATGGTGCTATGAAATGCCTACATGGAATCCTTTGCCATGTAGTAGCTCCTAAGTAGACCGCTTTCTTACATAGCTAGTCCTACATAGTCTACTTTGCTACATAGAAATGCCTAGGATTCCTTCATTGGCAAAGGTATAAAAATGGGTATTGCTCGACGGTTCGTACAAGACATTCAGCGCTAGGTCGAAAGGTTTTGTAACCATAAGCTTTCAAACGTTGGGCCTGTTATTTACCGGAATTTAAAATACCATTGTTACCGAAGAGCGGGGCAATCGACAACCTCAAAAGAGACTGTTGACCACCCACCCACCCAAGGCCGATCCTCTTTCAACATGGCATCTATCTCGTCATTCGGTGATTTAAATTCGGGGTTGCAGGCTCGTCGGATTTGTTTCCAACCTGCAAGCCAAAATGGCGACCCACAAAGCCGCCAAATTCGGACGACCCATGCAAGAGGGCTGTCTATTCCAAGCAGAATATGATCATGTCGTATCTGATACGTGTGTGGGTTGTGATCGAAGTAATCTCGCTCCAAACCTCCACGAGAGCACAAACTTGACCAGAAATGATATGATACATAGCAGCGCTGGACCTAATAAGCGTATCGGAAATTTTTGTTTTCGATATCTGTTAAGTCTGCCAAGCGTAGTTCTTCTTCCCTTTGTTCCACCGGAACGGACGTGCGATCTCGCTTGTTGTTCTCAAAAATTAGCAAATAGCGAAGAACGAGGATGGTCACAGTGGATATCGCAAAGCATATTATTATGGCGAGGAAGCCAGACTGTTCAGTTTTAGCCTAGGTCAATGACGAGCTTTAGAGAGATTGGGGTAATTACCTTGTAGCGAGGGGCCTCCCGGGCGAAGAACAGCTGAGGACCGATAATATTTCCAGCGCAATAACACGTGAACAAACCTGTGATCACGGTGGCTCGTTTTGTGAAGCCTCCTATGTTAGAGCTGACCAGAGCCATTGAGAGAGGCATGCCACTGGAGAAGACTTGCATAAGGCAAAGTCCAGCGTATTTCGCTCCAATGGTGTCGCAAGTATAGATAACAACGGCGCCAGTAATGCTAGAGCGCCGCGAAAACTCAAAATTAGTCATCTCTAGGGTATATGTAGTCAACTCAGGAGGACGGTCACAAACCTGATAACATTGACCGCTGCAATTATCAGACACCTGGCATTCGGCAGCTTTGAAGATAGGTATGTTCTGAATAAATTCAGTAAATCAGATTTACGAATCACAATATGTATGGAAGGGTACTCACGTCGAAAGAACAAACAAAAAAATGACTATTCCCATTGGAATTCCCATCAAGAAAGTGTTTAGAACCGAAAAGCCAAATCCTTCAAGAATCAATGAAGAGAACTGAAAATAGTATCAGCAGAGGATTTATACCGTACATTTATCCACGGAGTTCTCACTCACAGCTAAACTTCCCCCATTGGGGATATTTGTGGTGAGAGAATAGACAGCAACAAGCCAAGTCTTATAATCGAGAAGAGCCTCTTTTATCTGAGAAAGCTCTAGTTTATTGCTCTTGAAACCTGCTTGATTGGCCTTCAATCGGTGCATGGCGATCTTCTTCTCCTTTTCACTGATGAATTTGGCATTTTGCGGACTATCAGGCAAGCGCCATAATAGGACGAGCCCCCACACAAATGTCAAAATGCCAAAAATAATGAAGAGCCACTAAATCAATCAGCAATGAACTAGGGCGCGTGATCTTTATAGAAGGTGCAAAGGCGGGAACAACACGAACCTTCCAGGAAGCCAGACTATCATGGATATGATAGATTCCATATCCGATTAGTCCACTGAAGACCGATGAGAGTGAGTTTCCGCAGAACCAAAGACCGTGCCTCCATGGCTGCTCTGAGGTTCGATACCAGAGTGATGTGATCAGACTGAATCCGGGCGAGATGCTCGCCTCGGCAATACCGAGGAAGAACCGTGCAACCATCAGTGTCGCAAAGTTCTTGCTCGCAGCATGGCACGCAAGTATAATGGCCCAAATCAAACTGTGATCAAATAATAAATCAGCGCCAGTTAGATTTTCAATGATTTGGTAGACTGGGAACCTACAACATGATTGATAGGGACTTTCCCAGCGGAAACTTGATTAAGATCAACGAAACCGGGTATGTTGCAAAAAGATAGCCAAAATAGAAGCAGCTCGAAGCCCAGCTATACTGAGAGCCATGCAATTTGAGGTCTGTTATTATGCCCATAATTGTAGATGAGCTCAATGTCTGTTTATCGAGAAATTGGAGCATGTATGCAACGAGCATCAAAGGAAGGATTCTGGCTTTCTCGAATTATGTTAGATTTTTCGCCTATGAATAGAGCTCATTGCACCATGTGGAAGTTATTACTTGCCTGAAATCAATCTTTCTCACAAGCCTCCGCTCCTCCGCAGGATCAAGAACTTCCCAGACTTCTCCCAAGTCGGAATCATTGTTGTTCTTCTCTGGGGCTTCTGAAATATTCGGTGTCTTCAACATATCGGCCATGGGTACGAAAATTTCCACAAAAGGGAACTTTATGATAAATGATCGTGAGGACTCGCTCCCTCTTTTAGATACTCTCACAAATAGGATTTTTAATGAGAATCGAAGTGTGGCGTTTCGCCTATCATGAGTAAAGTAATACCGATTTCCCTATCTTCTTCTCCCTCCTTATATTCTCTTATCATAAGGAAGTCCTATGGCTGCAGCCGTGCTATAAATGTGAGCTCTGTGAAAGCTCGACACGATTGGTTGATTTGGAACTCGAAAGAAGGCGCTAGAATATCTGGCCCAGGCCATGATAGACTAAAAAAGTCAACTTAAAATCCTATCTATCCAACAACTGATTAGATATGAAGTGAAATTCAGAAACACCATGTTGTTCTGAGCAACGCGAGGCGAGGACCAACCGTGCCTCGGAGATTTTGAGATAGATACAAGGAATGCTCTGGTCGATCATTGATAGGAAAATTCAGATTGTTTTTCCCGCGGAAAACATGACCATGAGAGCTCATTCGTGTATAGATTTATAATATCAACTTTAATCATGTCAAGGGCATGAGCGTGCTCTGATACTGTGAGTTCTAATACTAGCTGAGGCAGTCGATTGGTTCTCGGTTAGAAGTCTTGAGTTCATCCAATCAAAGTTTGCGGTCGGCAGTAAAGATGTCCAATCAGATGAAGGGTCACGTTTTAGTGCCAGTGATATTATCGTTGTTCTAGCCGCTTTTGACTTAGGTTTCAAATAGCAGGATTAATTTTATGCTACCACCGATTATGCTTATGCTACCACGCAGCCGATTATGCCTCAAAAGAAAGGATATAAGAAGCAGTGGCCATCTTGCGTCAATCAAAATCTAAACAACAGGCGGATCAAACGCAGGCGCAAAACAGGCACGAAAACAAAACCAAAATGGGCAATATTTCTCAGAGCCCACTTTCTGCACAGGAAGTTCAGGTAGAGGTAGATGCTGCTATCGAAGCAGTCGAAAAGCATCTTCAAGTACTGAACAGAACTGTATGATCTCTCATTTCCTGCTGGGTGGACTTGTTGACAAATTAAATGCTGACAATTAGCGATCAGATCTGGTCGAACCCTGAGCTTGGTCAAAAAGAAGTTCTTGCGCATGACTCTATATGTCTGTTCTTCGAGTATCTCGGTTATGATGTAAAGCGTCATGCGTATGGAATAGAAACTGCCTTTGAGGTTCTGAGTGGCTCTGGTGGGAGACTTATCAACTACAACGCCGAGTACGACTGTCTCCCTAGGATCGGGCACGCATGTGGCCACAACCTCATAGCCACAAGCTCTATTGCAGCCTTCCATGCCCTTTCTACCGTCTTGAAGAAATTCAACATCCCAGGTCGGACCCAGCTCCTCGGCACCCCGGATGAAGAAGGAAAAGGTGGCAAGATTATGCTTCTGGATGGTGGAGCGTACAAGGGAGTAGATGTTTCTTTGATGGCGTATGTATTCACTATTTCCTTTTTTCACGCCTCGTCCAACCTGCTGACGCGCTGAATGTCTGCTCAGTCATCCCAGCCCTCTTTATGCAGAGCACAAGGCTGCCGGAATCGAAGGAGTGGCAGGTTGTAGAATGATCGCACGCCAGTATATCGAGGTCGAGTTCCGAGGGAAAAATACGCACGCAGGAGGAACTCCATGGATGGGAATTAATGCACTCGATGCAGCAGTTGCAGCATATAACAACATCTCCCTTTTGCGGCAGCAAATTCTTCCTGATGAACGCATACATGCGGTCTTTCTAGATGGCGAGAATACTATCAACGTGATCCCAGCTCAGGCGCGGGTGGCACTTCAGGCCCGCAGTCTGAATCTCAATGGGCTACAGGCACTAGTGGAGCGGGTCATTAACTGCGCGAAGGCTGCAGCAACGGCAACGGGGTGTGAGGTTGATATTCAGAAGTATGCTTACCTTTCATGGCTGACAGACTTGAAACTTACAGGCGCTGATGAACTGAAAACAGAGAACCATACTATGCAGATGTCACAGTGAATGAGACACTGTGTGAGAGATATCAGGAAAATATCGCGGCGTATGGGAAGGGTGTGCTCAAAATTCGGGATCAGGTTGCTTCCGGCTCATCCGACGTCGGTATGTTACTCCAATATACCTCGTAAGCCATGATGCTAATTATGGGAAGGAAATGTCGGCTACGTCGTTCCGGCATTGCATGCTCTGTTTGGAATTCCATGTGCGAAAGGAGTATCACCTCATAGTTCCAACTTCACTGATGCAGCAGGAACTGACGCAGCTTATGAAAGTGCAATCATTACTGGCAAGGCATTGGCGCTAGTAGGATTTGATGTCGCCACGAAAGATGAAATGTTCCAGGCAGTGTACTCAAACTGGCAAAAGGAGATGACCAGAACTTAAGAGAAGTCATATGATCTTGTTTTGGACCTTACGTAGTGCTCAATTCTTCAGCCTTGGCCACGTCAAGGTTTGTTTGACGCTGTACATACCTATGATCAATCATTTATTTGTCTGTTTCTAGTGCTTTGCTGGCCTAGCCAACTTTGTGTTTAAAACTCCAGCATATTTTCCAGCCTACATTAAAAACGCATCAAATTGTATGCCCTAGCCTGGTTCAGGAATAGGGAAGTCGGTCCACCATGGGCCAATCAGGGGAAAACGCTTATCGTTGTATTTAAGGCTCCCCACAACTAGTCTCGTTTCGGTTCATGAGACATATCTTCGTACACCCTTCTTTTCTCTCTTCTTCTTTCTCCACATCCACACCCCGGCATGTTTCGGTCTACTACTTAAGCGTCATTACACTTCAATTATTCTTTCCCTCTTGGCTGCATACGAACCAGAAAGTTATATTTCCCTCGTCGCGAAGACTACGCAATCCATGCCACAAAGATCAAGGACAGGTTGCACCACCTGTCGAGAACGCAAGGTAAAATGCGATGAACAGCGTCCAATTTGCAATACCTGTCATCGTTTGACTCTATCATGCACCTGGATTCCTCAGATCCGGAAGCAGCGGACAGTGCGAACACCTAAACAGACTAAGTCACAATATCAACCTGCACACGGGTTTGCACACCCGCGGCCTATAAGACCCAAGGTTCTCCTGAGTCACCCCTCTTGTCTGGGGATCCTAGGTGCGCCCGTTACAGCATAGTCCCTTCACCAGATGCCCATGTTGAGATCAATTCTTTTAGGGCCAATACTCCCAGTGCTGGATACTAGCCATATTCCGTGTGCGAACTCTTTACTTCTTTCGTCGACAGACCGCCAGTGTCTAGAATACTTCTCTTCTTCAAACCTTGTCGCTTGGACCGGAAAGCCCTGGAAATGGAGCTGTCTTGCATATATCTACCATAAACTGGCTCCTCGAAATGCAGCCATAATGTATATGATAATTGCTTCGTCGGCGAGTGAATTACAGAACCTGGGGCACTCATATTTGCGTCCGGCCTCGCAACATGCGGCTCGAAATTATGGCATTGCACTTAACGAGTTGAATCTTTTGCTCGATCAAGATGTGAAGCCAGACTTGGACTCAAGTCTCACTTGTCTCTTCTTGATGGCACATTATGAGCTGAAGCTTGGTTGTTCCAATCAACATCTTACGGTTCACCTGAAGGGTGTTGAAGCTCTGCTGGAGTCTGGAAACTACATTTCAGCCCTCAGCAGGAATAAGTCGCTGCCATCAGATGAGAATGAGATGGCTGAAGCCGAGATCCAGCCGTTCTCCTCTCTCTCTGCACTACTGCTGGTTTGGATATTGTGAGGCTTATTTATCTATCCCACCCAATCTTATACCCGGACAACAAAGTGACTTTATGGCAGCTACATTAGTCTCGGAAGCGGTCTCCACACCGCCCCAGACAGCTTTATCACTAAATTATATCATTCTGTCAGAAGTCCTGACTGTTTCCTTGTCCGAACTGCCCGAAAGGCCCATTTGCAGTGCTGGGGGAGCGAGTACCCGCAAGACGAATGGTTGGACGACTTGGAAAACTATCGCACCCTTGATTTACTACACGAATCTTTCTCTCTCCGTTCCAGGGTGTATCAGATGTGGTCTACACCGGATCTAGAGTACAGAAAATTGCCTCTTACGGAGGATGGAATTTTTTGTCAATTGCAGCATATGAGACAGGTCAGCTCTGTCCATTTGTCAACCCTTCGTTACAATAATATGTTCTTACAAAAAGCAGAGTTACAACGACATTTTCATCATGGCCAAGCGAACTTACCGTGCTCCTGTGGGTCGGGCTCTCTATACAGCCCAGCTCGCGGTGGTGTATTACTCAGGTCTCCTGCTTTTTCACCGGCGCATGCTATACCAAGATAGCCTTATGGAGGTGTCACATCTTGAAGCCCTCTCTACCATACTCCATATCGCATATGAGACTTATGCCCACGACAAAAGGAATATGTCTCCTTTTTCGTGGGGGCTTGAGATGGCGGCTATTGAGACACATGATCCTATCTACAGCGGCTGGATTCGGGATCGGTTTTCGGAGGCTCCTAATAATTATCGCGATAGCGTTATTGTCAGTGAGACTTTGGACCAGATGAAAGGGGCCACGCCAAGTGGTGACCGGCCTGTCCGCCTAAACCCAGCCCTCTTGTCACATCCCGATTCATCCACATAGACTAGATGATATGACTGAAAATCCGACAAATTATTGAGATAGAGTTCTCACAAATCGGCATTACGCTCCTTTGCATGCTGCCGGGCCGTCTTTTTAGACCAACCTTTAGCAACCAGGGCTCTTCTGATGCCAGAGGCTGTGATCATCGTATGAAACTCGTCCCAGAGGAACACAGCCATCTCATCGAGGTACAGGCCCGGTTTTTCCGACAGGTGGTCGAAGAGCGCGTTGATTATTAGCAGTGTTACGGTTGGTTTCCGACCTATGCGAGTTGGGGGTGCGTGGACGCTGCCGAACTGCCGCAAGTTTCTGCGAATATTTATGATCGTGACCTTGCTGCACTCAGCCTCTTCTGCCATTTGAGTAGCGGTAAGTGACTGGCTCTCTATCATATCTCGGATGAGAATATGCATGAGGCCATGGCATATCGAAACAAGTGCATTCAAATTATTTTGGCATTATCCGCTCCTCACTGCTGCCAGGCACCGACGAGCCTTGTGGGTGGCGTCCATTAGCTCAATAGGGTTGTTTCTTCTTTCATTAGGCTTGACAATACTTGCCTGCGTACAAGCCAGCCTGCAGCCTCAAGTTGCGACGGTACATACCTTCATCAAGCCACCATCACAAATTACTCACATGCTTCATAGCTCCAATTCGCTATAATAAGCCTAAGAAAGGTGGTCATTTCATTTTGCCTTCTTCGAGCTCAACAAAGCAACAGGAATTTGTTACTTTCGCACAAACACGCTCAAGAATAAGGAGCTGTGCAATGCAAAGTACTCGGAATTGGAGACAGGGGTTTTTTACAATGAGCAATACTTGCAATAACATGAAGAAGTATAATTCGTCAACATAGCAGCGTGGCCACTCACAACGAAGTGCACCAATATAGAAATGTTTGTTAGATGCAACTTCAACACACTTTTGTCAGCTGGAGTATCATGCTAGTCCAATCAGTTGCGGGGCCGCTGGCGAGGGGTCGGGCGGGGTAAATGAAATCATCCATCCATCCATCCATCCTGTAATGCCTTTATCTCGGATGCTCATCGTTTATCTATATAGATGAAATATGCAAAATACCAAGAACATACAGTTATACCCGGTTCATGCGACCCAAACCCCTTTCAGGCGATTTGGGTCACCCACAGTGTAATCAAATCCATTGCCCACCGTGGGGGCCCAATGGCCCCCCACGAAAGCCCACGAATGTACAAAATGTTAGTCTTGGCGTTTATAAAGCTGATGATTTATCAACCTAAATAACGTCAATTGTCGGTATGCTAACTAGCCCTGGCCAATAAGAATGTATGAATGCTCTGTGTTTTATTACCCCTGGTTCTGGCAATTTATAACGTGGATCCCGGCGGGTTCGTCATCCCTGCCGGTCCGTCACCCCATTAAATCTTCATAATTTCTACATACGTGACACATAAATCAGTACTTAGAACTGACTCGGAAATGATGGCGGGCGACTCTGATTAGAGTAAAGACAAGCGCTAACCGCTTTGGGCTAGTATGTATACCTGAATGTGAGACCTGATTTTCTGGAAGAAAGTATTTTCCGAAACCCGGGATTCACTGGCAGAAAGCTGATCGGACCAGATCGTCAGCTGGGCTCTGACGCACTTGCGTTAAAGCATGACTTGCCCTTTCCAACAAATCGATGGCCGACCACAGCTCTCCAAATTACAAAGATCTTTACCTTAGGGCAGAAGAAGCACGGAAGCAGGAAGCAGAAGGGAGACGGCAGGAAGCAGAAAGGAGACGGCAGGAAGCAGAAAGGAGGCGACAAGCAGAAGAACGCAACCAACAGACCTCTTTCACAGAGCTCTTACAGAACTGCCATGACCTTCTCTCCCGCCAATTGCGAGTCGAGACACCGAGGCACCAGGGAAAGGTATTGAGGAGGTGGTGAATTATCAAATCAATGACGAGGGAGGATGACAGAGAGGAGTAAAGGACAACAATCCATTTTAAGAACGAGTAGATCATGCAATGGGGTAAAATTTCTCTTGTTTTGGAAATATGCGAGGTGTGTTGATGGAAAAACCTTACATGCTTCTGTGACGACGGAATGTAGTTCAGTAGACATGAGTCCAACGAATTTCGGCAACGATGTTGCAGTCTCCTACTTTATTCAGCCAGAATCACCTTGCGCATCTCCCACTCTTGCTCAGCGTAAAGTTAGTCCCAAACAGGCAGCTTACACTAACTTGAGAAACAAAGAAAACACGCCAAAGAATGTGACAATGATGGCTCATTGGTGGCAGGATATTGGAATTCGGAATGGAATTAAGAGTATTGAAATGTAGTGGCGCACAGGTATGGTGAGTGGCCGCCTGAATGATCACTGTAACCTGGCACAAAGGTAGCCACAGGGCAAGGAGCTTTTAGGCGAAAGACTTTGTTGTTAACGGGAGGCTCTTTCAATTATAAATATGTGGGGTTTGCGCGCTGTAGGCTACGTCTATAGTTATTGGAGCATCCAGTCGGTCATTCTAATTCATCTCAAATTTGGGTACATTATGACTTTGACAAACTTCACAACGGATGCACTTGAGGGCTTGTGTACTCAAGAGCAGCTTGACCTTCTAGACTCCATCGACACACTCCGATCGCAAGGCATCAGCCACTACGTCTCGCTCCCGCAAATAATCGTATGCGGAGACCAATCATCCGGAAAGAGCTCCGTTCTCGAGGCGATTTCCGGCGTTTCTTTTCCGGTGAAAAGCAGTTTGTGCACTAGATTTCCAACCGAATTGGTTCTTCGGAAGAACTCCCAAGTCGGAGTTCGGGTTTCTATTGTCCCTCACCAGTCGCGCAGCGACGCAGAGCAGCATTCTCTTGGCAACTTTTGCGAACAACTTGATGGATTTGATGGCCTTGCAAACTTGATAGAGAATGCGAAAGCAGCAATGGGAATATCAACCCACGGAAAAGCATTTTCAAATGACCTTCTGCGAGTTGAAATTTCGGGTCCTGACCGGCCACATCTCACAATTGTCGATCTTCCGGGTCTGATCCACTCAGAAACACGACAGCAATCGGCAGCCGATGTACAACTAGTCCAAGACGTGGTCCAGTCATACATGAGGGAATCACGAAGCGTTATCCTTGCCGTCGTCTCCGCCAAGAATGATTTTGCAAACCAGATCGTCCTCCGTTTAGCGCGGGACGCTGATCCATCTGGCAACCGGACATTGGGCGTCATCTCTAAGCCTGATACGCTAGTCCCGGGATCTGAAAGTGAGGCTTCTTTTGTGTCGCTTGCCAAGAACCAAGACGTGGAATTCCGTCTTGGATGGCATGTGTTAATGAATATGGATTCGGAGAAAGGCTAGTGGAGCTTATCCGATCGGGATACCCAGGAATGGAAATTCTTTTCCCAAGGAATCTGGGAAGACCTGCCTCGATCTCTTGTGGGTGTGGATTCACTACGAACCCGTCTGAGCAGCCTACTTCTAGGCCAGATTGCAAGTGAACTTCCAAGCCTGATCAACGAGATAAATTCCAAGATTAATTCCTGCAGTTCGCAGCTTCAGAAGCTTGGTGACCCTCGTGCAACACTAGATGAACAAAGATCATACCTTTTGCATATCAGTCAAGCGTTCCAGTCTCTGGTCAAGGCAGCTGTGGATGGTACTTATAACGAGCCTTTCTTCGGAGATGCAAAGACGGATAATGGGTACCAGAAGCGCATCCGAGCAGTCATTCAAAATCTGAATCAGAAATTTACGGATAATATTTCCCACCGTGGCCATTTACGCCATGTCCATGAAATTGAAGACCACAGATCGGTCTCCAAACGTCAAATACTTCTCACAAGAAAAGAATACGTTCAGCATATCGAAACGCTTCTCAAAAAGACAAGGGGTCGGGAGCTACCCGGTACTTTCAATCCTTTAATCGTTAAGGATCTATTTCAAGAACAATGCGGCCCGTGGGAGGACCTAACACACAACCATATTACTGCAGCTTGGGCGGCGGCAAGAGAATTCCTTCAACACGCAGTTTCCTATGTGGCAGATGAGGCTACCTCTAAGGCTTTATTTCAAAACGTAATTTTGCCGGCCCTGGAGAATTTACGACATGTATTGAGGAAGGGAAGCGAAGAGCTACTTATGCCGCATCAACGAGGTCATCCCATCACCTACAACCACTACTTCACCGAAACACTCCAAAAGACCCGTGCTGATCGCCAAAAAGATGCCTTCCGTAAAGCTCTTCAATCGTACTTTGGTGTTGATACTCTTTCAACCTCTGAGACTGTGGTGCACGCCATCGATATCCAAGGGCTTTTCAATTCTCTTGTTCAGACTACCATACCGGACATGACACGTTTTGCATCCGAGGAAGCACTTGACTGCATGCTTGCCTACTACAAGGTACGTGTTAACGACCGGCTAATCCTCCAATTATTTGATTAACGTGTGTAATGCCAAAACTAGGTTGCACTCAAGCGTTTTGTTGATGATATTGCCACTGAAGTAATCGAAGTAAACCTTCTGGGTGCAATTCCTACACTTTTTACACCTATAACCGCATACGAGATGCCCAAAGAGTTGGTCAGACAAATCGCCGGTGAATCTGAGGAGAGCCAAAGTCGACGGGAACAATTAAACAAAAAATTGTGGATTCTCAGGAAAGGTTCGGACACTTGCAAACGTTTCGTTGGCATTAGAGGCATTGGTAAGAGAGGTCAGTCTACGACCATACTTATACTGACCGACTCGGTAGAGTCCATCAATGAATTACAGGCTAGCTTACAAAACAATCCGGCTACATTATCTTCTAGCTCTTGCAGCTTGGTTGATGCGATTGGATCTGAATCAGTCGACGGACAGTCCGGATCATCCAGCCCGGATCTATTAGAGCAACCTGCCAAATATGAGTATGCTCAAGTGCACACCGCAGAGCCGGAGCAGCTATTGGAAGCTCCCATTTCATCGAAGGGTGGCAAAAAGAAAAAAAAGGGGAAGTCTGCCCACAGACTTCCATCTCCCGTCGAACCCACCGTTGAGCCTCCTACTGGAGAAGAAATATTCGCTTGAAGATGGAAATTCAGCAGTTGGATGTATTTCCTACAGTATCTAGGAAATCCGCTCTGTTACTGGAGATTCATTGAATGGTGGTAGGTTTAGGTCTTCGTATGTATGATCCGATGTTAAAACTTGGTAAAACGCTTAATATACAGCCTAATCTTATGATGAACTCCTGCCCGGATGTAGTGCTAAGAAAGAGCAAATGAGTGTAAATCTTATACAGACGCGCTCGTAGTCGCACCATTTCCGGGACGTACTGTACAAAGATAAGGAAACCTGATCATACTTTATTCATTTGACTACATACTCGAAAAAGGCCCTAAACTTTGCTCCCATGTTCCTCTCTTAGCTGTGACTTAGAGAAACCCAAACACGACGAAAATACACCCTAGCCCTATAATAAAAGTTGTTCGCAGCCGGACTTGGGTTGACTCAGTGCCATTCGAGTTACCACTTGATGAAGTCGATCCAGGTGATGAAGTGGTTGGGTATATAATAGTGGGTATGGATGGAGTGGCTGTGGAAATAGCAGAGAAAGTGGCAGAGAAAGTGGCAGGGGAAGTGGCAGAGGAAGTGGCAGCAAGACGGCTTACGCTGGTTGTCGGGTAGCTGGTTACATTGACGCTTCCTATTGCCCTAGTAGTTGTAGGGGTATGCCACGAAAGGTTGGTCGAAGATGAATTAGCTCCCTGGAGCCACATTGTTCGCGTTCTGGTAACACTTTTCGTGCTCATTGAATACGTCGGAGAACTGTGCAAATATCCGGCCGAAGAAGTGCTTTCAGCGAATATGATCGTTGTATATTGAGTCACGGTGCCTGTTGTTGTTGATGTCATAATCATGGTGGTGCTCATCGGCGTGCTCATCGGCGTGCTCATCGCATAGATGTCACGCCTGGCCGCGCTCCCCACAGCTAGAACACAGGCTTGAAAGTAGGCTAAAATAATGAAGAGCAGCATCATGTCTTGAAAAATTGTTTACCTTCTCCAGAAACTTTGACGGGGTTTTAAGTGAAACATAGGTAATGAATATCACTGCAAAAAGTGAAAATGTCCAAATGTTCATTTTCTACTTTCAACCTACGTAACATTTCGACTATGGTACTGTCGTATTCTCGATAGTCTCTCAGGTCCTAGGCGGTTGCGGGATAGTCTTTTCGAGTATTAGATTGGGAGATGATTCGTAGTTAGAATCTACTTAAGACAGCTCACTAGCTTATATTTTTGTCTTTATAAGCGCGGTATCATAGTAGCAAGCTGGCCCTGTAAGCAGCCCCTACAAAAAGGCCATATAAACTTTAGAATGAGTGGAGAGAGAAATATTCGTGGTTCGTAATTATGTCTGAAACAGACAGGTTCCAAGGTGATATAAATAGCTTTATTATTAAGTGTGCTCGGACAAATATGGATATGACCACCGGCTAGCGACGCGCTTGGAGACGTGTGGCTCGACAATAGAGTGGATTTTGCCGGCTATTGCTGTTACGGCGAGATTTTCTAATCCTTAATCTGGAAATCGCAATGAACGCCATAAATGCCTAGGCGAACCGCCCACGATAGCCCCACTTTGTGATGAGCCTTATCACGTGGCACATTTCTATTTCCGCGGCGGGCCGCCCTCGGCAAAGATCGACCGAGGAACACTACAGGATACACGATATATAGACGAAGACCGCCAAACTGAGGCCGTTCGACTGTATGACATGTCAAACCCAGCTAATAGAAAACGTGCTCTAGAAAGGGGGAAGTGTCGGGAAGACCTCGCAAACCACATTAGTAAGTATGACCGGCGGAGACGTAAGAGGAGGACATTGCTAATCAAAAACAAAGATGAGCAACTCGGGTTAAGCGTGCGACCGTCAGAAGTCCGTCTTCACCCATCAGAAAAAGATGCCTATGCTTGGATTGTTAGCGATGCGACTAGCTATCTTTTCGACAAGCAGCTTAGCGATATGTCGACAAACATGTATATTGAGATATCGAAGGGGCTGGAGTGTGGTGACATCAGAGCAACTTGTTCTTCCGAAGTGCGGACAGGTATCCGCGACGTTGAAGCAGATACCCAGAACCTTGAAAAACAACTACAAGACTCCATACATACCATTCAAAAATTAGAAACCGAGATTGAGAAGTATAAGCATAAGGAGGCAACTTTACTTTCTCAAAACCATCGCTTACGCCAGGCTTTTATTGTTTACCTCAGAAAAGCCCATAGCATTGGCCGGTGCCTTGGAGAGACGGAGCGGCAGATTCACGAGTTTTTAAATAGCATGAAGTTGAAAAAATGAAATTACTACCATCTTTATCTACAGCAGTGTAATGTCTCTCGCATTGGTATCATCTAACGAGATGCCTAGGGCCTCAAGAAGATGACTTTCTGATTCTGAGGATATGTGGGATGCTCGTTGCAGACATTGTTGAAGAAGAAAACCAGCATCCTGTGCGTTATTCACTAGCTCTGACAACGGATTTTCCCCACCATGCTGGACCCTGGCTTTAAGGAGTGCCTTTTGAAGGAGGCGATATACCTCCCTTGCGTCCCTAAACAGACCTATGAAGGCTTCCTTTAGCTCCTGATGCCAAGCTGATTCTTGACGAAGGCGAACGACTTCTTGTTGAAGATCACTCAAGTAAGATGCATTGAAGTTCCTCGAAGCTTCCAAATAGATTGGAAGACGCTCGGTGTTCAGCGTATGCACGCCATTCTGAAGGATATGATCCAATTGGTTAGGTAGTATGTCATCTTCGGGATGTTTGAAATCCATTATGAACAAGGTCATAGACTTGAATGTGATTGATTATAATCGAATAGTATTAACTAGAAGGGAATGGCGAGGAAAAAGAAGCGTCCTTTATACAATAGCGCCAAGAATCAAAACTAGCCCACGAGACAGTTTTTCGGGCGACTCGCCCACAGTAACCCCACGTTAGTCACGACGAAAGCTTGGCGGCGCTAGCACAGGAATCTGGCGTTGAACTGGCTGCGTGGCTATAATCGGCCGGCTGGAAGGGGGCAAAGGCTCAAAATCATCGTAGGTGTGAGTCTGGGGATGCTGTATGGCCTGCTATGAAGGTCAATCAATGAACTAAGTGATGAAGAGTATCAATCCTACCTGCTCTAAATCCGGAATATCATCGTGCGTTTTGAATATCCAATGTTTATCAGATTTATCAACCAACACCACTATTGCTCTCATTCGACACAGAGCACAGAGCTGACGAATCTTTCTGAAGCATGTTTTTCGGCGGCGGCTTTCACCGGAGCGATCTACAGGTTGCGACATTGTGTAGTAGACCTGACAAAACCAAAAGTCTCCAGTGGTGATTTGTACCTTATATACTTGAGGTCCTCTAAAAATAACTGAGTCTTCGTCGTATCGCCCACGGGTGACATACATACTTGGCTATTTTTAGTTGACGTTCCAACAAATCTACACGCTCACACATCTATAAGAACCCTAATACTAGTTTCTACAACTTGAGAGAACATTGCTCATACCTTCAGATATTTCAATTACAGAATGAGGATAATTGATCCCTCCTTTTTATATGTCCTCATAATTGGGGGTTTATTGCTCCTGTTCTTCTTGCGGACTAATATAAGTCGCGCCTTTAACTTTGTGAGAGCTTTACTAGCCGCTCCGACGCAATGGGCAACAGTCATCATCTTAAAGTATCTCATATATCCACCCATCGTGAGGAGAAAATCGAGAGCTTGGCTACTGTTACAGCTGATTTATTGGCCTGGAAATATAGTCAGCATGCTTATACAAACGCATAGCCTGACTGACATCAGAATTCGGTCAGGGTATATGGCCATTATAAACTTGCTCCCCCTTCTTTTGAGTGATCGACTGAAGTTTCTTGCCGACATCCTTGGACTTTCAATTCAAACATTCACAGCTATACATAGTACTTTAGGTATAGTGTCTACCCTGCAAGGTGTTCTTCACATTTCCATTGCAATACACCAAGCTGGGTGGCACTTAAAGCGCAATTTGCAAATTTATGGGCTGCTGGTAAGAATGTTCAAATGTTTTTTCTACATCATACTAACGCTCACTATAAAGGCATTTGCTGGCTTTGCACTTGCCGTTATTACACATGTCCTTCGAAGTTTTGCAATGGAGATACTATCTAAAGTTCACAAAGTTGCTGCCGCTCTCGTTGGCATAACGGTTTTGTGCCACCTAATACAGTCGAGGAACTTTCCACAATTAGGACTTCTGATTTCTAGCGTCACTATCTCTTTCCTCTTTATACTTCGATGTGTGTTACTTCTCATTCGGAATATTAAGTACGGGAAAGTCGCATCTCGTGCAGTAATCGCTCGGATGAAACACGCTGATGTAATTCGAGTCATGATCCCGATCAACCGACCATTTAGGGTTCAACCTGGAATGAGTGTTTACATTTAGATGCCTGGGGTCAGCTTACGCTCTGCTCTCCAGACATATTCCTTTCCAATATCATGGTGGGAGAACGATACAAATGGAAACGCCATAAGTATCACGCTGCTGGCACGCAAAGAACGGGGCTTCACGCAAAGATTAATGAATCATTCGAAAAACGAGTTTTTAACGTGGTTGGATGGACCGTATGGTCGTTCAGAGGGACTTACGGGTTACAGTCGCGTTCTTTGTATTGGCACTGGCATTGGAATTGCTCCTTTGCTATCCTATATCAGACTCGCAGTTGAAAGTAATATCAAAAAACGCACAAACTGCGATATATTCATTGTGTGGGAAGTTAATGATGAGTGTAAGTATCTCTCGACATTTGATCTTTTTATGATTCTGACGACGATTCTGACAATGGAAAAGCAAATCTCGACTGGATATATGATTGGATGAATGAGCTCCTCCGGAAGGATAACGGGGCTTATGTATGTCGAAACAATGATAATTTGAAATTGAGTTGTGCCAACAACACTAGAATCTTCATTTCGCGATACATATACCATCCGCCCGACCTGCTCAAGAGCCTCACGAAACGTGGAATAGCAAGCACGGGAGAATTTTCAAGCTATATTCCGCCGTGAATGCCAAAGACGCCATACCAAACGACTTTTTTGAGGACAGAAGAAAAGGATTGATTGCCGGTTAGTGTGCAGAAAAGCCCCCCTCTGTTTACATTGAAATTGACTTATCGTGTTCCACTTCAGTCTGCGCAGAAAAAAATATTGTTACAGAGCTTTTTAAGCTAGTGGCCCATCAAATGACAGGACTTGTGAACATTGTTGATCTTCAGTTCCAGTCAGCCGGCATCGGAGTATCTACTCAATCTTCTCCCGGGAAGTATTATTCTACAGAGAATGCTGGTCAGGACACTCAAACTGAAAGTGTTTCAGTATGATATAACATGCGAATATGTCGAAGAACAGGTAAGATATCGGAGGTGAATATACAGTATAGGATGTTAAGTCGATGGTTATAGATGATTTGGATCTAGTTCACTATCCGCCTATGTGTCTGGTATGTAACATACATATATGAGGGGACTACATGACCTTTATCAGGTATAAGAGCCTACAGACGCTCTCGAAATCAGTTCCAGTATTTTTTTTCTTCGATTCTTTGTTAGTTTCTCAACGCCCAAGATCGTGTTAGAGTTAACATCTGTCTAAACACTGACACGTACACCTTTAGCTCATATGTATGTATTGGTTCGGTGTATGATAATACATAGTAATATCTTATATTCTACTATTATATAATTTCTTTGGTAGGTCCGAGTCTCGACCAGTCATTGCCGAGGTCAAACTTTTCGCGCTACAGTATATCAAGCTACAGCTAGGAGATGCTATGTCGATAATAAGAAAAGACTTTTTAGCCCTGAGTCCGATGCAACTGTGAAGACATTATCGATCGGAAACACCATCACCTGGAAATACTGTCGTCTGGCGTATGGATATACATGCACGAGAAGTGGAGGCCAAATAATATGCGAGACCCACATAAACCTAGTTGCCGTCCTTCCCAGAACTCATGCAACAACTATGAAGGAGTGGAAGTTGCCTACGTCATGTGAGGCATTGTTTCCCCGAAATTACGTTGAGTATGTATATTTATATTTGCTAGGATATAAGCAAATTTTAGAAAGGTAAAGAATCATTCTTCCTTGTCATCGGCATGGCTAATGGTAACTTAGGTGGAACGACAGATCGTGCAAATATGAGGTCGTCGAATCCGAAACAACTGAAGGCGATGGTGATACCCTGGATACATGATGGAAAAAAGGTGGACTACGATTATCTTAAAATGGCGGCCCAAGTCAACGAAAAGTTTTTGGAGGAATTCGGACACGTTGAGCGGATGTACATTTGATTTATTTCCAGCATCAAGCACCCCCAAGGAACCCTAATTATTGGAAAGAGTATAATATACGGAGTCCCATCAGCTTGCTTTTGTTTTTCTTTTCTTTTTTATTTTTGTTCAAATTTTCAATTGCGCGCATCTTAGTTTCGGTTCAAATCGACAATCATATTCTATGAGTCTCTTACTGAAGCCACGGCGTCGGCTACATTATAGTGGTGTCTCCACCTTTCTAGCGCATCACAAACAGGTAGTAAGAATGGAGGGAAGTGATAAGAATTCGGCGAAGCGAACAGGAGCGGGCCTACGAAATCCCGGTCTCTCGGCAAGAGAATTACAAGTAATTGATGCAGATCAGGTCACGTGGTAAGGGGTTTTAACACGATTTAACGTTTGAAACAAAACTGGATCGTCAAAGATTAGCCTGTTTCGCTGAAGGCCCGAGAAAGATCTCATAAGAGCAAAGTAGTAAAATTGATTCTAATCCATCCTGCAGGATAGTAAAATGATTAAATTATGATGAACTTTCCTTACCTTTATACCCTTTCAATTTTAGTAGCAAAGAGTGTAACTAAGGATGAGCTAATTTATACATTTAGTGGCGCTAATACGACTATGGTCGTGGGCGAATCGCCCATAATTCCGCTAGTAGGGCTAAATATACAGCGAGCATGCAATATCCCCTTATGGCCACTGATCAAAATGATTTAAGCTCTCTCGTCCCTGCACAACACTAAGAGAGAAAAATCATTTATTATGAGTGACAATCGGTGTACGCTCTTCCCAAGAGCTACTGATGTTGCATCCGGAACTCCCCCTGAACGCAACAATCATGACACTATATATAGCCACACTAATATCAACGACAATCGATGCACTGTGTTTCCTAGAAGTGTGGAGATAGAGGATAGTAAATTTGATACCAAAAAGGTCAGTCAGCCCCAATATAGGGAAGTGGGACGCCTTCAAAAGAGTCATTTGCCGGCGCGATGGTTCCAGCTTCCAGTCAAGAGGACCGCCCAGGCTGATGAGCCGCGCCCTAAACGCCAAATGCCATTATTTTGCAAGGATCAAACACCCTGGATAAAATATCAAAAGTTCAAAGAAGGAGGGAAGCCGGGAAAAACCTGCCTAGCCTACGTCACGGACTCCCCGGGAGTGGTAGTTGCAATGAAAGAGTATAAGACGAGCGGTATTGACAAAACGTGCCATCTGAAGATGATCAGTCACCCAAATGTTGTGAATCTCCTTGACGCATTCGAACAGTCTAGAACTCTGTATCTAGCGTACGAGCTTATGGATCTCTCATTGGAGCAACTTCAGTCTGGCATGCAACTAAAAGAGTCTGATCTCGCTTTCATTTGCAAAGAGGTGAGCTATAAAAGCAAACAAAATGTACATCTTGCTCACTGATATTCATGTAGCTCTTACATGGACTTTGGTATATTCATCGAGATCTTGGTATTTGCCATACCGCCCTCACTTATGACAACGTGTTTATATCATCGCAGGGTAGGGTAAAGATTGGTGAGTGACGACAACAAAGATAATGACTGAGACTAATCTTGAACAGCGAATATAGCATCCTGTCTGCTGGAGCGACATCAAGGGTCCGAGCAGTTTGATATCAAGTCTATTGGTATCATGGTTTGCAAAGTCCTCGAGCCAGGGCTCTCTACTCATGACCTTCAGGCTTCTCATGCAAGTCTCTCCCACGGTAGCGATAGTCTACGTGCGTTTATTTCTACAACTGCGACAGCAACAATACAAGCGCTATTGCAGGTACGTGATCACAATGGGCTCCACTCACTATCATCACTAATTCTTTACTAGCATGTCTTCATATCATATGCAGCCACTGAAGGATGCTTAGTTGTACCTGTTATGAAGGTCCGAGGGTTAGTTTTACATGATTATGAATAGTGAACAGATAATTGGAGCTCAAGCGATTTATTCGTGCAAGTTGAAACTATCAAGAAAATCAAAAACACCATTCTGAAATTGAGACATTAGATTGCTACTCAACCCCATTCGATCATGTTTTGGTCCGACTAGAATCAACTTTTCACGCATCGCCACATCGTAGAGGTTTTTAAAAAGGACTAGGCGTGGCCTATCACGACCTATTGATATGAACATTTGATGCTGGTGTGCCAGTAGCTGCACCTTTGTATGAAATAAATGTTCATCTTGGGGCCTGCTTGACAACTGCGCGTACTGCCTGGTTTGCCAGGAATAGAGCAAGATATCCCCAGTTTTCGAAAGTACGTCATTGATAAAGACCGAAGGAATTGTTGAGGGGCTAAGTGACTTTAATTGATCATCCACAGCCCAGAAATTCGATAGTGTTGATATGGAGCGGGTTTCCCAGGAATCGGCTCTTGATTGATGCGCTTGTGGCTGGCTTATTGGATCATCGCTCTCGACACTTTCACTTAAATTCGGCTGAAAACCTCCATAATACTCATGCACCTGATGTTCCGTTTCATTTTGAGCCTCATTTTGTTGTCCTTGGCGCTCATGCTCATTTGTGTCGCTTCCTTCGTTTCCCCAATACTGTGTAACACATCCCTCGGAATTATTGTTATTTTCAGGAGAATCAGAGCTACTAAATAACTCATCTTCTGCTGCCTCAAAATATGGATTGGTTTCGCCGAAGAATGAGAGAAATATATCGCGCTGTATTGCAAATGAGGTGGCATATGACCTTGGAATCATTTCTTGTTGGTAGATGTTTCCGAGAAATAAGAGCTGTCGATCGCTTAGGTACCTCTTGTAAGATGGTCGACTACAACGAAATTTCTTTGGTAGATTTTCTAGGTCCGTAGTGAGTTTTGCTTCTTCTACAGACATTTGAATAGCCGAGTTGCTGATTCTATCGGACACGTTCCGAGCGATGCTTATGTTAGTCTCGGTATCAACATGATATCGATCCAGAGGCTGCAGCTGGTTGAGAAACTCTTGAGTGACGATTCGATATCGGTCAACCGCAGCTTGTGTGTGCAAGGTTAAAATCTGCTCATTCTTGAAACCCAGCTTGACAGCTAACTGGGCTAGGTTGATAAGTCTTTCTGACTCAACCCCAGATGGCTTGACCTTCCCCTTTTTGTCATCTTGATAGGGCCTGAGGTTGGTAAGAGTCGGAAAGTCACGCATGGTGGCAAGGAAAAGCTGTCGATAGCATATATTCATGCTGTCCTCATGTTCGTCATGACGTTCAAATCTGTCTTCGGCAACTTGAACGTTATATGAGCCAGCTTGATCTCGCGTATAACATTCCGAAAACCCCCCAAGCATACTTCCACCATACCCCTCAGGTTGCAAGCTTTTGAGAGTGACCATACAGGCCTCAAAATAGATGAAATCTCTGGTGAAGGTATAGAATGATAGTACCCTCCCACTGACTCGAGTAATTCTGTCTAATATCTGGGCACGATCTTCATCAGACTCTAATTGTCTGAAGATCTTCCGTCTCCATATCTTGTCCTGGATTATGGCCCTGTCATGTAGAGATAGTTGAGGCATAAGCGTCTCCACCTCCTTCACCGTATCAGTGTCTAGTAGCTCTGGCGAATAGCCCTCCATGATGAATGACCACTGATCGTGGATGTACCCTAAGTACCGAGTGATCTCCTGAATGGTAAAGTCAGTAGCGTTCAGTTTATATGAACGGACTGACCTGCCTCAGGACACTTCACTGATAGCCATCGGCCAAGATAAGACAGTTTAATGGTCTCCCATAAACCCAAGAAGGGCAATAACCTATCCAAAGCCCTTTTAATTCTCTTGAAGTCTTTTTCCATTCGTGCAAGTTCATGATGCACTCCTTTGCTGAATCTGCCCCTCCACCTGAGCTCTGAATCAACATCTCCAATTCTTTCATAGTGCCGCACGTTCCGGTAAATATCGCCATCACAATATGGCTGGTCATTTAGATGCTCATCTCTGATCCCCTGTTTTATTTCGGACCTCATATCTTTGTGATGTAAGTAATTTTACATATCAAAGAAACAGAGGTAAAGTCTTACCGTCACTATAAAATTCAGCCACCCACCATCGTGCAGACCTCTTGATTGCAGCTAAAACCCGGTGATTACCATGCAAAATATCTAACCGCACTTCATCTGGGAGGTTTAAAAGCTGCAATGGGCCGTTTAGGAAGGCCTCAGTTTCATTCTGGGCAGCCAGAGCTTGTTGAAGAACATCATTGCTTATCGAGACCTTCACATAATTATCAGGGTTCAGACGAGAAAGCCCCTCCGACTGAAAGACTCTATCTAGACGGTCCACATGAGAATCTCGGATAGTTCGGGGCCCCATGTTATCTATTTAGAAATGATGCAAGTATATCTTTGCTCTCCCTCTGTAGCAGCTCTGCCGTTCCTGAAAGGCATCTTCCTGGAAAGCCATTTTTCGAGGATAACGATAGAAGTGAAATTTAAAGAGCTTAAATTTAAAGGAGGTTGAAAAAAAGACCCCTCCAAATTTTTGTGTCTGGAATATTTGACCTTCGGGAAAATTAGAACGCGCAAATTTTAAGAGGCACTATAATTCAAGTGATAGTAAAATTCATAGCCTGAAATTTTCGAGCAATTAGAATATTCTATTATCCTGAAAATTGTGCATCGATAATTTTCTACTCTATCGGTGTTAACCGGACATAGGGTATTGGTGTAATGTTTCTAAGGCGCAAAAGCGCAATGTGGACAAGGTACATAGTCGTAGATGATAAAGCCTTCCGCTGTAATATTTAAATCACCAAGTTCAATTATCCCACATTATCGCATTTATATATCCAAGTTTCCAACTTGTCTTCCACTTTAGGTTATAAGCTGCCTGATCAAGTCGTTATGTTTGGTCTTTTGTTACGTGCTGCTCGAAAGTTCGGCCTGCTCGAAGCAGTACATATCACAGTGGTTCGTCAAAAATCCGGCTCGCTTCGTGTGATTGAGGCACAATTCTCTCCTGAAACACTCATAGATGTACCCCCTCCCCTTCCTCCCTCTTGCCAATCTCGTTAACACTAATCGAAGAAAATATCAAAAGGTTGATGTGCATATTTCCATTCCATACGCGTGTTATGAAAAATCCCTCGGCCATAGCTCAGATGACAAAAGAACAAATGTATGACTGAGCGACCAACAAATGCATACGGTGTTGCCCTTGGACTTTGGTGATGATTTCAAGAAATTGCTCTGTTAACCCAGCTCTAACACTTTGCTTGCAATTATCTACATATCGTGAATTATGGTTTACTGTTTGTAGCTTCACCTTATTAAAATACAGTTAACTGGTTAATCGAACCATCAAATTGTAATCTAGGTGACGGTAAAACTGCCGCCTCGGGAAGTGATCGGCTCCCGGAGCACAGGGTGAGTTAGTCACCCTGCCGCCCTGAGCAGCTCACGGAACGACCCTGAGCAGCTCACTGAGCAACCTGATCGCTCACCCCAGTGCTCAGACTGATCGGCCCGTTCGATCTCAACTTGCATCATCGTTCTTTCAAAACCTTCGACGATATCCGCACTGCTGCCTACTCCTAGGAGCGATGACTAGGAAATGGCGCATTCTCCCGTTGCTACAGTAACTTTCACTCTGTAAACTTCCAGTTGGTCGGCTCAACAGGGTCTTTCAACTTGTGTGAGAGATTGACCATCTCATCATCTTTACAATTCACCATCCACTCTTCGCTTCAACATGCAGGCTCTGTCCCGCTGTCCATTCAATAACCCAAACATAAATTCCGTTAGTGTCCCGATTCTCTATATCCGGGGCTGGCTCGATCCCAGGCCCATCGTATACTGCCACAATCGGCCAAACATTCTCGCGTGCCCTGGAAGCTCGCCACATGGTCAACACCATGTTATTGTTCCTGGGATCCAGTCGATCCACAACGAGATTGAGCGAGTTTAATTGGCCACAGCAAAGGGCCGAGAAGTTGCACCGATAACGTAGGTGGTCTCATTTCCATATTGCGTTTACGACGGAGCCAAAAACTGTGCCGATCTTCTTGTATTACGCTTCATAATGCAACGGGCATAAAGTGACAATGAGGCCTGAAATATAAATAGTCCCAAGGATACCTCCTTTCTGGATTGCCTTGTACAACCTTTCAAACCCTGTCTCGCTATCTTCTACTCCAACTCTTCTCTATTCAAATATCTTTGCTTTCGCCATGGTCACACTGAATCATCAGAGTTTCTGGCAGCCGCCAACAACGAAGTCCCCGCAAAGGTGTTCTTCAATTTGTTCCGGAACCCAAACCGTTGTTGTGACAGAGAAACTCAATGCCTCAGGAGAAAGTTGCGAAGGAGGTTATTACAACCTGGAGAACAATGTGCCACAAGAAGAGCACAGGGCAGAGGACATGGGTAGGTTACATTCTTGACATTTGCTTCAACACCTTTTGAGTTAATACGATATCTCCAGCATCGGAAGTTGGGCGGCTCTCTCCATCTATTTCGCCTACTGTCTATCAAAGCGATGCATCAGCCGCCAATAATTACCCCGATTACCCCCAGGAGGTCGCGCTTTATCCTTCCTCTCGAGTCAGTAGTACTCCCTCCGTGACTGGCCTAGATGGACCTGGAACAACGAGAGTCTTCGACGTCTTTGAGGATGATGACAACAGGAATCTTACTGCAAACGGAAGCAAGTGTGCCTGGGAAGACCTAAACAGTTCTTACCCGAAACGACCCCGTTGCTTGAAATCAACCGCCATGAATGCAACCAAGTCACGCAGAAGACGAACGAGTCAACCAAAAGCCGAAGGTTCGTCATTTGAAAGCGAAGAGGGTTATGTAGATAACCTCGCTGGGCTTGGGAATGCGATCCGATATCTGAAGCGGTTTTACAGCCTGGCCACTGCTGAGGCCAAGTTCTCTGATGATCTCGCCGATGCCGATATTGTCAAAGAAAATCTCGCGGTGCTTCAGGTTGCAACAAAAACGCTACAGCACGCTTACGGTATCATTGCAACAAGCGCCACAGTAATAGGGGATCCTGTTCGACAAGCCACGACCGTACAAGCACGGCAAACTATCACGCGCAGGAAGTGGTCCGTCGAAGATGACAGTCGATTACTGAAGCTGAGAGACTCTCAGAAACTGCCATGGAGTCGTATCCGCGACTTATTTCCTGGAAGAACTCTGAGCGCAGTCAAACAACGTTATGTCCGGGAGACTTCCAAGCAGACCGAAACCCCCGCCAGCAAAGACAACCACTCAAACCTCTCTGACCAGCATGTGAAGCGCACATCGAATATCCGAAGAAGCCAGAGGCTGGGCCGACCTCACCAAATCAAGAATACAAGGAGCGACGCCGAGCGCCATCGAAGGTATCCCTCGCGTGCAGTGAAGCATTCTGGTGATTCAAACGCAATGAAACTGGATTCTATCGACCCCCGACTTAGAAATCTCGGTCAAACCTAAAACTCGTCTATCGAATTTCCAGATGAGGAAAACGATAATGAAACCCGAGACCTAAGTGATAAGGACTTGTTATTGATACAGCCCTCCTACACCATTCTGGGTCGGGAGTTCATACATACTACAGTTGATTCAGGCAACAGAGCCATCGTTAGTGAACAGTGTTTTTGCATCCTGACCTGTTGACGTAGAAATCCGAACAAAGACCCGCGGATACTTGGGACCTTGAGCATTTTCTTCTCCAGTAAGTGCCGCAACTACTGCAAAATCTAAATAAATTGCGTACAGTAGAGCTTTGCTCATGGTTGAATCTACGAAGTAGATCAAGAAGTGCAAATGCGCAAGTGACAGACTGCACTCCCTCAATGAGGAGACAGTTCTGGGTCAATCTTTCGCATCTCTTGTGGAACAAGTCACATGAAAAGCACATATCTCGAGTAGATTGAGAGTGCATCGTGTCTGATAGGGGAATCGGAAGACCTGCCAGAGCTCGCCGTAGAGGACAAGGAGCTATTTATTTCTAGAAGCCCAAGAGTGCCCGGAGCTGCTTACACACTCAGATGATAGACACCGTTGAGCAATTTTGTATCCAGTGGGTGTCAATATCCATGTGGCAACCCACAGAATGTACACTTGAGTCGAAATCTTGAATATTCAGAGTATACTTCGATGAGTTTGATGTACACATTCAGTCAACAACCAATACTCATGAATGGCTACATATGCTCGGACCAAAACTCAATACTTACGACCAATATGTATTGTTTTGAAACATACTCGTTATAGTGGTACCAGAATGGAAATTTGGCAATACAAATGCGAGTGGCTGTGCGGGCAATCTGTGGCTGTGTAAGAAGCAGATTTTCATGACAAACTAATACCATATTTTCAGTACAATGTTAATTACAATACTACGGGCCGTGTGCCCACCGACTCAGGTTGTTGCAGGGTCTCGTAATGTACAACTGCTACATACGTATATATCCCAAACTATGCTAATATCCCTCGAATCAGGGTTTGCTTAGGAGCCTACACTTCGTTTATTACTTCTAGAATATACAATTAAAGTTTCAAAAACTAGGGACGAGAGATCTGGAAATTTAGAGTGTTTTGAAATTGATACACACGTCTTCTGCCTGCATGTAAGATCCTTATTGTTCTCAAAGGAGTTTGGTGCAATATGGATGTAGGAGAGGGCCATGAAAGATCTAGAGCAGATATGTGGGTTCCAAGACGCTGAAGGAATGCTTTTACTGATGTATACGTTCGACCGCAACGGGCTCAAAAGCGGTCGGGGACCAAGCCCAAAAAAAAAAAAAAAAAAAATGGGAAAAAGGAGAAAATGGGAAAAAAACCGCATTGCCTACGTGACCGCCCTCATTTTAGAGGATAATCGGGTCGTCGAACCCAGCCACCTGGCGGTGTCCAGGTGGCTGGGTTCGACGACCCGATTATTGCCTATGACCGAGGCCATTACACTATCATAAATGGCGACCGAATAAAATGTGACCGAGGACATATCAGTACCTCGTTTGTCTTCTCGATTCTTTCGTAAGGAACGCTCAATGGTCCCATAAATTAAAAGCATCGACTCAGTTATGCCCGCTCCTCGATTGCGCAGTACCCCCAGAACCCAAGAATAAAGACTGCTAATGAGCAATTCCGCGTCAACAAGTCCTTCCTCGCCGACACCGGCCTTTCAACACGTCCAAAAGACGAGTCGCGCGAGGAGGGCTTATCAGAAAGTGCAACGCAGAAAGGAGACACTCTTTAAAAAGACATTCGAATACTCTACGCAATGCGATGCTGATGTTCAGCTTGTTGTATGAATAAGGAAGACCGGCCAGATCTTTACTCTGACTTCCAAGTCGGAAGGGTGGCCGCTATCTGCAAACCAGCTGGTGTGTTAATCTCACTGTTTCTTTCAGTGCCATAATGTTGACAATGCTGACCGAGAAAGGACTTGAGCCACCCAATACCAATCCGAAAAACGACGGATGAACTTGCGAGGCAATACGAGAAACGTGGGACCTTGGTTGTCAAAACGAACATCCCCGGTTCAGATGACACAGAAGATCAAAGCATCGCAGAAAACAGCAATCCTTTTGTCCTGGCATCATGAGTTCTGATGCGTGAAATCTAAATTTGATGATATGTGAAGGCTCATCGTGGGACAAATCAGGCATTGGCAAAATGTGGCAGGACGTGACCTGGATTTTCCCTGGGCCTTGAGTAGAAACTAGGCCTGATCTATAGTAGACCGCAATCCACTCTGCTCTTGGTAAAATTACAAATTTACCTAGCGTAGGGGCACATTAGAGCCCTTCAGTCAGCCCCATCAGATTAATGCGTGGGAAGCCAGAAAATCCAAGCCTTTAAAGATTCCTAGGAGATCAATGGCTTCCAGGATCGCTATCAGGTCTCCTAGGAGCATGATATTAAGGTTCCAGGAGCGACACGGGTATTCCTGAGAGCACATACACTCCCAGGAACCCATAGTTGAGCCCCAGGAATCAGATTTCCATTCCCAGGTAACTAGCAGCCTTCTGTCAGGGTCAACAACACATCATGCATAGTTCACGATTTTGTACCCAAACCTTGATCCTAGCGCAAGAACTAAAGTTCCTAGGAGTCAGGTGGCTCGATGCCGGCAATGAGAATCCGCATCCACACAGCTTAGTATTTTAGAGAGAGATCCCCTTTCCAAATCACGTCACGAATTTTTAATTCTCATCACTTTGGAACCTCCTGTTACTACCAACTCTCTAGACCAGTCGTGCCACCTCAAGTCCACGATCTCTGCGAAGATGCCGCTTTTGGGACTTCCACTGGAAATCCTTCTCTGGGTTGGCAAGTTTACCGACGAGAAAGGCCTTCGAACTTTGTGTCTTACGTCTCGAGAATTTAACGTCATCTTCAGAAAGAGCCTCTTTGATTGCATAGACTTTCAAGATTCCCCGCCAATTCACTGGGCGATCGAACATAGAAGCTTAGGCATCCTCCAGCACTCTCTGGGTTGGGAAAAGGCAGATATCAACGAAATGTATTCTGGCTTTACACCTCTCATGTTGGCTACACAGTTGCGGTACGCAGACGCTGTTGATTTGCTATTAAGCTATCATTCAGTGAAAGCCATACAGTGTAATACTTTGGGAGAAAGTGCCTTCTCGATCGCAGTCCTGCATGGAAGCGTCAAAATTGTCGAACGACTCATCAGTCTGCCAAATATTGATATCAATAACCAATCCCTGGATGGGAATGCGCCCATTACAACCGCACTAGCTTGCAACCAATCTTATATCTTCCAGCTTCTCTTGTCCGATGAGCGGACAAATGTCAACATCTGCGATCATCATGGCCAAACACCACTGCATATAGCGGTAGAAATTGGCGACTATGGGGCGATTCAAATGCTTGTACGGAATCCGCGAGTTGATGTCAACTGTTCCAACGACGGACAGGAAACTCCGTTGCTTCTGGCTGTCAAAGGATACGGTCGTTTACTCCCGATCAACAAAAGGCTGCTTATCATTGAAGCCTTGCTTTTGAGTCCATACATCAACCTAAATTATCGAGATAAGAATGGACGCACCGCAATCTGGTATGCGGTGGACAATTGCGACGCAAAACTGGTTGAGCTGCTCTTGCAACAAATGAATCTGGATCTGAATTGCGCCGACAGGTTGGGCCAGACACCGTTGGCAAATGCTGCTGCAAATGGTTCATTAGGCTTGGTCAAAGTCCTCTTCCGACAGCCGGGGCTTCATATAAGCCCTCAATCTACCGATGCACTACCGCCACTTTGGTCGGCATGTCGCGCAGGACAGTTTCCAGTCGTGGAATTTCTCTTGGAAAATTCAGCCGACATTAACCAAAAAAGCCCATCAGGGGTGTCGCCACTTCAGATTGCGATCATTATGGAGCATGTCGACATTATCCGTCTTCTTCTCAGTTATGAAGAAAGTTTGCTAATCAATGACCGAGACCGTCACTCCTTTACTCCGCTCATATTCGCGTCAGCTCAAGGTAGGCTTAAAGTTGCCAGAATGTTATTGGAGCATCCCGATATAAATGTGAATGCGATGGATGATCAGAAGAGGACATCTTTCTGGTGGGCTGCGGCTAATGGGCATTATGAGATTGTACACTTGTTGGCCAATCAGCGTGGTGTCAAAAAACGACTGAAAGATTCGAATGGTCAGACAGCATATGCCATCGCCAAGGAACGCAACCATGGGCATGTCAAGGTTGATTTGCGAAGCTTTTAGTCTTCAAGCTAGTTTATAGAAAGAGGTTTCATTTGATGCGATACCAGCCCGTTAGCGTGTCCACGGCGGTCGGGTTCTCTGAGTGCAATGCGGTAATACATGTAGTAGGCTCTTTATTGCCGCCTATTGGCTACTGCTTATCGTTATCTAGAGATAGCTACCAAAGTCAGCGCTGGTGAGACTTATTCTAGACCGGGGCGTCGGCCGTGCAACGGGCATTTGCTAATGCCACCTAAACTTGATGACTGGGAATGGATCGGAATTCGTTAGAAACACCTAATGGCGGACGAAGCTGTTAAAGCCAAACATGGACAAGCACCTCAACGAGCAGGAAATAAATGGGGACCTACAAGTCGTTATTGAGGAAGAAACGGTTCCTCTGAATGAACAGGCTTTTCTGGGAGCAAGTGAGGACAATTGGATCGGTCGTCTTTGCCGTCGCAATGTTGCACTGCAACCTATGCAGTACAGCAAGGTAAGCCGAAAGTTCATTGCAAGCCCTCATTAAACTGCCTTCATTGAAGAGGCTTTTGCCACTTGAGAAACCGTATAAATTGGCCGAACGGGAAGCACCTGCGAGGGTGAAAAATGGGTTTATCATGTTAAACTGGTCGAATGAGGAAATTCTGATCACGATCTACTTCGTGGCCCGATGCATCCGTCCCAAGTCGGTCCAGGGCCTGCTTCTGCGTCGAGGATACGATCGTTCTCTCGCCGCCATCGAACGAACTATCATATGTACAACCAAGCAATACCCATATTTGAAATTCGCCAATGGTCAATGGGATCTAAGCGCCATTGACCGATGGATGAAAGACTTTGTTCGAAGTCAAGAGTCAGTCAACAAGTTAACGCGTTTCTCACTCGAGGATGCAGAAGATATGGTCCTTGTAAGCTGTCTCTTGAAGTTGATTGAAAAGGTATCTACGACGCTTACAAAGTTCTATTTGGTATAGAAAATATCTGTCGATGATCTATTAGAAACGATGGACAACCTCGGCCTAGACTTCACAGACCCTGCGTTCAACGCCCGCACATAACTTTGCATTTAGTATCGTAGTCAGGGATTAGCGGCAGGACAGACATAGGATTCCGAAACAATCTGAGGATACGCCGATCAGTTAATAATATAAATAGACGACAATTAATGCGGAGGCCTTGCAGTAGAGTCGCTGACACACACGCAAAGATAATAGTAACTCCAACCCCACGCTGGAAATAAGTAAATAGTTCTTTGATACAGTACTGGAAGGCTTCATTGTTGCGTAGATCACGACTTCCCAAACAAGTAAGCCAAACTGAGCATACTAAGTGGATACATGATATGATGCAAAACGTTGATCATTATTCCCAATCTTTTGGCCTTATAAACAAAGCTTCCGTTTTGATCGCGTCAACCCAATTTTGCGAAGTCTTTCCTGGGATCTGGAGAGATCCTTTTAAGTAAATCTTGCGACCTTCAACCCTATCGGGCCATGCACGAAGTAGTATCGGCGCCGTTGGTGGGACCGATTGGAGGTAGGACGTGTTCAAGGTGGCTGTCACCGCATTCTTACAGGAATCTGCAAGAATTTGGTCCATCAACAGAGCAATATATCCGCCAAAGAGTTTCCCATTGTAGTAGCACATCTGTTGTGCAGGGCTCAAGGACATAAGAGACTCTACCTCCCACCCCAGAGGATGTGGCTTGAACTTGGGAAGATAGCCCTGCAACAGAGAGTCCATCATTGCACCCGGGGATTCCCGAGGTACAGTTGCAGGGCTTAACTTTAGGGCGTCAATATCATTATAGTGGAGGATAACACATTGTTATTGGTACTCACATCTGTGCGCTTGGATAATTTGCTGCATGCATCACAAGATGACGATGGGCATTCTGCCAATGACCGAGATTTGCGAATCGATCGATAGAGGAAAGATAGTATGTATTGCCGCTTCAAAATTCTATACATTGTTGTTGAAAATTTGAGGAAGAATGGTTGCACGCTGCAGATTTTCAGTTACTGGCTCAGTAAATTTATGCAGAGATTCCCGCAATGCCAGTATTTCTATCAGATGGTTTCACCTTTTCCTTTTTCTTGAAATGTTGATTGCCCGGGGCGCGGGCAAGACCGGACTGTTTTAGCCCATTCGTTCGGTGAAGTGTGGTCTTGCATCGGTCGAACTAATCTGGGGGGGAGAACCAAGAGCATGTACCATCATCCTTCGATAAATTTCTAACAATTCGCCCTTTGTTGTTAACCGTTTGTTGTTAACCGTTTGTTGTTAACCGTTTGTTGTTAACCGTTTGTTGTTAACCGTTTGTTGTTAACCGTTTGTTGTTAACCGTTTGTTGTTAACCCTTTTGTTGAAATATCCCGGTTACTGAGATAATAATGAGGCTGGGATCACGTGCATACATATATATACCTGTTCACCAGCCTACTTGTATATTAGATAACATGCAACACAACACACAATCAACTCCCCTCAATAACATGAACACTGAAGCATCACTTAATAATCAACACTTCTTAACCACGCTTCTTAACCACGCTTCTTAACCACGCTTCTTAACCACGCTTCTTAACCACGCTTCTTAACCACGCTTCTTAACCACGCTTCTTAACCACGCTTCTTAACCGCTCTTCTTAACCTCACTTCTTAGCCCCCCTGTTTAACCACTTTTTGGTAGAATCAAGATCGCACTCTGCCTGCCAAATGTAATTACTGCTTTGAGGTGACTCGGCATGCACCACACCTCATGGGGACATATCCTACTTCAGAGTTCTTTTCTGTACAAGTACAGTGGAAGAATTTTTAACTCTTCCGATGCCCTTTTGGTCTCCAATTTTCATTGTTATCTATTTTTGATTTTTCCCCTTTTCTTTTCTGCCGCGCCTGGCCCCTTCAGTGCCTGCAATAACGCGAATCCACCACGCGCATGAAATGGTGCATTCTTCCACCCACGTTCCTCTCTTTCCCCGACCTCCTCCTCGTCCTCTCTATTCTGAACTTTCCTGAACGTTCGTTAAAATTTGTCGCGTTCTTTCTAGATGGTTACGAAGCACAATTCGCAAGCTTGATGCCTCCAGAGGAAGAGCAACAACCAACAAGAATAACATCGTCTCGCCTCAAAGGAAATCCTGATCTAGCATCCCGTGCCAAGGATGAGAAAGGTACCATCATTTGTGGTCACGGCCCACGCACAGGATGAATGGTGGCTGAAATGAAGTTCACAGCAGCAGAGCAATCTTTGCAATCTTCGCGGTCAACCCAGCAAAACCAAGAGTGAGCTCCCACCGTACATTACAGTGGCTGGCCTTATTGTGCTGACTTTGAGATTGGCAGCCTTAACAAGCGAATCAAGTGAGTTCCACAGCCTCCTTAGTAGTCTGGCAGATCCCTGCTGCGGTACCTTCCTGGAGTCGGAGCCTGCTTTCCAAGTGAGCATACCAGCATGTTAACCAGACTGATAGGAAAATCGAACACTTTATCAATGGCATTACACAGGATGGCTTTGTCGACGTATTGACCGAAAACGCGACATTACTGAGCGAAACCACAGCTCTCAAATACAAGATCCAAGAATTAGAGGAAACCCTGGAGAACATGCAAGCTCGTCTAGATGAACTGTGCAAGGAAAGGCAGGTTTCTACCATCCAGAACAACCCAGCGCGCAAGAAACGGGCAATGCCACAATGACCTTGCTCATTGGCTCTGTATTAAGAAGGCGCTGCTCTCAAGACCCACCTCCACTTATGATTTACATTTAACACAGCTCTTTGGATATATTGTTCTGTGAAAATTTTCGGGGCTGTTGGCAACACTGTCGCCAGCCAAGACGAAAATGCTTCCTGTCCTGTAGGCTTTTGCGGCTCTCTAGTTATATTTTGTTGACAGCCTTGTTGAACTCTATCCAGATTCTGTGTTCCTCTAGAGCAAAGGAACATCTTCTGAGGTGCAAGGCACGGCCTGTTCTCGAATTTACGAAAATCTTTAGGCGCTCGATATCCGATCGGTCCAGCTTTGGTTCCAAATAACATGCAAGATTCGTAAGAACCCCATTCGAATATTGCTGATTGAAAAACTTGTTCAAAATGTCCTTGATGTCATCCACATCTCGAAGCTGCCTTTCTCTCGGCTTAACCGGCCCCCGACCAAATTCCATGATGATCCTTGAATTTTCATCATTTGTTTCAATCGGCGGATATTTTGCCGGCCGTCCATCCGTCTTCTGAACCCAGTCTCGAAGACGAGGTGAGAAATATGCACTCTAGCAGATAGCTCGAAATGACGTTCTTGATAGTCGTATAATCTTCGCTCCCAATGTTCAACTTCCAACTGCCTGCGCTTCCAAAGTTCAATTTCCAACTGCCTGGAAGGTGACATGATGGGAGCCAGAACAAGTCATCCGTGATTTACAGAAGAGCCGGTGTAAGGAGTGACAAAAGAGACTATTCAGATATCGAGGGACACTCCATGCAGAAGTCTTTATACTAGCTTGGTTATTGAATCTATTTAGGAATAAATGTGAGTCAAAAATCTAACTTCGTCAACCTTATCACTTGAAATTACCTACCCTTCTATTCCAGCGGTCAATGCAGCCAGTTTTCTGTCTGTCCTCAACTACCGTTGTATGTTAGGAAAAGTTCATTCCTGCTAATAGTTTATCTGCCACATTTATCCACTGCCCATAGAGGTGGAAAATTGCGCCGGCCTCAGTAATCTGGTCTGCCGAACACTGGCCACGAGGAATAAGCTGCCCATTTCTTGAGATTTATAAGGTTCCCTTGAATTGCGATACAACATGGTTCTCAGATGTTTCCCAGATGTCAAGGTCATAGTCGACTAAGAGACGCTCCATTCGCTTCTCGCTTCTGAATCATGAAGCTTTCCACCAAGACCAGATTTGATTCGCTAGTTTCGACAACGGCATTGTCATTGTCCCTCGCGGTTCTAGTCTGCCTATCTTTTGTCTTTGTCGGATGTTCGTCGTCTTCTTCACCAAGGGGTTTACATTTTTTAAAAGTGAGATACGCCCAGAAAACTTCCATTCTAACCAATTCGCTAAGCAATCTGCAGGTAGACCTGAAAGAGTTCCCAAAGCTTCGTGATTTGCAAAGTCGGGACTCATCCGATATTGACAGTGCGCGTATCGAGAGTGGGGGAAAAAAGGCCGTCGAAGGCGTGGCGTCTAGCGTCGATACTAGCGCAAATGAAGCAATCAACGGGGCAACGTCGGCTGTCAGCAGCATGATTCATGCCCAAGTACACGACTTGAAGTCACACCTGCCTCGATACTATTTTGTTGGCCTCTGGGGCTACTGTAAATCCCAGGATAGCTCCGAGATGGTGTGCTCCGACCCCAGCACGTCTTTTGCTTTCGATCTATCTGCCCTGCTTGACTCTACGCCAGTAAAAGTCAGCGACATGATTCCAGATATAGATCAAAGTTCGATTTCCAGCTACCGTCCACTTTCCCTGAGTTTGACCCGTCTGTATATTTCCGGGTTTGTGGCAACCACGTTGACCATAATCTTGGCTGGTCGCAAGTTTTTCTTTTCCAATGGTAGCAAGTTACTTGCCATATTTTGCACGGTATGTGATACTAGGGAGAACATAGAAAGATGCTGACAAACAAGCTTTCATCAACGCTCATTACGACTGCCACAACCTTGGTCATGGTGCTGTATGGTCTTTTCGCTTCCGTCGTCAAGAATAACTTGCAGACCTATGGTGTCCAAGTCAACTTTGGAGCAAATATGCTTATCACAACGTGGTTGGCCTTGATGTTCTCTATTGCCAGTTCAATCATATGGCTGGTTCAAATTTTCTGCTGTTGCATCTAAATGGCAAGCGCATTGCGGGTCTCGAATCAGATATTCATTCAGCTGAGTAGATTGCAATTTATTTATATGGTCAACTGCAGATGGTGGACTGGGGTACTGTATTGCTTGCTTCTATAGTGCACATTCCGTAAATTGGAAATCTTTCTCGCTATATCTAATTCACAAAATTTGAGCCGAATACTTGTTGAACTCCCATGTCGTTTGTGGCCTTTATGGTAGAACTATCAGATAAATATGATACATTGTGGCCGCCTAATAATCTGTAGCGGGCGAAATATGGAAACACGGAGTATCGAGCCGCTTGAAATGCGGGTTTTGGATCGTCGCGTTCGAGATTTTCTAGTGTCGCCAAGATGGGTGAAAGCGCTCAATCGTCAAGGTTTCTTTCGGTCGGTTTCCAGCTGCGGGAGGGAGAATGCCAGCAGTCAGCCACAAAGTCTGATACTGTATGGGATGCACCTAACTTACCTGTCGTGGTTTGGGATCAGAAGCGTCCTTTGGTTGGCCTTTATCAACCTGAATTGGCAGTCCAGTCGGCTGGTGACCTCCTTCATTATTTTGGTCCGGTACGTTCCTTGGAGCATCCATTTCGTAATGGGCAAAGAAATGATTTCAGAGAAATTAGTCTGTATCGGATGATAGACTCTCTTATAGTCCACCTGGAGACACGTAGTCACCTTGTTAGTGTTACGACAGAGGTATGGGTCTCAACGCAGTCGTTCATTTGATTTTGATGGCTATTTGGTATTTACGGTCGTTGAGCACCCCTATTCCCATGCTGATGAATGTGTTAGTAGCCAAATAAGTTGTTCAAGCAGCGTTGAATCATGTCTCGCAGCTTCAACGGCTACATAAATTCAAGCGCTATATTTCTTAATTTGAAAGCATTTGGCTGGCCAGGACCGGTGAGCAACAACTGACGTATGAGTTCCGTCTTGAAAGTCCCCTTAAAATATTTACTGGCTCGGGTGTAAAAGTAGGGCTGTTATCTCATCACGTGCTTATCACAACACAAAATGCCTTTGTAGAGGAGAGTATGATGTCCAAAATAAGCACAGAGTGACAAAGATAAGGTTCCGCATGAAGATAAAAACTAAGCACGAGGATATACCATACTATTCATAATCCCTTTCATATCGTAACTCGCTACGCTATCGTCTTCATTGCTGATGAAGTAGAAGTATGCGACCCTCGACGAACACTGGTCAGCGCACTCTTTGGTATGAGCCGTAGGCCAAAGACGAACATGCCGAGTAGCAACAAGCCCATAAGAACACCCAAGGCCACCATTGCACCTATGACACCTGCCACTCCTGAATTCATTCCCGTGTCCGAAGAAGACCCAGACGATGGACTGGAGGATGAACTATCCCCGCCGGTGTCATTAGAAGTTGAGCCACAGACTCCAGTTGTATTCCCACAGGCCTGACACCATTGCTGCTGCGATGAAATGGCGAACTTGTTTGACTTGTCCACAAACTGCGTCCAAGGGAGCTCGAGCATCGATTGTCCGAAAAGTGGGTAACCCTTCAGATTTGTCGAGCCCTCACCACTAGTTCCATTGTGGAACATGAAACGAACATTGATATCTGACGTGGAGGGCATCCCAGTGCCAGTATTGTTTGTCACAAGCTCCCATGCCATGGAAGAAGCGTAGTCAGGTATACCAGTGAAGTTCTCATCTGCGGTGTTGAGCCCGGCCAGGCCGAAATAAGACAAGAAAGTGGCATAAGCACCGAACTGAATGTTCAATTTCGACTTGCCGTTAGACGTAATTGTCTCGTTCAAAGCTGCAAGAACTTCGCCAGCAAGTGTCATACCAGCGACAGCACGGATCTGATCTGAACTATTGTATGCTAGGTTAAACTCGTGCTCGCTCGCGAGATGAAAAAGCTCTTGCATTAGCTGATCATTGAGAAGGCTGGATGAGGGGAACGTCGTGGTGGAGTTGTGAATCAAAGCCACATGGAGTAAATCCCATATGGTGTATCCATTCTTGTAGTTCAGCTCAGCGGAGCTGAATGTCTGGTTGACTAGCGGTTCAAGAGACTGGTAAAGCTCGTTGGTGGACGATAAGAGGCTCTTAAAGGAGTTCGAGGAGAAGTAATTATTGCTACTGACTTTGGCATTGTTGCAGGAAGATGTGCCCTGGAGCCACAGGTTGTCCTCACTCCCGCTGCCGGACTTCACGTCTGACATTGGGATCAGCTGATAGCCATTCATCGGGGATTGAACTGTTGATCCGTTGCGGAGAGTCTCGGTGGCAAGAGAGCCGACAGGAGGGTAGAGGCCTTGCAGGAACCCCTCTCCTGAGTTTTCGATAACATCATCCTGCGGAGTACTCGCAGTAACCTGGGCCAAGTTGACTATGTCGGTACTGATCCCATCGATCTGATAGGAGGAGTCTGACGAGATATAACGATCATGAAAAAAGGTACCAGTCATATACTCTTGACTGTAACCCAGGTTGGTCAATTTAGCAGGTGGCCAGGATTTAGCTGTACGGTCCCCGTGGCGCTGGAAGATATATGCCCCAAGAATCCTTTCCGCGTTGGTAAGATTTATCAGAGGCAGAAAAGCCACCACGATGAGTGTGCGGAGGGCAGACATGATTGAAAAGTTTTGCTCTTAGTAGCGACCGTTCAAAGGCGTATAGCAATCATAGTGGGCTTACCGACCTTTATCAATTGCGTAACTCGTGCGGGGAACTCTATATCCCCACTCGATACGGTCCAACAGCAGTCGGGTGGCCACGGAGACTTACCCTGGCTTCATGCGGTCTATGGGTAAGAGAATGGATTGCGGTGTCAAAGCTTTTTGGAGTTTCTTAGCGAGATGATATCATTACTAGAGGACTAATACAATGAGGCACCGGATATCGCGGGTGGGGAAATAGACCAAGCTATGCCCCTAGTCTAGTCTGTGTCTGACTATAGTAGGACCCTAGATGTTTAGTGAAAGATTGACTGTTCAGGTTTTAGCAGGAGCGAATAATGAGGGATCGAAAAAAATCTTTACCCCGCTTACTCTCGGCCCTACTGAAATGAAACGCAGTACGATCTATCGACAGAAGACCTAGAGTGCGTATTGGTCCGATAAACGGTAGGTAGTATCCTTCGGGCATACCCCGCCGTTCAGTTCCCCACCTGTTGAATTAGTGGGCAACAATTGGGTTCAAGCGTCCGATGCCAAGGTTCTCCGGAACTCTAAATCTGGATTGATTCATTCCATGGTTCTGCCCTAGCCAACGCATCGTTCCAAGATTCTTTGGCTATCTAGGTATAGGTCTATCTCTAGAACATGCGTCAGTTAAGGGTATGTTACATCATTGGGTTTGCGTGTGTTCATGCTGCAAGAAAAGTGAAGTTCAAATGGTGTTCTAATACGAATCCAAGACCCCATACTCACCTAGGGAGAGGGGTTGCGAATGGTGCTTAAAACGCAGACTAGAGGCCACTCTGTACCATTCGATTCAAAATCTTGTTATTCGTTTTCCCTTGGGGTATCAGCATATAGAAAAAGATGGGGAAGAATAACAATGGAATGTACATTAACGAGAATTCTAAATTTTTGAGCCGGGATCGATAAGGTGGTATGTGGCGCAGGGCTGGACATGAGTAATTAGTTACGTTCTCATCTAGGTATATCATCTAATCTGATTGGGGAGAAGCTTCATTTTCTATCATCTTCCTTCTCACGTACCCAATGACCGCCCTTGGGCCTTGTTTCTTTATCAGCCGCGCACCCTCGATCACTATCCCCTTATTCACAGCCTTGAGCTTATCGTATACTGTCAAACTCCGCGCCTATCGTAGCTATTATAGGTTCCATCTCCGCACACGTGCGACTGAGAGAACTCACGAGAGCCTACGGTTGCTATGGTTTCCATATCGTCGTGATCCTGCGGACAGTTCTTATCTGACCTGACGAGTTCCACGCCAACTTCCACGCCTGTGATGCAGATGCCTGGATGGCATAGTGGGATCGTGTCTGGAGTGCACTAGGCGGCCATGATGCCGGCGACACGGGTAACGCTGAAACGTAACGTCGCCTTTGGGAGTATTTGGGCCTTTTGCGAGAAGTTCCCAGGGCCGGGAGTTCGAGAAGGAGACTGAGTAGGTAGCAGTGGTGAGTCGTTTTATCTCTGATTTTTCGGTAGTTTTGGTCATGCGGGCGGTGTGGGAGTAAGATGTAGGAGGTCAGGATTAGATGTCGTAGGGAGAGTTCGAGTTTGTGTTTTGTTGCCATTGTGCGATACTGGGCCTATGGCACCGGTGCCAGTGTGCTTGCTGTGATAGAGACAAACTTGGTACGAACCCTACGTAAAGAGAAGTGTGTGGGAAATACTTGACCAGGGAGAGAAAGTATAGCGTTGATCGGCCCGAGAGCCGGTAATGGCCGTGATGGGACCGGTATACTATCTATTAGGTTATCAGCCTAAATCCCAGAAGATCACGCCCGAAACACGATTTTATAAGTACGTAAAACCAAATATCCCGATGTCAATTAGTATTTTTCATCCAGGTGCATGAAAAATATACAGGTCATATATCATCCAATCATAACAAGAAAAAGCATGCCTACCCCCCAATGAGAATCATGGGACGGTTCTTCATTTCCTTCAGCTCATCCATGCCAGCATGTTTCGCCTTCTTGCGCTTCACGGCCATGCCGATGATATCCAGGACTCCACGCTCTCGTTCGCTAGCTAGACCCTCATTGTCACCGAGACGGGCAGCGGTCTGCACAGTCTGCTGGAGACCTAGTCTTTCTAAGGCTTCCTCGTCGATAGGCAGCCCATGATTTTCCTTCCGGATGATATCTCGCAGCGAAACCTCAGAACTGCCAAAGAGACATACTTTCAAATTGCCGTCACTCGTGATTCTGAGCCGGTTGCAGGTGCCGCAGAAATTGTGGGTCATGCTGGTAATGAATCCAATATGGCCCTTAAATCCAGGTACTTGATATGTCTTGCTAGTATCATTTTTGTGATCGTCAAGCTTCACCAATGTCGGATATTTCTCTCGGATCACCGCTAGCATCTCCCGATACGTGAACATCTTGCCCCTATTCCACTTATTCCCATCGAAGGGCATATACTCAATAAAGCGCACCTCGATAGGCTTCTCACGACACATCTCGACAAATGGTATGATCTCGCGATCGTTCAAGCCGCGCATCACAACGCAATTGATCTTCAGCTTGATACTAGCGCCGGTCTGGTTCATTTCCAGTATACGACCTATGCTCTTCATCACTGCCTCAAATCCACTCCGTCGGGTCATGAGCTGAAACTGGAATGGATCTAGAGTGTCTAGACTCAGATTCACGCCTGTTAGACCTGCTTCTACCATCTGGTCTAGCTTTCGGTGTAGTGAAATCCCGTTTGTGGTGAGGCAAAGCTCTCGTAGCCCGTCTTGCCGTAGTTTGCCAATTTCTTGCATCAAGGGGACAATGTCCTTCCGTACGGTTGGCTCCCCGCCCGTCAGACGGATCTTTGTAACGCCCTGAGAGACGAAGAGTGATGATAAGTAAACAATTTCTGGTGAGGTCAACAGCTGGGGCTGTGGCGACAGGTCTATCCCTTC